TTCAAACTCATGTCGATTGTTTATCTGCATGAGAGAGGTTGAAATAAGTACTGAAATGTCTTTATTAAGCGACATCATCATGGTATATCTCTGTTATAATGAAAAGGTATTTTAAGTATTAAAATCTTCAAAGCCTTTCAGTGGAAGGTATGATGTGAGTTTAGTCTCACATTACTTTTGCACTAAAGTTTTGGATAAATATATAGTAATATTACATTTACAAGTAATGAGTCCTTTTTTCTCACGTGTACAACCACTCCTTGCCTCACAGTCGACTGGCCACTAGTGACGTGGAAGGGGAGTGACGCACACGTGCCCCCATCGGTCTTAGCCGCTCAAGCCCTTGCTCGCAACTCCCCCTAATTGTGCTTCTGACTTGCTTGCAGGCCCAACTGACTGGCGGGTCCCCCCCTTTTGCTATCGACAGCAACAAAGAGGTGGTTCAATCCACACGGAGCTCTCTCTCTCTCTCTCTCTCTGCTTCTCTCTCATGGGTGGCAAGGCCCATTTCAGGCTCATTATTCGGCCCGGTTCGCTGAGACAACCTAATGTGTAAATGGGCTGACCTTGGCTAGGGTAAAAGCCTAATCTTCTCGTGGCCCAATATCAGCCGATCAAGGGTTTTGTGTCGTCGATCTACACCGTCCGTCCGTCTTGTCGGGCGTGGAAATCAATGACATGTGGGCCATTCGTGGCTCGTCAAAACCTGCGGCCGGCTGTAAAACCTGCTGAGAACAAGCATGAATCAGAGTCCGAGCCCGGTTCCGGGTCAGACTCCGAATTGGAAGAGGTGCCGTCGAGCGAGCCCTCGAAGAGAGCCTCTACAACAGGGAGGGCAACCTCGAGAAGCTGGAGGACATCAGCTGGCCAAAGAACGTGAACTGGATCCACAAGCTCGCCGTTGACCTCGAGGAGGATAAGGATCTGGACGTGAATGACGACATCGTGAGGGAGCTGGCGTGCTACACGCAGGCATTGGAGGGCACCTGGCAGGTGTATGCGAAGCTCTACTCTTGGGGAGTTGCCTTCTTCAGGCCGCCGGACTGCTACATCGAGACGGTGAAGATGGATAGCCACATGCTGAAGGTGAAGGGGAGTGAGGCTCCTAGAGTAGAAGAAGAAAATTGAGGAGGTCGAGGAGAGGAAGAAGGCTACAGAGTCGAAGAAGATGGCGAAGGAGGTACAAGTTGAAAGAAGGAGAACATCGAGTCAGTGAAGAAGTATAAGTTAAGTTATAAATTAATCAATTATAACAACAAAATATTATTAGATTATATATATCCTAATGTACATAGACCTGTTGATGTAGTATCAAAGATGATGTTTTATTATTTATGAAGTATAAATTTGAGACCCTTGTAAAATAAAAGTTGTGAAAAATTCAAGTTGAAAGCCAAATAGAGAATGAGGTAGAAGTCTTGCGAACTAATAATATATTAGAATATAATTATTATAAATTCATCAAAATTTATGAAGATCAATATCGTAAAAGATATTGTAGTATTGGGAAAATACTCCAACTAAAATGAAGTAGTGAAAAGGATTAATATAACAATTGATAAGAGAGAAAAAAAATTAAGTAGTAATGCACAATTATCTTAAGATTTCTAGACTTAATCTGGTTTATGTGATTAACAACTCAACTAATATGATTTTAATGAAAAAAAATATTGATGAAGTATGAAAATGTAGGAAAGCGGACTATTCAAATTTACATATATTTACATGTCCTAGATATATCTATATTTTAGTCATGAGAGAATAAAACTTGACCCAAAATTTAAGAAATGTATTTTTTTGAGGTACATAAATGATGTGAAAGGATATAAGTTTTGAGATCCAATAGTTAAAAAAGAATGTAATCAATAAGGATATAATTTTTATGAAACTTAAATGATAAAATATTTCGATCAAGAACATGTATAATACAAAGAAAATGACAATTTCAACAAATAAAATGTTCTGGTAGACATGGAATAGACATATAATTCTCAAACTACAACTGAAAAATGATTAAATGAAGGAAGAAGCCAATGAGATTACTACCTCAAATGTTTAACAAACAATTAGATCTCCAATGAGGTATAATTGAATATGAAGGAGAGTCCACATTCTTTCAAGAGGTAATACATTGCAAAGAGAAGGGTTAATAGGTAAAGGAAATATTAGAAAAAATAAAACACAAAAATAAAACTTGGGATCTAATTAAACTTCCAAAGGAGAAGAAGACTATTAGATCTAAGAAAATTTTCAAGAAAAATTAAACTACATCTTAAAAAAGCAACTATAATTTAATGAAAGACTTACGACAAAAGAATATTATTAAAAGGGGGTTAATATAGTAAAATGTTTAATCTTTTAATAAAACACAAATCAATCAGGATAGTGTCAACAATAGGTTGCACAATAAGACATAGAGTTAGAACAACTTAGTATGAATACTACATTCTTCTATGTTGACTTGGAGGAGACTATTTATATGGAACAATTTTAAGATTTCAAGGTAATTCTAAACATAGTGTCTATAGATTGAAAAAAACATTTACTAATTTAAAATAATTGTCAAGACAATAGTATAAGTTTAAGTCATTTATGGTGTAAATTAACTACACTCAATGTGAGTATAACTGTTGTGCATATGAAAAATTATTTGAAAATTATTCTTAGATTGATTTATATTCTATAAGAATGATTGTTTATTATTATCAAGAATATGTATGATACCACAAAGTTGAAATATTTGTTGAAAAGTAATTTGAAGTGAAGAATCTTAGGCCAATGAAGAAGATCTTTTGTACAGAAATCTATAGAGATGGGAAGAATGAAAAACTATGGATATCTCTAAAGGAGTTACATTGAAAGGTAGTTGATTTATTCAATATGACTGATGCTAAACATGTGAGTACTTTTTTGAAAAATCATTAAAATTATTTGTTAATTAGAGTAAAAAATATAAGGTAGAGATTAAAGAAATGAGGTAAATTATTTATGCAAATTATGTGGGCAGTCAAATCTCTGTTATGGTTTGTTCAAGATTGAATATAGCATATGCAGCTAGCGTGGTTAGCAAGTTTATATGCAATCTAAGGAAAGAGAAATGAAAAGTAGTGGAATGAACTCTAAGATATTTAAAGGACTTCATTGACATTAAATAAATATTCTAGAAGTAATTTTTACTATTAATTAATAGCTTTATTTATATTAATTTTAATTTAGATAATTAAATATCCACAACATAATATGTTTACTCTTCAAGGGGCTAATAAATTGATAATTAACACTTCAAGCTCCATAACGTTATACACAATAGAAGCTAGGCATATGATTTAAATTGAGATAGGTTATGATTGTGGATGAATTGTTTATGAAGGGGCTTAGTTTTAATTAAGCTGAAATTATTTTATGCTACAATTTTCAAAGTGTCATTTATTTGCCAAAGAATCAAATATATCATATAGGGGTGAAGTACATTAATGTGACATATCGCAAGATTTGAGAGCTGATAAATTTAAGATATATCTCACTAGAGAAGATCTATACATCAGATAATGGTGCCAATATATTAACCAAATTGGTCAACATATTATTTGAATCTCAAGTTTCATGTTTTTTGAGATAAGTTGAGTATCATTTAAGTGAAATTCAACATGAAGTAGTTAATTAAGATATTTTCTAAAGTGGAGATTGTTGAGATATGTCAAAATATTTCAATAATGTTAGTCTGAGAACAAGCTCAATAATAGAGTGTGGACTCCACTAGGATTGACTTTTGGTCCATAACACTACAATGAGTAGAGAGAGAGGGTGAAAAAATTCTTCAAAATTTTATTTTTTAAGAATAAAAAACCATTATAATTTTACAATTATATTTCCTTTTAACATTCTTTCTCTGTCTAACAACCTCTCCCTGTGTGTTTATCTTAACAGATTTTAACACCTTAGTAGAATAAAGCAGCCACCTAAAGTTTATAGTTGAGGCTATTGTTGGAGAAGAGAGAGTGAAATGTGAGGACATAGTGGTTGTTATCAGCTGTTAAAGAACCGAAAGTTACAAACTATATGTGAGGTAAAGAATATATGGATAGAAGACTGATTGGAAGTAGAAATTAGTTGCAATTGAGACCTTTTATTATCGGTTGGAGTCATCCACGATCCATCATTTCTTAGATAGGTTTGAGGCATATATTAAGAGGGCATTTAGAGGATCTTGTATGTTATTTGACTAGATCTTTGAGGCAAATTGTCCTTACTCTTAGTACATAGCATTTCACTACATCCTCAAGTTGATTTAAGTCATATTATTTGAGATTTTATTTTTTGTTTCTTGTAATATATTGACGGGTTTTCTAACACTGATCACGTCTACTGACATAGAATGCTACTCTAAGATGAACATTGACCACCATAAAACATGAGGTTATGGACGAATATAGGTCAAAATTGGTAGATATAAGCCAAAAAATGAGGCAATAAATCTAAGAAAGAAGAGAAACAACCTGCATACACGGCTATTCGGTTCGTCAAGTAGAAATTTACGAATTGGGCGGGTCAAGAAAACGAAATTAGGAGAAAATATAAGATTAACTACAGAATGTTTGAAATTTGGTAGAGACAAACAAGAAAGGGGGGAAATAAATCAAACATAGGGCAACTTATTCGGAAGAACATGAATAAAAAACGACCCATAGAACAGCAAGACAGCGTTATAATTTTGGCAGATACGGACCAAGAGAATGGGTAACTTGCAGTGAACACGGCACCTTGGACGAGATAGAGAGAGATAGAGAGAGAGAAAATGTGGGCCGCGTTGGAAAATCAAAGTGTTTGACCTTGGAGGAAAAGATGAGAATGCTTTTGGGGACACGGGCCCTGCAGTCACATCCGTAACCTGGGAAGGGGGGCGGGGGGGGTGGGCGCCATTAGATCTACTCCGGAATAAGTCGTCGGCGATCAGCTGAGGTAGAGGGAAGGCAGCGGCCGGTGCTGGTGGAGGAAGAGATATGGCCGGCGGCCGCTTCCTCGTCGACGGCGTTGGATGGGGGGGATGGGCGGCCGGGGTTCTGCTGCTGGGATGGGTTCTGAGGACGCTGCGGTGGGTGTGGTGGACGCCGAGGAGCACGGAGAGGAAGCTCCGGGCGCAGGGGATCGACGGGACCTCCTACCGTTTCCTCTTCGGCGACATCAGGGAGACCATGCGTCTTACCAGGGAGGCCAAATCGAAGCCCATGCCCTTCTCTCATGATATCCCCCCTCGAGTCCTCCCCTTCCACCACCAGATCGTCAAGACCTACGGTCTCTCTCTCTCTCTCTCGCTATATATATACATCTATCTATCAATCCATCTATCTCTTCTTGACTGTATCTTGGTGTGATGTAGGCAAGGTTAGTATGACCTGGTTGGGGGTAAGTCCCCGGGTGATCATCGCCGATCCTCTTCTCATCAGAGAGGTCCTCTTGAACAAGTCTGGCCACATCGGGAAGCCGAAGCTCGGTCCTCTTGGGCAGCTCCTCGTTGGCGGACTCTTAGGCTACGACGGAGAGAAGTGGGCGATGCACAGGAAGATCATCAACCCAGCGTTTCACGTAGAGAAACTGAAGGTTCTTCTTTCGGCCCCGTTGACTCTGTCATTACCTTGCTGCGGCAGGATCTCTGCCGTCCCAACGACCCTTCTTCTTCGTTTCTTTCTTCTTGATCATCATCGTCGTTTTCTTCTTCTTCTTCTTCTTCTCCATCTTCGTCTTCTGCTTCAGTATCCTCAGTCTTCTGCATCATGATCATGATCATCGTCTTCTTCTTCGTTATCATCTTCTGAGATCTCCTGTGGTGGATCTCGCAGAGGATGCTGCCGGCGTTTTCCTACTGCTGCGCAGAGCTCGTGAGGCGCTGGGAGAGCTTGCTGAATCCGGAGGGGAGCTGCGAGGTGGACGTGTGGCTGGAGCTTCAGAACTTTACCAGGGACGTCATATCCCGGACGGCCTTCGGGAGCAGCTTCGAAAAAGGGAGACGCATCTTCCAGCTTCAGGATGAGCAGGCCGAGCTTGCCCTCCAATCCCTTCAGAACTTTCAGATTCCCGGTTACAGGTTTCTCCCCACGAAGAGGAACCGACGGATGAGGGAAGTCGACCGGGAGATGGAGGACCTCCTCCGGGAAATCATCGCCAGAAGAGAGAAGGCACTGCGACAGGCGGCGCCTGGCGCCGCCACCGGCGACGACGACCTGCTGGGCCTGCTCCTGCAATCCAACCAGGTCGGCTTCCAGGAGGATGGGACCTCCAGAGGGGTGGCCCGGATGACGACTGAGGAGGTGATCGAAGAATGCAAGCTCTTCTATTTTGCCGGGCAGGAGACGACCTCCATCCTCCTGACCTGGGCCATGGTCGCCCTAGCAATGCATCCGAGCTGGCAGGACCGCGCCAGGGCCGAGGTTCTGCAGGTTTTCGGCAGGGAGAAGCCGGACTTCGACAGACTGAGCCAGCTGAAGATTGTGGGAAACATTCCTCCTCCCTCATCACCTCAATCTCTCATTATCTGCCAGGTTCAGGCGGGTGATCCCTCTCTCTCTCTTTCTTGTATGTTGCAGGTAACGATGGTTCTCCATGAGGTGCTCCGACTGTACCCGCCGGTGCTGTTCCTCTCTCGGATCACCCGGGCGGCGACGACGGTGGGAGAGTACAGCTTGCCGGCGGGGGTGCAGCTCCAGCTGGCCGTCCTGCTGGTCCAGCACGATCCGGAGTACTGGGGGGACGACGCCGGTGATTTCAACCCGGAGAGGTTCGCCGAGGGGGTCTCCAGGGCGTCGAAGAACCAGTCGCCGGCGGCGGGGACGGCCTTCTTCCCCTTCGGCGGCGGGGTTCGCGTCTGTGTCGGCCAGGGCTTTGCCATGGTGGAGGCGAAGATGGGTCTCGTCTCCATCCTGCAGAGCTTCTCCTTCGAGCTCTCTCCGGCGTACACCCACGCGCCGAGCGTCGTCATGACCCTCCAGCCCCAGCACGGCGCCCAGGTCATCTTGCGCCGTCTCTGATCCACCCAGGATATACAGTTTTAGAAAGTAGCCCGAGGGCGCGGCCGGGGGGAGGGTGGGGGAAACAGTGGGAAGGAAGAATGAGGACACAAGATCTCCAGGAAACGAGTTCATCTTCTAATACGTGAGAGCCCCTCTCCTCCGTTTGTTTACCTTCTATACGCGTATCGACAGCAGCAAAGAGGTGGTTCAACCCACGCGGAGCTCTCTCTCTCTCTCTCTCTCTCTGCCTCTCTCTCATGAGTGGCAAGGCCCATTTCAGGCTCATTATTCGGCCCGGTTCGCTGAGACAACCTAACATGTAAATGGGCTGACCTTGGCTAGGGTAAAAGCCTAATCTTCTCGTGGCCCAATATCAGCCGATCAAGGGTTTTGTGTCGTCGATCTGCACCGTCCGTCCGTCTTGTCGGGCGTGGAAATCAGGGACATGTGGGCCATTCGTGGCTCGTCAAAACCCGCCGCCGGCTGTAAAACCTGCTGAGAACAAGCAAAGTGGGTCTCTCCATCCAGATGGCAGCGATAGCGATCCAGATACGGGTTCGTTGGGACGATCCAATAGCGATCTCCACGAACCGTCGCTTGATCCGTCCACTACCGGGTGATAACCGATCGACTATCGGGGATCTGAAATTGGGGGCAGCGTAGTGGGGTTTAGGGTTTCATTCCAGGACGTCGCCGTCCCTTCATCTTCCCAGTTGCCTGCCTCGCGCGGTGCTACGCCGGAGACGAACAAGGTATGATCCCCCTATCTCCTCTCTCTCTCTCTCTCTCTCTCTCTCTCTCTCCCCCTCTCTCTAGGTCTGTCTGGTAGGACGGGAGAGGGCTGCTCCGGTGAAGTTCCCGCCGGAAGCGGTCCAGAAAGAGGGGCCTGACGAGGGGCGGCTGTTACGAGTCGTCGCGGTAACTCAAATCGCCTATGCTTCATGTGCGATCCTCTTTGAAGAAATTATCTCTTCAGCAATCTCTGATGCAGTAGCCTCACCTTGATTATTCCTGTTTTTTTCCCAAATGGACGCCCAAAACCTTGGGAAACCCTGGCAAACGCGGCCAACGATCCCATGTCCTGGAGCGTTGAGTTCTTCTTAGACCGATTGATCAGTCGGTTCCCGAGCAGGCTGATTTCGTTCCGGATATTCCTGAATTAGCACAACCCCCCTTCTCTCCGATGTTCATTTCGTTGCCTCGGTGAATGAACCTGGTGGTGGAATTAATTTTGCTTCTTTCCTTTTTTTTTGGGATCTTTCCTTCAGTGTTTTATTGATGATCCATGCCCTTTGACTTAGGTGGAGATGGGCGGCATCAGGAGAGAAGACCTCTTTCTGGGTAAGGAGGATTTCATGGGGAGGAACGACGATGAATCAGAGTCCGAGCTCGGTTCCGGGTCAGATTCTGAATCAGAGGAGGTGCCGTCGAGCGAGCCCTCTAAGAGAGCCATCTACAACAGGGAGGGCATCCTCGAGAAGCTGGAGGACATCTGCTGGCCGGAGAACGTGGACTGGATCCACAAGCTCGCCGTTGACCTCGAGGAGGATAAGGATCTGGACGTGAACGACGACATCGTGAGGGAGCTGGCGTTCTACACGCAGGCATTGGAGGGCACCCGGCAGGCGTACGCGAAGCTCCACTCTCGGGGAGTCGCCTTCTTCAGGCCGCCGGACTACTACGCGGAGATGGTGAAGACGGACAGCCACATGCTGAAGGTGAAGGGGAGACTTCTGGAGCAGAAGAAGAAGATCGAGGAGGCCGAGGAGAGGAAGAAGGCCAGAGAGTCGAAGAAGATGGCGAAGGAGGTCCAGGCCGTCAAGCTCAAGGAGCGGGCCAAGCAGAAGAAGGAGGACATCGAGTCGGTGAAGAAGTGGAGGAAGCAGAGGCAGCGGAGCGGGTTCGGCGCCGACAAGGGCGAAGATCTGGGCTTCAACTTCGACGGCGACGGCGGCGGCGGCGGCGGCGGCGGCGGGTTTGAGAGGTCCAAGAAGAAGAGGCCCGGAGTGGCGCCCGGTGACCGGTCAGGAGGTTCCGGGAAGAGAAATGTCGGAGGGAAGGAGAAGGCGAACAGGAAGAGGGAGAGGAGGGACTCCAAGTTCGGCTATGGCGGAAGGAAGGGACTGAAGAAGCAAAACAACGCCGCGACCACCGACGACCTGAGGGGCTTCAACAAAAGCGATTTCTCCTCGAAGAAGAGGAAGAAGAATATGTGAAATCCCCCCTATATCCCCTCTTTTCCGGCCTTCCAAACCCCGGAAAAGGCATCGCCCATAGCAAAACGGAGGGGGAGAGGCGGAAATATTGGATTATTTGCTTCTTTCGTATTTAATTATGTAATTTCCTGCTTTAAGAAACAAATCTAGTTATTTCTTTTGCCACGTGGACTTTCTGTCCACGTGGCAATATTGAGGTCTGGCCCTAGGAGCTTATGGGCTCTTCTGGGCCGTTTTCGCTCCCACGTTGGCGACTCGTGGGCTTGATTTATGAATTGGGTTGATCGCAACCCAATATTAGACCAAACAATTAAATTGTTCGGATGTCGTGTGTTTTATGGGCCTAAAGTAAAAACGCCCATTATCTCGGCCCGTTGAGTCATATGATTATGAAGGAAGGGCGTCCGATAGATCGATCGGCTTCAGGTCGTCTTCAGCGCAGCCCGCCTTGCCCTTCCCGCGCAGAGGGAAGAAGAATGGTGAAGAAGGTCGATAACGGGGAGGCACCGGCGGCGGAACACGAGGCCGAGAGGAAGAGGCTGAAGAACGCCGCCTTCTCCCGGAATCTCCTCTCCCGCTCGCCGGCCAAGCCGCTCAGGCCGATCGAGCCTTCCAAAGTTGTGCTGAAGCACCGTGGGAGGGACATCGTCAAGAAGGGGCAGAGGAAGAACAAGTTCCTCTTCTCCCTCCCCGGTCTCCTTGCTCCCGTTTCTGGTGGGAAGATCGGGGAGCTCGCTAACCTCAACACGCGGAATCCCGTGCTCTATCTCGAGTTCCCACAGGTACTGGAAGAAGCGACTCTTCTCTTCTTGAAAATTAGTCGTTGTAGGAGGATAGGATTGAGGTCGTGGCTCGTATGACATACTCAGTGTGGATTTTATAGATATTTTACTTATTTCAGGGACGGATGAAGCTGTTTGGGACTGTCGTCTATCCGAAGAACAAGTATTTGACTCTGCAGTTCTCAAAATCTTCCAAGGGTGTACTATGCGAGGATTCATTCGAGAATATGGTTGATATCTTGCCATCTCGCGTTTTCACTTTTTTAACATTGTTCTTTATGTTCTCTTTAGCTATTAGTACGTGCATTGGGTATTTTGTAAATCTGAATATCGTCGGTCTCTGGTTAGATATCCGCACGACACATAGCTGGAAGTCAGATGGCCCTTACTACCTGCCTAACCCTTTGTTCGCTTTTCACAGCGGGTAACCTCATGCGTTTACTTGACTGTGATTAAGGTTCTTCGTTGTCATTTTAAAATATCAAACAGTCCAGATATTTTAGGCCCATCGTTTCCCTGTATTATGTAAGAAGATGGAAGAACATTTTTTTAGGTAAGTGAAGAATTTTTTTCCTCTATCCTAACAATAAATGGAGATGTTTTGATAGTGTTTATGAAGGAAATTACTGGAAAGTTCATTTGCGATTGGGAAATGAAAACGATAGGATGAGACAAAGTGATGCAGAAATAAATATTGACGGAGAAGTTATGATATAACGAATGACGGCAATTTGATCCAATTTCTTGTTTCTTTAATTCTCACCAAACATTCAGCAAGTGCCCTGTAAAAAGAAGTAAAATGTTACTAAATAGGAAGGGATGGTACACATGTCATACCCATTCGATCTTTAGGCCTTGAATTAGTTACACTAATGCATTCACAACACACGAAAGAATAGATGAAGATGTCATGTGGTCATAAATGTCCACATGGCATTTTATGGAGCCAGAGATTAGGAACGAAGAGGTCTGAAGTTTTAATAATCGGCTTGTATAACGTATTCATTGGATCTCGGAAAGAGTGAGGGGTACGTGCAATTTTTTCCCAGGAGTCTTGCCTAGACTTCTCTTGGATCTCTCAATCATACGCAAGAATAAACTGTTTCTCTGAGAATGCACCTTTTTTCTTGTTTTCTGTATGATTTATATATCTAATGGGCCTCCTTCTTCCCCGCGAGATTCTCCGCAGCCAAATAGAAGAAAAAGAGGCAATAGCAATAACTAAGGAAGTATTGTCTGGTCTCCAAAGAAACCCTACAACGAGTGGGGACATTTGAGAGGCCCTGCTCTCCCTCAGCTGCAGCTGGCCTAGAATACTCCTCGATATCCCTTCCCCTCTACGACCTAAGCCCTAATATAGATTTTCCTTGTGTAGGGAAAAGATCTAGCTGTCCTTCACTTGAAGGGATTGTTTGGTCCCTTCGAGAGGAGGTGCTGGGCCCTTAAGGCCCCTCTCCTTGGCCAATAGTAGTTAGGCCCACTAGGGCCTAACAGTATCCTTCTCGATGTAGTTATAAACGTCCTCAAGCATGACCACTAGATAACTCTCGAGTTGTATAACCATGTTCGTTTACTGACTCTCAAATGGAAAAGCTGCACAGATATAAAAGAAAATGGACATTTTTGTTTTTGGTCTAATTGAAAGTGCTCAGTTACAGTTTTCCACTGTGATACGTTATAGCTCTGTTGTTCCTTACACTGAGCTTTGAAGGAATGTCTTCCTTTTTCTTGCTTGTATAAATCTTTCATTTAGTTCACTTCTTGTTAATCCAAAAATGTAAATGGAAGAGCTTACACATCAGATATAGTTGCTTAGCGGAAACCATGTTATTGATCGCCTGTGTACTTACATGATCATTTACTTTTTCACGTTGTATGCTCTGTGAATTTTCCGTCATGTTCTATTTCAATCTTTTGTTCCCCGTAATATTTTAGTTCATTGGTATTTGACCGTTTCCTGTTATGCTAGGTTGTATTTTCTGAGGCGTGGTGGATTGGATCTCGGGAGGAAAATCCAGATGAAATCCGACTTGATTTCCCAGAGGATCTCGATGCGGTCTGTTTAGTTTTTTTGTTTTTGTTTTTTTTGTAATCCAAATGAAGTCGTATAAGTTTCATAGAATATCATAGTGGCAGACTATAACTGTTTACAATTCTCTTCCAGGAAAAAAACTCAGACTGTGATTTTAAAGGTGGAGCTGGTGCAGCACGTGAGGACATGCCGCTTTTAAGCAAACAAGTTAAAGAAATTTCTGAACAAAGTTCAGCAGAGATTGAGTTGAGCGATGGTGCATCCGATAGTTATGGGACAGTTGTCAGGGATAAGCTAGAAAACACAAAGCAGGAGACACCGGTCAGACAGTCTGCAAGAACAGCTGGAAAATCATTTAAGTATGAGACTTATTCAAATATCAAAAAATATATTCATCTTTCACGGAGTAATCAATTCTGTCTTCTGATCATCAGTTACCACTTTGTTCGTCATGCTAGTCGTTCTATAGATGTAAAATTCCATTCCTCTATTTTCAATGCAATGAAGCCTCATCCTTTCCTAATATTAATCATATGACCACTTTTTTCAAATGGGCCTTACTTTACGCAGGACTTTGTTGGTTAGAACCTTTGGCGAGCTATGGGTTTTGTATCTCTGATCTGGCTAGATTATCACATATCTTGGCGTTAAGAAAATTTAAAAGCATCTCATTGGCAAAATTATACATATCTGAGATTTCGTTAGCTGATTGAGTGATCAAGAGGGGAATGGAGGAATTACTAACCTCCTCTTTCATTTGGAAACATACTTTAATCGAATGTATTCATGTTTTATTCTACATCTATATCCGATTATGCTAGTCTCTTTAGTCTTTGCCTCATTCATTTTCGACCATTTTCATGTCGATACTGTCTACTGAAGTCATCTTACCCGTAATTATTTGCTTACCCCTTTTTTTTTTCCTTAGTTTTGCAGAATCTTCTGGAGATGATTCTAGCAGTAGCGTAGCAGATGAAACCAACGTGTCAGAGGAGATCCATGGCAGACGCAGTAGTGCAATAAAGAGCTCCAAGCTTGCTCATATCCATATTTTAATCATTTATGCTGGCTTTTTTTGTAGTTTTTATAGTGTAGCAGGCCCATCTTATCTACTTTGAACGTAAAGAGGAGAGATTGCAGGGTTAATTGGTCTTCTTTCTCTTCTCACAATTATTTATCCAATAAGTCGAATGACCATTTCTTCCCATTTCAGCTCGTCAAATCTTGTACTGCTCTTTTGTGGTTCGTTGTCCTTGACTTCTAGTACTAAACGAGGATCCCACCCTTGAAACATCCCTCTCACATAAGGAGTGCGGAGAAGTAAAGAGTCAATCGACAAGAAAGATCAAGGGCGATCCTTCTGCAGAAATTCCCCAGGTGAAATCTGGTAGTAAGCGGGGTGCACTCGTGCAGGCCACGTTATCCACCTTGTTTGACAAAGTGAAGGTGAGAATTTACCTTGATGAATCATTTTAGCTTGTTCATACATATGATACTCATATGGCATAATGATTTGTACTTTAGGTAATTTTTATCATCTATAAGGTATTTTTACGCTTTATTAAAGTCACTGTAAGCCATCACCAAGATGAGCAATGCCAACACGAACAGCCACATTAGTATCTTATTTTTGGCGTAAACTATTTATGTGCATATTTATTTTTATGGTTATCAACCTACTCCATTCCATTCTGGAGAAAACAATATCTGCAGTTGACTTGAATTTTTCGTGTTAAGAATATTACGATTTATTCTCTTATTTACTATTTTGAACATAGAAAAGATGATGCCTATTTGCATGGCTCGAAAATGATTCAGTACTGCCTTGATCGCCATGGCCATTTTGAAGTCCTAAATTTTTACAGTTAAAAAGCTCCCTCCTGTTCAGTAAAGTCATTTACACTGATGGCCTTGTTCCTGATGCTCTAGGCTGAATCTGCCTCTGTTTCTGATACGGATAATATGATTTTACTATCATATGATCTTTATAGATAACAATTCTTACATGGTTTTGTGATTCTCAGATATCGAAAACCGGTGCAGGCTGCAGTTCCCCCAGGACAAGGGGTATGTATGACCCTCTAAACATTTCCTCTCTCCCCCTCCCCCCCCTTTTTCCTCGTCTTTATGTTGCTGTCTGGACTGCATTATTAAACTTCTTCTTATCCAGGTTCCAGCAGTAGGCTGCGCGGCAGCTCCAAGAAGCCGTTGTCTGATGTGAAGGTTAGTAGAACTGGTTTTTCTGCCGCTGCATGTACCTCGAAAAGGCCCAACCATGTCTGACCCAGGCCCAGGGAAAAGCTCAGAAAATGGGCAATGGGCCGGACCCATGTGACCCATCTGATGAGAGAGAGAGAAAGAGAGAGTCAGCCACATGAGATGGGAAATGGGTCTTGAGCTTCAATAGGCTGGGCCCTGTTGAAGGATGGGGATTAGACAGGCTGGTAGGAGGAGGGGCTTTGCTCCCCTGATTCGTACTAGTTTTTTCTCTATGGGGATGGGTTGACCAGGGTTTACGTGAGTCCTGAAAAGACGGCTCACCAAGCGGCATGGATGATGCTTTTTTTTTTTTCATTTTAAAGGGATGCATTATAAAAAAAAAATACACGTCTAAATAGAAAGGATGAAATAATAATGATTTTGAAAATTTGAAAGTGTGGAAGTGACATGGGTAGAAATAGAAATTTGGACCCTTATCTAGTCAAACCCAATGTATGGGCTTTGGCCCCTAAGTCAACTTGGGTAGAGGCTGTTGACTTCTTGTAGGTTGAGCTTACAGGAGATGTCGTGGTAATGACGGCGGACGTTAACTGAATTAATCACGCATAATGAGTAATGACTTACAGTTAATGATTGCTCGTTTTCAGGAACCAGATGACAGCGATGAGGATTGGATGATTTGAAGGGCTGGATCTGGATGCTTGGTAACATCGATTCTCAGCGAGAGAGAGAGAGAGAGAGAGAGAGAGAGAGAGAAAGACTCACTTGTAATTAATTCCATAATTAACAGATTTCCATTGTTTTGCTTAGTTGATGGGCTTTCTCCATTCGTTTGTGTTCCTAACGTGAAGAGGGAGAGGGCGATGGGGCGGGAGTATGAATGCGCTGGGCCATGCAAATGACCTGAACCGGCCAAGAGATCCTTGGCCGGTTCAGGTCGGAGGACTACTTCTTTCCGTATTCAATAGTTAATGGGCTATGATATGGGCTTCCCGGCCCACTAACACTCCACGAAACTCCAGCAGACTCTCTCTCTCTCTCTCTCTCTCTCTCTCTCTCTCTCTCTCTCTCTCTCTCTCTCTCTCTCTCTGTTTTTAGGAGAAAGATCGGAATCCCTCGCCCAGATCACATCGGCCAACGTTGACCACGGGGCCCAAAGTGGGGTCAGTAACCCACTTTGGCCAGCGGGTTAAAATCCTGCGACGAAACCAAAGTCCAGGGTCCAACAGAATGGTCAACAATGTAGAATCAAATCGAACATCGATGACAGCCATGAATAATGCTTGAAAAATTTAGATGCTGGAGAGGACGATGGGGTGTTGTTGACCAACAGCTGAGGTTTGACTGATATAAGGCACATATATACTTACCGCTCCAGAGCTGACTGATCCCTCTACTTGCAACAGGGAAGATCTCCATAATGCTAAGATTCATCCTTCCCTTGAACGAGACTTTCTCCATTTTTCTTTTTTTTTTTCTTCTTCTTTTTCTTCTTTTTTTGTTTTTTTACGAAAAAAGGTTTTCCGGCATCCAAGATTCTTCAACGGACGGGGCATTGGACAGCTCGCTGGCAGGTATGCTCAGAGATTCCCTGCGCGGGTGAAACAGGAGTAGCTACGTGAGATACAAGAGAAGATTGTCCCAACAAAAGACAGAAATTCAATAGGAAATCAACATCGTTCTAGGTCCACTGAGGAAACGAGGATGATGATGCCGGAGGAAGAGAAAACCCCATCGAATATGAGAGAGAGATAGAGATAGAGAGAGAGAGAGAGACAGAGAGAGAGAGGGAAAGTCAATAGAAGGGAAGAGGAAAGGTTCAGGGGAAACGCCTTAAGTGGCAACAAAAGAAATTAAAGCTCGAACCAGGACTCAAAAAAATTGACAGAATGGGAGGGTTAGCAAGTTCTTGGTACATTTATGCACTTGAAAACTTGATGAATGAGAACATGAAACCCTGCATGGACATCCAACCATTTTTTACAAAAATATAGATAAATCAGATATTGTGGATTTTTTATTTTTTTTTGCATATGTGAAAATGATCCTTTGCTAATGAATTCTAGGATGAGTGCCGTCCAACTAGGCCATGTTGGGACAGCAGCCAGAATTCCAGTACCAAAGCTCAACGCAAATATTCACACAATCAGCTTTATGTTCTGACAAAATCTCATGAAGCACAACTTTCGGCAGGCATTCAACCAGGACCCCCAATAATAAAATTTTCTTTTATGATATTCAATCCAGTGAGGAAATAGCATGGGTTTATTCATGCATCAGATACTCTTATCAGAGGTTTACAATGGGCGTAACGCTAAAATGGGCCATGATTTTTATTTTATTTTTTTTGAATAAGTAAGTTTCATATAACTTCGAGCACTTGCTGATGGGATTCAAGAGTGAGTTGGTCTAAGCCATATGGATTGCAGTAGAATGAATCAATACGATCTGACTGGAATTTCTCATATGTTAAGCTTCAATGTTTAACCAAGTTCCTTAACCTTGATTCTAATGACTGGAACGGTACTGGACTGAGGGATGCACACTCCCAAGCCCGTGGGCTTCTACTGGGTACTGAGGGTAGCCCTATCTGTCATGATGGATGAGTTCTTGTGATCATATGCTAGTACAAAATTAATTCTGTTTACTCTCAGTACTGGGAAAAGGCCAGCAGAGCAAACCGGGTTGGGTTATGAGGCCCCCATGCAGCCTTAAATCCAACACCCAACTGAACCTAGATTGTATCGACGTTTGATGTTTGTAGCCAATACAAGAAAATCCAAAACTCTGGGCCCAAGTGAAGACCAAACTGCACCAAATGACTTATCAGATGCTTCGGCTAATTCGGTTAAATAATCAAGAACTGCCTCACCCGAACACCTTAACGCGTGTAGATCACTAATTTAGGAAGAGGGGGGAGGGGTGGATCCCTGGAATTGCAATCCAGGTGATTTCTACTATTATTGGAGAGAATTTTCTAGAGTACGAAAGGGAATTAATTAAGCTGAGAATTAGCCAGTATAGGGTATTTGTACGACCAGTAAGAGAAACGCACGATGACAAAACCTGTACTGATAAGAAAAGGGTGGGAGGAATTGGAATGCCAAGATAAATCCAGGAAAGGCAGAAAGACATCGGACCTCAAATAAGTTTATTTCATTGAATGCATGGTTGGATTAGCAGAAATGATGACCAAGTCAGAGAAAAGCAGTGTCAGCCACTTTAGTCCATAGAAAGAAGTGGATTAAGAACACCTAAACCGGTGAGGCATGAATTTTGGAAGATAAAGATCGGAAAAATATAGACTGACGCTATGAAGAGACAAATGAATTCATTCACGCATCACATCTTTAAGATATGTGATAAACTCGAACGAGAGGATTGATTTTTCCTTGAGAAAAAACTAATTTGGATCTCGTGTAACAGAATGATGATAGTGATAGTTAGCACTGCATTTGAAGTGATAAAAACAAGCAAATCCACAGAAACAGAAGAAATGACAAAATAAATTATATTCATATTGCAAAAATACTTGGCAAATTTAATATTAAACAACATTACCCAGTAACCATATCCATTCCCCACCATATATTTAGCGAATTTATAACCTCAACAGCATTTGTAGTACCTAATCTTATCTTATTTCTAAAATTACATGAGTTTAATTCCTTAGTAAGGTACCATCTGCACAGTAAGTGTCTCAACCCATTCAAAATAACGCAAATCAGGGACAAATTCATTCTCCCTGAGACTGAATTATGTATCAACTGCTATTCTAAGAACCGCAGGGCTTACAGACATTCTGTGTTCATACCATTACAGAGCGCTTGCATCACTACTAATCCGAGAAATTCTCACCTTGCTCACAATTCTCCAATCTTTTCCGGCCTTCATAATTCACTGAATTCTCATCTCTGAAGTATTTTGATTATCAGTAATCTGCAACCACCTTTATCTTGATGCACATCTTGTTCCAGCCTTGGTCACGATCCTTTATCTCTATTTGTCTCCATTAGTCACTACTGCCTCATTTCAGGTGTAATTATGCTTTTCCGGGAAGTCAGCCACCTTCCCTCCTTCTTCTCAGGGCATGTCCACTGCAGAAAAAGTCCATTACCCCAGTTGACGGCATCCAGACCCGTTTACAAGCAATATCTCTGCGGATTCTCTAGCGATGATCAGGAGGGACACTCATCTAAGGGAAGCATACATAAACCCCTAAACTTGGCCCTCTTAGCATAGCATCTAAGGGAGACGCCTATTTCAACAGTCTCATATCCCCACATTAGAAAGCTAGACAAGGATAATCTTCCCGATATGCCATCATCAAATATATCCTCCCAGAACCACTCTACATCTCTTGCAGCTTTAACACTCCACTCTCATGGCTCTTCTCTCAATTTGGGACTTCCCTTTGTCGAAAGTATACAGTGACGTTAACCCTAGGAGGATATACAGCGGAAAAAAATCTCTTTTTTCCTTTTTTCACATCATAGATGACTGCTAGTTATATACGAGTACAAGGGCCACGAAATAAGGAAACTATCTAACAAAATAGAAAGCTAAAGAAATAGGAAACTGACCAACTGAGAGTCGAACTCCTAAATATACATTCCTTCACATGATACCCCTCATGCTGGTGAATGGATATTTTCTATTCCAGCTTGGATACAATAATCTGAAATTCTGGATTATTAAATCCCTCAGTACATTCACAATTTGGCCATGTATAGGCACGTAAAGTGCAAATCAATCCGCTCTCCAACTTTATCTTGATGATGTGCCTGTCAACACCCATAACCGCTAGATTTTGTCTAAAACTTTTTGGCCCGGCTTTCCTCAATCATCTATTAGCTTTTACCAATTATTTCTTCATGTTCGGCAGTCATTACTCATTCGGGGCAGCAATAGATTTTCACCCTAGTCTTGGGGTTCAAGCCCACAACATAAATCCATCCCGTGACCTTCTGCAGGTTTGACAACCTGGATTGGAAGCCTGAGCCTCCCCGATAAGAAGATTTATTGCCAATTCTCTACAGAGCAAGATCAATAAGTGCATGCATTTCTCTTTGCCGCATTTACTGAAGGTTTCTCTTCAATGTTACCCCTCTCATGAACTCCTAGAGGACGAGAAAAGACCTGTCCCCTAATACATGATGTTAACCGGTCCCTACGTCTCTGCAAAAATGAAAAATTACATAGTAACGATAAAATATGGATGGAGACTGTCACTAAAACAGAAGCTAATACCATCAGTTGGCAAAAACATTCACCGAGGATCATAGTTGGAGACTTCTGCAAGGTGGGCTCGAGTGGCTAACCCTACCAACTTATCACATACAACACACCAGCTATAGCCTTTTTTTTTTGTTTTAACCATTTCAAGAAAAAGGACTAAAACCAGAGCAATAAAGTAAACAATCCAACAACAAAACTGTTCGGAGAAACGCCCATGCATTAGTTTCCCAAAAAAGTCAAATGAAAAGACTCATTCTGAAAACGAAGTTGATAAAACTCTGGATTTATATTTTCTGCCAAAACTTTCATCTTAAAATCTATTTTGAGAAAAAAAACAAGGACGGCCACAAAGACAGGCTCTCATTTCTCAGTCACATAATGTCAGTCCATTTTTCTCCGTTTTTGACCAATCCCAAAGCCAGAAAACAGTCGAACTATTTGGGCCCTTAAGAAAGAAATGTTAATCGAATCCACCGGAAAAAAAAAATCAACAAGAAAAAGGGGAAGCAATACGGAAAGGAACTATAAGAAATAATATAGCTGATCTTAAACCTATATACAACCGATCTGCTTCACAGGCCCATGCAAAATCATTTTTCCATCCACTTCTCAAGTCATTGCAGAATAATCTCGAGGAAAGAAGATAATTGCTCCTCAATAACAGCAATTATGACCCGTCGTTCAGATGGTCATAAGAAATAGTGACGTTTGTCTCTTTTGTCCGCATGATTAAAATGCAAAAACAGTATTTCCGATGTATGTTAATCCTTTTGATAGGATAATTGATCAAGATCCTACTTTACTATGCATGGAAAACTCTTTTCTAACAGAAATATCTGAAATCTAGCACAATTGCATAGAAAAAATACAGTACACGGGTTTAATTCCAAGCTGTATGATGCTAGAGAACGCCGAAGAAGTGCATCTACTCAGATTCACTAAATAAATTCAAACCCGGAGGATTTGACTGCTTCTAATTTCGAACACAGAGAAAGTCCCACTTGAAAAAATACCATGCATATCCACTGAATCAGCCAGGATTCAGCTGATCTCACATAAAATTAGCAAGGTACAATCCAGACTTTTCTATAAGCCAGAGAGGGTTGATGAAGAAGAGGAAAAGAAGAGAAATAAGAGGATACGGAAGGCAAAGAAAAAGAAGATAAGATGCGAAGATAGGAGCCAGGAACAAGGAAAAGCCTACAGTTATCACCTACCATCACATGCTGCTACTCCATCCGCCTTCTTCCTCAGGCTACAATGCCACTGACAAAAGTCTAAAGCAAAATCAAGGGGATGGGGAGGAACAGAGAGAATGCATATTTTCTACTTAAAATCCATTTTATATTTATTTTAAAATTATAATTTTGTCCTGACAATGGGTTACAGTGTCATTTAAAATTTTCATTTTTCTTTGAAGCACCAACCAACTTATGTACCCTATTCAAATTCTTTAACTAAAATCCTTTATGCCGTTTAGAAGCTACATTGATGTCCATATTAGATTCTACTTGGATATGTGAAAAGAATGTACATCCCAAGTCCATGGTAACCATGTATTCAATGAACTAATCAAAGGAACATTAGAAAACCTGGCTGTAGTACATCTAAACAAAGATTTCGGCTAAAGCCTCCACAGATGGATTCTTCAATGGCCGTAGAGTATACATTCGCCAAAGCTATACATGTGCTATTCTGAAGAGAGAAACGCCGCCAACACACTAAAGATTAAAGAAGAAGCTTCATTTGAAAACTCAGTTCACTTGAAAATATCTGGTTTTTCCATAAATGGCTGTACACCGTTGAATACGATGTTATCATCATAACATACGGAGCGAATTATGGTTTATTGTCCTATGTCTCAGAGTGTTCTGCAAACTCTAACGTAAAATCATGTCCTAGTCCCAACCCATGATCCATAAAAACAATGTTCAAAGAGCAATTCCAAAATATTCTACTTTCCCCACAATGAATCCTCACAAACACAGTTCAAACCATGTAAAGCTGTCATGACCTAATTCCGAACGGTGGGCAAACTATAGAACTCAGCATATATCATGCACAAAAACTGACGCTGAATTAATGCAACTTGGTGACACAGACAAGAGTTTCGTTGTTAATTCACGTTTGAAGCTCAAACACAGACAAGGGCGTCTCAAGGATATACAAAAACCAAGAACGAACTAGCATTTTGAGGGACTTACAGAACAAATGAAACTGGAAAAATGCCTATATAATACCTCCGAGATTCTCAATCTAGATCCTCTTGTCTGGTATCAGACCCTGATCCTCGAGCTCCTCTGGCACTTGAATTCATATCAGTGTCAGAACTTGTTTCACCATTCTCACCAACAATGCCAGAATTACCTATCCCAAATAGTGACCGAATCGACCAAGGTAAAGAGATTCTCATAATCCTCTCCCCGGCTCTTGCTCCTGGTGAATCCGCCTCCCCAGTCGCGCCAACCCCAGAATCAGCTCTGCCAGAATCGCTACCACTTGCGCCTACTGAATTTTCCACTGAGCGGGGAGTGTTCCTCGCCCTCTGCTCGTAGTCAGGATCATCTGTCGGTAACTCATACCTACAAACTGGGCAAGAGTTATGAAGCTCAAGCCACGGAAGAATGCAATCCCCATGGTATAAGTGTTTGCATGGCATTTGCATCGCGTCTTCCCCGACCTCGAATGTGTCTTTACACACAGCACACTGCGCCTCATCTGAGACAAGCAGCTCTTTCGTGATTTTGATCGTCGGAAGCGACTCCACGGCAGATTTTGAAGCTGGCGGTGTCCCATAGCGGTTCGGGTCGTTCTCCGCGAGTTGCTGTATAAGCTGCTCGAGCCCAGAGCCGAAAAAGTAGTCCCCAACGTTGACAGCGCCTCTGGGAAAGTGGAAATCACCGGAGGGATGATTTTCAATCACAACCTGGATGTTGGCGCCCCCCGCTATCAGGTCCTGGAGGCGGCTCTGAACGAATTGGACAGTTGTGTTCAAGGGATCGAGGTCACCGGAGACCGAAGTAGCGAAGGAGGATCGAGGAGGCCCGAATCCAGAGAAAGCCCCGAGCAAGTCTTCAATGTTCAGGGCGGTGGCGCCCATCGGACCGCTTGACGACTGGGCGGGGAACAAGAGGGGGAACTGAATACCCGAGGAAAAGGTTTCTGGGAAGGAGAAGAACGGGCTAGGGTTTGGTTCCAAAGGAGGTGTCTCGAGCTCCTCCAGGAAGCCCCCATGGCAGATGGGGCAAGCGAGATCGGACGACGGAGACGGCGACAGACGCACCGTGCGATCGCACTGGTGGCAATAGTAACGTTGGGCGGAGGCGGCGCCGCCACCACCGCCCAATCCGCCCTGTACTCCGGAGGACGACATGCCCACAAGAAGGAACTGAGGGCCTGAGCAGACTCGAATAGCGACTACGGGATTTCCTCCGGCCCTGGAATGGAATGGAATGGAATGGAGACTCCAGATACCAAATCCTCCGCAGATGACAACCCAGGACCAGAGACGAGAGAGATGGGCCCCAAGCCGCGTTTCGACGAACTTGCTTTACTGTACGCGTCTCTCTGCTGGATCACCTGTCGACGTGGCGCACTGACTTCGACTTCCAACGACGGAGAACCGCCTTGGTGGCGAGGGTAAGGGCGTGTCAACGAAGTGGGCCCCTGGGCCTTGCAAATTCACCCAGTTTTGGGCCTCTTCAAAGAAAAGGGCTTGGGCCCACATAAACAACGCCCTCTCGGCCACCAGCCAACCACGTGTTGACCGACAGTTGACCACGGCTTGGGGCAGAGAATCCACCACATGAGAGAGAGAGAGAGGGGTAAGAAGATAACAATAGCTCATATAATATCTTATAAATATTTAAAAATAGAAAAAATATCGAATTAAAGGATCCTCGAAATAAATTAATATTTTTATTTAAACGTAATTTGAGTTAATGGAAAAGTAGGGTGTGATTCATCCTCCGAAGAGAAGCGGTCAGCTTAACCTCCTCAAAGTTCCACCCTAGCGGGAGAGAGAGAGAGAGAGAGCTGTTGTTGTGATCTGGGCCGTCAAAAACGTCCCCCCATTCTCTCTTCTTCAGAACGGCGGATCTTCCTGCCCGAAGACTCTGGCGGGATTCCTCCTCTGCCCGATCCCTCTCGTATTCAGTGAGCTGGTTTCACGTGATCAGTCAGGCGGCGATGGCGGGGGACAGGGGCTCAGGGGAGGAGAGCACCATGGCTGCCGACCCGAAGCCAGTGGCCAGCGGAAATGGGAGAAGTAAGATTGTCGTATCTTCTTTTTGTTTATCTGGTTTCCGCGGGAAGCAATTCAACTTCTCAGGAGTGCCATCGCCTACTGTTTGGTAGGGCTACTGGTCGGTTGGACTGACCTCCTTCATGTTAGTTCCCATGTTAAGCCGTCGAGGATCGATTTTGGATGATACAATGATGAGGACAGTGCCCTAAACTACTCTTAGGATCGCAGCTGATGTCCAGCGCGAGATTCTCTCTTTATTTTTGTTTAATGGAACTTCTAAAGTTCTGTTCTCATTCGTGAGAAATTGTCTTCAGTCAATGGCTCAGTGAATGAGTACTATTACAACCTTGATCCTGGCAATCCGAGACAAGGAACACGAATCATGTTGTTGGTCGTAACATAAAAAATTGGAAGATTCACAGTTGTGTCATTCTCAGGGGAGGCTCAGCATGTGGGGGAAAAGAGGTAGTGGTTAGGAAGCAAAATAGTTGTGTAGCCTGCATCAGTCCTTTGAGATAGTTTTGACGAAAGCAACAAAAGAAAACGATAGGGACGCCCATTAAGCAACATGATTGAGGGAAATACTGAAAGCGCCTGGATAGTGGCCACAGAGAGCATAAAATTTGGCGCTCTGTATGTGAGATGAAAGAATATAACGAGGTAGTTATCATCTTCTTCATGTACCAAGTGAAGAATATGTGGACGACTGTCTCTGCTGCAAATATTTGCCGTCAGGTGAAGCATGTACCGAAGTTCTTTGGCAAAGTTCTCATGTGATCGTAATCTGTATCATCGAATCATTAGGAACCCTAATTTGGGTGATTTATTTTTTTGTCGCCTCTTCTACTGGATATAAACTTACGTGTCGAGCATTCTTCATTCAGACACTATAGCTTTCTGTCAAGTGTTTTCCTTGTGTCTCAACCTCTACTTTTTTCTGATTTATGTATCCACTTAGCTGTTGCAATCGTCAGTTTATCTTTTTGTTTCGACAAATGCTTAAAATGCAAGAACTCTTAATAATTGTGTCAGGTTGCCATAAAAAATGAGTTTCTTGCATAGGAATTTTCATTGTGATATTTATCATTATTTAGTATTGTATTAAATTACGGAATAAAAAATAGTCTTCCCTATGAACCGTTTGTCCCGATTTATGGTACAGGTCATTGGAATCATGATGAGAAAATAAAAGTCGTCGGAGAGGATGATGTACCAGAGTCAACATCTTTTGTCGAACAAGAAATCGGTATGTACTATTTCTCTATTTTTCCTATGTTTAGTGATGAATCTATTTTTTTTCCTGCCCCATTTCTCTATTTTCCCTGACATTAGAAAGCTTGGAAACATCATACTTTGTTTATGCTGGCATACGTCATGCGCGTTATTTTTGAGGGGATTGTGATTCCTCCATGTGAACTCTACTAGTTAGCCATATAAGTGGCCCTCCCTCGAGACCTCTAAAGATTTTGTATGACCGACCTACTGGCGACTGTGCCTGACATGCAGCGTGGAAAGCCGCTGAAAAGAGCAGCAAGAGAGAGGAAAAAAAAAAAAGAGTGTGGAGATGAAGGAAAAAATTGGCTTGCCTGGGGCAAATGTTATGCGCCAGGAAGTGAAAATACCTCACAGATGAGTTTGGAAAGCATGGGAAATCAATTCCAACAAAGTTTCTTATGCTCAACAAATACATATCCTGTGAAGATTTCGAAAGGAGGGTGAGGTTCACCCAATTGTTTGCACAACTGAACAGAGTTGATGCAAAGAGAGTAAGATGGTTTTTGACCATGGGTGAACAGAGAGAACATAACTCAAGGACTGTTGTGTCAGATCATGCATTCAGACTGAGAAAACTAGTTGCGGCTGCTCCTAGATCTTCACAGGCGATACGAACTTATAAAAGTCAGAACATGTGAAGCTTACATGATGAATCGAGTCTTGCCGTCACCCGCTCCAATCTACTGTTTTTGTTTTATTTATTTATTTATTTATTTATCCCGCAGTGTCAAGTGACGACGAAGTAGACTACTCGATCAAGCCAGAGTTTTACGATTCTGATCTAGACGAAAAGGATGAGAAATGGGTCCAGCAGAGAAGGAAAGGCCGCACCTCCGATGCTCTCCTCAGTTGCCCTGCTTGCTTCACCACCCTGTGCTTGGATTGCCAGAGGTACTCCTCCCCCTCTCTCTTCCCATCTTTATCATCAGAAATGAATCACGCGTCTCTCCACGTATTCCCATAATGTTTTTCATATTTTATCTTCCTCTGCGGCACCTTTCACTCAGATTAATTGAAACTTTTCCATAAAATCTGGAATGTTCCTGTGATTTCCTTTCTAGGAAAATCATAGTTTGCAGTAATTGTCGAAAAATCTGAGGTGGGTTTCCAAAATAATGGGGGAAATTTTTTGGAAGATTTTCTGATTGCCTTCCAAATTTTCTGGAGGCACGAGAAGTACGTGACCCAGTACAGGGCGATGTTCGTGCTCAACTGTGAGGTCAAGATGAATGAGGTCCTGAGGCAGGGAGCCAGGAGGCAGATGAGGCCGAGATCCCGCGGAGCCAGAGACGGCGACCCCGAGAATCCCGGAGGCGGCGGCGAGATCTTCCGGCCGGTTTGCTGCTCGGTGTGCTCCACCGAAGTCGGAGTTCTCGACGGCGACCAGGTTTATCACCTCTTCAACGTACTCCCCAGTTACTCCTGAACTAACTTTTGTTCATTACACTGCATGACCACTCTCTCTCTCTCTCTCTCTCTCTCTCTCTCTCTCTCTCTCCCCCCTACAAGAGTCGGGAGAGAGAGAAATGAATCTTGAAGTGAGGGCAGGACCCATACCTTTTCCCGTAAAGGCCAATTATACCAAGAGAGAGAGAGAGAGAGAGAGAGAGATGGGGTTTTGGGTTTTTTGGGCCGGCTCGATCATACCCGGGGTATAGAGTGGGTCACTTTTCTTTTTGGAGCTTCACTGTAGGCCCAATAGTGGAAAAACCGGACTGGGCTGTCATCGCGAGGTTGGGAATGGCCTCCACCATCCACCGCAGTCCATGGGCTTTCCCGCTGCAACAGCCCAACTTTCCTCTCCGAGCGGGCCCGCTCAATCGCGTCGACTGGGCACGTGTACTCGCTTGCGAGGTCAACACGTGTACGTCCCGCACTGCTGCGCACGCGCTCCGTCCGTCCGTTCCCCGCTGTTAAATACCTCTCTGCTCCACAGAGTCTGCCGCCTCCTGCTGCCGCGAGCAGTCAGTCAGTCAGTCAGTCAGTCAGTCCTCTGGGCCCCACATACGATTCCGAATTTAGTAGGGTTCCTACCCACCAATCCCCCCCTCCATCTCTCTCTCTCTCTCTCTCTCTCCCTCTCTCTCTCTATATATATATATATAGATATATATTTACAATATAATGTAGATAAGTAGATATGAAGAATCTGTAGATCACGACTTGGAAGAAGAGGGGCTGTGGGTGGTGGTTGACATTGGGCCGCCGCCAGCCATCCCCACCCAGATGACCACCGAATGGTGAGAGAAAATGTTTTAAAATAACATTAATAAATATTTATTGTTTATTTAGTTTTGGGGTGTTGATTTTGTTTTTTTTAAAATTTAACGGGGGGGGTGGTGAAAATACTTTTTGGAATCTGTAGATCGGTCGGAGGGATTCGGTTCGGATTCCGTGCAACGGCTTCATGGAAGAGAGAGAGATAGGGAGGGATATTTTCGTGAATATGTGGGAGGAGGGTGGGCTTTTGGGGAAGAGGAGGAGGCGCGTGGGGCCGGATGCCACTGTACTACGTGGCGTGTGAGATCAGCGAAAGTATGGGGCCCAACGGCCACATGTGTGCTCCGTTCCGTCTGTCTCCACCCCCTCCTGCTGCTCAATGATTAGCCTCTTCCTTCTCCCTCTCCCTCTCCCTCTTCCTCACAAAAACCCTCCTCCTTCTCTCATCCCCGTCCTCCATCTCCGCTCTCTCTCTCTCTCTCTCTCTCTCTCTTGCTTGCTTGCTTGCTTGCTGGCTTTGGCTACGTGAAGTGTAATTCCTTCACGTGAGGAAGGACGATCATGGAAGGAGGAGCGCATGGCGTCGGCTTCGCCTTCACGGACTCGGCCCAGCTTCAGCAGCAGCATTACCAGGGAGATGGCGGAGAGACGGGGCAGCAGGGAAACAACGGGGGAGCGGCGGCGGTGGCGAAGAAGCCGCCGGCGAGGGATCGGCACAGCAAGGTCGACGGGAGGGGCCGCCGGATCCGTATGCCGATCATCTGCGCCGCCCGCGTCTTCCAGCTCACCCGCGAACTGGGGCACAAGTCCGATGGCCAGACCATCGAGTGGCTGCTCCGGCAAGCGGAGCCCTCCATCATCGCCGCCACCGGGTCGGGTAGCACACCGGCGTCCTTCTCCACAGTCTCTGCTGCTGCGTCTCAGACGAATAATCAGAACTGCCATCCCTCCTCGTCCTCCTCAGCGTCGACCTTCTCCTCCTTCGACAACAAGCTAGGCAACGCTCACCCTCGCCACCTGCCACAGGCTCTGCCGGCGCCGTTCATCCTCGGGAAGCGCCTCCGCGTGGGCGACGAACCAGACAAGGAGGACAACGCCGGCGGCGGCGGAGGAGGAGGAAGCTTTGGCATGGGAATTGGCGCAGCGGGGAGCTTCTGGGCGGTGCCTGCAAGGGCTTCCGAGTACGGACAGATGTGGAGCTTCGCGACGCCGGATATCATGATGCCGCAAAGAGCAGCGGCAGCGGCGGCGGCTGCAGTGACGGGGAGGTTTGCGGCGACGCACCAGGGAGAGGAGGCTTCTGCGGTGAGAGTGGGAAACTACCTGTCGATGACACAGGGGAATCTCAACCTGCTGGCGTCCTTGTCGACCCCCCCAGCGGCCGCCATAAGCGGGAGGCGAGAAGAGAGACCGCATTGATGGGCCAAAGCTCGGGCTTACCAGAGGTTTAGGGTTTGTGTTAGAGTTAGGTTTTCCTTTCCCCCGAGGTCGGGGGCATCCGACGAGGCAGATCTCCTCGACTGGAAAGGGTAGCTAGGGTCTTCTTTCTACACCATCTCCCACTTTACAGGTAGATCTTCTCTCCTCTTTTTCTTCCTTCCTCGCCTGTCATTCGTGGGCCGGGGGAGGGAGAAGCGATTAGGGTTTGCTTCTGCTACCGGGCGGTCATCGTCACTGCAGGAGATCGATCCCCCGGGAAGCTCTCGGTGAAGTTCGGAGGCAGAACGAGCCTCCAACGGGAGCGTCCTCCGTCTCTCCCAGAAACACGCAGGCGTGTGAAGTCGGGCTTTCATCTCTTCACAAGTCTGCAAGCCCCATCCCCTCAGAGAAGGCGGCGATCACATCGGGGAAGCTCCGGGTTGACTTCGGAACCGGGATTTGTAGCATAGCTGGAGAAGAGGATACGATCTGTAGAAGAGTCAGCCCCTCCATCTGTTTCCATCGTCTTCCTCCTCCCACCCGCCACCCTCGGTCGTTCTTCTCGTCTGTTTTCACCTGCCTCTGGATTGCTTCGGTTGTGTGGAGTGGGAATAATGAATGAACCAGGTGGGTGGGAGGGGGGGCAAGGGTGGGGGCGCGTTTCTCGTCCTAGTTTATGACGACGTTAATAATCTCCTCTGCCGATGAAACTAAGGAACAAGTCGTCTTGGGGTAGAATTCAATGCGGCGTTGACTCGGCCTCGTGAGAAGAAAGCCCTGTACGTGGGGCCTTCATTCACGGGCATGTTTGACTCGCTCACGACGATCTCATCTTCCTTCTCCGACCCAAATGCGAACATGGGTCAAGAGGAAACCACCCGGCCGTCTCTGGCGCGGAAATCGGGCAGTAGAGGAGGGGGAGAAAGATTCTCCCTTTGTCGGCAGGTACCCAGATCCGGGATATTTTACCGAAAATAGCTCCAGATGGGAAAAAAGTCAATTCAGCATCCGCACATTGTCACCCCAGAGACGAGACGAGCGGAGAATACTTGCATTTTTACGACGGACGATTATTACCGGGGAGAGAGAGAGAGAGAGACAGAGATTCGCGTCCATACTCTGCTCTCGTCTGTCAGCCATTTCGCCTGCGCCACCACTTCGGCGCGTCGGCCAGATTTGGCGCCGCGTGCCGGCGGGCCCCGCGGGCGCCCGCGCCGTCGCGGTCGGCGGGCCGTGCCGACAGCGACGGCAGAGAAGGATGGGGCGGTGCCGCGTTGAGACCACCCGCCGTGCGTTCGATCCGGTGGACTATCTGATCCTCCCCCTCCTGAATAGCTTCCTGCTCCTCTGCCGGAGCTGCTTCCTCGAGGCCAGACTGTGGCGGCGACTCTTCCTTGCGTATCTCCTCATCTTCCACCGCTGGCTCTTGGGTTGCAGAGACTTCCTCCTCCTCCTTCTCACTTGGGCTCTCTTCTTTTCCCTGGTTGATTCCCTCTCGCTCATAATCCTTGAGTCCCACATGTCGCCGTCCTCGCCGGAGCTGTATCCGTCTTCAACGTCGTGAAGGCGGCGGCGGCGGCGGCGGCGGCGGTGGTAGACCCTCTTGGTGTCCTTCAGCTTGTGCCACAGGAAACAGGTGATGCCTCCTAGCGCTGACCAGTATGTTTCACACGCTGCCCATGACATCTTGCAGAGGTTTTTCCCAATACATTGGACGATTCCCACCTTGAACAGGAGGTAGATGAAGAAAAGAGCTGCACATAGGCGAGATTCTAGTTTAGAAGGCTGCGGAATGATAGAACTTGCTCGTAGAGTTCTCGGCAACCATGAAACTGAAAGAAAATGAGTAGATGATCCAGATATGCTACGAGGATCACATCATAGGTTTCCTGGGGATATTGAAACCTGTCTGAAAGTCAAAAGGATAGCTGAAATCCGAGGGTTTGTCAACAATTTTTGCATTGGCGGAAGCATTCCATCTCAAACTCTAGGAAACGGATGGGCAGCGAGAGCTGACCCTTCACTGAGGACCGTGGTTGACTATGGGGTTGCTGATAGACTCGGGCCAAGGTCAGAACACTTACTTAGATATGCAATCAACAAAACCATCAGCAATTTCAGCATATCGGATATACACAGATGCTCGATGAAACAGATCACGTCCCATGTTCCTGAGCAAACACCCCTGGCCTCGTAAAGATGACAAAAAATTGTTATTCCAGATCCGTTCGCCGAGAATAATTGCCACAGTGGCGCAAACAATCTTCCAAGACACATCAGAGCGTCCGTGTTCATATTAAAAGGTACCAGGAAATATAATAAAACATAGATTAAACAAGAAAGTGATTTATTAATAAAAATATTCCGGCCAGCACAAATGAAGCACAATAACTCTCTTTGTCTCCTTCCAATTGGGGCCATCTAAATCCGCTGGAGGATTCAAAGACATTAGCAAAGGCCGTGATAGGACTTTCTGCCAACATTGCCTCCACGGGAGGGACAAACTACGTGGTTCAGGTCACTAAGAAAACCCCTAAATATGAATCTATGCTAAACATATCCAGTAAACTAATGCTCACTAGAAGGGCAGATCCAGGGGAATATTTATGTCGGTACATTAATGCATCGCCGCACATGAGCTAAATTGTTTCTAGGAAATAGTCTTGTATGATGCGCTTTGAGCTGGCAGCCACTAGGTGAACTGTTGTTCCCCTTGGCAGTGCTCAAGGGTAGATATTGGAGCGTACCCTATAAGATACAGAGGCCTTGATCAGATGCGGAAGAATGGATTGTTCTTTTCTTGAAGGAAGAAAATGCCATTTATGGCAACCATTTCTACTGTTCACTCAATTATTTATCATGCCTCTGCCCCCTCCCCATTGGGAATTTTTGAGGGGAGAAGCGCTAAACATGAGCAGAGCACTTCTTTCTTGGGAAGAAGAAATGGGGAGCCTGCAGTTTCCAATGCCTGTAGAGGCTTAGCAGTGAGGAGACGCAGTGATTCAGAGAATGTCTACGAGTGCTGTTTAATCTAACATTATACCTATTTTCTGAAGGGAAAAAAACTCATAACATCTAAGCTATGCGATAACTCGACGTTCTTGTTCATACTGGTCTAAAAGTCAACTCGGGTCCCGGTGACACCGAATCCCTGACAAATACTGCGAAATGATTGATAAGTCATGCCGAGATTTAGCCTAAATCATCGGCAAACCACCAAAATATCTAAACTCGGTTGACAACGGAGTAATGAGCTGAGCTACGTGCTGTCACAGGGAATCTACAGTCAACAATGCGCCTAGATTTTACCAAATAAACGATAGGCAGGAAATCTGAGAATAAAAGCCACGATAAATAAGACAAAAGAGTTAGGTCCGAACTGTTGCATACTCGCACGATGCACTCAAGATGGTTTTGATGGGAGCCAGAAAAGTGTTGCCGAGGATAGTACCAATTCCGCTTGCTGCTCTACTGATAGCGGTTCCCATTTGAATCGGCTTTGTTTCTTTACCGCTTCAGATCATGTTGCTTAACCCTAGAAAAGCGAAGGATTTGAAGAAAGTTGTTAGATTGTCTCTGGTAGATCATCCACTGATAGGACGTCCCAGAATGTTGGAGTCCCGCCGATAATATGTTACAGACAGTCTTCGTCAATGACGCGGTAGAAAGTGATAATCTTCGCCCCTCAGGTGAAGGAAAATCCAGACAGTTAAAGAGGATTGTTCAATCCTTTCAGCTTCGGTTTGATTGTTCATGGGACTTCTGGCAGTCGAGTCCAAACGGTAGAAATGACTGCATATCCATTCAGCCTTGATCCTCACGCTGACGACAAATCACGGAGAGGACTTGTGAAGAAAAAATTGAGACAATAGTAGAGATGGCGCTGGCGATATTCGATTCCTTCCCGTTGCCTGCCATCTCCGACTTCAAGCCCGGTTGCAGACAAAGCAACCTAGCGACAGGACGGGAGGGAGGATTCAACGAATCCGAAAATCCTTGGAAAGCGACGACAAGATCAGAACACCAATGACAGAGAGAGCGGCTTCGGACGAAATGATGCGATCGAAATGGAGACGAAAAGGGAAATCGCTCCCTCCATTTTTACTTGCCTGAATTGCTTCCTCCGTGGCCGCGAGAACACTCCGTCGCGGGGTTCCAACAGAAGAAGGCCCCCCTCCACGCACATTTGAAACAATCGCGGTTGTTGATTGGGGTAGGAACACCGCCCGCTAACTGCTCCGGCGGGCAAGAGACGGCCCTGGGAAACCGCCCCCCTCGGTGATTTCGGGGAGGTAACCTGCTCCGCCTCTTTCTTTCTCCGTCTTCTCATGTTCTCATTCCACCACCGCCATCCCCACCCGTCCGCCACAACAGGAATCTTCTTTCGTGACGTGAATGAACGGGGAAGAAGGGACCCTTTCGAGGAAGGAGGGCGTCGGGGATGGGGAAGAGTCTAATGACGATGGTTCCTTCTCAGGAACGCGCGGAAAGCTCGTGTCACGAGCCCCATAGCTGCCGGTGTTTTTGGGGGCAGCAGCTTCGATGATCCTTGGCCATCATCGAAGGTGCGGCGCAATCTCTTCCCTCTTCTTTCGATCGCATTGTTTCTCCCGTTTGGCGACTGCAACTGCGCGTCTCCTGCGATTGTCGCCAGTTTTTATTGTATACTCTGTTCACTCTTCAAGAGCACAGTGACTGGCACCTGCCCACGCTGCCTTCATGAGTCGGCATGAGCATCTGTTTGCTTTCGTCTTCGTGATCAGAATCGACATGCAGCCCAGTCAATACGCAACCACGCGCATATGAACAGTAGTTCGCTCCGATGGTCAGGTAAAAGAGCATCAAAACTAGAGGTTCAACCTTCCGAAGTCCCAAATCTCCGTTGTGAAGCATGGATCGAATTTTGAGAAGAAAGAAAGGATTCTCTTGCCTGCTGTTCTCATAATTATTTGTGGTTTAAACGTTGTGGAAATACGTTAATTGTTTAAAATTTTCATTGTATCAGGATCTGAATGAAAGATGCCTACTCTGCTCAGGATGACACTGCGTGAATGAAAGAGTATCTATTTATGCCTGCACATTTTAGACTATTTACTTCATTATTTCTCCCGTTTTGGATCAGTTCACCGATTTCTGTTCATCTACATGCTTTGTCTTCACTGATTTCACGCATCTGAACAGGGAGAGCCCAAATTTATGCTTTCTTTCTTGGGGAATGAGAGGCATTTCATTGCTGGCCGATGCTCGCAATTTCTAACACAATGGCTTCTGTGTGCATTTAAGTCTATGAAACACTCCTTCAAAAAACGTTTAATTGTTCAGTTTGGTGAATCTCAATGGCCTTGAGACTCGTACTTTCGTCATTCCCACGGGATACACTGCCTGATGCCATTTATATTTCCCTGGATAATGCCACGAGATTAGCCTATGGTTTTGTGATCTAATCTTCATCTGGTTTCATATTCATGCTCTGATTTGAAGCTCCATCAGGCAAAGTAGAGTGCTCTGCATATCAATTTGTTTATAACACGAAGGTAACTACCAACAATTTCTTTAATTGGAATGGGTGGAGACAACACGCAAGTGATATTTCTATCGGGAAATGACGATTGAATGGGTCAACCCACCTTGATTACGATGAAATCTTATCTCCCTCTCACCAAATTCAGAACCCTGTTACACGGGTACCTGAGTAATGGAAGAAAAATGATTGAACAGGAGAGAAAGGGGAGGACGTGAGGCTTGTGTGGATGATTTCGTGATGGTTCTGAGGCTCCCCGAGCTTACATGTTGAAGTCCATTTGGCGTGATGGAGGACAAGAACAAGGTAAACACTATCTAGAGCTTATTCGAGAGATGGGCGGGGCCGCTCAGAGATTACTGATCAAGCTGCCCTTGTGATGAAATGCTAAACTGTCTTTATAATATAGTCGTACATAATAAGACTAAGAAATTATTGGTGTTTTTGACCCACCGAAAGCTATGATAAACCAAGAAAACTGGATGGATTGTGATCCGAACAACTTCTTAGGAAAATTTGCTTGGTGGGTATGTTTGACTTCTGAAGCTGGTGCCTCGCTGCCAAATCGAATGCCCCTTTTGACTCTAGAGCTTCTAACATTCAAATGCCCCTTTTGACAGCTTGATACGTTTCTGTAGGTGTGAAGCGCGATTAGGGTCTTGCTCATCATAGACGGGCCTAACAATGCTCACGGATTTCAGCCCAATCATACCGTGCCACGAACAATCAAGCTCGACGGATCTATGCAGAATTTTCTGAATATTTGATTGTTCTGAATGGAACCCAGTGTATTTTTTTTCATATTATTTTATTACTTATCTTTGATGTGATATGTAATCGTGGATTCATATAAAATAAATATATTTCACTTAGTTGCTGAGAGAGAGGGAGAGAGAGAGAGAGAGAGAGAGAGAGAGAGAGAGAGAGACACTTCCTTCTCTCTTAGTCGTGCTTGTTTGGGCTCTTGTTCCTTGTTGCTCCTCTTCTCGGTTCACGAAGGGTCCCAATTCAGCAGCAATAGTAGCCCGTTTGAGCGGCTGTCCAGCACTTCTATCCACTCTACAGATGATGGCTGAGGGAGTGGGCTGAAGCGTAGAGTGCGCCGGTGCTACCACCACTAGTGGGTCCAAGAAAGAAAGAAAGAAAGAGAGACATACAGTCGAATTGGGTCCTAAGGCGATTTGAGTACGCTGTTCATGAGTTGGTTTGGCCCAAGGCTCCTAGCCTTACGGCGATAATGTGGTAGTCATTATTGCGGTCTCAGCCCCCCTACCCTCGTTCTCAAGAGAAATGGGTTCTAGTGGGGATTGTGGGCCAAGTAAGAGTCCACACCCTATGCCCAGTAGACTCTATACATTCATATCAGAAAATAAATAACTTAGCTTTCTCGCTACCAAATCATCAAGCATTACATGCTTACCGCCATGAAATCTGCCCTTTAATGGTTGATCATGCATGCTATGATTTTAGGTCTGCCTAATGATGTTCTTCGTACGAAACTATCATCCTAAAATTTTTGTATTCTTTCATGCATGATTTGAGTTGAAGCTTCGTGAGCACAAGAATTATCGTCCCATGAAAAGAAAGAACTGCAGGGCCCCGGTGCTCACTGCGTCAGTGATCATATCGAAACCCTGGAAAAGGAGGAAGTATTGCTGTTTAGATTCTTCGATCGCCATGCCCACGAGGACAGAGACCGAGTTTCTTGCCGAGACGGCAATAGTTGCAGTATTCTCCCCTTATCCAGCTGCTGTGTGTGTGGGCCAAGCTTCCCATCCGAGGAGGCTGCTGCTGTATTCTCCCCAGAGGTGCGTCTACCCTACATCACCAACCTCTACTTCTAGGTCACCTCGCCGCACGGAGTTATCGAGCACAGCGATCTTCATCCGAATGGTCTTATCGATCGGCGCCTGACATAGTACTTTCATGTGCTCGGGCGCTGTTGAAGCTTTCGGGTTGACCCGGCCATGGTGGAGATTCTCTTCAATCATCCGTCCGGATTACCCTCCGTTCATCCCATCCATTCACTCGCTCTTCACCGGGTTGCCCCGGTGGGTAGATCCAGCTTATCCCTTTCAGATGGACCTAGCGGCCGAAAGCAGCGTCTGGTTTCTTTAACATGGCGGCCTTCAAGACGATCACATCGAGAGGATTGGGGGGATTTCGGTTGGGAGCAGAGCATTACATCACAATCGGATAAGATCCATCTAATCCCCAGCTCTTCAGCCAAACCTACTGCACTCCCCCTTGGAAACCTAACCCTAGCCCTAGCCCTAACCCTAATTCCCCCCGCCCTAATTTAGCCCATCTGGGCACCCGTCTCCTGTCGACTTCCACAGTTCCCCAATTTAGCCCATTAAGTGGGAAAATCCCATGCACGGAGTACCCGTGTGCGGCGGTGGGCCCGGCTCCGCCGTCCGCCCTGTCGAGCCGTTGGTGTCAACAGTTGAAATGGCCCATCTCATGATGGCACGGCCCGGGCCCACGGGAAGTAACAGAAGGAGAGAGAGAGAGAGAGAGGGGGGTGATGTAGGGCTCCGATTAAACGGGATACCCCGAGTCCGGTAAGATTTGATTGGGTTATTTTAAGGGCTCAGAATGGATAACTTTATCGGATCCGTTTAGCCCAACATGGATATAATCGTACGCCTGGATTGCGTACACTCCCCCGGTGACGTCATCTGCTCCGTGAGCCGTCGGATTGATCTGATAAATTGCGGTCACTCATCTCTCTCTCTCTGTAACCAGCTTGCCATCTTTTGACATCTCAGGCCGAACTGCCTTCAATCTTATTGAAAGGCCGTCGCTCTCTCCTCTAAATGGCGAGGCCGTCGGCGCACGTGCGTGGGCCCCGGGGGAGGAGGAGGCAAGAAGATGCCGGCGCCGGCCTTTTCCCCTTGGCTTGGGTCGGAAGGCAGCGGCGGCGGCGGATGCCGGCGCCGGCCATTTCCCCTTGGCTCGGGTCGGAATTGCGGCGGCGGCGCCGCCGCCTTCCTTCCAAAACGGCTCCGGAGCCGACAGTCTCTTTCCTGAATTTCATCGGGACATCTCCCAGGCCCATCCGCCGATTAAAAGCTACTGCTGTCTCAAATCGGGCAACCCCCCAATCGATCGTACGTACGGCCCGCCCCGCGGATGCGCACCTGGCCCGGCCCGGCACGCTTCGTAGCCGGCTGGCTGGCTGGCTGGTTTCTGACAGGAGAATGGAAGATGCGGTGGGGCCCAGGTGAGAACGGACGGCGCCGATGAAGCCCGGTAGTTAAATTAGATAAATTAGAGGTGAGGGAAAAAGAAAAGCGAAAAAAAAAAAAAAGAAGAGATGCCGAAGGGTCACTCACCGCTCTCCGCATATTTAAACTGGGCCGGTGGGAGATCGCCCTCTCCATCTTCTTCTCGTTGTATCCTTTCGGTCCCTCCTCCGGATCTCCCTCCCTCTCCCCCCTCCCCTCCCTCGTCGCCTTCTCCTGCTGCAACTCCCCGGAAGTACCTCGAAACCGGCGCTTAAAGCCTTCCTTCGATCGCGTCTTCTTCCCCGTCTTCCCTTCCTTGACTGAGCGAGGCTCCTTCTCTCTCTTTCTTTCTCTCTCTCACGGAAGCATCTCTGGGTCTGCCGTCGCGTCAGCAGCATGGGTTCTTCCTGTTCCTCCTCTCGCCATGTCTCCCTGTAGGAGTGCAAGGTCAAGCTCTTCCTCCCATGATCTCGTCCTCTGTGTGCGTGTGCCGGAATCTGTTAATATACAGTTTGCGTGTGTAGGTGGAAAATACGAGTGATAAGTGGTGTTCTTCATTAGAAGAGTTTGAGTACGAGGGTTTCCCTAGATAAGAGCTGCCTTCTGCGTTCTCAGAGAAGAAGCCTCGTCTCCTCTTCTCTCTGAGGTGGCAGTGCCGCGGCGGTTGGGAATGTTTTATCCTTCCAGCTCGTTCGCTCCCTCTTGGTTGTTTTATAAATGCCGTTTACCTGTCGTTTCTAGAATATCTTCCCCTCTGCGGATCCTTCATTAATGGAGGACCTTTAGATCTTCCTCGCTGCTGCATCATTCCTCCTGGTACATCCTCACCGGTTTCCCGTTTTCCTTCGTCTCGTTTGCTCTTCATTTGTCCATGGGATCAGTGGATTTGCTGCGTTCTGTTCTTGGGATCAGATTCCTGGGAGCCTTCCTCCTCCTCGGGGTCGCCTCCTCCGTCTTCCTCGCGAGACTCGCCGTCCCTCTCTCCCAGGACCTCTTCTTCTCGATCCTCCCGCAGCTTTTCACCTCCGTCCGCGGCTACCTCTCTCCCCCTTACATCTTCGTCTTCGTCAACTTCATGATATTCATCATCCTGAAGCTCCCCGACACGAAGAACCACAACGGCGGGAAGAAGTCCTCCGACGGCGGCGCCGCCGTGCTCCCTCCGAAACAACCGAAGAACCTCCTCCCCCGCCCATCCTTCCTCCATGCTTCTGATGCGGCGCCATTCGTCAAGGACGTTGAGGTGGAGAGCAACGCCGTGGCGCCGCCACCTCCGTCCTCAAAAGGTAGCGATCCCGCTCCCAGTGGGCAGTCCAGCCCATCCTGCTTGACGACGACAGAGCTTGACGGGGACCCGGAGGTAGTCTCTTCCATTTCCGGCGGCGGCGTCGGCGGCGCCGTCGTTCAGAGAAGTCTCGTCGGAGGATCCTCCTCTCCGGCGAAGGAGGAGGAGGAGGAGGAGGATTACGGTTCCATGGATGAGACATGGATGGCAATTATGCAGCGGCAAACGGGGAGGAGGCATCCGACGAAGAACGAAACGTGGCCCGTGTCTCCTCCAGTTCAATCCTCGGTTCAACTCGAGCCGGCGGCGGAACCAGCGATCCAGCGGGAGCTACAAGAGTCGGAGACTTTCCCGGAGCCGGCGGCGGCGGAAGTTCCGTCTGCAGACGACCACGACGAGATGAACCGCCAGTTCGAGGCCTTCATCAAGAAGGTGAACGACCAAATGAGGCTTCAGTCTCAGAACTCCACCCGGCGGCGCTTCATGGAGATGGTGAACGTGTCCAGATAACGACCAGGATATGATATGTTTTCCTTGTTTAAGATGCCAAGAGAAAGAAAAACCTAGGTGTTCCGGATTGGATTTCACTTTTCTGCGACTTCTGTGTTCTTCTTCGCACCGCCGTACTTTCCTCCTCCGCCGCCGTCCACGGCGGCGCTTTCTCCAGAAGATTAGGTGCCACCGGCTTCCCTTGTGGCGGCCTCTCCAGGGTGTTGCCAGAGATGGCTGTCGGTGAGCTGCGGGCGGGGGGGGGGACCGAACTGAAATGTACAGCTTCCCTTTGAATTCCTTTCCTTCCATCCATGTCTTGCCCCCCGACACAGCCAACAATCTTTAACAACTAAAAAATAATAATACAGAAAGCGGGCACCCAACAGATTATGTTCATCGCCATTATTATTATTATTATTATTATTATTTTAATGGGCTACACAGTATCTGATGCACTGCCCAGCCGTCAACCTATCCTTCTCGTTCTCGGTTGCTACATCTAAACGGAAGACAGACTGGCCAGCAGCTTCCAGTCGTCTTCCTCTCTCTCTCTCTCTAAAACACCAGATGTGAAGGTCCACGTAGGCCGTCCGTCTCTCCACGTAGGCGTCCTTTGTCCGACGCTCTGTCGGTATTCGGCCCTCAAGACGTCAACAATTAAAAAATTAATTATTTGATTTTCCCGGATCCGAATAATTCATTAAAAAATGGGGGTGAAGCCGCATTATTTTTGTTGCTGTCCACGTCGCCGACTCAACCATTGGGCCAGGTCCCTGAAACGCGCAGCGTCGGCCCACTACTTTCAGTAGGGTACCGTGCCCGGCCCATGGGCCTCTCGGTCCCGTGAAAGCGGTTGCCCACCCGCTCCACCGAGTCCGTCCCACGTGTCGCCCCCCGCGCCATCGAATCCCAGAGAGAGAGAGAGAGAGGGAGAGAGGTTCCCACTTCCTTTTCCCGCCACTTCGCGATTTGTTTAGAAAACCCACATGGCCTTCTGGCCCGACGGGTAGTTAAGGCCGTCTTTTCGCATCATTCACGCCTTTATTGGATGCAGCCCACCGCGGCACGTGTCGTGCCGACGGGAAAGCTACGTGTCTCCGACTCGGCTGAATGGGCCCGAAGGGAAGTGGGCCGTACACGGGTTGGGCCCGGAAGCAGAATATTCTTCTCCATATTTTGAATAACCTTTAAATAATTTGTCATAAAGTTTATTTATTTATTTTTTTCCTTCTTTTTGATTGGCCGAAGCGAAAAACCGGCGGACGTGGGAATTTTTCAAATCCGAGAGAACCGCCACGCGACGGCTCCTGCCATTTTGACGAGATCGGTTCTCGAGCGTATGATCTTGATCTGACGGTGACAATTCAAAAAGGAGGCCTGGTTTTCTTTTTCCGCCATTAATCTTGTCATAATGTTTCAATAGACCTTGTTCGGGATTTTATTCATCTATTGGCGTTTCGTTTTTATGAAATGGAGGGTTTTCTGAAAAACAATTAAAGGAGGGGGCATAATAGCTAGAAGTCATATAATTGTGGAAGAATATAAGAAAAAGGAGAAAGGGAGCCAGTGCAGTGGAGTGGGACTGAACGAGAAAAGTGGTTTCCCTCTCTCTCCCTCCCTCCCTCTCTCTCTCTCTAATTCTTCTTCCCATTTCTTCGCTCGTCCGTGAGTTGGCTTCCTCACTCGGGAGCTAAGAGTGGCGAGGGGAGCGGGCATTGAGGATCGACATCTTCTTGTAACGCTCGCGAAGCTACGGAGGAGGTGGTCTTCCTTTCGCTTGCTTGCTTCTGTGTTTTCTTATTATCTTCGAAGAGAAAGGTCCCGGAATCTCCTCCCTTATTCCGCCGTTCGTCTTGCTCTGTACATTCGGATTCGAATCAGTTGAAGATATAAATTGATCCTTCACCGGATCTATCCGTCCTTGGACTACTAGCTGTGCTGTCTGGAGACTGTAGAGGATTTCTTGTTATTACTCTATTTTTTAATTTCTACTATATCCTCGTGAACGTCGAACTGTATGGCTTGAGAGAAAGAGAGAGAGAGAGAGAGAGAGCGTTGTCGCAGTGGATCAACAGAATCAGAGGTTCGTTCCGGAATCTTGTCACACTGCAGAGTATTTTTCAATTTGAGCGCAAAAACTTTTTTTTTCTTCTTCTTCCAGTAATTCAGACTTTGCCCCCATTTGAATAGAACCAGGAGCAATGGCGTCCGTCGAGGTGGCATTTTTGGAGACGCCACCGAAGACCACGGAGAAACCTGCATCTCAAGGCCGTGTCCCACCCTCTCTGCGAGCCATGCGATCAGTGCCGAACAAAGAAAATGACTCCCAGAGGATCGATCCTTTCGAACGTGCTGTATTCACCGAGAACGATGTGAACCGTCATGATGAGGACGAGGACTCGCCGTACGGTGGTGAAACTGAAAGCGTCCAGGATGACAATATTCCGAAAGATGAACCTTCGCCTGATTCTGTTTCGTCTCGCTTGTCTGCAAATCCGGCATATTATACTGACTCAATATGGAGTGATACGAAATCATCTGCCGTGAAGAAGGTAAGGGTACGATGACCTTATTTCTTCATGTGCTGGCTTGCTTCGCCTCCTCGCTGAAGTTGAGGTTGTTATATGGTTAGTTCAGCAAACAATATGATGCGTCTTTTATATTAGTGAATCATCTTCTTTAGCGTGCATTGGCGTGTGATAGTTTGCACATTATATTTTTCAAGTTTCCTTCTTAAGTAGAGGACAGAGGCAGTGATAACGTAGGGACTTTAAAAAGCCATTCAAAGCTGATTTATAAAATCCTCATGTCACGAGGTAAATGAGATAGTAGTTTGTTTAAGTTGCGGCACAATAATGTCAGGGTATTAGGCTACCAACTCCTTAGTGACTGGCTCCTTGTATTAAAACCAAGTTTCTGGAAGTCTCTATGCTGGGCGTTTTCCCCTAATTATGATCTACTCTCCTTGAAGCAGGAAAGATAATTTTTTAAATATTTCAAAATAAGGATATGTGTTAGCGTTGGGTAAGGAAGCTCAGGGATTGGTTTCGTGTGAACTGAAGCGTATGATGTAAGAAAATTTCGTATATTTGAACAGTTCGCCCCGATTTTGCCTTATCAATTCTAATCAGAACTGTTACAACTGAGATGCCGTTTACAACTGAGTCCCTATTCCTCTTCCATCACTCTTTGCTCTCCTGTGTTGCGATGATTCTGTCTTTTTTTCCGTCTATTAGACTTTTGCTGTTCCCTCATGGATATTTCTCAGCAGTGACATTTCTGACGGAAGATGAAGAAAGGGGAGCTCAATTATATGTTATGTTGACTGTTGCCAGCCATACATGAGCAATTATCATGCTATTGCTGTCTCCATCCTTTCCATCCCCTGGTTTCCATTCCTCTTCCCTGATAATCATGCTCGATTGACCATGTCTCCCTTTTTGTAAGCTTGGCCTCTGGTTACCAGGCTTCACGTTGGAGCCTGAATCCCCTTTTGGCATGTGATCACTGAGCCAGAGCCACTCTACTATATTAGGCCTTAAATGAGACCGTAAAAAACAGTCTACATTTCGGCTTGCAAGGTAGGACTCTTGATACACATTGTTGTCCCTTAAGTAGATAGATAAAAAAAAAACACCATCTTGTTATTACTGTTACGTATAAAAGGTTTCTAAACCCATCAGTGAATAGATTATTTTTTTGAAAATTTCTGTTTAACTTTTCTTCTCTTCAGAATCATCGATGAGCTGAAACTTTGACACGTTCCATACGTGGCCGCCTAAAAGCATTGTAATGTTAGAATTGAATTGAACAGCAGACACCAACTTTGTTCCTTTTTACTTATTTCTTGTGCTGTCATGTATGCCCACTCACTATTCTACCATTTTGTGGATTGTGCGTGGTGACATCGTACTGACATCGGTTGTCAATCATGCTTCCTATCATTAGTTTTGTGACTCATATCACTATATCTAGCTGTTGTAGCATTTTTTTTTCATGTGTTTTCTTTTTCAGATTGGACTCTAAAGCTGTTACAACCTTGGCACTTCATTTTCTAGTTAATCGTTTGATTATTGTACTTTATGTATTGTCAATCGGTTGCAAGACATTCGCTGAAGTATATTTTTTCAGAAGCTTCAAGTGTGGTGTCAGCTGTCGAATGGAGAATGGGTTTTGGGGAAATTACTGTCTTCTTCTGGAGGAGAATCTCTTATCAGTCTTCTTGAGGACAAAGTAAATGTACTACAGAGAGTTTTTATTTTGGGTTCTGTTTTTCTTTCCATTCTAATGTTTTTTGCTTTATGTTTGGGAAATTTATTAAGGTTTTGCATGTGAGTACTGAAGACCTATTACCTGCAAATCCTGAGATTCTGGACGGAGTAGATGACCTCATGCAACTCAGCTACTTAAATGAACCATCTGTGCTGTACAATCTTCAATATAGATACTCTCAAGATATGATATATGTAAGCTTTTTTTAAAACTAGCCTTTCCTCAGTTAAAATAGGTCAATATTTTTCAATTTTAAAAGCTTTCAATGTTTGTAGACAAAAGCAGGGCCCATTTTGGTCGCCATCAATCCATTCAAGGACGTTCACCTGTATGGGAACGAGTACATCGAAGGTTACCGTTGCAAATCCTTGGACAGTCCACATGTTTATGCCATAGCTGATACTGCGATTCGTGAAATGATGAGAGGTGACAATTTTCGTTTTTATTAACATTACCTTTCTGATTTTTTCTATTTCTAATTTTAGTCTTCTTAATTGCAGATGAGGTTAATCAGTCAATTATCATAAGGTTTGTTTCTTGTTCTTTGTTAGCATTGCTCAGTCAATAATGCCATGTTTCTTTGTTGTTGTAATTGAGGTTTTGATTGTCTCTGAAATTCATCAAAGTCTCTTGAAACTGTTGTTGAAACCTTTCTCATCAGATAGAATTTTGTTTTGGCACTTATACGTGACATACATCCATGTTCATTTAATTTGCTTCCTTTTATTGTTATGTATTGAGGGTTTACCTTTCATCTCTTATGTCAAATTTCTCCCTATTTTTTCTTTCAATTGAAGAGCTTAAGCTATCTTAATTAGGTGTTTTAAGACATTTCTGATATAAGAGTTACCATGTCTTTCATGCCACTACATGAAATATTTAAATGTCTGGTATTCTCTTCCTGTATACAATTGGCATGAGGGCATAAGTAATAACTAATTGATAACTGAGAAAATATTGTTATTGACTTTACTCTCATTTTTTATAAACTGTTGTTTCCAGCTAAACAGTTTTTTTTTGTAAACATTTTAATGAATTTTTTTATGTTATAGATTCATTCACTTGAACTTTTTCATGCCCTCATCAAATTTACATGGTGTTGTTATGCTATAGATATTATGGCTTTATATGCTGGGTTATTATCGTATATTTGATGCAATCTTACGTAATATTCCATTTCTCTACAACCAAAGTTCCCGGTATAAAGAGATAATATGCCCGCATATTTGGGCTGAATGATGGAAAAGTATATTTTCCCATGTAGATAAATTTCCTCTCACGACAAAACTAATTCTTTTACCTTACTAATTCTAGCTTCCTTCATTTAGTGGTGAAAGTGGAGCTGGAAAAACTGAGACCGCAAAGATAACAATGCAGTATTTGGCTGCTCTTGGAGGAGGTAGTGGAATCGAGCATGAGATATTGCAGACAAATCCAATACTTGAGGCATTTGGAAATGCAAAAACTGCAAGGAATGATAACTCCAGTCGATTTGTAAGCACAAACGACTGTATACAATTTGAGATTTTTGGCTGACACGAGTTTGGGATTGATAGTACTCTCTTTCATCAGCATGCGTATACCCACTCCTCTTGTTTCTGAATGCAGGGTAAACTGATTGAAATTCATTTCAATGTGGCTGGAAAAATATCTGGTGCCAAGATTCAAACTTGTAAGATTACTATAGTAAATTCCTCTGTGAAATGTTTTACAACAATATCTTCTCATGATTAATGTTCTTGATTTTGCACTGGTCGCTGCTGTGAACCCTGGTCTTACCTCGCTGGCAGTTTTGCTTGAGAAGGTACTATATTCATCATGTTTTATAGTGTTTGCGAACATAACAGCACATTTATTTACTTACCATATCCTGGACAGTCAAGGGTAGTGCAATGTGCAGACGGGGAACGGTCATATCATATATTTTATCAGCTGTGTTCTGGCGCTCCTATCGCTCTTAAAGGTATTATGTGTGCTCCGTTCTGTTAATATACCCTCTGAAATAATCATATTTGCAATACAAATCTGTATTTCTTGAGTGAAAAGAAAGCTTGGTATTTTCTGACTTTAATTTATCTCTCGTATATCTGCTGTTTCACTTTTTTTTCATGCTTAAGAAAGATCCACTATTTTTTTTCACCTCTTACAACTCGGTCATTGTCTCTGTGCTCTTATTCTGCTAAAACATTTTTAGCTCTCTACTATGCTGTTAGTTTTTTTCCCCCCCTCAACTCCCTTGATTCCGTAATAATTTCTATGCTCGTGGACGCAGAGAAATTGAATTTGAAAGCTGCCAGAGAGTACAATTACCTACAGCAGAGTGATTGTTTTTCTGTTTCTGGAACCAACGATGCTGAAAGATTTCACCTTCTTTTGGTTATTTCCTGACCTGCTTTACTAAGATTGTGGTTATTCAGTCACCGATTGTTCGGCTTACTATCTTGTCTTTTTCCAGGAAGCTTTAGATGTGGTTCACATCAGCAAAGAGGATCAGGACAATGTTTTTGCCATGCTTGCATCAGTTTTGTGGCTAGGCAACGTTAACTTTGTCATTATTGACAATGAAGATCATGTAGATGTCATGCAGGATGAAGGTAGAACTGTTCCTTAGAACTTAATATCAAAATATATATTTTATTTCTCAGAGGGCGGAATATATATCAAAATGTAGATGTCATGCTGATTTGATAAATCTTAGTGCTTTTACTTTTATCAAGCTCAAAATTATCAATATCTCAAATACCTCACTGGCACACAGCATGATGGAAAATTCACAGATAGCATTTGGGACATGGTATGGTGCATTTAATAGTACATCCTAAGATAGCATGCATTTGGATGTCAAGGCAAGTGGCTCCCTTCTCAACGAGATATCTCCTGCCTAAAAGGCATAAAAAGTTATCCATAAAAAATTGATCATGAAAAATGGCATAAAGCTTGTCTAGTTGAAAAATATCAAGTTTAATGATAAAACAAGTTCTTCTTGACTTGGTGTGGGATAAAATTCACATGGAATGAGGTGTAGATATTGGTAGATTATAATTCCCTATATTATTTTTGTCAAAATTGGCTTCGCTTTGCCCTCATTCATTGTTTTGTAGGTATCATGGCAGTAGATTATTATTTTGTCGTCTATGCTTTTTGTCAAAACTAGTTTCGTCCTTTTTAAGGGTGACGTATCATGGTATAGCAAGAGTACGCGAGCATCTAGATATAACTTTCGTTACACTGCCGTGATAACTTCGCTGACAATCTGGTATCTATTTTAACTGTACTTAGCTTTCCACGACTGTTTGATTTGCAGCTTTGAGTACTGTTGCTAGCCTGATCGGGTGTGGCTTGGAAGAGCTTAAGTTAGCATTATGCATTCGTAGAATGAAAGTCGGGACTGATGATATTGTTCAGAAACTTACTTTATCACAGGTGCTGAATTTTTCAAAGAAAATACGTATTATTTTATTTCTTATTATTTTGTGTGCTGAATGTGAAACTTTGCTCATTTCTGTCCCTTCAGGCTATTGATTCAAGAGATGCACTAGCTAAGTCACTCTATGCTAGTCTATTTGATTGGTTAGTGGAACGGATCAATAAATCACTTGAAGTGGGCAAGTGTCGCACAGGCAGATCTATCAGCATTCTTGATATTTATGGCTTTGAATTTTTTGATGTAATTATCTTGTACTTCTTTTTGGCTTCGAATAAAAAAGTTGATTCTGACTTTACGTCACTTATTACTATTATTTTCTTTTTTTGCAGAAGAATAGTTTTGAACAGTTCTGCATAAATTATGCTAATGAAAGGCTGCAACAACATTTTAATCGGCATCTGTTCAAACTGGAACAGGAGGTAGCTCGTTTACCACGAAGTAGATGAATAATAGCAAGTCGGCATTTCCCTCTCTGTAGCTATTTTAATTATGAAAATTTTGTATCTTCTGTTTCTTTTTTTCTCCTATTTTAGTCAATGAATGAGTCAACTAATGACAGATTTTAAATAGAGGTCTTTGAAAAAAATTCATGCCCTTGAACATGATGAAAATTTGATTTGCGCTCTAGAGCATCTGTGAATATTTATTACTATGTTATATCTTGAGACAATTTTGAGGTTTGTTGGTCCAGCTTGCCTGTTCCACTGTGTGTAGAGTTCCCATCCTATAAAGTCCGGTGCATATGCTTGGAAATTGCCATTAGTAATTTGCGATGGATGTCTGATCTGATTTAAGCACTAAAGCAAGCATTTACAACTCCAAAAGCCGTTTTGATATGAACCAGCCCGGAACTGTATCACCTTACAAGTCTGAAGTACTTTTGCATGATGAAACATCTGGTGTATTGAACATATGGAGACACAATTACCTGCTGTTGATCATTCTTTCACAATCTGCCTTGGTCCTTCCCATAGAGAGCTTTGGGTGCTCCATTTGCATCCTCACTATTCGAAATATTCCATCGATTAGTTTTTCTCTACTGCGACGATACAATAACTTTCACTTTTCTCAGGAATATATTCAAGATGGCATCGATTGGACAAGAGTGGACTTCGAGGACAATCAGGCTTGTCTAAATTTATTTGAGAAGGTGTCTATACTTCACATCCTTATTTTCATCTATTTATTTGTGGAAACATAATATCTGATGAGCATTTGATCAACCGAGTTCCATATTGTCGTATGGCACATAGCAACGACTCATATAAATGATTTATTAGGTTCTACATAGTTGAGTTCCATTGTTTAGCCTTCTGAATGATTCTCCGGAATGTGCTGGGGACAAGTCAGTGCCTGTGCAGTAATTTATAACTTAATCAGTGAGAAAATCCAAAGTGTTGTATATTCTCCCTCTTTGGTATGCACTCATAACGTACGATTCATTGCCAACGAATTATCCTTTCTGAGATTAGCTAGCCCGCGTCTGTTTATCCCACGCAAACTTCTGATTGCTCCCCAGAATCCGTCATTTCATTTTCATATTAACCATATCCCCTTATATCTCCCCAGAATCAATTATTTTGTGTATTATTTCTTCATTCCTTTTGCTTATTAGCTTATACAGTACTCTCTTACCAATGATTTTTATGCAGAAACCACTCGGATTACTATCGCTGTTGGATGAGGAATCCACTTTTCCGAATGGCACAGATTTGACTTTTGCAGACAAACTTAAGGAGCATCTGAATTCGAATTCCTGCTTCAGAGCAGAAAGGGGGAAGGCTTTTGGCGTCAATCACTATGCTGGGGAGGTTGCTATGTCGCCTCATCCTAGTACCACACACACACATACGCATGTGCACGCACAGATTGACAAACATTGGTTCCATTAGACTGATGGATTGTTCTGTTCTACTCAGGTGCTGTATGACGCATCTGGATTTCTAGAAAAAAATAGAGATCTGCTGCATATGGATTCTATTCTGCTGCTTGCATCTTCCACGTGCCAACTTCCTCAAATATTTGCATCCAAAATGCTCAGTCAGCCTGATAAGCCTGGCTGCCATCCCCATAGATCCAGTGGAGCAGATTCTCAAAGGTTGAGCGTTGCGATGAAGTTCAAGGTAATTGCCCTCTAAAGTTCCTGACCAGAACCAACCATGCCTTCATCTTTGACTAGGGCGGGCAAACTACATTTTTGTAGGGTCTGACAATCTTCTTATGTGCTCTTTAGGGTCAACTTTTCCAGCTGATGAAGCGATTGGAAAGCACCACTCCTCACTTCATACGGTGCATTAAACCCAATAACATGCAGCTCCCCGGAGCCTACGAGCAGACGCTCGTAGTGCAGCAGCTCCGGTGCTGCGGGGTTCTGGAGGTGGTTCGGATTTCCAGGTCGGGCTTTCCGACCCGGTTGTCTCACCAGAAGTTTGCTAGAAGGTGACGACATCTCCTCACTATATATTCTTCTTCTGCTCCTCCGGATGCCTCTACTCACTCGCCTTCTGATGCTCTCCCCCTGCCACATCGCATCGTCAGGTACGGATTCCTTCTCCGCCAGAGTGTCGCATCACAAACCCCTCTCAGTGTCTCTATCGCAATTCTTCACCAGTTCAATATTCTGCCTGAAATGTACCAAGTGGGTTACACCAAGCTATTTTTCCGCACTGGACAGGTGAGCCTTCTAGCCGGTCCCCATCCACACATTCCTTCATAGATTCTTTCGTCGACTCCAACCCCTCCCCCCCCCCGCTGCTGATGACATCTGATTATCTCATAGATTGGCGTCCTCGAAGACACAAGAAATCGCGTGCTTCATGGCATTCTGAGCTTCCAGAGCTGTTTCAGGGGCTACCGGGCTCGCTCCCGCCTGAAGGACTTGAGGAAGCGAGCCACAACCTTGCAGTCATGTACTGATCTTTCTCTCTCCGTTTCTTGCTCTCCTTCCGTCCGACATATATATCTTGATTTGCATGCTTTTGTTGCAGTCATTCGGGGCGAGCAAGCGAGGCGGCGGTGTTCGGTCCTGGCGGCGGAGCACAGAGCCGCCATCGTCATACAGAGAGAGCTGAGGAGCTGGCTGGCGAGGAGACGCTTCCTGGAGCTGCGTGGAGCAGCGGTGGCCGTACAGTCAGGTGGGTGCACGCCAAAACTCTCTCCTTTGCTGCATCGACAATCCAGTAACCTCTTATCGCCATGATCAGTGATCCGAGGGCGGCTCGTCAGAGGACGTCCCGGGCCCTCCACCCCACCGCCCCCCAGGTCCGACCCTACTAAGAAGGTAAGCTTCCTCTCAATAATATCTCGCCAGTGGTTTGGTTTTAGTTATTTAAAAGGGGGTTTAATTGGGGTGTTCTCAAGGTCTCCATGAGGACCTCGCCGCCGCTGGGCGAGGTGGTGGTGGCGACGTCGGCCCTCACCGAGCTGCAGCGGCGAGTCACCAGAGCGGAGGCGGGTCTGAGAGAGAAAGAGGAGGAGAACGAGGTGCTCAACCAGAGGCTCCGCCAGTACGAGAGCAGGTGGTCCGAGTACGAGCAGAAGATGCGGTCGATGGAGGAAGTCTGGCAGATGCAGATGAAGTCCCTTCAGTCCAGCCTCTCCATCGCCAAGCGCAGCCTCGCCGTCGACGACGCCTCGCGGCGGCGCTCCGACTCCTCGCCGGAGCAGAGCCTCGATGGCGGCGGGAGCGGCGAGCGGGCGGCGCTGTCGCGGGTGTTGTCCAAGGACATGGGCGTGGGGCTGAGCGTGATCGGCCGCCTGGCGGAGGAGCTGGAGCAGCGAGCGCAGGTGTTCGCCGACGACGCGAAGCTCCTGGTGGAGGTCAAGTCCGGTCAGGTCGACGTTGACCTGAACCCCGACCGCGAGTTCCGGCGGCTGAAGTTGACTTTCGACTCCTGGAAGAAGGACTTCGGGCTGAGGCTCCGGGAGACCAAGGCCATCCTCCAAAAACTCGGGAGCGAGGAGACTCCAAGTTCCGACAAAAGCAAGAAGAAATGGTGGGGCAGGTGATCCCCTCGGTTGACCTTTTTTCTGTTGTTGTCTCGACTTGTGCACTGTCCGAAGCTTTGGAGGAGAACTTGACGCGGGCCCCGTTGACTTCTCTGACCGGAGCTCCTTGTATATCATTAAAGCAAAGGTCAGCAGAGTAATCGGGGGTGGATGATCGAGTCAAATCTTTATAATCCCAGGTTTACCTTGGTATGTCAACTGGTATGAGATCGTTCTAACGCCATTGACTGATCTACCCATGAGCTTTATTATTATTATTATTACTACATGGACAATGTACAGATTCATCTATCGGTGTTTCGTTGTCGGGTCTTTTCATCTAAAAGGTGTTGTCTTTTCGTAGCGTCTAGTTGTTGCCGAGCCCATCTGGGCTCGAGCAAGGAAATCCTGAAACAAAAAGCCAGGCCGGCCCATGAATGTGGCCAAAATTGGTTTGAGTCCCCAAGTCCAATATGGACCCAGCCGATTATCTGATCTCTCTCTCTGTGTATAAACCGAAACACAGAGGGGAGAGAGAGAGAGAGAGAGACCGTCTCACGCCGGCCGCTCGCCAGCAGATGCGCGGGGGTTCTTCCCCTCTGCCAAGCTGCCGCGCTCTGCTCCACCATTGCCGCTGCTTGGAGCAGCTCTTGCAGATACACGCCCAAGCCATCACGCAAGGCCTCCTCCCGCACCCGCAGAGCTTCTCATGTCGAATCCTCAACGCATACTCGGAATTCCGGCGGTCGGCGGACGCGCTCCGCGTCTTCGGCCAGATCCGCCGCCCCGATCTCGTCTCAAGGACCTCCCTCATGAAGCTCCACTTGCAGGAAGGCCGCCCCAGCGACGCCGCTGATGTCTTCCGCCAGATCCTCTTCTCCGGCCTCCGGCCGGACGGCTTCTCCGTCGTCGCAGCGCTCTCGGCTTCCGGCCACATGGCGGACCTCTCCCTGGGGAGATCCCTCCATGGCTTGATCGTGCGTCATGATTTGGATCTAGAAACCGTGGTCAACAACGCGCTGGTGGATATGTACTGCAGGAGCGGGAAGATTGGCAGCGCCAGGCAGGTCTTCGACAGTATGCCGACGAGGGATGAGATCTCCTGGAGTAGCCTTATCAATGGGTATGCAAAGCAGGAGCGGCTGGATGTGGCCCGTCGTCTGTTTGATGAAATGCCGCACAGAAATGCGGTCTCCTGGACCGTGATGATCACGGCTTTCGTTCAAGGCAGGTGCCCTATCCGAGCTCTGGAACTCTTCCGCGAGATGAACTCCGAGGGCTGCCGACCAACTTCAGTCACGATCGTCGGCGTCCTCTCCGCGTGCGCCGACGTCGGCGCTCTGAGCGTGGGCTGCTCCATCCACGGTCTCATCAGCAAGACGATGGCGAACTCGGACGCCACCATCGGCAACGCTCTAATCGACATGTACTCGAAGAGCGGCAGCGTGGAAACGGCGGCTGTCATCTTCAATGGTATGAGGCACAGGGACGTCTACACCTGGACGACGATGATCTTAGGGCTCGCTGTAAACGGCGATGGAGATGGAGCTCTGTACGTGTTCTCGGAAATGCTGGGATCCGGGGCGCGCCCAAATGGGGTCACCTTCGTCTCTGTCCTATCTGCCTGCTCACATGCCGGCCTGGTCCAGGAGGGTCTTTCATGGTTCGACATTATGCGCGGTTACTACAGCCTCAAGCCGCAAATCCAGCACTTTGGCTGTGTGGTTGACCTGCTGAGCAGGGCGGGGAGATTAACTGATGCAGAAGATTTGATTGGTGGGATGGAAATCGAACCAGATGCTGTTCTCTGGAGATCACTGCTCAGCGCTTGCCTAGTTCACGATGACCGAAGATTAGCAGAAGTCGCAGGAAAACGGGTCATCGGCCTCGAACCAGACGATGACGGCGTCCATGTCCTCCTCTGGAACATGTACGCCAGCGCAAACAGATGGGACGAAGCCAGAGAAATCAGGAAGACGATGAGGGGCAGAAGGATCAGGAAGAGACCCGGGCGCAGCTGGATAGAGCTGAATGGCGTCGTGCGCGAATTCCTCGTGGAAGACAAGGCCCATTTCCGCCAGACCGAAGTTTACTCGGTTCTGGAAGGGATGGAGAAGCAGCTAAGATCCCATTGTGAGCAGTACCACAGCTGGATCATGATCTGATCCAGACCTCGAAGCCCATATCCAAGATCATCTCCGACTTCACGGGTACGTAAACATCAGTTTTAGAAGCAGTTTTCCCGCCTTATTATTACATTCACATCTGAGGGTTCCGGCGATGACATCACAGGGAATTACGCCTTCTTGAACATCACCGGGAAAGGCTGGGCGCTCAACCCCAAGTACCTCCTCCCATTCTCGTAGAACACGCCGACGTCCCCGCACAACACCTTGCAGAACTTGCACACGGTAGGGCAGAAGACCAGCTTGTAGTCCATGCCAGATCGCTCAATCTTGAACCAGTTGCTCACCGTCCCCAGGCCAGGGTTCCCCAGCGCTCCGCCGGTCGTCACGTACCTCCTTTTCGTGCTGCCATCGAGATCGCCGAGCTTCCAGACGGTGGACTGCGCGCAGACGGTCGCCGCCGCGAACTCCACGTTCTGGTCCGTAGACAATCTAACCACCGCATCCTTTGGGTCCACCGGCCGGAAGGTGACCGGCAGCCCTCGCGCCACCTCGAAGATCTCTTGGGCCACGTACAGCGGGCACCTCCCCTTGCGGGCGGCGAGGGTCAGGCCGCCGCCGCTTCCCCGGCGGAGGGGCAGGATGTAGTACCTGGAGGCTCGCCGGAGTTCCTTCCCCGCCGTGTCGCGGACGGCTGTGGTGGACTGCCCCGCGGCGGAGGCGAGGAAGGAGAGTAGGACGGTGGACAGGAGGAAGATGGGTTTAGCCATGGTTGAGCAGAGGAAGCCGATGGGAGATCTATGACAGAGATGAAGAGGACCATTATTATGACCCATCGAGATCTGAGCATTTGACTGTATTTAACGCAGGTGGGCCCATCCGAATGTGGAAATTTCAGCATTATCGGTTTGCCAAACCGCATTTAGTCAAAGATTCGGATCAAAAGAGACGACCCAGTGAATGATATGCTCACATTTTTCCCTTGGTCGTACAGACAAGGAGACTGCCGCGTCAGCACGAGAATAAAAATGAAGTTACAATGCATCCAAGCTGGTTAGATGGGCGACGACTAAGTTCTCAGGCAGAGAAGGAAGAAGAAGAAGCAGGATCATTCGTCATTCTCCTCCGTCTGATTGTTGACATGATTGATCTTCTGAGCACGATACAACTCGGCAACCTGAAGACAACAAGCCCGTTACCCTCAACCACCGAATCAGGCGAGCAACTGAGCTGTGTAAAAGCGGGATCGGTGCCCTGGAAGTACCTGCTCAGCCGTGGTGGCCTGATCTGGGTTCTTGTCGTCACGAATCCTCAGCAAACGAGGAAACCGGAGAGAGATCCCCTTCAAAAAAGAGCATCAAAGAGAGCCGTCAGCAGGGCTCTTGAGGCAGGCAGGCAGGCGGGCTCTTGAGGTCGCATTCTAACCTTGTTAGGATCAATGGCACCGCGGGCAGCCCGATGGACAGGACTGATACTCAGATCAGCCGCCTTCACCTCCCAAACCTGGCACAAAGGCCAAAAGGAGTTCCTGATGAGAAGGGCTGAAGAAAGGAGGGGAACCAGCTGATGTTGACCGGTTGAAAGCGCATTCACCGTCGCATCTCAATTATGCTCACAATTTCTTCCACCCATCTTCATCTCCCTTGCAGTGAGTCAACCCCCTTCCTCCCCTCTCCCACCAACCATTAGAAGGCAGCTCTCTCCTCAAGCCACAGGGCCTCCTAGTTCCATGATGGGATTTGATTGTCGATGAAGAGGGAGGAATGTGAGCATACGCTTCTTCTGATATGGGAGATGTCAACGGTATCTACTAGGGTTAGTTATTGGGAGAGGGCAGGTGGTGGTCGTAGGGGTCCTCCCTTCAAGATGGCTAACCAAAAGTTCCCATTTTTATTATTAAAAAAAAAAAGAGAAAAAAAGGAAGCTGAATTTCTTCGAATGGGAAAAAGGAAATATAATGCTTTCAGACGAGGAAGGAATGGCAAAGCATTGAAGGAGCACAAAAACGGACATACATATCCAAAATGCACTGTGAAATAGGTACTGCCATGTGCTTACCTCAGCTGGTTCAAACCAGACATCTGGGTTCAATGTGTCACCGAACCGATAATATGGCTGGAACACAAAACGAACATTCATGTTTCTGCATATACTAAAAATGGTGAAATTTTATGTATGAAACGAATGTTTAATAAGGAATCAATCTTATCTATACCTTTGGTCTGGGGATCACTTTACTTCGGAGAGAAGTAGAGCGATCTTCAAGATCCTTCTCGGAGAATCCGGTACCTAAAAATTATGGATTGAAATCTATTATTCAATAGGGATCACAGAATGTGAATATTGTGCAATATTAAAGCGCAGAGGAGTCCACGCACCAATGTTACATATGCTTTGGTATTCTTCATTTTGCTCATCATAACAAGCAAGGAGAAAAGATCCATACACTCCTGACATAATTATGAAAAAATGTTAGATGATTTTTCAGGGAAGAACTGAGCAACATGTCAATCAAATGGCATTGTCTCCTATTAAATTCTCTAAAAATCACACAGAGCAAGGTTATGAATCACACAGGGCACGACAAATTGAGCAATCTTTGCAGCTTGCGAAGAAATGGGTCTAAACCAGAGAGAAAACTCAGTGCACAACATTGAAAGGAGATCAAGAAAAGCATAGCATAGTAGTAACCTGTACGTTTCCCACGACCATGGAATGCAGCAATGGGTACCAAATCTAGTGAGTCTCCAATGCTGAAATGAACAATGTAAGGAAGGCTGAGCTGAAGAAAAAAATATTCACGAGAAAAGAAAGAGGCCAGTCAACATCCTAGGACAAAATAACCCTTCCTACCTGTCCATATAATCTTTCTTCAGTTTCAGCCAGTTGTTTGACCGCTTTGAAGGTTCATAGGTGGCATCCCCGTCCAACGTCTTGATGATCAATCCTTCACAGCTTCATTGATTCAGTAAAATTAGTTAAGATTACATCTAGGAAACACCACAGTTTATATTGAGGCTGTACATGTGAAATGAGAAGTTGTTATTTAGATTTTGATAGTAAAAAAACTGCAGCTTATAGACGTGATATTCCTCCTGAAACATTTTTGATAATGCGATCTTTTAAAGTGCGAAACCAAGAAAGTCAACCAGGGCCCAGTCAGATGAATACAAGATTTGATTCAATGCTGGTCTACAGGTATTGGTAGCATCTCAGCTGCAGCTCACCACTATTCCAACAACACGAAGCATAAGCTAGGCACAGTCAGCACCCTCTCGGATGAGACAATTTCTCGGGTAACAGAATTTCTCGGATGGGGAATACTAAACATGAAGATCGCAGCTCAATGTTAATCACTTTCTTTGTTCGTCAACCCATTATGTTACACATAAGCTATAAATAAATTAATGATATGCAGAGGATCATGTGTCAAAATTTTCAATGAGTTGCAGGCTATCTTTTTGCCAAGTATCTTACCTGGAATTCACAGCGATTTGAAGGAAGTTTTGAATTTCTTCTAGATCAGTGGAGGTCAATGCCGTTGCAAATTGAAAATATCCAGGAATTTCCTCAAAAGAATCATAAAGATGCTGCAACAGGGCACATCAGAAGTTAGTACATGATATATTGTGAACAAATGCGCAATAACTGTAACGTGAGAGATTTAGAAAAAGATGAATCTGAAAAAAACAAGGTAATTGTTCGCCTGCAGAAACCATGCAAGAAAAATACAACCACCGCAATCACACAATGAACAGGTAAGAATAACCAGCTATAGAATGATGTTTGAAATTCAAATCAACTTTTAGGGAACAGCCAAAGAAAGGTTAGCGAGAGTGCGTGAGAGAGAGACAGAGGAGGAAGCAGATACAACAGATTTAAATGTCGGACGCGAATTTCTTTCACACAAACTCAAATTTAATGCGGAAGTACAAATCTAAACGCCTGGATTTTTGGCAAAGGAACATATTTCTGAGACTATCTTTGACAGTTATAGGTTAAAAATATGTGAATCTTATTCTAGAATAGAGCATCACCCTCTAGAGGAGATATTACAAGGTAAACCCACACTGTTAAAACAAAGAAAGTAATAAACCCGAGCCCCATTCAACATGAGTGCCCAAGATCCTTCCCCGAGAAGAAGAACATGTTGCTGATTACTTATTTCTTCATAATCTACCAAATGAATATTTGAAGTCCATTAAATAGATTATAGACTTTAGTTTTCTCTAGAATCAAGATTCAAAAAGAAGCATTGAACATGATTAAAAAGTTGGAATTTTTAGGTTCTCATGTTACACTTTTTGTTTGATAAACATAGTGTGGCTTATTTCCAAAAACTGTTTATAAAAATAAATGAACTTATGCATTTGACACCTAATCCATTTCTTTTCGTAAGTGTGACCTTTCCCCTTATTCCCACGCTTGGTTTTTTTCAGAACTAGTGACATTTAGTAAAGCCTTTATACCATAATCACCCTACAACCTGAACACTGATATTACCAATACTGCAGTCCAAATGGACGGCAAGATAAGTGCTTCTAAAATAAACGTATACTCGTAGAAATGTGTTTCTCTTTAAATTGGACCCTCATTTTAGTTTCATGGGACTCATGAGTTGGAATGTGGAACCTGATTACTAGTAAATATGGTCACCCTATGGAATTTTTCGGGGCTATGAGTAAAATTTTTCCTAGGCCCTACAAGTAAAGAAATCTTCCAACTCATGGAAGTAAAATTAAATAATTTTATTTTTTGTAGCTCCAAGAAAATAGGTGACAGAGCGAGGCCATAAATGTGGATAAAGTTGACCATGTAAAAGCTGCATGCATCCATGTGTTTGATTCTCTTCCCTCTTCCTCTTTCTCAATCTTCCATTTATTTATTATCTCTTGCGGATCATATGAAGATTGCTCATGGCATTGATGGGTTTATGGATCAGAGATAATATAATAGTTTCCATCGAAACCAAGATTATCGTAAAATAGTTTTCTACGTGAGTATCTGAAAGTATCCCAAAGCCACTCATGAACAATGTTTTTTCCTCATTTAACAACCTGTAAGTCCAAAAAAACATATGAACACTGATGATTCAAGTGTCGAGAAACATGCTCATTCTAGAATATGCCACAACTAAAAACTTCTCATTTGCTTGAAAATTATAAACCCAACAACATTTTAACATTTATACCTGTCTACGAGTCCTGAGCTGCTCTTGAAGGAGCGCCTCCCCATTGAGGAACAAGATGTCAAAAGCAAAAGTGCAAACCTCAACTTTTATGTCACCCATTGCCACATCCTTACGAGCACGAGTACTGAGTATCTGGAAGTATACAATGTCATCAGTTGGCGTCATTCAACGACAGAAGATCATTACATGATTTAACAATTAGAAATAAAATCCAAGAAGAAACTATTTGCGCAAAGTGATAATAAGAAAACAAATTGGTGAAGATAGGACTTTCAAGAAGGCAATGTTCCAAGACAGGCAACTACATTTGAGACATTCACAGGAGAGTAGTCATGGCATAGATAAAACTCTAATGTACTAGGATCCAACTTTATCCATTAATGCCACGATTATTTGCATCCCCTCCCTACAGTGTTCTCAATTAAACAGTTTACCCGTTTGCATCAATCCAATAGCCCTTGGATTCTATAACCAAAATCTGAAAAACTAAACATCAAGGATGCCAGCATAATTTAATGTACATGACAAGAAAGTAAAAATGTTCATTTTTCATTGACACTGACATTCTCTCTTCATCAAATTACCAATATTTATATTCTTCTTTCCTGTCAATTGATCAACTTATACATTCAGCAGCGAAAATCGTAAATTCAGTTTAGTCTCTCGTGTCCATAATATTTGATCTCATTCAGCCGCATCATTGTTTCGATGAGACAAAAATTTGCTGGATCTGACAAGAGCTGTACAAATGCTTTAGCGGATTGCCATTGGCTATTCTTCTGTCCTATACTTTGTCAACACAATTGGCTCAAAGAAAGAGGAAAAGAAATCGCACCACAGGATTAACCAGGCAGCTGATGGAGGTGACATCCGTTCAGCAAATGATATGATCTAATAATGCGTGATAAATGAATTTCTTCCCCTACCAAGAAGATCAGATTAGGCGTTGTCCCCAAGGATAATTAGATTCACATGAGCCTCGTAAAATCTACCCGTTAGACATGAATGCACATATATGTTAATGGGAAAGAGCATCAATAAAGAAAAAACCATAAGTGAAACTCCGGAATGAAAGAGATCTATGGAAAAAAAAAATTAAAGAGATGATATTATCCTAATCTGTGCAGTATCAATGAACGTTTAATAGAAGAGCCGATTGGATGCGTTATTCAAACCTGGAATGGCAAAATCTTCTGCTTTTCTCGGTCATATGCGACAACTTCACAATCTAGCACAAAAGACTTTACTGATGGCTTCTTGAATCTGCACTCTGACAGAATGAGCATTACAAATTGTATTCGAACCAGAGAAAAGAACCAACAACAACCGAACGATGTTAACCAGCTGTAGCAGGACAGTATCATCATAGGAAACATTGTTTCTATCACTATTCGAGTTGATTTAAAGTTTTTATCTCTATTTGAAAGTGGGCGTACAAACAGAAATAACAAGACAGCTTGATGACATCAGAGGCCGGGGGTAAAGAGAACAATGGTGAAAAGTACTACTACCTTGATACAGAATTGACAACATCAGGGTACTTCCCAGTATTCCTTTCAGCGTTTCTACTATAAATCTCCACTGAACCATCCTCCATATAATGTATCTGGATTTAGAAAAAGATGTAAGAGCATGTATGATACGCAACAAATTATAGAAGCAGTTATGGCATTAGCTTTACCTGAGCACGCTCACCATCATATTTGTACTCACACGTAAATTCCATGCCTTGGAATTTATCAAGTATCTCAGAGACACCCTTAGTTGGCTTGGCTAGCATGGGTTTAACAGGCACTCCCAGTGAAAACTTGCACACTTCTGAAAGCTTCCATACACCCAACCGAAGAAGATTGGGTATAATTTTATCATAGTCGGGAAGAACAGAGTACACTTGCTTAATGATTTTGGCAGCCTGGCAAGAGGACGCGTCAGAAAATGATGAAAAAGCATCTAAGAAAAAATAGTTATTTTAAGAAGGCTGTCTTTTAAAAAAAAAACTAAGTTGCAGTTAGTCCGCTATAGTTTGCCCTTCAAGGTTGGCATGATTGCCTCCTAGGCTGTGAAATTCCATCTTCCAGACATAATAACAATGGAAGATGTTTAGAAAACAGCAGGCCAAAATTGGTTGCGAATATATATGGGACTTACGTAGTGCATTGATGCCCACCCCCCATGCATGGAGAATGAAAAGTAGAGAGAAATGAAGTTCATTTAATGGTGCCTAAATACGCATTTATAAAAAAACAGAGAATTGTAAAAGAAAAATTATTAAATATTTTCTATCCAAAATAATCTGGAACCACAGTTTTGTTGATTAATCCCGCTATTTCAATCACAGTCTGTGTTTTTTCGGGTATAGTAGTCCACAAAAAAAATTAGGAGAAGACATTTCTCAGAAATCAAAGAACCATCATCAAATATCAATGTCCATTGCATGCATGTAAGCAGATCACGTCTTCAAAGATTAGCTTACTGCAGGTGGAAACACCTCACCTCTTCAAGGGGAGACTGAGACTCTGGGGGAGGCGCTGGTAGCGTATCACAATATGCAGCTGCTTGTCCAAGGGCAATCAACACTGTTTGTTCTGCCAAGCCAATTCGCATTTTCGACTACAGAATCCATACAAAGCGTCAGAGAAAATGTCGAAATAACAAAAAGGCATACTACAAACAAAACTTAAGACCTGAAGTAATCGGATTAGATATTGGGGTTCACAATCGGTAGCAGCAACAAGAAGTCCTTTTATGTGGTTCCTTTTCTTGTCTTGACTGTCCTTTCCAGCTTCCTGTAGCAAAATAATGGCATCCTACCCATTAGTGTACTGTATACGAAAGTTTCTGTCAGAAACTAAACCAAAGAAGATTAAGCAGAAGAAAAAACTATATGTATAAAGCACCAACACGTAATTGACAGAAAGGTGACGTTTCTGGAATAAAGTAAAAAGAAGATTCGCATATTGCAAGTCCCAGTTTCCTCTATCATGATCAGACACTCTGGCAGCGTTAATGAAATAGAAATGTATATTCATTGTATTCATCGAGCAGCAAATACGAATGAATAAAAATCCCATGAAAGAAATACGTATTATCTCTGACCAAAAAATTGCCCCTACAATATGCATACTATCAAAATATTGTGCAAACACAGAAGGCATTGTGCATCGCCATACAGACTCAGGGCAACATTAGCTTTAAGTCCCTTATTGTTCAGGCTTTCCCTGAGCTACACAAATGACCGCTTTCAAAAACAGACCACCTTCATACACATTCCAACATAGATGCTGCCATCGCCAATCACATTGATAAAAGCCTTCTGACAGATAGAAAGGTTTAGCCCGTCTCAGTTTCCTATTTGCATCTCTGTTCCCCTGAACTACCTCTCGATGAGTTACCATAAGAAAAAAAGGGAGAATAAAAAGACCGTCTTTTTTCATGTCTCATTTATGAACTCATATGCATCCTTACAATTCGTCGTATCATTGGGATCATTAGGTCTCACCCAGATGAACCTGAGGCAAATTACTCTGTGGATATATCGTGCAAATTCCAGCATCAAATATGATTTTGATACTAAGGCAGCGTTGTTTAGAGCTAGTGCATGTTTGCCTGTTAATACATCCCATTCTTCCACAAAAAGAACACCAGTCCAAGACCTCTGTGTGCGGCAGTGTGACTTTCAGTCACAGTTGGTTTATCCCTTTTCAAATGGAAGCAATAAAAGTGATAAAAATACAAAGGCAGCATGTTTCTTGAATAAATACAAGTAAAATTATCAGGGTACATCTAAAGTTGATAGGGTCATATATCGACCTAAATAAACAATGTGTTATTCACGCGTCAATCTCAGTTGGCCACGCATTTAGCTTAGAACGTAACGCTCAAAAAAGTGCCTGAGAAAAGATCCGGAAAGGTCTTGGTTTCCAGGTCCAATGGTTCAGAAAAACGTTCACATTGTCTCATAATAACCGGGTGACTATGTATACGCTAAACAAATCACAGAGACTGGTATCATGCGCAGACCTACACATCATGTACGAATAGGCCATCTCACACTCTGAAAATAAGACGCACCTTCGCAATGGTGCGGAATGTGTCAAGAACTTTGGAAACAGTCAAAGGTTTGGGCTTGAACATCACTCTTTGCGATAATCGGCTAGCTTTTGCTACAAGGCCTAAGTCGCCAAGTTCCTGCAGCGACGCCAGATGTCCATTCAACGCTAAGAGGAATTGAATAGCACAACCAGTCGCAATGTAGGTGGACAAAAGTACCTTCAGCTGGTTCTTGACGTGCTCTTCCTTCCTACCATAGGCCTCCGCCAGGGCTCTGATAATAGAAGCATCCCCTATTCCCAGCTCCAAACCCTCATGAGGAGGGGCAATCTTGTTGGCAGACAGATAAACAACTGAAACCAGATCGCCTGGAGTAGTGGCGATCACTGTACGGAAAACGTTAGTCAAGATGTCCGCAATTGCAATTCGCCCTGATTCGTTCGAAATCAAGTCGAGCGCACGTGCAAGAAACAGAAAGGGAACCGACTCTCCCTCGTTCCAACAGGCCACGGTCTTAGGGTCGAAATCGGATCCCTTCTTCCTCAGCTCCAACTCCACCTTCTTCTCTTCTTTCTCTTCGTTGGGCGTAGAGGCATCGGGTAGCTGCGGGATGTTGCCGTTACCGTCTTGATTTTCTCCAGCCTTGGGCTTCTTCAATCGCGGAACGGCAACATCTTGTGCCTGGGGGGACTTCTTCGCCTTCTTCTCGGCGGCAGCACGAGCCGCCCCCATGAGGACGTCCGCCACGGTGCGCTGAGACGACATACCGGGGGGAGGAGACGGGGATGGGGAGGAATGATCTTCTGTAGGCTTCTTTCTGGATCTACGACTGGGTCTGGAGTTGCAGAAGAACCTGATTTGGCTGCGGGGAGTAGGGACGAGTGAGGTATGAGAGCATCGACAGAGCAGCAGAGTCTGGTGAGGTCTCAACATGTAAGGAGCGAGAGGTGTTTGCATAAATGGGGAAGAAGAAGTGCGTTGAATTGGATTTTGGACGTTACCGCTCGAAGGGTTGCGCGGGGGATTTACTTCCGGCAGATTATTTTCATGTATATCTAACTTAAATCTATTATTTTCCGAATCAACCCTTAAATATTTTATATGTGCAAAATACTCCCCTAAAATGGAATTGAGCTCATCTGCTGCACAAACCTACGCTCACCGTCATCAAACTCAAAAATGAGATGACCCATGGGCCAACTCGGCTTCTCTCAGAGCAAGGATTGTTGCTTCGCTTGTAGTCTAAATAAAAGATTAAAGGCAATGATTAATTGGTTTTCTATTAGGTTTAAATATTCTGTGTTTGTAAATAGTTTTTTGTAGTCTAAATAAAATATTAAAGGCAATGATTAATTGGTTTTCTATTAGGTTTAAATATTCTGTGTTTATCAATAGTTTTTGGCAATTTTAGATATAGTGAGTGGACATAGTCTTTTAAGAGTCAAGACAACAGGTATTCAGTGGACTTAAACTAATTTGGGTCAACACATTGAATCAACCACTACTTAACTTGAATAAGTAGATACATGAAAGTCTTGTATGTCTAAGATAGCGATTTGTATTAGTTCAGCCTTTCATCTGACTTATGTCCATATTTCAAAGATTATTTACCTTAGTTTCTATTATTCCTCTTCAAATATGCAAAACTGAACTTCATGGGAATAACAAATCCATTATATGATAGATTTGACATACATATCACTGTACACTAAATATCAAGATATTAGTTTGTCCTTTTACCCTCATTACAAATTGAAGTGTTTTCATGTAGTAAATTAAAATTTGACAACTTACACTTTACTTTTGATGTTGAAACGATGGTCTCTTTATTATTATGTGGAATTTGAGTGTTGGAGTAAGCTTGGGTGAGCAAAACCTTGTAGTAGATTTTCAAGAGTTATTTTAAAATGTGTAACAAAAAAAAAGATCTGTCATTGAGGAGATGTTTGAAACCATTTTTAGTGGGCTACTACCAAACCTAAAATCTCAACTAGTAGAGTCAAATCTTTGAGATATGTTTGATTAGTGATTACCTTGATCAACCTCCTGTCAGATTATATACTCATGTTTTCACATTTGGTATTTTACCAAGTTAATCTATAAATTTGTCATTTTTTTTGACATATCTTTACTTTTTGACTTGTTAGAATGTACTGTTTTGTTATATTTATATCATGTCTTACATTACTATCATGTCATAGCGTTATAATTCACTAAGAAAATCTCTTTTGTCTCTCTATCAAGATTTGGTAGATATTTCTAAGTGGAATTTCTTTATATCAAGATGAGTTTACACACTCTTTCGTAAGTCTACATGCTTTCTCTTACCTCAAATAGGTCGACAAATTGGTCTAGCATATATGTTGAGACATTCTTTCTCTCCTATTATTTTCGTTTTGAATTTTTTAATTGATTTAGGTTTATACATTTGAGTTTGTTGGCATCCTCTTTCTTCATATGATGCTTGAAAATATATTTAGATATCTAGATCTAATAATTGGGATATTGATTATTGGGTTAGTGTATATAAACATATTTCATTGAAAATCTCATTTTTTATCTTTGTATAATTATCTATCAACATTAAACTTCTCAAACAATGATAAGGTATATTAAACGAAAAAATATACCTTAAATATACTCCAATAATATCGTAACATAGCTTGAAATTCTCTAATATACATGCAAAAGAAGTCTAATATATCTTACCTAGGTCACATTGATTCTGATGTATATATAGACATAAATGGGTATGTATGAAATTTATAAATATTTCAACTTAAAATTTTTATGTGATTATAACTTTTCTAGTATATTTGTGAAGATTCTTATTAATATATTTGTTTCTTATTTGACATTTATGTTTGCCTAGGAGTGTATATCAAATATATTAAATATATACATATTACTTATTACTTATTTATACTTACTTCGAGGAATGAATATATACACAAAATTACAAGCAAATATTGTGCAATATTTCATTTGCTCCTAATAAATAAAAGCCCTTAAAAAAGGTTATAAAGGCTAGAACAGCCTTGTCGTAGTTCTACAAGAAGAACTAAAAACAAATCCAAATCAGAATTAATAACATGTTGTGACAAAATCAATTGCTTGATTCAAATTTTCTGCCAGTTGTTCTATAACACTTGGAGTCATAAGTTTCACTTTAGTAGATGAATTTTAAGTTACTATTATATTTTAACTTTTATTTAACATAACCATTGTAGATGCCTTTGGTGTTAATATATAGTGTGTTTTGACACATATTGTGCATAATTTATGAATTATGATTGAATATTTTAAAACATAATTCATATTTATTTTTATCAAATGATAAATATTATTGCAAAATATTTAAATTACATATATTGATAATATATTGTACACTTATGACCAACAACGAGTCACATTCTTTTACATTGAAGTATAGCATAATAAGTGTCAAAATGTGTGACAAAGTCTCAAATATATTTTGAAAAATCAAAGTCACTAGTGAGATTTGAATGTGCATCTCAACAATGTGAAAAATAGACCATCAGTATAAAAATATTTGAAATATTAAAGATACATAATAACATATATAGGATTTGAAATCAAGAAGCAAGCTTAGGGAAAGTGGAAAAATTATGGTCAAAATATTTAAAACTCAATATGGGCAGACTTTGAAATCAAGAGCATTGTGGAGACATGTGAAAGTTAGTCAAGATATTCAAAATGAAAATATATGATCAATGACTAATGTAAAAATCAAACTCATGACCTATATAGTAATTCAGTTGAAATATTTGCATGAACCAAAGAAAGAGACAGAGAAGTCATTGTCTGACATGTCAGAGTCATTGTAATAAGAAAATTATGATGTATATACTTTTTTATTATTATTCTTTTTATTAATCACACATCTAATTATATTTTGGTATAATTCGTAAGTTAGGTCGTTTCCTTGGGATGATACTATTATAATAGATTTTTTCATATTCTCCTAAGAATATGAATTGTTTAAAATATTTTTAGGTGATTAATTCCTAGATATGAACATATTAACATTCTAAAAGAGAATAATATCTAAAAGAAAACTTTAAAATTCTAAAGAAAATTAGAACTGATGGGTAGAATTAAATAATTGATCATTTATTTTTCTTTCCTTGTGTCATATCAAGGAGAAGAGAAAAATAAACGAATGCAAGTAGTAATTAATTGACCTATATTCAATATAATTATAACAAGAATTAAGGCTAACACAAGTAAATAATTGAAGGTTATAAGAGAAAGAAGCAATCTTAGAAAAGAGAATACAAGTAATGACTTGTATTACATGAGAATACAAGGTTATAAGGAATAACATGTTAACTAAATTAGAAATTGAAATCAAAATCAGAATAAAATGAGTCATAAACACACAAAATTGGTGGCGATCATCTTTGCATTCCGGAATAAATTCAATTAACATGTAATCAACCCTAACTCTAATAAGAATATTAGATCCTTTTCATGTCAAGTGGAGAAGGCCGAGTATTTGATTCAAGTATGAATTCAGAACCAAAAGAAAATTTACTATTAAGAAATCAAAATAAAGTGCGGATAAAAGAATATTTTAATTCAAATTTGAGTAAACACATGTAATGAAATTAAAAAAAATTACAAGGAACAAAGGGTGCTTGAGCTGATGAAAGAAAATCAAAAACTTACAACCTTGACTCCCTCAATGTCACCATAAAGCTCTCATAAATCTCTCTCTAAAGAAAGTGAAGTAATGATTCCTAATCTCTAAAGAAATGTCTTTAGACTCCCCATCCCCCCTATTTATAGGTACTAATAAACACTCTGAAGAGAGTAATAATCATCACACCTTCTAAAGAGTCTCCTTAGAGGAGTGGGAGGTTGCAACCACCACACCCACCCTTTAGAGACTCTCCTTATGAAGAGCGGGAGGTTGCAAGCATCGCACCTTGCCTATAAATAAAGCACCCCCTTATCCTCGTGATCATTTCATTAGAGAGAGCCTGGAAGAGGTTATGAAAGAGCTTAAAAGAAGTTCCAAGGGGTGGGTCTTGGGAAAAGTTTTAGGGGAGATATTTCTTTAGCTTTTTAATGAGCCCTTTAAGGGCCAAGATTAGGGATTTGTGAATTGGGTTCTTGGTGAGAGTTCTTCTATACTTTTGTTTCATCTAGTAAAATTTTTGTCATCGTCCATAGAAGAAGGCCAATATCCAAACCACATAAATCCTTGTGTGAGTTAATCCATGTGTGAGGCCAATATCCTTGTCGTCGTCGGTGCTCTTGTTGTGAAGTTGATCCATTTCTTCTTTCCTACTTCATGTCATATATATCGAGAGAGTAGTATTCTGCAAGCCCATATTGAACTTTTGCTCTAACAGGAACAACACGGATGTCCCATTTTGCCCGGACAACGAATATGGCTTATTCTTAATTCCACGCTTAATCAGGGCGCTCAGCAGATCATATAGATGCTCTTGAATCTGTTGCGGCTGCAACGGGCGGGTCTCCTTCTTCGAGCCTTCCGAGGAGCCCTGGCAGTAAGAGTCAGTGTACAGCGTCGTGGTCTAGCCCTCCGTGAACACGAAGTGGTACCCTCCCTGGTACCCGCTGATGTCGACACACTCACAGCCGTCGACGTCCTTTGTGGCGCGCGTTACTCTGCCTTTCCGGCACGTTTGAAGCTGGCCGGCAACTCTACGCAGTCTCCGCTAGGATTGGTCCGAAGGAATCCAAAATGAAGAGAGAGAATTGGAAAGGGAGATTTGATGCCTTTCGTCACATTCTGACCAGGCGGGCTATTCCAAGAACTCATAAAAATTCGGACAAAGGTGAGCCAACGGAGTTCACAGATCAAATGGGCGGTTCCCTTATTATTTCTGAACTTGATCATTCCACTGCAAATGGTTGGCGCGTGTATACCCAGTTATGGATATACTGAATTTCCCAACAAAATAAAGACTAGTCGAAACATTTTTCATGCAATGACTTACAATCGATGTATTGCCTCATGAATCCGATTGACAATGTGTCAGAATAAGTGGAAATAAATGAGCAGATAAACATGGGGAAATAAATTATTTTTACTGCAATTTTTTTCGTGTTTTTTAATAGGCTTTCCGGGTAACAGCATTGGCATCTGTCGTATGCCCTTATAAGACTGTTTTATCTTCGTCATGACACGTTGAACCCAACAATGTCACTAGTTTTTTATCATATTGTAACCTCCATAATAACATTCATAATACTGATCGAGATTACCGTGTTATAATCTCACTGGAGATGACAGAGTACACCAGTCTCCACTGATCGATACATCAAGCCCTGGCTGGGAACCGGCGCAGATGCGAGAATAGCCAGATCAATGGTGAATGATCGACATACATCAATTGCAGATTTCCTCTCTACTCTTGCGGAAACGTCGAACACTGCACTCGGAGAAGATGAAAAGCATAACGATGATTCAAGCTCTTTCTTGCACAATGATGGAATCACTTTTTGGTTTAGATTCTTATTCTTCTGTCACTCGCCGTAGTCCATTGTTAGTCTCACGACACAACAAGAATAAGATAAATTTATTTAGTTAGTATCATCGAATTTGAAGAATTTTGAGCTCAGGGGTTCATAGGGTACTGAATACGGTTAAGCAGTTTGTATAGATCATACGCAAATCTTGCAAGGAAACTTGTTTTTGGTTAACCAAGAAAACAACTTAAAGCATATTGCTGAAGTACTAATGAACCCAGGTCGTACCTGATGTAGGACCAACCAAGGCACCCGGGATATTGAAAGAGATGAGAATTCATGACTCTGTGGACCAACTTCATTGCAAAGTTCTCAACTTGGAGGTCACTGCTGCAGGCTTATCTAACCTTTTAAAATCGACGAGGTAAGTGGTCTGCCGCCTCCTGATGCGAGTATATATTTGACATAATCTTCGCGTTACGCGACCAGGTCAACACGTGCGAGGGTGAATCGCCGGAATTACCTGTTTCATTCTCGATAGGCCTTAACACTATGGCATCAGCATGTTTTCTCCTAAGGATTTCATATTCTTTGTCTAAAGACCGAATTAAAGCCTTTAGATGATGACCTGCGCGCAGGGTAAAAGTTTAATTTACTACGGTAATTAAAACGATTCTTCGTGGACGATTTAATACCGACCCATGCTGAATTAGTTCATAGACCTACAAACATCTATCGTTGAAATCTTTCGAAAGTTGATTCCATTTAGCCATGCAACTTTACAGTATTTTGCCCTCCATAAACACCGACTCTGGATGAAGGGTGATTTCGGTTCAGTTCAAAAGCTAAGCGCATTGGCAACTACATGATCTTTTTAGGACTCGACGTTAAAACAGATTCCTGTAGTATCAATTTTTTCACAAGCCCAGGAGTTCCCTTCGTCCCAAGTTCCGGGGAGCTCAACAACGGTCAGCCCCCTCTGACCCAACTGAATCGTCTATTATAGCTTGTTATTCAAAACAAACTATATCTAGTTAACTCCATTCCAACATCAGACAGATTGTCAGCATGAAATCCTAGTGAAGAGACGAGCTTCCACTCACAAACGGCTACTCGTCGTCTCCTTATAGTTATGCTCTGGGGTTAAAACTATTGACCGACACGAACTCGAGTAGTTCTCCTATGTATGCAATTTGTTATTATGGTCGAGCACGTTAGTAGCCCGACAACATGGACATGGTACCTATAGAAACCTCATGTGACCATCCTCATGCGAGCCAGTATACACCTGCGATTCGTTACGTCACGAAGAAGCTGTCGTGAAATAGTAAAAGTCTTCCTTGCTAATTTATTCAAACATATTTCTGCAGCTCAGTCAGTCCGTGGAGACATCACCGACTGGCTGCAAGTAAAAGGAGCGCTCATGTCATTTCATCCGGGCAAGTACTGCCGCAGAGACACCAGCTTTCCGTTTATTCTTTATACTTCCTTCTGAAGAACTCGCAGTAGCGCTCGCTCAGCAGATCATATAGATGCTCTTAAAGTAGTTGGGTTTGCAGCGGCGGGTTTCTTTGTAGAGGGAGACGGAGGATCCACTGCAGTAGGACCCCTTGTACAGCGTGGCCTCCTGTCCCTCGGTAAACACGAAGTGGTACCCTCCCTGGTACCCGCTGATGTCGAAACACCCGCAGCCGTTGACGTCCTTGGTCCTCCCGGCGCACCCCGGGCCCGAGAACGCCGTCAGGGTACTGGCCGAAGCCGGCAGAACGGTGGCAGCTGCGACCAGGAGCAGCAGGAGAACTGCAGCTGCAGTAGACTTGTTGCTGGTGGCCATATCTTCTGAAGGAGGAGAGTGGGGGGGGGGGAGGGTTTGTGGCCGGGAGATTGGCGAAACAATGCAGATGGGACGGTGTGGAGGCCCTTACCCTCCTGTCCATCGCATTTATAGCGATCGGAAGGGGGATGACCAAGCCTGGGATCAACTAAACGACGACATGCGTCCTCTAAGCTCCTCCTTGGGTAGCTTATTTCGTCAAGAAACCAGGCCGTTAATGCTGGGTCATCTCTCGTCTTTGAACGTCCTTCAGCGAAAGAAGTCATTGTCGACGTGTTTTTTGGCTACGACTTGTTCTCCGGAAAACTTGATTAGCGTTGGGTACTTTCATTTCAGGGCTTCTGGAACTCGTCAACACACCGTGCTTTCTTTAGAACTTCAAACAGGGTTGATGGCACGTAGCCTCTCTGGACCTTGTTCCCACCATACAGCTTTCATATTAAGGTGACAACCAAGGAGTCGCCCCGTCAGACACAGTAATTACGATTGTCATTGCACTAACACAGTAATTACAGCTTGTGGCCGATTGTGAGTCTCGAGTAGATGGCCTCCTGTAAAGGAGCACGTCCGCAGATGACAGTTAATTACGATTGTCATTGCACTAACACTCAACAAGACATGATCAAAGCGGTAATAATCATTTCTAGAAGCTTCGCTGTGGATAGGGTTGATAAAAGCGACACTGATTTGGAGTGATCGCCGTCTGGTCAAGCTACTTCAATGACAGTTCACACTTTCAAAGCATAATTTTTAAAATGCCCTCGGGAAACCTCCTCCAAATATCTACTACGAAACTTCGTGTAGGCCTCTTCGTTGAATTAGTCTCATTTGGAGGGCTGTTGACTTGTCGCCACACCTGATTTTGGTTCCGCCATACCTCGTTACAGATGACAGTAAAAGCATGGTCTTCACTACATAGGATGTAAATAGGGTTCCCGACGACACCTTATCCATCTCTAGCTCGCTTCCATTTTTACTCCGACAACACCTTATCCATTCAGCTATCGATTTAAAGTGACAACTAAGTTTCCGTGTCCCCGACAGAATGTGAGGTGGGAGTAGGTGGCGTCCTTTTCCTTGGCAGAGCATTATGACATATACAACTTGCTTACATTGGTCGTTGTCGGCGAATGGTCATAACATTTATTAGAAAGATTAATAAGCCGTGTCTTTCTTACATTGCTTACATTGCTCGTGATCCGCATATATATGGGTGTAAGTTGTTAGTATTTAATGCAAAAATATTTCTCATTTTTTGTCTTTCTTAGGCTTTTCTTTTATTGTTTAGTGGGCAAAAGTTGTTCGTGTCTTTAGTGGGCCATAAGTGGCCACTCCATTTAATATACATGACTATAAATACAATTCTCTCTCTTTATTTTAATATATGAAAAATTTTGTCTTTTTCTATGGTTAGTGAGCGCATAAACTGTCCTTTTTCTCCCTCTCTCTCTTGTTCATTTTTCTCTCTAAAATTAATATTTTTGTTGCAAGTTTGTTCTTTTATTTACTAGAAGTGGTATCAGAGCACTAGGTTTGCAGATTGGGGATTGTTTTCTTTTGTGGAGAAATCAGCAACAATAGAAGAGGAGAAATTCGAGGTTTGTGAAAAGTATTTAATTTTTTTTGAATATTTCTTATTGTAGCAAGTATTTTGAATATTGAAATCATCATTTCCTAGAGAGAAATCATCATAATAGTGAGATGGCAAATGTTAATCTCCTAAATTTATCACAACTTCTTGTTCTATTATTTAATAGAAAAAAATACAATTTTTAAAGTATTAAAATGAAGATATTTTTTATTTCTTTGGACTTATGGGAATTAGTTGAGAGTGAAAATAAGGAAGGAGAGATTTCAAGACAAGAAAATAAGAAATTTTGAAAAAAAGATGCTAAGGCATTATTAGTTTTACAACAATCAATTTCAGAAGCTATTTTTCTACAAATTACTAATGTATCAAGTTCATTTGAAGTATAAAATTTTTTAAAAGATGAATTTCATGGTGATAGCATTTTTATGAATGTGAAGTTTCAAACTCTTCGTTGAGAATTTAAAAATATTTTTATGAAATCAGATGAATCAGTGCATGATTTATTTTCTAAAGTTGTTGTTATTGTAAATCAAATAAGAATATTTGGTGAAGATATTTTTGAAAAATAATTATTAATTTTTTTAAAAAAAGTTTGCCTTCTAAATTTGATCATATTATTATCACCATTGAACAATCTAAGGATTCATCTATTTGCACCCAAAATGAGTTGGTTGGAGCATTGTTAGCACATAAAGAACGAATTAATAAATGAAAGAAAAAATACATTAAACAAGCATTCCAAATGAAGGTTGAAATTTCAAAGAATGAGAAAATAGTGAAGGTACATCTATACAACAAGGACACGGTAGAAGACATTATCAAAATAGAGGCCGTAGAAGAGGACATGATAGATCATATTATGGGCAACAAAGAAATGATGGAAAAAATCAACAAAATTAAAAACTAAATTACAAAATTATGTAATGTCATGTTTGCAAAAAATATGGTCACATTGAAGCATATTGTTATGAAAAGTCAAAACAACAAGAAAATATGAGAGAAGAGAATTCCAAACTAATGTGTAATTTTTGCAAGATGTATGGTCATATTGAAGTAAATTGTTAGGACAAGAAAAATGAATAAAAAAATATTGTTGAAGAAAATAATCAAAATAAGTTGCTTATCAATAATATTTCTTCAAGCTCAAGTACATCAAATATATGGTTTATTGATAGTGGTTGCAGTAATTATATGACAAGTAAAAAAGATTTATTTGAAAATATTGACACCTCTATAATTTGTGATATTACTATTGGTGATGAAAATAGTATGAAAATTGAAGACATTAGTACTATTGCTGTTCATACTAAGTTAGGGGCCTTGTTCAGAATGCTGAGGTCTAAACACAATTTAGCAATCCATAACATACACCTTATTGAATAGATTTCGAAAATGTAGTTAAAATTCGTAACATATATTTGAGTAATGCCGAGTTTGAGAAAAAGTAATTTCTTCCCGATTATAGATGAGCGCACGGCGACGTGCATTTGGTCTCCAAGTCAGGATCAAGGAATGTCCCCAGATCTTATTTGGACGAACTTCATTCCGACTGATATCTCAGTTTGCTAATCGAAGTGGTCGAATTTTGCGAGGGGGGTTCTGGCCGACCAGTGCCGAGATCCATGGTGGGCTCTCCACCTGAATTATAAGAATAGGATCGACCGAAATCGGGCTGGGTGAACGAGTAAACTTTGCCACACCTTTTCTCGGTGTGAAATGAGACTTAACGTGGCACGGGTGTGCTTCGTCCTGTCTTCTTGACTTGGTCCCGTTGAACTCGTGTTCCCTTGGGATGGTTCAAAAGATATCATGGAGAAGCAAACATGAATTCGTCGTCCGCCGTTGCCGGCTTATCCTCACGGTCAACCTTAGAAAAGGAGCTACGTCAAGATCATGTCGTTTACTTCATGGAAGACCCCCCGATGGTACTGTCGTATTTTTATATGTAAGACACGTTGTTGAGAACGAGACTGTTTTGTGGTAGTGTCTTTCGCTTTGACCCATCTCTTTGGTCATCGGGGGCTTTCCTGATGAAGTTACAGACGAAAATGATATAGGCCCAGCAAGGGCTGTAACTTTCCGACACCGGTAAGTGATAGAACTGAGATGCAACAGTTAGTGATAGAACTGAGATGTGATCACTGACTACCGTGACCTTTGAAAAGGTGGATGCTGGAACGTGCTTAGGATGTGGGAGACTTGTCAGAACCTGCTCCCTCGAAGATGAGTAATTCACTAAAGTAAATTCTGTCGTTAGCAAGTTCCATCCGCGCCCTCATACGAGCGATATGACACTTGAAACCAGGGACGTTACTATAGTATTACTGGTTCCCACGCATCCACCATTACTGTTTGGGTCGCAATGGTCGTAAATACCCGCCGGGCAATCTATAAGTTGAGCTCCCCGAAGACGTTAAAACGAGTTCTTCCGTCCTGAAATCGTTGAGAATCCTAACTATCTGGCGCCCTCTCCATAAAAATCGTAGAAGCTTATTAAAAATATAATTCATCTCCTTGTTTATCGAAAACGTTAACAATAACGAATCCTGATATAGTCGATCGGACGCTTATTCACGGAGAGCGAAGAAATCGTGACAAAGTGAAAGGCAGCGTTCCTTATTTACTGGCATTCTTTATTGATACATGCTAATCAGCGCGATGCGATGGCGCGCGTGGATTGCAGCATAGTAAAACAGCGAGGACCTGCCATTTTATCCGGTCGACGGGTTCGGCTTATTCATAAGTTGGCGGCGCTTCATTAAACCCGCTCAGCAGATCATATAGATGCTCTTGAAGTTGTGAAGTTTGCAGCGGCGGGTCTCTTTTTTCAGGGAGACGGAGGAGCCATGGCAGTAGGAATCGGTGTAAAGTACGGCTGCCTGGCCCTCCGTGAACACAAAATGGTACCCTCCCTTGTACCCGCTGATGTCGAAGCACCCACAGCCGTTGACGTCCTTGGTCCTCCCGGCGCATCCCTTGTCCGAGAACACCGTTAGGGTACTGGCCGACGCCGGCAGAACGGCGGCAGCTGCGACGAGAAGCAGGAGGACGGCAGCTGCGGCCGCCTTGCTGGTGGTGGCCATATCTTCTTAACGAGGGGAATGGGGTCGCCTCTGGCTGGGGAAATTGCCAAGGAATGCACGTGGAGCGGTGAAGAGTCCCTCGCTCTTGCTCTCCTCTTTATAGCCATGCGATGGGGCCTGATCTCATGGGATAAGTTCAATGTCGTCTGTCATTTCATCATCAAACATGACGTCAATACTGGGCCTTCCCCGCCTTTAATTTTTCTTAATGTCTTTTCTTTCACTTGCGATTCGACGAGCGTGGCTGGCCAGATATGCCAGGAGCGCGGCTGCGTGTTAAATGTGGCCTCCTCGAGCTCGTCGCCACGTTGCGGTTTGGTTGAACTTGGACTTCGTCGCAGATGACCACGGAGGAGTGGTGTGTGGCGAGGAGGATGGAAAACGGGTTGGTACCGCATAATCCAGCGGGACCTCGTTTTGGATATTCCCCGGGGGACAACCTTATCCGTTCAACTTTCATTTCAAGGTGACAACGAAGTTCTCGCGCCGGGGGAGGGGAGTGATTGGAAGTCTCACTCACGCGTGCGAAATCGGAAGAGAATTCCTTATTGGTATTTTTCCTTGTCCAGGATCTCATTCAGTCTTCCCTGTGTAGCGTTTCCCGGTCAACTTTGATCTGCGCATCGCCTAAGCCGTTGTTTATCCTCGCGAGGACCAATATAGCATTAGTTGAAACACCTATTAATATGCAAGTCCGGCATTTGTCAAGGTGAGAAGACAAGGAATGTAGTAGATGCCTGAAAATAAACTATTTGCCCTAATATCAAGTCATTCCGAACGACCACCCGGGAATGCGTAGTGGATGGCTTGTAAAAGCACATTTGCTTTTGCGATCAGGAGCAGAAAGGGTGGGTCATTCCGAACAGGTAACAAACCTGCTACCGATACAAGTCGGCAATTCAAACTCGAAATCTGGGAAAGATTGAAAGTGAAACAGGGAATGAGATCACCTTCTCATCACAATTTTCGGTTGTCCAAAGAGATGCAAAGGGAGAAGGCAACCATCGCTTATGCCGTATTGCTCAGAAACATACCATATCTTTCCACGCTTAACCACCCAAATCCCTCTCCCATACATCTGTGCAATTGGGTTTCCTCAATCAATAAAATCCCAACCTTCTATAGCGCGAACATTCATCTAACCGGTCATGGCTGCTTTTAGGGTACGTCACACTTCTAGGTGGCATCTCTTCTTTGTGGGCTTCAGACCGGTAGACAAATTGGCATAACCACGGGAGCTTCAACGAGATAACGGCATAACCTTGTTGTAGGATGCATGTCGACCCCAATCCGCTGATCGCAAACTCTTCATTTCTTCTCCAAGCGTACTTTCTCTCAGTTTACCAAATCGGTTCAATGCAATGTTCCCTGTATCCTGCGCTGAGGAACAAACGCAGGTCAGTTTCGGACGTTCAAAATTCCCATTTTCCGTGTTGAAAGCACTCTAAGCAATACTCTGACCAAACCAGGTTTAATGGGACTCGTCTGGATTGGCTAAACTTCACTAAATCTCTAAGGTTTGGAATAGAAGTAGGCTATGATGAAATACCCTACCATCCTCTACAGCTCCTGTTTATGAACCTACCGTCGGGGAAGCCACCTGCTGTTGGTATAATTTAATGTCAGTCAAAACTTATGTAGAGCACATTAACAGCAAATATGAGGGCAGCCCACGGATCAAATCCATCCCCTGGAACTACGTTGTCATTTTCTAGCTTCCCATCGATCAGCCGTGCGTGCAGCATTTCTTCCCCGAAATTAATGACGATCTTCTGGAAACTGTGCCCACTAAAATCCTAAGGAGCGAAAGATCTCAAGATTACGTGCCGATAAGCATAGTATCCGATGAATTGGTTGTGTCTCTAGAAGAATATAGAACCGTGGATGATTTTCATTGGAAAACACCCTGCGAATGCCATGTATGAGTTATGCATGACTGACACATGGGATACTACACGTGAATAACATTTGCCGCTCTTGTCCAAAAACGTTCTATCTGTGCTGGCGGGAACTAGCTCTCTGAAATATAGCCTGAGAGAGTAGCCTTCAATCCATGAATATAAAGGTAATCTAGTAGAACAATACCACATGACTCTGAGCGTATGGCCTACAAAAAACTTTCGTCCGTATCGTCCGCTTACTTCTATGCACAATTCATTAATACATTTATTCAACAGAGTTTACAAATGTAGTTAACAGCCCATATCATTGGCTGAGAAGGTACACATTCACAGCACTCCAAGGTGCTTCATTACCCTTAACAGAAAAGGGAAAAAGAGCAGTACACAGATGGCGGAGATGATGAAAGCAGTAATCTGTTCCTGCTTCTAGATCAGCACAGGGTCATGGCTAGTTTGTCCCCAAATAAGGTTCTAAGAATGTGCCCCAATCTTATCTGGACGAACTTCGTTCCCAGTGATATCTCACTTTTCTAATAGGAATTTGATTCCGCTTTCACAGGCTAAGCCTTCCTCTTACTTCTGGTAGACTGTCTTAGTGAGCTGTACAAATAGGGGTTGTCCTCTGCTGCTGTAGTATGCTCTGAATGTTGAGTGAAGTTCTCCTTCCGTCAGTGGTTCTCCGAAGGTATACCCTTGATGGAAATAACTCACAGTTCTAACAAGCGGTAGCAAGGCTTAGGGGAAACTTATGAGTCTAAAGAAGAACCATTTCATGACTGCTCGGAACTGCAATTAGAACCATAACCCATTCTTCCCAAAACTAAATCAGCTCAGAGTTGTCTTATTCCAGACTCTCCATTACCAAAACTAAAACTAGCAACCTCGTTAGAAAAAGAACCGACATCACCCAAATATAAACCTAGAGCCTCCAAATCAGAGCCTACATCTTTTAAACCACTTCCTACCATCTCATGCGGAACCAAGGCCTACAAGAACACTGGCCCAGGAAAATGACCAAATTTGTTCCGGAAAAAACCAAGCTAGCCACAAACTTTTCCAAACCTCCTAGAGCCAAATATCAGCCTAGACATTGGCAAACCCAGCAGCCTTCCTCCAAATCATATTATTCTGATTTATTTCCGACTATGGCTCTCGAAGCCATATTCTAAAATTTATTTAAGGACAGAAAAGTCTTACGTTGTAAAATCCTTGATCTAATTTTTTTGATAGTGAGAAAATCAACATGCGCTAGTGCTTTGATGTCCTCAATCTTACTAAACTTGTCTCCAATCTAGTAGAAAGTTTTTAAAATTTTTTTAGCATGTTTTATAGCAATGCCTTCTTTGACCTGCCCATTGGATCTCTTCTCTACGTTGAGCAATTTACTTTGAACAATTTTCTATCAACACTCACATGCATGCAAACTACATCAGTGCATATCATGAAGACATTCCCCCTCCCGTTATCATTCATGTCATGCATTTTCTCATTTGTCCTCTTCTATGACATAAAAGCAAAGGATTTGACCAAATTTATGAAAAAATAGCATCCGTCCTCTATTATTTAGTTAATGTCATTCAATTTGACCTCTGATCACTTCTTTTGGATCAAAGGAGAACTATTCTTAAATGCGATCTCACTCTTTCCCTTGGCATCTTCATCATGTATATCTTTTGACATTTTTAATGTTGATATGTCCTCCAAAGAGTTCATCGGTCTTTATTCTCATGATCTCATTGACAAGCCCACTCTTCACCGAATGAACTATCTTCAAATCAATGTTCAATGGCCCTACCCTCTCTCTGCAAATTCTACTTCATCATTCTCACATGCTCTCACCTTTGACATCTTGCCCATCATTGAAAAATTCAATATATGGAAAAAATAGAGCACTAATTGAAAGTAACAGAAGAACGAGTTTGCAAGCTTGAGGACGTGCTTTCTAAGTTCAAATTTGCCATTCTCTGATGCTACAAAAATTTTACGAAGACTGTTCTCCCAAAACATCATATGTTTCTTATTTATATATATATATGATATGGGGGAGAAAAACAGTGTGAAAAGGGGAGAAAATTATGAGTCCATGGATTAGGGGGGAGCACCCACTTAAGGGGAGCATTGACTATGAATGAATGACATATATTTATTATTTAAATTTTTATATTTAATGTCTTTCTTTTGTTAAAATTATAATCATTTACATATGTATCTTTATGAATCATGAGCATTATGGATTTATGAATATGGTGATACTTATTTATGCGAACATGAATTCTCTATGATGAATGTACACATTTTACACATGATCTTTGTTGAATGCACAATCACATAAATAATTTTTCTCAAAAGTATTTTATAAATATTGAAAATGAGAAGATTGTAGATGCTCTGGGTGTTGACACACAGAATGTTTTGACACATAGAATATAAAATTTATTCTTAAAAATTATTATTAAATAAGAGCATGATTCATCTATATACATCATGATTGTCTCTATTGACAAACATTCAAATTATATACATCAATGATGCATTATGCAATCTTATGACCAACAATGAATTCAATGAGTCATTTCTTTGAGATATTCTTTTGTATTGAAGTAATACAATACAATTTTCACTTATTATAAGAACAATATAACAAGTGTTGAAATGTGTGACAAAATATCTTGAATATTCTACAAAACCGAAATTACCAATGAGATTCAAGCACAACACCTAAGCAATGTTAAAAATGGAGTGTTAGTGTAAAAAAATCTAAAATATCAAAGACACATTATGACAGATATAAAGTAAAATCATAAAATAAACTACACATAAGCAAGAAAAATGACAATCGAATTATTCAAATCAAAGTATGAACAAAATTTGAATTTCAGAGCACTATAGAGACACATGGAAAGCTGGTGGATAATTTTTTAAATTATAAATTAAGATGATAATTTTTATCTATGTTCATACTTAATTTTTGTTAAAAAAATGTATATTGATATAATTTTTAGGAAAAAAATTATAGATTTTTATTGTTTTATTGATATTTATTTAAATATAAAAGGTAAAATGTGATAGTGAGTTATGATGGTTAAATAAAAAATATAATAATTAGAATTATGGAAATTATTGAGAGGTTTTCTAAATTTTGTCTAATTATTGGAATTTTATTCTGAATTTAAAAGAAAATTTCAAAACTTCTAAGATGTCTAAATCATAAAAACATGAGTAACTAATAGTAAGTTCTTTGAACAAAGTCTCACGTGAATGAATTTCTAAAATAATTATCATGTCATTGATTTGATATTGATTTTTTAATATTATTGATTTATATATTCAAATCAGGGCATAATGGTCTAAAAGTATAACCTTTCATACTAAAGTAATCTTTATCTCAAAAAATACATGACAGATATAGATGTGGCATCAATCAATGGAAAGTTGATTCAAAGAGAAATTTATAAATAAAAACTCTTCCTAAATATTCAGAGTATCAAGAGAGTTATGAATTTTTCACTCTTTATGATTATTTTTTTCTGTATTTTTCAGAATTCACATTTAAGGTATGAAAAATATATTTTAAAAAAATTTAAATTAGATGTAAAGAATTAGACCATTCAGAGATTAATACATTTCATGTAAATATTTTTTCATTACTTAAATTTATGAGATCAATTTGTAAAATCAAAATCCTTAAGTCCAATAGGTTTCCCATATTCCAACCTTTAGTTAAGTCCCCAAACAGCACTAGTCAAGATACATGCCTCATGAGTTGACCACCTTAAGGTTATCTCCTTGTGACAATATCAAGCTCAATCTTCATGACTCTTCAAAAAAAAAAAACGTTGAAGTATCCTCATTGTAAATCATCATAATTGTGAGTCGGTGTTGATATCGACCTAAATATAAATGAACTTATCTCTCTTGCCACTATGAGCCACCCAATGATTGAAGGAGATTCAGCCTTAGTAATTTGTCTCTGATGACTGTCACATGCATCATCAAGATGTTCACTTCTTCTTTTCAGCTCAAGTTAAATAATAATTTCACCAAATATGGTTCCTTCTAGATGAAAGATATGATCTTAAGCAAATTGTTCTTCCACTCAGTTGTTATGAACTCAAGCTCTCATTGACTTAGTTCATATGATTGTCCATGGTAGTCTCTACAGTATCCACCAGTCTAGCACCAATGTTTGGACCTGATGAGCTGAGGCTCTTATGAGTAGAGCCATCACCATAGACGACTACACAATTAACGTTCATTAGAGCAAAAAATTTGTACACGCCAAACATATTCTTGATGTCAAGGAAGACTATTCCAAATTATTTCATTTAGTCACGTTCAAAACTATTGTGTTGTAGCCATCACAAGGTGACCATTACTATCTATACAACTTTGGTCAAAATAAATTATTCATTCATATTTGGCACAATCTTTTCAAGTGTTGAATAAAAGTTGGGCATGATTCTGTGTTCTCGTCTATCATCATAACTTGTCATTCGGCAAAAGGTAAATGCTTGCTAACATGATCTTCTCCAGTTTAATTGTGTGCATCGCAAAAGAGTAGTGGTCGAGGTCTAACAAGAAAATTCTCAGTTTTACACAGTTTGTGTGCTCCTGAAGGTGACTTCTGCTCAGGGAGCTTTGGTGTCCCATCCCATTCTTTAGTGAGTGACAACCTTGGCCACTTGCCCAATGTAACTATGATAAGATTTTGTTGTCTCATGCCGTTCCTCAACATGTACCTAATCCTCCCTGAAGGTGTTGCTGCAAGCATCATCTCACTAACAACCACCCCTCTATGGTATGGAGATGGAACTCTATTGTCCTTGAGAAGGTGACCAATAGAACCATACGCTCCTCTAATCAAATAATCATTTATCTTTGCGTCACTCTCTCATGTCATCACTAACCTGCATACTTTGATATCAATTTGTCACAAGGTCTACTAAACCTGCATACTTTGTTTCCTCATGTTGGTCAGCCAGCGTTGTGGCTAAGCCAGCGTTGAGGTAGAAATACAATGGCCAATGCTTACGCTGATACCCAACAATGATGTTCGCCCAAGCCACACATGCTTGCCACACCTCTGCTTGCACAATAGCCTGGAACCTCATTCCACCATGGTAGTGGCGTCACACCTCATTCCAAGGAATGCCTATGGACGTGTAAGCACACGTTATAGATGAGCCCACTTAATAAGCTTTCTATCTTGATTAAGATAATAAGAAAACTTTATCCTTTTTCTGTGTTTTTAATGTAATCAGATTGTAGAACCTAAAACGCTGATTTTTTTAATAAGGACATAATTTGAGATAATTAAAATCGTGATAGTATTTACCTTCATTTTTACATGGGCGCCGACACCCCGGGTTATAGGACGTCACAAAGTAGTGCGAGGCTCCGCGGACGCAATGAGCTGTGCCGGCCGCGGCAGCGGCGCCCGTGGGACGAGCGAGTGCGCCTTCGTGCGCGGCGTCTGCGCCGCCGCCGTCAAGGGGAACTTGCGGGACCTGAGGAATCCCGGCGTCGCGTCTCGCTTCACCCCTTCCGTTGTCACCCACGTGCTCCTCCACCTCTCCCGTGCCGGCGCCGGCTCATCCGTCCCCTGGTCCTTCTTCAGATGGCTGCAGTCTCTCCCCAGATACAGCCACTCCCTCCACGCCAACTGGACCATGGTCCGCCTCCTTGTCCGGCACCGGCAGTTCAGAACCGCCAGGGAACTCCTCGGGCGTTTCGCCTCCAAGGACTTCCTCTCCTCCCCGTCCGTCCTGAAAGCTCTGGTCTGCGATCGACGAGGAACTGAGGGGCAAGATCTCCTTGTGGACGCCCGGATCCTCAGCTGGATGGTGATCATGTACGCCCAGTCGAAGAGCCCCCAAGAAGCCCTGCAGGTATTCGAGGTGATGAGAACCAGCGGGCTCGTCCCGGACGCCCATGCCTGCAGCGCCCTCCTCAGCTCCCTGGTGAAGGCGGGCCTCACCGCCACCGCCTGGAAGATGTTCGAAGAAATGCGTTCCTCTTTCGTCGTCCCCAACCGGCACATCTTCAACGTCATGATCCATGCCTGCTGCAGGTCGGGGGAACCCGAGAGAGCCAAGGCCCTGGTGGGCGAGATGCGGAGGAAGGGCGTCCCCCCGGACTTGTTCTCCTACAACACACTGATCTCTCTCTTCTCCAAGAAGGGCATGCAGTACGAGGTCATGGCCATCCAGACGGCGATGCAAGAACAGGGAGTCTCCCCAGATGTCGTCACCTTCAACTCCCTCCTTCACGGGCTCTGCAGAGAAGGCCGGATGAAGGAGGCCATGAGGATCTTCAGGGAGATGAAGGGGGCGGAGCCCAACCAGGTGACCTTCACCACCCTCATCGACGGGTGTTGCAGAGCCGGCGATGTAGACGGAGCCTTCGCGCTGCGGGAAGAAATGGAGGCCCGGGGGGTCCCCCTCTGCGCGGCTGCCTACAACGCCATCATCCGGAAGCTCTGCGAGCAGGGGAAGATGAGGGCGGCCAACAGTCTCTTGAACGAGATGGACGGTAGGAAGGTGGAAGCGGACTGCGTCACCTGCAATACCCTAATCAACGCCTACTGCAAGAAGGGGGACGTGGGCTTCGCCTGGAAGCTGAGGAACAAGATGGTGGAGTCCGGCATGGCCCTCGACCAGTTCACCTTCAAGGCTCTCATCCATGGATTCTGCAGGGTGAAGCAGCTGGACCAGGCCAAGGAGGTGCTCAACGAGATGATCGACGCTGGGTTTTCTCCAAACTACGCCACCTATTCTTGGGTTGTCGACGGCTACTGCAACAAGGGCGAGGAAGAGGAAGTTCTGAAAATCCCCCAGGAGCTATCGGAGAGAGGCTTCCCCGCGGAGAAGTCTCTCTACAGGGCGATTATAAGGAGGCTCTGCAAGCGAAGGCTGGTGAGCTGCGCAGAGAGAGTGTTCTATCTCATGAGAGAGAGAGGATTTCACGACGACAGCCTGGTCTGCGCCAGCCTAGCCTATGCTTACCTTGCCGCAGGGAAGCCCGCCGCAGCCGAGGCCTTGCTCGAGGCCATGGCCGGGAAGAAGATGGCGATAACGCCGAAGATATACAGTTCATTGGCGGCCTCCCATGCCGACGGCGGCGGCACGCTGGAGCTGCTGTGGAGCTGCGCCGCTGAGAAAGGGCTGCTTGGTACGAAGGTCTCAATGATGATCCAGCAGTCGAAGCCCAGCTGCGTTAGCCTTTCCAACGGGAGAATCCATGGCCCTCCGTGAGAGGGCTACCACCCACCATCACAGGCCGCCGCTGCAACCTGTGAATTCCTGAGAATTTGCGCAGGAAACTTACGGCAATCGTAGACGCTGATTAGTATCGTAAAAAAAGAAGAAAAGGAAATAATGACGAGGATTATAAGCTTAGAATCATAATGAACAATAGAAGTCCGAGAATCTGTAGACAAAATGAGAAAGAAGAAACAAATACAGGAAAGCTTGGACAGCTCCAATGGCCCTTCTGATTCAATCTTTCCTTAAAACTCAAGCCCGTATCTAAGAATGCCCCCTCTTCCCACCCCACCCCACCCCATCGGATGACCGTCAGCCTCCACTTTGGCTAGGTTTTACATGGATAATCGCCCACAAAATCATGGAGGCAACAACATCATAAGAAGTATGGTACTCCTGATCTGGAACCCCTCATCTGATTGTTTTCGTCCGTTTCCGTGAAGAACTTGACCTCCCTCTCCTGCAATGCAGAGCAAAATAGAGACAAGCGAAATCCGATGAACAAAGTATATCTATCATGGTTTGAAATCCTAAATAACTGGTAAAAGCTATGCATTTTTTGTTACCATGTTCTCGTTGAAGCTTAATATAGAAGCGACATTCCCACACCGATAGCAATAATTAGGCGCGGACCAGACCTGCGGAAAGGGCCCGGCAATTCAGATGACAAAAAACGGCTGTCCAAGAAGACCATGTAGGTGAGATGAACAAAGATATACTGGTATACGCACAGTTACGAGGCTCTTGTCCTGAAACATGTACTTGAGACCTTCTTGGACAAGCTGATGTGCCCGGCACACCAGATCGAGGTTGTTGATGTGATTAAACTGCGATGAGAGATTTTCAGGGATAAGCAGAAAAACCTTCCCCGGGCCAGGGGTAGGCTTAGAGTGGGCCAAGATGTGATGCTCGCTTACCTCGGATGTAACCCTAGATCCAAATAGCCACCCTGCGCCTCGTGGACTGACGGCCCAAGTTTCGATTTCCTCAGGGTCACTCCACATGATATCACAGAAAGGGCCTTCGTGGGGTATCTCACAATCTCGTTCGATAACTCTTATCTGCCACAAAATAAAAATTAAAAAAAAAGAAGAAGTAAAAATCGACATGGAAAGCAGATCACTCAAGATTACGGAGAGAGGGAGATGCTTCATGAATGTACAGCTTCATGAATATCTTAGAGCAGCTGCAACAAATGGAGTGGCATGCCGCAGAGCAAATTCACACCTGATCAATTGTCCGAATATCAGGGGAAAGGCCACCGTGGACACAGAGAACCTGGAATGGCCATTAGAGATTTTTTTTGTAAATATAAGGGAAACACAATGGGTACAAAAGAAAGAAGGTAACATGAGCATACAGTTCCATCAATAATTGCAGAGATGGTGAGGTAGTCAAAAACATCAGTGCAATATCGCCATGCATTTGCATTGCCGTACTTCCTCTGGCACTCGTCATAAAATCCATATACCTACATAAAAATAAAGAAACTCTAACGATCTGGGATATTTGTAAGCTTTTATGGGTCGAATGGAGAGTGACTTGGTTTCCTTTCAGCAGTCACATCAAATGAAAATTAAATTAAAAAATAAGGAAATAGTATACGTTTTCTTGTAAATTGTGGAATTTTAAACCACGCAAATGGTGAAGGATTGTCAGCAGACAAAGAACTTGACTAAGACAATGCAACCCAATTTTCACGAGACTAATATCTCACAACAAAACCATGGCAGGGACAAATCTGATGGACATGGAAAAGTTTAAAGGCATGCGAATGAAAAGAATAACCAGGTTTTCAGGCATCAGAGATTCGTGGTAAGAGCAACCATGGTACAAAGACAGCAAAGAACAGCTTGGGAGACCACCATTTCGTAAAATGTGCATAAGCTCCCAATGATTTTGCAGACAGCGAAAGGCAAACATGTTCATGAAACCCCAAAGCAAAAAGCGTTCCCATGTTTTGTTACTAAGCCATCAGATTGTATGGCAACTATAGTCTATTCAAGCACTTGTGTATTTCTAATATTCACTAAGTTGAAACCGCAAATAACTCGTACTACTACTGACTTCCAAGGCATAGTAGGTCTGCATTTAGAAGCAGTAGTTCTTGCTTAGAATAATGCTGAGGACAATGCCAGATAAGCTTCAAGAGGTACCGTCCTCCCCTTGTTGTCGACCTTTTGCAACTTTTAAGACTAGGGAGTGAGTACATATCACCTCCAGTGTTCGATCAGAACAAACAGCACTTCCAACCAATTAGTTTTCAACAATAGATGTCACCTTCTTCAGATCACCAGGTCTCTCATCAAGAAATTTGAATGATTTTAAGAGGTGCGAATTAGCAGCTAGGATTAGGTTGTGGAAACATTATCAAATATCTGATTGATTATAAGTTACTATTTATTGGTGAGGAGATGACCAGACATGTAAATAAAAAAATAAGTAATGATCAATAAGAAAATATATATATATAGAATACAAGTGAAGAAATATTTTATAAATTTATGTTTTTGCATGGTACAAAATGATCATATCCCTATATTTCAACAGAAAATAAATCGAGATAGGAACCTGCACACACAAACCAATCATAATTCCACGTCTGAATTTTATTTCTTCTGCTGAACGCGTTATTCCATAAAAGGTATTCGGGCATATTGTCGTCAGTGAACTTAGCCTTATATAAGATGGCAGTGGTCTGAAAGAAGTAAGCTGAGGGATTCAATTACGATAATAAACTCAGCCTGAAAAGAAAAAGAACGTTTCAAGATTTGTGTGTCAATCTTTTCTGATGATGTCACTTTATGTGTAAAATTATATCTAAAAAAAGCTCATACACAAGAGTAATAGAATACACCAAAATGATGTGAGCTCGTTCATCAACCCAGATCTCACATTGGTGGATCAACCCCTCATACATTCGTACAAATATATCATTTTTTCTTCGAATTCGAGATTTAAGTATTATCTGCTGGCAGGGCTGATCCATTAGACATGGCCAATCTTGTGGTCAATTCCAATACGGATGACCATGATCAGTTAACATCTGTTATGGCTCAACAAGTCTCGTGAGCTTCATAATTTACAATTGTAATCAGGTTTGTCACTTGCGCATAAAATTAGAGAAACAGTTTGTGACACAAAATAGGAGAGTAGATCTTGAAAAATAAAATATATGATTACAATGATTAACTAAAAGATTAACAAAACATAGACGGCATTGTAGGAAATAAAAAAAATGCATGGTTCCAGAAGCACTGGAATACAATTTACATCATCTTAATTGATGCATTACCTGTGTCAATTGCCTACTTTCATGGTTCCCACGTAGAAGAGTAATATTTGCAGGGTATCTGAAATAAAAATGAAAAATTAGGATAATATTTAAGTGGGGACCTTAAAAAGTAGTTTATATATAAAGTAATGAATCAATGGCACCATACAGAACGATGTGTGCAACGAATAATACAAATGAAAAGACGATATTAGTAATTTCCATTATTACGGTCAAGTAATCAATCTCAGTGGTGAATCAGTGTTGTTCATAAACTGGTGAAATGCTGCTTCGGATAACCAAGACAATGATTGTCTCAGTGCATTAGTAAAAAAGTAACACAAGGCTCAGCACAACAGCCATAAATGTGCATAACTACCTGGCCTTCAGGAGCAAAAGAATTGTGAATACTTCAAGGCTGTTGTAACCCCGGTCCACGAAATCGCCCTAATGAGATTAAAGTTATCAGAACATATCAGGAAAAGTGAAGGAAAGATTTCTGAAGAATTATTTTACCATAAATATATAATTCGTTTCGGGAACATGACCCCCTGTTTGAAAGAGTTTCATTAGATCATGAAATTGACCATGAATGTCACCACAAACAGTTACTGGGCTATTGACAGGCTGAACATTTGACTCCTCAATGAGAATCTCTTTTACCTGGACGGCATTAAGCAAGAAAAATAAGCAGAAAATCTTTCTGTGCGGGTTGCTTCAATTCATATAACGTAATTAAAGCCACTCCTATATTAAACGAAGAAGAACGTACAAAACGACCAAGAAGAAACACCAAGCGTTCAAGGGTTGATCTAATTACTCGTTAAGTGTGCAGGTTCTAAGACAAGAAACCCATAGGTATGTAATTCCCAAAAAAAAAAGGCACGAGGAAATAATTTTCTCTCTCCATGATTAAGTGTCCAAGGGTTGATATAATTACTTGTCATCGCATGCAAATCCCTGAAAGGGGAATAGGAAAGCTTCTCCACCTCCCTCACAACCTTCCATGTACATTAAAATCCTTAATGACCAATCTCTTTCATTGCACTTTCTCTAAAGTATCTAAAACTGTTAGATGGATGCACCGTTACACCAGTATTGCACAGAAATTCAATCCATTATATTCTGGTTTATAATCTTCTGCCACAGACAGCGACCTAGTTTCCGCCATGTCAAATTCCAGTCAATTCTACAGATGAAGTTCTCTCAGTTCATGAACCGCATAAATCGCACATGCTTCACTGAGAAAGAAGAGACTCTTCACCAAGAGTCATTGTCTTTCCCAGTGTCACGCTTATTATCTTGTACAATGAAGTTATGTGTTTTAGATTTCAAAACATAAATTTAAACATGTCAATATAGAGATTATATGGCTCACAATGAAAGAATGATCTATTTCGATTTTCAGCTTGTGAATATTTATCAAGCTTATGCATACTTCTGTGAAGACTAGGCTTGCTGCTGCATGAACATTCATTAGAAAGTAATATGTGAGGCATTGTGCTGGAACATCATAGAAATGTACTGAATTAGGAACCCGTTCTGGAGCACAGTAAGGTTGGCATCTTATAAAACACACATTATGATCATTGACACTCGTTAGCATGTACTGTTTCCATCAGGAATATGAACTTCGAGTGGCTTCCGTAAAATGAAGATGATGGCTTCTGATTAAAAAAAATTGCAAGTTTTTTTTATATAAATCAATTCATTTTTCTAACAGATTGACATGATTCCAACAACTCGACGTTAATGAAATTACGGATCTTACGATCGTTTCCTTCAATAAAATAGTATGATCAGATTGGAGTCTGAAAAAGCTTGACGTATGGTAAAGATTGTTATGAAATGCATAAAAATATAAATCGTTCAAAAATTATCATAACTTTTTTACCCTCCATGAAGCAATTCTACGTTTTGAGGAACATGTCCATCGTCATAAACGATGAGCAGTCTAATCGAGGATTCTTTAGTTAATGAGGAATAGTTTCCATTCGTCTATTCATTCGACTGAATTACGTTCGCTTGTCGCAAGAACACCGCTCCAAGCGGGGGAGAAGCCGCCCGCGCGATAAATAAATATTAAACAGAAAGAACCCTTCAATCTACGAAACCCTAATGCCAATACGCCGCCCGCCCCGAGCAACGAGCTGGGGTGGGAGAACGAACCCCCAAAATGTGATGCCCTAAAGCATGGCAGATGCCCCGGGGATAGGATTGGAGATGGTATGAAAAAGGGTTAAAGAGAGAGTACATATTCGCAGAGAAGCTGGAGCTCGTCTTCCATTAGATGCTGGCCCTGCTTGACCTTGCCAATCCAAAGATCCAAATCCATGGAGCCGTCTCAGATGACGCCTCCCACTGCGCCGCCGCAACGAACCCTCGTCTACCTCTTCCGGAGGCTATCTAACGGCCACAGGTGGGAGGCCGCGAACCCCGAGGAACTACAGCCACCAGACGACGAAAGAATCCGCAAAGATAGACTTGAAAAAAAGAGGGCAAGGGAACGAAATGAATCTTAGATTCTCTGAGGAGTGGCAGCGGAGTTGGGGAGGAGAGAGAAAGACGGCGGAGACGTCATAGGAACGCCACGCGCGGAGGGGGAACCTCGACGAACGACGACCTTCGGAGGAGATGCGGAACCTCCACGAGCCAGATTCCACCACCGTATTTGACCGTTGTACTCCCCGAGATTCTTCGATTGTGACAAATGCCCCCGGCCAATTATATTTTGCGCATTAGCTGATGTCATATCTAAATTTACCGGTTGTTGGGGGGTATCTATACTTCGAAAGGTTTGACTTTAACATTTTCGGGGCATTTTACAATATATATAACTTTTAAACACTTCAGAAATTATAAATACTTGCGGCGTGCTCGCTGTTTAATTGGATTTTGTTTAAACTTAGGATGTAAAAATTACCGATATTACAGAATTTACGGTTTTACTCCCCAATATTATTCAGTTTTTACAAATCCCCTCGACTAATTATATTTTCCTCATTATGTGGTTACATATCTAAATTTATGGCTGTTATGGTATATATGCTGTCATACTAATTTTATGGGTCTATTTGAAATATATATAACTTTAAAAAAATAGGAAAGTTATAAATACTTGCGGGGATGATGTTTAAATCTACCATGTAAATTGTGAATATTAAAACATCGACTTCGAAGATTATTATTCTTTCAGTTTCTCGAGAAACGTACGCAGGTGACGCAACGCGATACGTATGAGATTATTAAGCTATCAGCGAGACTATTGGGTGGGAGGACAGAATGACCGTCCGATCGAATGTAGACGGCTACTGTCATAGGATTCACGGAGCCCCGTGCACCACCGCGACACGTTATTTGGACGCTGAGGCGATTCCCCGTCCCCTATTCATTGAGCAAAGGCGACAAATTTAGGGCTTGTTCGTTCGTTCGATGGCGGGAAGAGAAGTTCGAGAGTACACCAATCTCACCGACCCTAGAGGTAATGGCAAGGCGTTGATCAATCCAGCGTTTTACGTATTCCTCGCGTTTTTCTTTTCTTTTTTCCCCCTGATACAGAAATGCTTGCGAATCAAGTTCTCTTCGATCCTTGCTAGGGTGGTGTTTTCCGGGAATCCTTTTTTTGGTTTAGCCGCTCGTTGCAATTGCCATGCCTGAAGCATCGTGGTGGTCAAGAAAGTTATTGATTTTCCTTGCGATTGATCCTTACTCCGTACGTGAGGTTTCTGGAGCTAAGTGCAATGACGCCGAGTTCTTCCGTCCTGCTTAACTTCAGTTCTCGTCGATGACCTTCAGCAGCCATACCGTTTTTTTGGGAAAGTTGATGCACTTTCGACGGGATGTCGAGGAAGGGAACAGGGCCGATTCGAAATCTTTTCTACTTTGCCGAACTGATTTGAATGTGCTGTGACCTTTTCTCAGATAAGAAATGGGCCAAAGGCAAGGATAAGATCGACGATGAAGAGGTCACATTCCAACGTATGGTGGCCAAGGTTAGCGGATCGGATCTTCAACTTAGTTCTCAGACTTCTTTTCTTATTGTGATACTCTCCTGTTTTCTTATTCATTTTGCCAATGTCTTGGTATTTTTTAACAAGAGAGGAATCGGTGCCTATTGGCTGTCTCTTTATGCGTAGAAAATTTATTGTTAGTGATTATATGTGGCTACGTTAGCCTAGACGCCCAAGTTTCAGCCGAAATTAGCATTTCAATTGTCATTTTCTTCGCACCAAAAAAAAAAATCAAAAGAAAACAGTAGCTCAAGAAGAACATGCCAACGATGAAATTTACCTTGATATTCTAGAGGTAAAAAACATTGCATATCATTCTCGCTACAATGAATATCTGTGCATGGTACAAGAAATATTAAAGGTCCGCTGAATCTAAGAGCAAGGAATAGAGTCTCAATCGTGGAAACTTTCAGGGTAAATCAAGTTTTATAAAATGCCAAAATTTTAATGAACTGTGTTAGAACATATGTTCCATAATTTTTAAAAGTGGATGATAAATTTCTCTTGCTGTTCGGACTAAAAGCAAACGTTGGTAGAGTAAGTACCGCTCGCTAGTAACGCAGTGATTCCAGTTGTTGCTGTTTCGAGGCGCCATCCTATTTTTAGGCGTTTTTAGCACATAACTGATAGAACATGTCAGAAATAACTTTGTGGCATGCCGTGTGAAGGGTGCGGACGTCTGAGTACAGCTGTATGTTTTAGGTCGAATTGGAAATCCATAGGATTATGGATGGCTGATGTTCCCAGAATCGTTTTAGTAATGAAAGACAGCGTTGAAGGTTCCAGAAGTTTTGACTCAGTCCATTGAGAATCAGTTTTAAATACATCTCGTAGATATATTTTGTGATATATTGCACCATTTTTTTCTCAAAAGAGCGTAGTTTCTGTGATTTACTGAATAAATCCTTAAATGCTAGCGGAGTGAGCAGGATCCTCCGAGGTCTGTACATTTTTTCATCTTTTGTTCAAATTTTATATGATCAGATATTTTAGGTAAATTTAAGAATTAAATTTAGAATCAAACTCATTGATTGCAACAAGATTAAGCTCAAAAAGAACAAGAAGGTGGAGAGATTATTTTCTGTCTCTGGAATATCGCGAGGAAGATCATGAAATTGTTGTCCTTCAAAGGATGATGTGTCCTCGAAGAAAGTCTTTGGCAATACTGCTAGGTATTTCGGTAAATGTTGAATGTCCTGTAAAGTTTTGTGGCGGATATTTCTACTGATGGAAAGAAATAAAAAGGTGTTTTTCCTTGTTGGCAATGAAATTGCTGGATTTATGAAATTCGAGTTTGTTTGGAAACCTAGATTTTGGAGTCTTGAAAATTATATTAAATATTTTTACTGTGATTAAGATCCATGTGAGGATAGAGGGAACAGAGAAAAAGACAATTTTGAAGGGTGCCTTCCGTTCAGACTAATAGTAGCAGCCTCAAATTGAGCAAAATTTTCCTTCGTGTAATGGCCAATGCTTAGCAGCTAGTACCCATGGTTGACCTAATCCACAGCAATACTCAATAAGAAAGATCTGTGTTCTATCTGTGACCATTGAGTTATTCTAGTCCAGTGAACTGTGATTGCAGCGTATTAACTTTCTCTTCTTCCTCCCCCCAATTGAAATGCACATCTGATCTTCACTTCATTGAGATTAGCCTATAATATTATCATGTTCTTTCTCTGTGATCGGATAATTTCATTTTGGTTGGAGTTTTCTGATAACATGCCCCGGCAGGGAACATGGCTTCCCCCTGGGCGGGGTTGATGTGAACAGATGCAAGAGGTTGCTGGCGACCGCGGGGGCTACCTTCATGGACGTGGCGGTACTCGTTATCTTCTCTTCGGGTCTCATTTGCTCGAGGATGTTCTCTCGAATTCACAAACGCTTGGATCGCAGCTCTCGACAGTGACGACTTGCTCTATCTCAAAGAACAAATGGAGGCAGAGGAGGATGCTGAGCGGCTTCTCCGCCGCACTGAGAAGAGGGCGTTCGCCGCATTCAAGATATCCTTCCCTTGTCCCTGGACCCACCCTTCATCCTTTCTTTTCTTGGGCCTCATTTTCCACCTTAGTTCTCACGTTCTCTTTAACTATATTGACACAAAGCGGCAAGTGTGGCCGACTCCTCTCCCGCTCCACTGCCACTTCCACTCCGTGTAGAACCCAAACCCAAGAGCGGCATCAGGTAAACAACATCATACCCTTCTACTTTTGGTAATATCTGGCCAAACCAAGGAGCCCCATCAGGTATAAACTGCAACCCAAAGCCTGCGACGTTTCCTGATGCAGGCAGCAAGATATTCTGAAGAACATGGTGGAGATCAGGCCCAAGCGATCCAGGGTCTCGAGCCCCACTGATGCCGCAGCCCAAGGGGACCGGCCGCCGGGCACGAACTCTGCCGGTGGCGCTGCGGGCCAGAGCCAGGAGGAGGCTGCGCCTTTAAAGCCGAGCGCTGTGGTGAAAGCCGAGGATCCCAAGAGCGTAGCCAGAGGCCTGCTCGGCTTGGCTTATGAGAGCTCTGATGAGGACTAGACGGGTTGGGGAAGAGGACGGGTGGATTCTTTTGTACCAGCTTCAGAGGTTTTCCTCCTACTCATGTTGGGTTGTTTGCCGAGAAAAGAGATATGTGGTTAGGCTCCTAGTTTTTGGTTGTGGACAAGATGAGCCATTTCAACCCCCGGGAGCTCGAGGGCTTTGTAGATTTCGGGTTTGGTGTTCCGGGGTGAGCTGCTCTTCCCTTGTCCGGCCCGTCAGAGTAACCATCAGCTTCTTCTTCTTCTTCTTCAACATCCACAACATTAGTCTGCTCCTAGCACAGAGAGAGAGAGAGAGAGAGAGAGAGAGAAAGAGAGAGATTTGTCTCGATATCAAACCGGATTAACCCGTGTGATTGAATGCATTCGAATCGCAGTGAGTTAGAGTGAAGTGAGAGTGGACTGCATCGAGGAGGTTCAGGTCTCTTTATTGGTTCAGGAAGATCAGAAGCCATGACCAGTGCCCCGCCGAGCCTCGAGAAGACACTCAGCGCATTAAGAACAAAGAGTTGTCATGAAATGCGAGTTCCTCCACTCTCCATAACAATGCACGCAAAAATGGCAGTCGCAGATAAACATAACTCTGCCAGCGACACTCGCAGTTGCCCATTAGATTACTATCACTTCACGATGCAGATCTTGATGACGGAGGCAGCACCGATGCGGTGGAGGGCGACGACGGCATCCCCCGGCTTGCAGAGCTTCTTCTTCACTGCTGACTTTAGAGCCTCCACAAGGATGACCTCCGTTGACTCCGCATCGGTGGCCTTGGCAGATCCCTCCGCCAGCAGCGGAATCAAGCCGCGGTGGACCAGACTCTGCCGCGCCGGAGACTCGTCGCTGACAGTCCAGTCGAAGGAGTCCGTTGTGAGCACTGGGACGACCACGGAGAGGATAGGAACTGCAGGCCTGTACTTGGCGACAAGCTTCGCTGTGGTGCCCCCACGGGTGAGGACGACGATCATCACCGCCTTGGCCTTGTTGGCGGTTCGAACTGCTGAAGATGCCAAGCTTTCAAGGGGGCTCATGGGGAGCGGAGTGGAGCGGATCATCTCCTTGAAGATGGCGCCGTAGTCGAGGGAGGACTCGGCTTCGATGCAGATCTTGGCCATGACTTTGACTGCAATCTCTGGGTACGCACCGGCGGCGCTCTCGCCGCTGAGCATGACGCAGTCGGTGCCGTCGAGGACGGCATTGGCGACGTCGGTGGCCTCGGCACGCGTTGGCCGCGGGGATTTGATCATGGACTCGAGCATCTGGGTGGCCGTCACCACTGGCTTCCCCACCAGATTGCACTTGTAGATCATCATCTTCTGGGCGAGGAAGATCTTCTCCACTGGGATTTCCATGCCCAGGTCCCCCCTGGCCACCATGAACGAGTCCGTCTCCCTCAATATCTCATCGAAGTTCACCACACCCTCCTGGTTCTCGACCTTCAACACCGATCAAAGATCTCAGATTTACATGAGAGAGAGAGAGAGAGAGAAGAAGAAGAAGAAGAAGTATCCAGGTGAGAGGAAGAACCTTTGACATGAGCTGGATGGTCTTTGCGTGGGGTCCGAGGACCCGGCGGACGTTCACCAGGTCGGAGCCCTTCCGCACAAAGGACAGGGCGATCATGTCGATCTTGTTGGGCACGCCCCAGCCCAAGATATCCTCCTTGTCCTTCTCGGTAAGGGTGGGGAGGTCAACGACAACTCCTGGGAGGTTGACGTTCTTCCTCTCCCCGAGGACGGCGGTGTTCTCGCAGCGGCACCTCACCGTGCCGGCACCTGGATCGCAGGACAAGACAGTGAGCGTTATGGTGCCGTCGGCGCACAGGATGGTGTTCCCGGGCTTCAAGTCAACGGGGAGCTTCTTGTAGCTCATGGTAATCGTCTTCTCATCTCCCTTGAGGGAATAATCAGTGGAGACTGTGATTTCTTGGCCCTCTTTCAGCTGGACGGGCTTTGCATCCTTCAAGAACCCAGTACGGATCTCTGGCCCCTGTGAGATTATGATAGCATGAATCAGTGGCGCTGCATAATGATTACGGCGAAAGAGGAGACAGTTTTAACTAGAATTGATAGGATGTAAGAAAGTTCATTAACAATCTGTATCACAAACACCTGCAAGAAATAGAATCCCACACTAATAAACGTCAATTCTTGTACATGAATCTCAGAGCTAGCATGGTAATGAATGACCTGAGGAACCAAAGATCGCCAGATTTGAAGATAGAACCTCTTCAGAACACGCACGACGGATTTACATAGAAGGACTTTCGGAGAAGGTTATGATCCCAACATTAAAACATTAAAACGCGAAGCTTTTCTGCAACTGTCAGTAATGCTTGGCACTGTTTCAGTACCCTGTGCGTGATCAAAACTCGATACAGATTCAGTATCTATCTACAGGTTACACAGGTTCCTCTACGGATAGATGAGGTTAGTTGAGGAGAGTGGAGTTTACCAGAACCCGGTTTAATTTTTTTTCATTCAGTCAAGAATGAGGTTAACCAGAATTGGTAACAGTCCAGGGCCCAGGAAGCCAATGCGCAGAGAATTGGTGGTTCGGCCACATGTTACAAAAATCCCTTCATTCTTGAAGGAACCCATGATAGAATGAACGGACTGTGCAAGCCACGATCAAATCAAAAAAGGAAAAAAAAAAAAAGGGGGGGGGGAGAGGAAATCGGAAATTCCATTATCTGTGTAAATTATCAAATTCAACTATAAGAAGTCTTCAAAAAAATAAGTACCCTTCCAATTTCCCCAAGTCGCCATCCAGTCATCCAAAGTATTTTTCTCCTTAATGGAACATTTTGTCAAAGATGCAATGCTTTGGCCAACAAAATTCAAAATATTTTTTTACCATCCAGGATTTTCTGTTCATCAATGGATTTCATACTCAATTGTACATGTCTTGTTTAGGTGAAAGCCCAATAAAGAAGGTGACAGGATCCACATTCCCAGAGACAGAGAACAAGGTCGGAATAGGAGGAAAAATAGTACTATTTGTAGAAAGCTAATCAGATAGTCAGAAACACTTTTATCGTTTCACAGAGAATACTCCGTTGGAAGATACCATACCTGTGTTTGATATGCATATAACAACAGACACTGATGGAAACTCCTTGTAGACAGAAAACGATAGGTAGATAACTCGACCAGACAATCTCAGACAAGTTCCATCAAGTTTCCAGCTATGTTTAAGATAAACCAAAATCAAGAACAAGCCGATTAACCCTGATATGAAAAGGATCAAATATTGGGGATAGGTTTTGACGGTTATTACGATGTTTTGGGCAGGAACTATCCCCTCTTACTTGAGAGGTTTAAAAACAACCAACTAAATCCACAGAATCTAAGACAGCAGCCCTCACAAAATAGCCACAACTATCAAAAGATAAGAATACAAGAAATCAACCAGACAACTTATTGGTTTTACAAGAAAGTTGGATCATTGTCAAATCTTACTTTATCTCCAAATGTACTTAGAACACCATCTACATTTCCAGGTAGATACAGCTTCATTAGTCATCTAACTCACCCCTATTCGAAAATAGATTTCTGCTGTTAAAAGCCATTTCTTTTTTGGCACAGCATATGATTGAAAACCATCCCATTGATCAACATACAGTACTTTGATTGACGGATGTTCCCTACCATAGACTCCATTTCGTAAATTAGATGTTGCCAAACCGGCTGTGAGGAGAGCATAATTCGACTGTCTTTCTCAGATTACTATGATAGTTTATCTTAGCCACGACAAGTCTACTCACTGGCTTTCTTATTTGAGTGACTAACCACGTCTTACCTATCAGCACTAACTTGTACATCTCATATCTTGCATATCAAATGAGAATTGTGGTGTGGCCAAAATAGCAAGTATAGAGTTTAGTTGAGGATGAAATGAAGGATCTAGGATCGCCAAGATGATTACCAAGTAAAGAGTTTAATGGCAGAGATGAATTAAGACGATTCACATCAGCAGAAATGCTGACGTATGATATAGATGGGGCATTTGCTATGAGACCGTTCCCTTTTGTCTCTCAATAATGGTGGCGCAAAACAAAGCCTAGTGAGGTTTTTGTTGACTCTGGAATAGAGGATCAGCAAGGTTGAACAGAATTACTCAACCTTGGAGCTGAAATTAGAAGGTTCATTCTGATCCAAACTGGAAATTTGGGATGAGATTCGTTTCTAAAGTCATTCTTTTTGTCCCTCAACGATGGCTCTGTAAGAGAGGATGCAGTGCACCTTGGAGGTCTAAGTACTGCTAGTGACCTAACAGAATTGACCACGAGAGATGATTAAACAGTTAGTTCTGAGAAAATGGGCAGTCAGATACATGGGATCAGGACATAATAAAATCACTTTTGGGAAAATTACTATCAAAAAGAGGGAAATATTACTGGAGAAGAATGAACACATTAGAACCAACTCCAGAGACCATCACTCAACAAAACTGATAATATGGATTGGGATCAGCTTAAGAATGAACTCCAAACAACCAAACACATAAAGGTGTAATGCCATCCGACGTAATTGTAACTTTTAAGGTAGAAAACCAAGATTTTCTCATGCTACGTTTACAGTGTGCTCTTTATGAACCAGAACAATATGGCTCACTAGAAGTAGATACTGAAGTGGAAGACGCCCAATTTCCATCCAAACGATGTATTATCTCAAGAATATTCAGGCCTATCAAGCAGATTTCATAATATGGTGTCCCTCACCATTTGTCATGTTTGGGACGTTCTACTAAGAGGGAAAATAATTATTACCACAACAGCCTGGATTGGTTAATCATACAGGTGAAAACATCTGACCAGTTAGTAAGGCATTTTTGGAGAGTGCTGAAAAGACTTAACCCAGATATGTCACAGTTTAAAATCGCACGAAAAACACTGAATAGAAAGATCTGAAATACTCATTTTTGAATCTCCACTTTGGTTCAAATGTAATGATTTCCCAGTCTGAAAGGCTGAAACATTTCAGTAAAAGTGTAGCCAAGCAGTAAAATGATGATGCCTATAATTCGTGCCAGTTCCTAGGTTCAACAGAGATACCTGAATACCTCTTTAAAAGAATATGAGGACTAAAATGCCTACCTAAACCTCTACAGAGTAAGAAACCCCCTACAAAGTTGACATGAAAACAAATGATACCGTAATCAGAAATTTACTCAAATAGTAATTTGACAAACTGTAATCACCGATGAAAGAAAATTGCTTCTTTTTCTGACATGAAAATGCCAAATCAAGGATACAGTAAACCTGGTTGTGAGTTTTAGGTGAAAAAAATGGGAAATTCGGGTCTCATTAGAGGGAAAGATGCTGAACAATTTCATATAGAACGTGCCGAAATTGGGTGACGTCAACACCATGATATAATCATACGCCACATGATATAAAAAGAGCGTGCGGCCGGAGACGGACCTTGGTGTCAAGCATGACAGCGCACAGGATTTGGGTGTTGTGCATGGCGATCCTGAGGTTGTCCAGCGTCTCCTGGTGGTACTCGTGAGTTCCGTGGGAGAAGTTGAACCGGGCCACATTCATCCCTGCCCTCAGCAGCTTCTCACACATCGGAACAGACCGGGACGCAGGTCCCAGAGTGCACACGATCTTCGTTTTCGGCACCCGCCCATCGCTGGGCAACTCCTTCAGTATCCCCTCAATGTCGATGTTGGCCATTCAGTCCTGATTCCTGGTACCCAGTCCACTACAACAGCAGACCAAAAATTAGGACAAAAGACCATAAAATGATTTCCTCTAAAGCTGTGAAGGAAAGTCAAATCAACAAAACTACATCCAATCATTTCGATCACGATCTAGGAGACGTAGGTGAAATCATACGCCATACATACACGGCAGAAAGGTTCACATCCAAAATCATAATCAGAAAAAAAAAAGATGATAAAAAGTTCGGATTTCCGGTTAAAATCAGACACGCAAACATCACCCCCTCATTCGAAAAGATCAAAAGCGGTACCTACCTCTACTCGAAAGGCTACCGTCCCCATCGGTCGACACCAAGAGAAGAGCAAGAACCCGATGGATCGGAAAAATGCAACACGGATGCGATCCACGTCGATCGGAAAAAAAAACAAAGAATAATCACGGAAATCTACTCTCAAATGTCCACCCCCTTCTCTTACCTGCCGCTTCCACTCCCAGATCCTCTAGCAACTCTCTCTCTCTCGCTACGCGAATGGGAGGGCTACGAAGAAGACTTAAATAGCGACCGTCGGCGTGCGCTGACAGCGGCGCCAGAGATTAAACAAGTCGTGGCTGGTTCCCCCGGTATACGACCGGCCGGGCGAGGGCACGCGGAACACACGGCAGATTGCATCACGCCGTCTCCCGCTCGCCACGTGGATATACAGCCACCGTCTGATTTTCAGCTAGGTTCACCAGGTGGAAGGTTCTGATTCCGCCAGGGCTCTCGGTCAACTTGTTGCTTGGAGAGCAAGGTCGTGGACCCCACTTGCTAACGGAAAGTCCACGGTTAAAGGACAAATTACTGGTAAATATGTCCTTTTATCATTCAATTAGAAAATCCGTTAGATGTGAGGTACGGAGAGGACATAAAAAATATCTCCTCTGTATTTAAAAATATATATTTTATATATGTTCTGAAAAATATCTCAAGTTATTTTATCTATCCTGTTGTGCGTGACAGAGAATTGACGACGAATGTTCTCCGGCACCCAGAAAAAGGCCCCGCTTTTAGGATTCTCATATCTGGGCGTGCTCGCTGGGGCTCCCGGAAGCCGCCAAAAGCTCGATAATGGCGACTCGCCACGTGGTAGGCTAACCTCCGGTCCCCGGCCGGCCGCCGCCTCCGTCATTTCTTCGACTGACGAGCTTGCAGGATGACTCTGGAGATATTTCTCGCTTGCCCACCAATCGGAGCCCGGAAGGGTCACAACAAAACGACTGTGAATCGCCGGAGAATTACCCTCTCTCACTCTCTCTCTCCTCCATGATATTCGCGGCTATCGGGGTGGGGTTGGTAAGGGAGGAGGAAGATAAAGGACGGTAGAGAAAGACGGATCAGGTTTTACCGGATCAGCAGGCGCTCCGTTTTCACCCAGAGAGGGAAAAGCGCCTGTTTTCGCTCCTCCGAATCCCCCGGACCACTTGTGGGAGCCGGGAATTATCCAGCTTTTTTGTATATCTCTGCTCTGTTGGCTGCTTATAAATTTGAGTGCGTCGAGACTGGGATTGGATGAGAATGAGTGGAAAGTTGAGCTTCTTCAATGGAAATGGGAATGAAGAGCACGCAGGTGCAGGTTCTCGCCGTGCTGCTGCTGGCGTGCGCCGTCGCCGCCCAGGAGTCGGCGGGGTCGGAGGCGGAGAGGAGGCGCCTCCTGGCCAACGGGCTCGGCAACACTCCACCCATGGGGTAGGCATCATCTCGACGTGACTTCCATGGAGGGAAGATATGTCCTGTAAAACATGAGAGTGATTCTCTTCTGCTCTTCTCACTGCTCGTCTGCATGTGTATCTTATCTATTGCAGGTGGAACAGCTGGAACCATTTCCACTGCATCATCAACGAGACTGTCATCAGAGAAACAGGTTGCCTTGATGCTGCTGTTCATCCTCTCGATTAGTCAAACTTTCTAGATGTAAAAACTGCTTTAATCGTAGTTCTTCGCTGATGAAACAGCTGACGCATTGGTTTCCACTGGGCTATCCAAGCTCGGGTATCACTATGTTAATATAGGTTTGCTACCTTCTATATTCAACTAACTGTTTCAACTTTATTATTCCTCTAAATGGCCATGTTGATTTCTACTATCAGAGAACTCTGAGGGGGGCTCATTTTTTATTTTTTTTCTGGTGTTCAATAGATGATTGCTGGGCTGAGCTCAATCGTGATGCGGAGGTTTGTTTCTCTTCTGCATTTTTTTCGTTAAGAAAGAAACACGCTTCTGTTCTTGCTTTTTTTATTATTATTATTGGATTATGGTGATCATTATGCCGTGATGATCTTAGCATCTCAGTATATTCTCTTTGAAACCCAGTCACAGATCCCCCCCGCCCCATTCCCTCCCAAAGAGGGAAATAAATTTATCCCTGGACTTCTTCATTTTTGCACCACATTCGTCGACATTTTAGACTGACGGTGGACATTAATGTCTAAAGGGAAATCTGGTGCCAAGAAAGTCAACGTTTCCTTCAGGAATGAAGGCTCTTGCGGATTATGTTCACAGCAAAGGGCTCAAGTTGGGGATCTACTCAGATGCAGGGTACTAAATAGCGATCTTCATCAGTGACCCCCCTTGAGCTCTGATAAACTAATAATCTTCGAGAAGTTCTGAGGGGATTCTTGTCGTTGGCAGGTACCTAACCTGCAGCAAGACCATGCCAGGCTCACTAGGCTATGAGCAGAAGGATGCCGATGCCTTTGCTGCTTGGGTAAGATTCGGCTTCCATGGGATTCCCAGAGATTAACTTCTCTCAAGCTTTGGAATTAGTTTCTTCTCGATTTTAAACAATAATAATCATAAAGATCATTCTTCGAATATATCACCCATACAGGTCTTTTTTCTTGGGCAAGACTGTAATTCCATGGATTAATGTCTTCGCTATTTTTTCAAAATGAATAATCTTGATCACCCTTCAGAAGCGTTACCCATGGAGGCCTTCCCTATCTTTTGGAACACCTTGAGGGTTATCTTCTAATGGCGGCTCTGGTGTGTGTGCAGGGCATTGATTATCTCAAGTACGACAATTGCAACAACGGAGGCTCAAGACCCACAGTGCGGTGATCGCCCTTTCTTGACCATTCTGCCTGTTCACACCGTTAAAATCTCAGGGTCCTCGTACTGATTATCATTATATTATTTCTATTTTTAGGTATCCTGTGATGACCAGAGCTCTCATGAACGCAGGACGCCCGATCTTCTTCTCCCTTTGTGAATGGTACCGAGCGTTTCAGCCAGCATTATTTCCAGTAGTAATGATTAAAAGCGTTTGATAAATTTTAAAATTATTTGGAAAAACCCATTACTTATATATATATATATATATACTTTAAATGTATAAATTGATGTATTATCCTGGACCAGGGGGGATCTGCATCCAGCCCTATGGGGGTTCAGGATAGGCAACAGCTGGAGAACCACTAATGACATAAATGATTCATGGGAGAGGTAAAGATCTTAGCTTTAATATTAGCTTTAACATCATTTTGATGAAAATTGATTTTCTATATATATAAAAAAAAATCTTGCAGCATGGTTTCCAGAGCTGACGAGAATGAGGTGTATGCTGACTACGCAAGACCCGGTGGCTGGAATGGTTGGTTCTTTGCTGTCTTTGGAAACTTTTCCTGGAAATTAGGTACTCAGCTTACAAGAAGAAGAAAAAATCCGTTTTTTATTGCTTGGTTTCTTTCTTCAGACCCAGACATGCTTGAAGTCGGCAATGGAGGAATGACTAAAGGCGAGTACATCGTGCACTTCAGCCTCTGGGCCATTTCCAAGGTGCTATAATAGCCCAAAAAGTCAACATATTATCCCAAATATGCACCATTTCCAGTTATTCCATGTTCTTCCACAGGCCCCGCTCTTGATTGGATGCGATGTGAGGAACATCACCGGGGAAACCATGGAGATCCTCTCCAACGAGGAGGTCATTGCCATCAACCAAGGTAGAGATGTTCTTCCAAGCGGGATCTAATGAGGAATATTCACTGTGGGGATTTGAATTGTTCAAAGGAGGAAAAGACAGGCATTGGCTCAGATTATTGACATGATCTTGCTGTCCGACGTCTTTGAGCAGATCCCCTTGGCGTTCAAGCGAAGAAGGTCAGGATGGAAGGAAACCAGGAGGTACAGCTCTGAATCTGAATCAGGTCGCATGAAATCTGTGCTCTCTGTGTTTGTCCCTAGGCATCTGCGGCGACTGAATCAGTTCGTCTCCTCAGATCTGGGCGGGCCCGCTCTCCGGATATAGAACCGCTGTTCTCCTCTTGAACAGAGGCGAAGAAGACAGCGAGCCCATCACCGCCAATTGGGACGACTTGGGTATTCCCCCTGATACACTGGTAGAAGCGAGAGATGTCTGGAAGGTGAGCTCCGAGAGCTGCTCAAGTTTCTCCAAATCCCCTTTCTTTCTGCATTCCTCTTCTTTGTGATCTGCCTTGACCTTTCTTCTTCTTTTTTTATCATGGGCTGTCGAATTGTGACTCTATTTTGCGTGGATTCCTGCAGCATGAGACGATGAAGCAGTACCTGAAGAACGAACTGACCACAACTGTAGGCCCCCATGCCTGTAAGTTGTTCATACTCACGCCAGTAATGCCGGCTCAGTGATCAGAGTAAGATCGAAACCATGGAATAAGTTGGGCTGGAATCAGAGAGATGGAGAGAGAGAGAGAGAGAGACAGAGACAGAGAGACAGAGGTCTTCGTATGTCGAATAAGCTTTCGTTGTTCTCTGCAATGGCGTCTTCAACCTCTGACTGAAGAGGCCCCTCGCTATCTTGCTGTGCGAAGAGATAATGGGATGCCCAGTATGAAGCAGTACCATTTTTTCCTCCGTCGTCGTCTTCTTCTTCTTCTACCTCACTCGAGAGCCGAAGCTGAAGAGCTCCGAAACTCTCGGACATCTGGGCAACAGAACATTTTTGCCTAAACGCTGCTGGGATCAATCCTCTGTTTCGGGTTTCTCCGTGGAGGCGATTCCGGCGTCTGACACTGCAGCGATCTACGAAGGAGAGGATGGGAGGGGGGAATCATTCAAAAGGGCATCTTGATTTTTATGATTGACAATTAAGATTGGGGTAACAAATAAAAAAAATGAAGAGTATGGTATGATCATGTGGGTATCTTGCAATAAAATGCGCCTTCCAATATTATATGGGTGCACATTTTTTTATATTATTACTATAAAAAAACCGTCTTTAAAAAGGGAATCTTGATTTTTATGATTTATAATAAGGGTGAAACCCTTACATCAGAAAAATAATATATGGATATATATATATATATTATGAAGAGTATGGTATGCTCAAGTGGGCTTCAAAGATGTCTGTTTAGAAGAGAATACAGAGATTTTTAAGAAAAAATATGTGAAACTTATGCCATCAAGTTCAGAAATTAAACAAAAATGATCAGCCTGAGGGCCAAAAAAGTTAAACAAAAATAAAATAAAATTAAAGACAATTAAGTTCAGAAACTGATAAAATAAAATGAAAGCAGGATTTTTTTCAAAAATAAAACAGATAATTTATACGAACAATACTAAAACAATGTCTACCGAAGGTCAAAGTTCCTCTACGAAGAAAGTCTATAATTTCGATTTTGAAAGCAAAATAAAAAACTTGCTACATATCACATCCACTTCAAGTTAATTTCCTAAAAAAAAAAACAGGGCAAAGAAAAAATATACAAAACACTTTTCTCAACTTAGAGTCAACAGAAAATGATGAAGGCAACTAAAGCTAACATATCACCATGATCTCAGTTACGAGAGACAACTATGCAGAGTGAAAAATAAGCTGGAAATAAAGAGTATGACGCCATAAAATATTCCAAATTATTTGATAATTTAATTTCATGGAATATAATTAACATAGAGTGAGTGTGGATTATAAGAATCCTTGATTTTACTAGAATTTTATTTATTTATTAATCAGAGTGTTGGAGTTACTTTCAGTGAACTGCAGTTTGGAGGATGTTGAGTCGAAACATGACACCAAGTCTCTGAATAATTTTTCGGCAGATTAGTATTCTATCAGTTTGAATAATAGCCTGAATTTTTCAGACTACACTAACCTTTTCCTTCCCCTTGCAAAATTATTTTTGTGTTCTTATATCCATTCCCCTTGCATAATTATTTTTTCATCTACCTTGCATTTTTATGAGCCTAAATTGGCCCAACTAATCAATTAGAGCAGAGAGGATAGCGTATCAAATCTATAAAGTTTTAGTGAATAATCTGTAAGTGTACCATAAAATGACTTCAGCAAACAAAAGATCTTACATACAGTTACCTCATCAGCTATCATGACTTTGACTTTACCTGAACTTGAGAAACATAAGACAGCCCAGCAGCTTCAATGATCAAAAGAAGAGAATGCAAGGTCCATCTCTGTATGCTGACTTTTGAAAATCTAGCAAGCGATGATATTGAGCTCACAGTCGCAGGAACTAAGGAAGACAACAAGGCCATCCCTCCTGCACTTGCACACAAATTACAATGTGTAATACTGGCAGAAGTGAATGAAGTTAAGATATCATATTCGAGATAGGCATTTTGAATAGACTATTATTGTTCGTTATATGACAATTATGGCAAACTGTAAGAGAGGAACAGTTAGATATTCAGACTGAAGTAGCACAATGAGTGGACTATTTGATTCAAGGAGGATTAATGGTTAATGTGGCCTTCACCATCCTGGTAACAATGTAGATATTTTCTGAAGAGGAGTCCAATAGAAACTATGCCTGCCCTCGTCCTCTTATTTCTGAAACTTAATTTTCCAACAAGAAAATAACTATCTCACCCACCCCGATTTATATCTAGTTCAAGATAAATAGCTTATTCTTCTTTTTATTTATTTATTTATTTATTTATTTTTGCATTTTTCATCTCACGGACATCTCTGTAGCTTGTTATTAACCAAATATGAATGAAAAGAGCACTGGATCAACTCTTAATGGCCTCGGTTTTTTACCATAGGAGAGAGACTTCCAGTCATCTGGAATTAGAACAGATCCAACATTCGCCTCAATATCATGAGAAAAATCACGGTTCCAAACAAGGTAGACTCCAGTTAATGTCCGACCTTAATGGCTCCGCATGTTGAACTTTAAAGAAATGAAGTTCCTGACATCGTTCTTTTCTGGGTTGCTAATCATCTAACCCGGAAGTGATCTGTTTAGTGAATTCTGTATGCAAATTTGTTGCTACCTCTCATCTCACAGGAACTTTCAAAGTTCCTTCTTTTCTTTTTTTTTATCAGTGATTAGGACAGATTTTTGAAGAAAATATGAGTACACATTTTTTAAAATTTTATTTTATTTTAAAAAACCGGTCTTTGAGAGAAAAATAAGCTCGATTTGAGTGTTATTGCCACAAATAGGAAGTAATACTTCAAATGGAGCACATATTTAAAAATTAATAATTCCCAGAAATTGGATTAGGAAAAATACTTGCTGACGTTGGCGCCACCTGTACTCCCCCTTCCACGATGGCATGTTTTTGGTACCGCCATCCATCCCTTGCTACGTGATGGTATGTACCTAGCTCTGTACGAGGCAGGCTGGTTAAAAGATGGCCTTGAGCCCACCTGGTTTAGTCCCGGCCCTCGAAACACACGCGAATAGGTTCGTTCTTTTGGGGGAGGGGGGCTCCGAGGAGGAGGAAGAGGCGGCAAGGAGGGGGAGAGGGGGAGGGGTGGGCAGGGGAGGAGGAGATATGCTGCAGATCCGACTGAGCAAGGGGGGGTCGGCGGCGGATGGGGGGGGATCGACGGCGAAGTCGTCGCTGCCGGTGGAGACGGTGACAGTGGCCTGCCCGGATCATCTGGTGCTCGCCGACCTTCCGGTGGCCAAGAGCCTCGGCGCTATAACTGCCTCGTCCGGTTCTTCCGTCGTGAAGTCCGTCGGCCGGCGTTCTCGTCGACATCTCGGCGAGAGGGTTCACTTCTGCGTCTGCTGCGACCACCCCATCGCCATTTACGGCCGTCTGGTGAGAGGGATTGCATTTTTATTTTTATTTTTGTACTCGTCCAAAATTTTCTTACAATTATCCGCGAAAATGCATATTTTAGTTGTCTCTACTCGCCTCTGCTCGGAATTTTTCGATCTTCAGTGCGCAACAGTGTCATTATCAGATTTTGCTTCAACGTCGAATGGTATAAAAGCACGAATCTTACGTGTACGATATACATGTGGAATTTAATGGGATGCCATTTCGATAAAATGTGCTCAGCTACGCTAATTAAACACTAACGCGCATACCACTGGGTGGGTGATTCTCGTGAATACCGAATTTTAACTCCCATTAGTGTTTAGAATTGCCGTTTTTAAAAAAACTCTTCTGAATGCTGTGCGGTCGACAAACTTTGCAATTATGTGCAGTCAGTTGTTTTAATTGACCAAACATAAAAAAGTTTCTAGCATTCAATAAAATAGGGTATCTCTTCATGTTAAGCTAACCTTTGAAACTAACCTTTTATTTCACCTGTGTCAGTCTCAATTAATGGTGTTTTCTGCTTGAGAAAGAATATGATGGCAATCTCTCACGCTCTTCAAGATCCTTAGAGGCAATAAATGTCTGTCACATGAGGCTAACACATTTAAAATTAAGCTTATTATGAGTTAGGCTTGGGATTGAGAAGTGATGGAAAAGATAAACACGACGAAGGGGCACTGATGAACCTGAATTCTGTCTGTGCGAACAGTAGGAGAGGAGATAGACCTCTTTTTATGACAACATTTCGGATTGTGGTCTGCCGTGAGTCTAGACTGTTAATGACGACTGATGGACTGGAAGGCATAATATGTTTGTTAGCTTCCAGACGAGAGTCAATTTGCCTTTATATTGACGGCCTATAGGGATATCTGCTCTTAAAAGTGGAGAGGCAAGAAATAATTGTGGCTTCATTTGGATCCTAAGAAAGCTTATAGTAGGGGATCACTTGGGGAGGTGTTTGTTGGAAGAATATAATTTCTTATGATATTTTAAATAAAACGCTCAACTGGATAATAATTTGGTGCGTCAGTCTTTATTTTAATCAAACCGGATTTTAAGAAAGCGTGTATTTGGGTCAACTGGGGACGTATTGGGGAAATATTAGTTATAATGACCTTTTAAATAAATGAATGTTTGGACGGATAATTTGGGGTATATTGCGTATTCGATGTTCTGCCGAATCAGAACTCAGTGAATTCCTCAGGAGTTTCGGTGAGCTCATACTCTTACTTATGGAATTTTACATCACTTCTGATTTTCCTCTTTATAGGTCAAAACTTAATGTCATCTGGAAGAAGATGAAACGACTGAGAAATGCCTTATTAAGAACTGTGGGAAACAATATTCCGCTTACACATTTTCTATGCCTTTTCAATTGAACTATGATGTCAAAGTTTCATAATATTTAAGGAATATTATTGCTGCCAGAAAATATCACGGGCCTAATGTAAATTTTTCCAAGATTGAAGTGTCTCGAGTTGGAGTTCAGAGGTCAAGCTGAACGATTTTCTGGTGTACAAGGATGTAAATTGGTTGAATTTACAAATAAATGTTTCCTCTTTCATTTAGAATCCCCAGAAAGAGCGTTGGAATGTCATTGTTGGTTAATTGGTTCGAAGATTTTCTGAGTAAGGTGCTAGAGTAATCTGCATTGAGTAAGTCGACTATCTCTGAACCATGTACATCAAAACAGGTTGGAATCGCTTTCGATTTGGAGTGACTCTGAACCTCCTCACTGAATGCATACTTTTTTGATGAGCATTCGAAATCAGGGAGTTACTTGAGATGGAAATAAAAGATTTAAATGGTCCGTAACGTGCGAAATATGATTGATTTTTTTTTGTAGATTAAATTGACAAGATGAGCGTATCATCACTACTTGTGACACCATTTAGCCAGTCTAGATAATGCTTTTGAAAACAATGTGTGTGGGAAATTTCTGAGATATTTATCACCTTGTGCAGTGGTTACTAGATGGAAGACGATGATGTGATACAATGAAGCAGGCATTTTTTCATCAGTCATGCCCTTAGATTGCTAGTAGGGATAAAGAGGGGCAACTGCATCGAAATATTATTGATTATCATATATTGCTACCATAGCTGATTACCCTATTTTTTTATTTAAAATTTTGGTCTAAATGAACGTTAGTGAGAGTCATAATTTATTTGCCTTTTTTATATGCTTTCCCAACCCTCGTCACCAGACTGTGTCACATGGCTCGTAGTCCTCTGTGGAAGAGTGTGCATGATTTATAATACTACTTAGATTGACTAATGTTGAGGCTCATTTTGTTATTTAATGAATATGTTACGGACCCTCATTCGTCATGACAGATACCCTGTGAACATGCCTTTTGCTTCACGTGTGCAAGGAGCGATTCCAGCTGTTATCTGTAAGTCTTTATTTGTTCAATTCAGCAAAAAAAATTCAAATTTGCTTAATACTAGTTTCTTCTTCAGATTCTAACTTTTGATACATCTAGAATATAGACTGTTTTCATCTGCACGGGTGTGTAAAACCTACAAAGTTTGTGGTCGGAGATCTTGAGATTGTAAAGGATGAAATACATTTTGCGAGAAACAAGTCCCGTATTCCAGAGAAAAATGATATCCTGATTACAAATGTTGAAATTAATTCAAGACGAGACTTCCAAGGATGTTTTGGGGTTGAAATAATCTATCAAGTTTTTTGCCGTACTTGTAAGTGAACTGGTATTATAGGGTAACTCAAGTGCTTAAAAGCTCATGTTGGGATGAGGATATCTCATTTCCCTCAGCTCGAGTCATGGGGTTGTCTGATCGTGTCTTTTATATGCCACTTCAGAAAATGATCGCTAGGTCCTCCATATCAGAATTTCATTGACTAGTGATCCATATCGTCTTTTCTTGTACTATTTAGGGGAGAAAGCGCGCTATCAGTTGTTCATTTCTCGTTTATCTTTCTAGAATTGAGCTCAGATGTAATTTTGAGCCATTTTTTCATATATAGATCTTAGTTACTGATATAGGGCATTGTAGCATGGTTGGTGGATATTATGTGCTCAGCCTAGCTCATGGCTGATATGGTTGGTCTGGATCTGTGTGCCCAGCTTGAACTGTCTTGTGCCAGGTGGGATCACCATGGGCATATAAGTGATGATCTTCTCACTAGTGTCAAGATAAATTCCATGGTTCACGGTTTTGATGGGTTCTCAAGTTGTTTTTACAGATCTCTATGAAGTAGTGAGGCTGTTTATGTTGATAACGATTACAGGAATTAAGTTATCAGGAAGTATTTTAGCTCTCATTTTTATTTTTGTGGCCTAATCTAATTATCAAATGATCGTTCACTGTTTCATGAGAGATTTGATCGGATTGTCATCGAAAAGGTGGATATCAACAGATGATGAACATACTTCCCCATTTCAATCTATTTCTCCACAATCTCTCATTTTATTCTTCGTTTTTCAATTCTCAAATTCGGTAATAGTTCAACACGACTCAAATTCCTGTAAACCATGCTAGAAGATACTGGCTTCTGATACATTTTATGCATTGAATCGGTGGAGAACAGCCCTTGCAAATCAGTCTTTTTATAGGAATTAGATGTGTTCTGGATTGACCCGAAAGAAACCGAGGTGGAGGATCTTCCATGGACAGCAAGATGGGGTCAACGGCCATGCTCAATTACTTCATTTAGCTTCTGTGTTTGGATTGATTTATGTTGGCCTCACAAAATTTCATGATGCAGCTGCGATGAACGCATTCAGAAGATCCAGACGATCAAGATGATGGAGGGGATCTTCATATGTGCTGCCCCCCACTGTCTGAAATCCTTCCTCAAGAGATCCGAGTTCGAATCCCACATCCATGAATCTCACGCCGACCTTCTTCAGCTCAATCCGGAGAAGGATGGCGGCAGCGAAGCCGACGGCATCGGCATCGGTATCCCCAGGCCGCCTTCTGCAGATCTGCTCTTCAGAGAAGCTTCGTCCCGCGGGGTTCCAAGGTCGGGATTTTCTCCCAATTCTGCCTCCCAGCCACTGGAACGGGACGACAAGGGCCGCCGGAATCCCTCCAGAGAGCAGACGCCGCTGAAGCCGCCGCCGCCGTTGCAACCGAAGCAGCTCTCCTTCAATCAACAGCACCAGTCGCCGGACTTTCAGGCCGACGGCAATCCGGCGGCGCATGGGCTCGAGAGGCCGTTCAATTGGTTCCACCATCCTCCGGGCTTCGACAACCAGAGCGGTCCTCTTCTCCGGCAAGACTCCGATCAGAATTCCGGCCTGCCGAGCTACCCAGTGCCGGTGATCGTCAACCAGCCGCCGCTGTTCAGCTACCCGCCATTTCCGGCGGAGGGAGCTCATCGGTACATCGGAGCCCCCTACGAGATGCCTCGGCCGGAGATGGCGGCGGAGGGAGGAGGGCAGGCTTCACTGCTAGGGTTCCCTCCGGCCGCGGCGGCGGCGGCGGCGATGGCAGGCTTCCCGGAGAACTTCCGGGCTTGGAGCGCGGTGGATTCACAGGGAAGAGTCTCCTTCTTCCCGGGAGAGTTTGGTCGGTTCCCCGACGGCGGCGGCACTGCGATGAATCCTCCGCCGTTGAAGGAGGCGGAGATGCCGGCATCCATGCCGTCGTCATCCTCCATTCCCCCACCTCCTCAGTTCAAGTGGGCTAAGCTTTCCGGCGATGGAGGTCAAGACGGACACGGTTATGCTTGGCAGGGTGAGAAACGTCCCTTCGGCGGTGGTCCTGAGTAGCAGCCCTCGCTGTCTCTCTCTGTCTCTCTCCATCTCTATTTCTGTTCATACGTTGAAAATTATGTTTCTCCTTCAAGAGCCGAGGTCGGTCGCCCCCCATAGCTCATGGCATCAGAGAGCTCTGGACAGAGCCGATCTTGACCAGATCCAGATCTGATAAACAGTTCATGAAGATCCCGTGATTGATGTTCTATCCGGATTTCTTAAAGATCTGGCGAGACGACTGTGAGCTCTCCGTTGAATTGGCCTTCTTCCATTCGATGGTGATCGTCGGCAGCGCCGCCACAACGGCTCGGATGAAGGTAAAAGGCTGCATGCTCGTCCTTCCATGGCGGGACCATCTGGTCCGCTGCGGGTCGGAACCCTAATAATGTCGTCGTCCTCCTCCTCCTTGATGACCGGCCTGGTTCTCAGAGGAGTGCTGCCCATTCCCCATGGGCCGCCGCCCACCCTGCTCTCTGAGGCCCGTTCACCTGCTCCTCAGCCCATCTGTCAGCGAGGTGAAGGACTCTGGAGCTGGAGCTATTTAATGGCCGTCCTCTATCTCGCCTCCCTCCTGGTCTTCTTACCAGGAGGAGGAATAACTGCTGGTAAAGCTCGATCCATCCGCCGTCCTTTTGCCGTTACGGCGGCCGGCGCCGGAGCAGGACAGACGGCATCGCTCTCGTGGCCCAGGCCGTCGGCGCCACCGCGTCTGACGATCTGTGGACATGGACGGCTCGGAGGAGCTCGGGGAGGCGAGATGAGGGGAAGAGGGAGCTCGGATTGCATCAGGATGACGCAGATCGGGGTCGCCGGCTCACCTGCCAGGACGAATTGGTCCTCCTGGGCCGGGGAGAGGGGTGGTCCCTTTCCGAAATGACGATGGACATGGAGAGGAGGGAGCTTCCACGAATCAGATTCTTTTCTTTCTCCTCCTCCCTCTCCCTCTCCTCCGGCCTTCCTCTCTGGTATTCGCCCCTCCCCTGCATCGTCGCAGTCGGAATTCTGGTCGGCGAGCTTGGCGGCGAAGATCAGTGATGGAGGAGGGAGGTGGAATTGGGACTGCGTTGGACGGGTAGGCTCTTCGGAGGTGGATACAGATCGATAGATCTACTAGACTCTACTCTGCAGCTCCCCTTCCCTCTTCTCCTCGATACTATTTCTCTCTATGTCTCTCTCCTTCCCCCCTGCATAGGGCTTCTTCTCTCCCTCCCTCCAACCCTGCATCTGATCCCCGGCCTGAGGTTGTTCGCGGCGCGCAGCGGCTGGGGTCGGATCTCCGGAGGAGGACGTTGCTGAATCCTTGGGATTGCTTTTATCCGAGGAGAACCTGGATGGGAATGCGGCGGCTGGTGCAGACAGCATGAACAATTCGGAGGAAGAGGGGGAGGAGGAGGAAGAAGAAGGCGAGGTGAGGGAAGAGGAGGAGGAGGAAGAATTCTTCGAGTCGCTCGATCGGATTATTTCATCCTCTTCATGCTCCTCCGCCTCCTCATCCGACGATGACGATGGAGGCCGCCGGAATCACCCGGTCCAGCGCCGGCACAACCAGCACCACGGTCCGAGATTTCCTGCGTCATGGATGTACGACGTCTGGATCTCTCAGCCTTCTTCCGTGGAGGAGCGGCGGCGGCGTCTGCTCCACCAGCTGGGACTCATCGGCGATACCTTCCTTTCCCACCGCGAGCCGATGGAGCAGGATGATGGAGACAGCGATGTCGAGAAGAGAGGCGGCGGCTGTGAGGGTGCACCCAGTTTCCAGGTTACACTGCATGTCGATATGGGGAGGTCGGCATCCTGCGACGGGCTTCTCCTCCGGCAGGATGAACGGCAGAATTCGTCCCCCTGCGCCATAGTCCGATCCAGATCCGATGGAGCGGTGGACTCCAACTGTGGAGGTAATCATGGTTCTCCCACTCTCCACAAGCCTCATCCATCTCCGAGCAAGCCTCCGATTGCAAAACCTCTCTCCTCCGGAACGAAGAACAACGGCGGCCAGGATGTGGATGCTGATCGGGAGGACAGCTTCGAAGACGGAGAGCAACAAAGTATTCGCGGGGACCTGTACTGCACGATCAAGAACCTCGACAGCGGGGAGGAGTTCGTGGTGAAGGAGCTGCGGGAGGATGGGATGTGGAATAAGCTGAGGGAAGTGGGCACGGGGAGACAACTGACCATGGAGGAGTTCCAGTCCTCTGTTGTCGGTCACTCCCCCATTGTCCAGGAGCTCATGCGGAGGCAGAATGTGGAGGACGCTGTCACTGGCAAGGCAGATGGTGTTCATCCCAGAGCTTCAGATCTTGACATCAGTGGGCTGAGATCGAAGAAGAAAGGGAGCTGGCTGAGGAGCATCAAGAATGTGGCAGGTACAGTAGTCCACCGCATGGAAAAACGGAGCAGTGATGAGAGGGACACATCATCTGAGAAGGGAGGGCGGAGGTCTAGCTCGGCAACAGATGATAGCCAGGATGCACAGTCACATCATGGTCCAGAGAGAGTGAAGGTCCGGCATTATGGGAAAACCTGGAAAGAACTCACAGGTCTGTTCATGAGCCAGGAGGTCAGAGCGCACAATGGATCCATCTGGAGCATGAAGTTCAGTTTGGATGGCAGGTTTCTTGCTAGCGCTGGGGAGGACTGCATCATCCAGATTTGGCAGGTAATGGAGATGGAGAGGAAGGGGGATCTGCTGACGGAAAGAGCAGCTGCAGCACCATCAGCAGACGATGGTGGCCCCAATTCCTTCGCTGCATTCGGCCACGAGTCACCAGAAACAATGTCATTGCCATCTAACATCGAGACGATCAGTTGCTACATGGATAAGAAGAGAAGAGCAAAGGCTACTTCTGTGAGAAAATCCTTAAGTTTTGATCAGATAGTGCTGCCTGAAAATATCTTTACATTGTCAGAGAAGCCGATATGTTCCTTCCATGGACACCTCGAGGATGTCCTTGACCTTTCATGGTCCAAATCTGAGGTTGGTTGATATCTCGGCAGTAAATTTCTGGTTATGCTCGTCATTACGGATTTTCTTGAATCAGCCACACTAAGTTCTTTCTGCACATAAAAAAACCAAGGATCACTTTTTCAGTTCAGTCAGAGCTTCTTGGTGCACATTACAGATTTTCTTACTTGCCGTTTTATGCAAAGTCAACCATTTAATATCCCTGTTGATAATTTCCTTTCTATTTTTATCGGCATCTTCCCTTTTTTTATCTGGTGGACGTGTATGCCAAAGAGTTATTGGATCTGGGTCTTGAAGACTGAATTGCCAGATTCATGTTTATTTTTTTCGAATTATTGTCATGACCACCCTTGTGATAATCCCTTCCACAGAATTTAGAACATTAAGAAGGGACGTTTGCCCACCTTCAAGTGAGGCAGGCTTAAACTATACTATAAATAGTTAGTTAGTGTTCTATTTGTCAATTAGTCCCATGGAAGTTTGGTAGATCATCTGCTATGTAAAGCTTCATTGGCCACGTTACAGAGTTTCATCAAATGCCGACAAGACTTCACCAAATCTGTTGTCTACTTCATTGGATATGGCCCATCCAATAACGATTGAGACAAGTGTTCTAACGTTGACCTCATTGTTGTCACGGTCAACTTTGTGTTTCACTATGCTTACGGTAAGCAGTTGAAATTTTCGCATTATCATATGCTTTTGCGAAAACTTTCTGTAAAATCATGGGTTAGTCGGGGGACATAAGAGACAATGGTTATTTGGCTGATTAAACTAGATTATTATAGTTTCTGACTTTTTAGGATCAGGTTCTTGATTAATGCTATTATTGCGGTCATGAGATTACTTCAGGTAAAATATATGCAGCTAAGGGGATTTTATTCATGTTATTGGGAACATCACTTTGAGAAGGCAGCTACATCCTTGTCACTTATCTCGTCTTCTCCATATCAGAAGTCAATGACCTTCCCGTGGGGACTGTCAATCCACTTTGAGCATACTTGCCTCTTTTATGAACCCTAGCATCAAGTTTGTTGGCCATAACACAAGACTGATCTTCCTTCGTGGAAAAAAATATGGTTTCAATCCATGGGGCTTTAGGCATCCCACGGCCACCACTTATGATTTTACTATAATTACTGTACTTTCACGTGTTTATAAATATATACACTTGTATAATCAGAATTATATGTACACTCAAATCAATCAGACCAAGCTGATCTGGACTGGATTGAAGATCCTTACCAGTTTGACAATGGAGGGTTGACTTTTGGAAGTGAAGTGTCATCTAGCTTTGCTATGAAGTCTGATTCATTGGGATTTCGTACATTTTCAGCATCTGCTCTCATCATCTATGGACAAGACGGTGAGGCTGTGGCACATGTCGAGCAATTCCTGCCTGAAGATATTCTCCCACAGTGATTACGGTAGGAGAACTCCTTCCCATATCTCTCTCTGATCCATGTCCGGGAGGACTTGATCTTCGTGTTCTTCCTCCCCCTTCCTCGCAGTGACCTGCATCCAGTTCAATCCGGTCAACGACGATTACTTCATCAGCGGATCCTTGGACGCCAAAGTCCGCCTGTGGAGCATAAGCGGCCGTCAAGTCGTCGACTGGAAGGACGTCCACGAAATGGTCACCGCAGCTTGCTACACCCCGGACGGCAAGGTTCCATCTTTCTCCATTAATGGCGACCTCCCCACCCCTCTCTCATGCATCCCATTTATGGCGTCTGCCTAGATCCGATCTTCCTTCTTCTTCTTCATCGTCTTCATAGGGTGCACTGGTGGGTTCCCACAAGGGGGGCTGCCACGTATATGACGCATCAGGTACTGCTGCTTCCACTTTTGTCGATAAATGTGGCTTTTTTCCTATCTTTTCATGGCTTCTTGCTGCTCTCAGAGAACAAGCTGCGTCTCAGGAGCCGAATCGACCTGCAGAACAAGAAGAAGAGATCCCACCACAAGAAAATCACCGGATTCCAGGTAGAATTTGGATTTATATATATATATATACCAAGAATGGTATACTCTTTCAAACGTTGACTTTGAGGAATTTCTGGTTTTTGGATTTTTTTATATTTTTTTGACGTCTTTGTTCCTGGTTGTGTCGGAGCAGTTCGTCCCCGGGAGCTCTTCGGAGGTCATCGTCACGTCTGCGGATTCCCGAATCCGCCTCGTCGACGGCCTCCAATTGGTCCTTAAATTCAAAGGTGAAGATCAGAGTGTTCCCCTCCATTTTATTTGACTTTTGTTCTTGCGGGGAGACGAGGTCTCCGTTGAGGAGATGAAGCGTTGACACGCTTCTCCTGCTTAGGTTTCCTGAACACGAGCAGCCAGATATCGGCGTCGTTGACTCCGGACGGGAAGTACGTGGTGTGCGCCAGCGAGGACTCCCACGTGTACGTCTGGCGGTACGACCCCGGCCCACGGCCGAGCAAGGGCAAGGCCGCCGCCGCCACCACGCGGTCCTACGAGCTCTTCCACTGCCGGGACGTCTCGGCGGCGATCGCCTGGCCCGGCGCCGGGCGATTCTCCGGCGGGGCGGCGGCGACTTGGCCGGAGGAGAAACTCCTGGCCGCCACCGGCAAGCAGAGCCCCCCTCGCCGGAGCGCCGCTGCGCCGGCGGAGACTCCGCCGGCGTGGGGGATGGTCATCGTCACCGCTTGCCGCGGGGGAGAGATCAGAATATTCCAAAATTTTGGGTGTCCACTCCGGATTTGACTTCATCACCCCCATGAGGAAAGTCAACGCCGCCGCCCGCGGGAACCTGTACAGACAGCGCAGCCCGTCGTCCACATTCTTCGGGGAAGTGCCGGGCCGGTGTTGACGGAGAGAAGGTGTACAGCCGGCCCTCTCCTCCCCCTAATTGAATTCATTGTTCTGTAAAATCTGCTTCCTCATTGCGGGGAATCCATTTTTGCTCCACGTCACCTTTGCATGGGACCCACATCGCCACGCGGCTCTCACCGATACGCTGATTCCACGTGCTCCCCCACCGACCATCCGACCGCCCACAGAACGAACTCTAGAGAGGGAAAAAGGACAAATTTTTACCGTCAACGGAGGAGAGAGAGGAGGAAATCCAGAATGGGAAGCGCCATTGGAGGAAGGGCGCTTACATGGCGGCCACTGGGCCTGGGGTTATCGCCTTATCCTGCTCCGCCGCCAGATACTTCTCCTCCGCCTTCCTCCTCCTATAAGTCCCGTCCCCTCTCCGGCCAGTTTCCGGCGTAATCCACCCTGCAGGTTTTGGGGGGAGGCGGCCATTTCCCGGCGAGGAAGGAGGCTTCTCCCCAGTCCGTCACCGGAGCTCCGGCCATGGCTCTCCAGGCTTCCTCTCTCCTCCCCGCCCTCTCCGTCCGCAAGGAGGTGAGCTCGTGGCCCCAAATTCTTCTTCATCTTCTTCTTCTTCTTCTTCTTCTTCTTCTTCTTCTTCTTCTTCTTCTTCTTCTTCTTCGTCTGATTTTCCCTCTTGCAGGGGAAGCCGATGGGGAAGGAGACGAGCTTCTTGGGGATTTCTCTGGCCGACCATGCGGTATCCGACTTCAGCCCCCGCGTGCTCAAGATCACCTCCTCCGGGGTAATCTCATTTCTAGGGTTTTCCTGCTCCTTGCTTCTTCTTCTTCTGCAATTTCTGTCTAGATCTGACGGGAGAATCTTCTTTGTTTGTTTGCTCCTGCTCCAGAGGAGGGTGCGTTTGGGCGGCGGAGTGAGGGCCCAGACGACGACCACCTCCCCTTCCACCACCGTCTCCTCGCCGGACGCGAAGAAGACGCTGAGAAAGGGAACAGTCATCATCACCGGCGCCTCCTCCGGCCTCGGCCTCGCCACCGCCAAGGCCCTCGCAGAGACCGGCAAATGGCACGTCATCATGGCCTGCCGAGACTTCCTCAAGGCCGAGAGAGCCGCCAAATCCGTCGGCATGAACAAGGAGAACTACTCCGTCATCCACCTCGACCTCGCCTCCCTCGACAGCGTCCGCCAGTTTACCGACAACTTCCGCCGCTCCGGCCGCCCCCTCGACGCCCTCGTCTGCAACGCCGCCGTCTATCTCCCCACCGCCAAGGAGCCAACTTTCACCGCCGACGGCTTCGAGCTCAGCGTGGGCACCAACCATCTCGGCCATTTCCTCCTCGCCCGCCTCCTCCTCGACGATCTCAAGAAGTCAGATTACCCCAGCCGCCGCCTCATCATCGTCGGCTCCATCACCGGTGAGCTCTCTCCCTTCCCTTCCCTTCCCTCCCTTCCTTCATCACCGGCGGCGCCGCTGATATTCTCCGGCTATTTGCAGGGAACACGAACACTCTGGCCGGGAATGTGCCGCCCAAGGCGGACCTGGGGGACCTGCGGGGGCTCGCCGGAGGGCTGAACAGGCTGAACACCTCCTCCATGATCAACGGCGGCGAGTTCGACGGCGCCAAGGCCTACAAGGACAGCAAGGTCTGCAACATGCTCACCATGCAGGAGTTCCACCGGCGGTTCCACGAGGAGACGGGGGTCACCTTCGCTTCTCTCTACCCTGGTTGCATCGCCACCACGGGGCTCTTCAGGTCTCACATCCCCCTCTTCAGGATCCTCTTCCCCCCTTTCCAGAAGTACATCACCAAGGGCTTCGTCTCCGAGGAAGAATCCGGCAAGAGGCTCGCCCAGGTAAACACCAGATCAAATCCTCCACTCATGGAAGATATGAGGTGAGATGGGATGAACCCAATAAGATCTTGTGGGTTTTCTCTCCAGGTGGTGACTGATCCGAGCCTTGGCAAGTCGGGGGTCTACTGGAGCTGGAACAAGGACTCCGCCTCCTTCCAGAACCAGCTCTCCGAGGAGGCCAGCGATCCGGAGAAGGCCCGGAAGCTGTGGGAGCTCAGCGAGAAGCTCGTGGGTCTGGCTTAAAATCCTAGAGAGAGATAGAGAGAGAGAGAGAGAGAGAGAGAGAGAGAGAGACGCGTTGGTTTTGCTAGTTTGCACCCTCTGTAAAATTTTGTTCTGGCGAGAATCTGAGACTGCAGGCCGATGGGACCTTCTTCTCTCCTACCCAGAACGATTTCTGCACTTCAGTTCGATCACCCTTCAAGACACTCTTTCATCTTCTTCGTCTTCTTAGAGAGAGAAAAGGAGGGAGGCAGGGACGTTGACTTTGTTCGAGTTTAGTGATTATTTATGATAATTTGTTCGTGCTATAAATATCTGTAATCGACAAATCATCCAACTCCGCATCGTAAATTTTACATGTAAAATACGAGTACTGGGTTCTTTCGAGGAGAAAAAAGGTCGACCTTTTTCTTCGTCCTTGGGACTTTTAGAGATAGAGAGAGAGACAGACAGACAGAGGGAACTGTGAAGATATTAGGGGTTTCAGAGGGGTAATCTGCAGGGAGCTACTGAGAGGAGCGGATTCTTGGCACACGATGAAGAGTCAAATCAGTCTTCTTCTCTCAGTTCAAGGAATATAATTGGATAAAGTTTTTGTATAAATGGAAAAATATTATTCCTATAGAGAACGGGGATTTTTCAGCAATATTCACGGGGATGATATTTTTGATTAAATTATTAGTATTTTTTTCGTGGTGAAGATGACGAAAGATGATGAAAAATTATTAAAATGATTTTTTGATGAATTTAATTGATACATTTTTCATTTTATAAAAAAAACTATATTTTTTTCTGAGTGAGAAGTCCGACCCGGAGCGGAATCGGGCGGGTGAGGACGGCTCGGGTTAACCGATAATTTCATGTCGGTTATCTTCAACGGGGAGGGGGGGGATAGGAGCTCCTATAAATACCCGGCCATCTTCTTCTTCATTCCGAGATTTCTGTTTTTTTTCTGTTTGGCTTGTTAGGCAGCCATGGTCTTCGTCAGGGGCCTAGATAACAAAACCCTAGCCTTCGATCTGGATCCATGTTCCACCACGCTGGAAACCCTAACCCTAGCCATCGAATCCAGATGCGGCGTCCCGGTGGCTTCCCAGCGGCTGTACCTGTCCTCCCAGCGGCTCTTCTCCAATCCTGCCGTCGTCGTCGCCGACCTCGGTGTCCGCTGCAATTCAACCCTGAGTCTCCACCTCCCGCTGCTGGGTGGAATGCAAGCTCCGGTCGCTCCCCGCGCCACACGGCTCGAGTTCCTCAACACCAAGCCGCCGCCGAACTATGTCGCTGGGCTGGGCCGTGGAGCCACCGGCTTCACGACTAGGTCTGATATCGGGCCTGCCAGAGCCGCCCCCGATCTCCCCGACCGCTCGGCGGCGGCCGCCGGTGGTGCCGCGGTCGCGCCCGGCGCCGGGCGCGGGCGTGGAAAGGGTGCAGGGGAAGAGGAGGAGGAAGAGGAGGCCGAGGAGAAGGGTTACGATGAGAACCAGAAGTTCGACGAATTTGAAGGGAATGACATGGGTCTCTTTGCGTCGGCTGAGTATGACGAAGATGACAAGGAGGCGGATGCCATATGGGAGAGCATCGACAAGAGGATGGACTCGAGGAGGAAGGATCGAAGGGAGGCGCGCTTGAAGCAGGAAATTGAGAAGTATCGAGCATCGAACCCTAAAATCACGGAGCAGTTTGCCGACCTAAAGAGGAAACTCTACGATTTGTCCGCGGAGCAGTGGGATAGCATCCCTGAGATCGGGGACTACTCGCTGAGGAATAAGAAAAAGAGGTTTGAGAGCTTTGTTCCCGTGCCCGACACACTTCTCGAGAAGGCGCGTCAAGAGCAGGAACATGTAACAGCCCTCGACCCCAAAAGCAAGGCAGCCGGGGGCACAGAGACACCATGGGCGCAGACACCGGTCACGGATCTCACGGCTGTCGGCGAGGGAAGGGGCACTGTGTTGTCCTTGAAGTTGGACAGATTGTCTGATTCCGTGTCGGGCCTGACAGTAGTCGATCCCAAGGGGTACCTTACCGATCTTAAGAGCATGAAGATCACAAGTGATGCAGAGATTTCCGATATCAAGAAGGCAAGGTTATTGCTGAAGTCCGTCACCCAGACGAATCCGAAACACCCACCCGGTTGGATCGCAGCAGCACGGCTGGAGGAGGTAGCGGGGAAGATCCAGGCAGCAAGACAGCTGATACAGAAAGGGTGTGAGGAGTGCCCCAAGAACGAGGACGTGTGGTTGGAGGCTTGCCGATTGGCCAGCCCGGAGGAGGCCAAGGCAGTCATCGCCAAAGGTGTGAAATCGATACCAAACTCTGTGAAGCTGTGGATGCAGGCTGCCAAGCTGGAGAGCGACGATATGAACCGGAGTCGCGTATTGAGGAGGGGGCTCGAACACATTCCTGACTCTGTCAGGCTATGGAAGGCGGTGGTGGAGTTAGCTAACGAGGAAGACGCCCGACTTTTGCTTCACAGAGCTGTGGAATGCTGCCCGCTGCATGTCGAGCTTTGGCTTGCACTTGCCAGGCTCGAGACCTACGAGCAAGCAAAAAAAGTTCTGAATAAGGCAAGGGAGAAGTTACCAAAGGAGCCCACGATCTGGATAACCGCTGCGAAGCTCGAAGAGGCCAATGGCAATACTTCGTCAGTGGGCAAGGTAATAGAGAGGGGTATCAGATCCTTGCAGAGGGAAGGTGTCGAGATCGACCGGGAGGTATGGATGAAAGAGGCAGAGGCCGCAGAACGTGCCGGATCTGTTGCAACCTGTCAAGCTATTATTCACAACACAATCGGAATTGGCGTCGAGGAAGAGGATCGGAAGAGGACGTGGGTAGCAGATGCTGAAGAATGCAAGAAGCGTGGTTCCATTGAGACTGCACGGGCCATTTATGCACATGCTCTCACTGTTTTCTTGACCAAGAAGAGCATATGGCTCAAGGCCGCGCAGCTAGAAAAAAGCCACGGGACCCGGGAGTCTCTCGATGCTTTGCTCCGCAAAGCTGTCACGTACAGGCCTCAAGCTGAAGTCCTATGGCTGATGGGTGCAAAGGAGAAGTGGCTTTCAGGAGACGTCTTGGCGGCCCGAGCGATCCTTCAAGAAGCGTATGCTGCAAATCCAAACTCGGAGGAGATTTGGTTGGCTGCTTTCAAGCTTGAATTCGAAAACCACGAGCCCGAGAGGGCCAGGATGCTTCTCGCCAAGGCTCGTGAGAGAGGAGGCACGGAAAGGGTGTGGATGAAGTCGGCCATTGTCGAGAGGGAGCTGGGCAACACCTCAGAAGAAAGGAGGTTACTGGAGGAAGGGCTCAAGCTGTTCCCATCATTCTTCAAGCTGTGGCTGATGCTTGGGCAGATGGAGGACAGGCTGGGCCATCAGCAGCATGCAAAGGAGGCATATGAGTCCGGGCTGAAGCACTGCCCCAATTCCATCCCCCTCTGGCTATCCCTCGCTAGCCTAGAAGAGAGGATCAGTGGCCTGAGCAAGGCCCGGGCCATCCTCAACCTGGCCCGAAAGAAGAACCCGCAGAGCCCCGAGCTCTGGCTCGCCGCCATCCGGGCCGAATCAAGGCACGGACTGAAGAAGGAAGCGGATTCCCTGATGGCAAAGGCTCTTCAGGAGTGCCCCACGAGCGGGATTCTCTGGGCGGCGTCCATCGAGATGGTTCCCAGGCCCCAGAGGAAGACCAAGAGCATGGACGCCCTAAAGCGGTGTGACCACGATCCCCACGTGATTGCAGCCGTAGCAAAGCTCTTCTGGAACGACAGGAAGGTGGACAAGGCCAGGAACTGGCTCAACCGAGCTGTTACCCTGGCCCCAGATATCGGCGACTTCTGGGCCATGTACTATAAGTTCGAGCTACAGCATGGGACTGAGGAGACCCAGAAGGACGTGCTGCAGAGGTGCATCACCGCAGAACCTAAGCACGGGGAGAAGTGGACCAGGCTCTCTAAGGCGGTGGAGAATTCCCACCAGCCAACCGAGGCAATACTCAAGAAGGTCGTGGTTGCTCTGGGTAAGGAAGAGAATGCCGCCATGCTGGCTGAGGGAGCCCTGCCCTAGATCCCTTGAAGCTGTGCAGCAGATTGCAGGCTTCATCGAACATGGTATGTTTTTTATCGCATGCTTTTCTCATAGCTGGTTGCCATAAATGCTGTCTTATATATAGTGCGATGACTTTAGAAATAATTAAATGATGAACATATTACTTGGTAGAGTAACGCGAGTAGATTCCCATGAAGGATTCTGGTGAATGCATTCTGATCATTGACTGACTGAATCACTACGGCGCCACTGAGAATCTACTGTGACAATCGCATTCTCTACCTTCAGCTCTTCGGATTTCTGTCTCATCTTCGCAGGGCTCTTTCCCTTTTTAAGTGGGTCCTTAGAGAGAGTAGTAAGAGAATGGAAGATGCTAAACTTGAGGACGGCCTGGTCAGAGGAGAGAGAGAGAGAGAGTAGTAAGAGAATGGAAGAGCTTGAAGAAGCAGGAATATCAGGACAGACAGGAAGAGGGGGGACTGCATGAATGCTTCTACGAGGTTTTATCGATTTTTCCCTGATGTAGTCAAACATAGGGAACAAAATGCTGTTGCTCGGAAGTATTGGGCCCATCCAAGTCAAAGAAATTAGCAGCCTGATGAGTTTGAGCACCTAATTTTCTGATTTTCTCCGGTGTACTTTAATCACGCAGTAAGTGGAGGATAGTGGCCAAAAGGCGTGATTACACGGGCGACGACCAAATCACCGGCTGGTCAGAAGGGTTGACCACCGCAGCTGAAGGCGCATGTTTGAAGCCTTCAACTTGCCTGCTCTTGAGATCCTCGTCTCAATGTTCTTCTCTCTTCCTATGTGGGATTCTCCTCCGCAACACGAGAACAGAAGGTGAGGAAGACCCGCTTTGTAGAACCGGCACCAACCCTCAGTTCTCCACCTCCTTCGAAGGGGTGCCAGGGAGCTCAAATTCGTCAACGACAGTCCGCGCAAGTCAACCCCGTGTGATCATCATGACTCAAAAATTCTACCACTCAACTGAAGTGTTCCACCTTATCAGCAGTAATACGCTCCATGAGTGACCATTCTTCCTTCTACATATTTGAAAACCACATGGAATCAAGAAAATGGCAGAATAATATATATTAGGAAAATATCAAAAAAGGCTGGTGGGATGTATAAAGTTGATAGGAAAAATTGAGGAAATATCTGTAAAATATGTACACATATATATATGTATATATTTATATACATAACCAATGGCAGCTGATTTATTTTTTTCTTCTCAAGAGAGATAGAGCTCCAGAGACAATGTATAGATCATTCCACAGGAAATCAAGGAGGATTTCTTCAAAAGAGTCACTGGGTCCTCGTTAATATCACCGATAGATCCTGAAAGGGAACGTTTTGAAGGTACCCATGAAGAAAAGATGAGTTCCGTGTGGGATATGCTTCCTTTACCAAAAATGGAAGGCTTTGGTTATAAGCCCGTTGAACAGAGGTGCTACATGAGGATCAGATTCTTGAGATGCCCAAAGTCAAACACTTAGAGCGACATCCCATAATTTCCGAGAGAATTACTTCTCCAGGTGAGTGATCGTATGATGGCCAGGCTTGAGCTTCTTGGAAGGATAAAATGGTGTTAGGTTTCACCACTAGAGACCGCAGAACCGCCGATGGTACTCTTCCACAGCTTGGAGGACTTTTCGGCAACTGCTCTTGACTTTTTTTCAGTGTCAACGCTCCTCTTGTGCTTCTTATGGAAAGTCACCCCAGTAGGATTTTATCCACCCTCGCATCTAAGATAGCATCTTCTTCTTTTTTGGGGAGATCGTCAGATGTCAACGCTCTTTCCTGTAAAATCCATCTGAGCTGCGACCAGAATCTCATCTGCCCTATGAGAAAACGGAGGTCAATAGAGTAAACGATGCTAAACAGTAGTTGGTCCCCGGTGGTCCTTGAGAAAATAATGTAGCATAGTTTCTCGTTGACCTCGGCCAACCAGAAATAATTAAATAAATTATCTGAAGGCTAAAATATTAAAAATTTATTTAAGAGCTTTCAATACCAGTTTCATTAGGAGATTTGACTCTTGATTCGCTCGCCGTCGCTGCCATTTCCGTCGCATCCCACCGATGAGTTTTGATGTTTCAGTAGAGAGAGAGAATCTACTTGAATATGGGGCAACAGGGACTCCCGCGGTCATCATGAAACCAAAGGCCAGCGTCGTTCGGCTGGTGGAAGTCCCTTGAAAATTGACATTAATCCACTAATTTTTAAATATATATATGAAAAATTAGAAAATGAGAGCGTAGGGTTGACTTTTGTGTCTTTGCGTAGAGAGTGAGGCCTTCCTAATAAGGAAAGAACCTGGTTGGAAAACATATGGTGCGGTTTAAGCCAATTAACTTGGATTTATTATTTATGTTGGAGAATTTGGTAATAAAATTGATTTTTTTAAAAAATATTATTTTATATTTTTTACGCGTCCGAGATATAAAATTTTTCCCATCGGTTTGCCTTCTTTGAACGGAGCCAAAAAGACGGTAATAATGTCAGCTGCGGAGCTCCCGATTTACTTGCAGCAGCTGGACGAGCGGAGCTCCCGAGGAGCAGTTCTACGCGGGCCACGTGTCCAGATCTGCCGTGTCGTCGCAACGGACGGCTCGATCTGGAGGCCGTCGCAGAGAGGGTAAGAATTTCGGATTAAAACAATCCATCCTCTATCTACTATCTCTATCTTCTCTCTCTATGTGCTCTCTTTCTCTCTCATGGTGGGATCTTCTTGACGTTCTAGGGTTTCTATTTCGCCGTCTACCCGCCGCTGCCTCCCAACCAAGCCTGCTACTGGGTCGTTTCCATTTCTCCGGGGCCCGAAGCTAGAAATCACATAAAGCCCCTAAAAATCTCGGAATCTTCCCCGCCGGAGAAATTTTCTCCAACGTCGTAAATCGGGGGCGTCCCGTCGATCATCAGAATCCTAGACCGGCGGCGAGACGATAGCATTTGCGTCGAGAGAGTTGTTCCCCAGGGAGAAACCAGGCTTGGGATCCGTCGGTCTGCACGGTGGATCTTGCCGAGAGCTCAACCCCTCTCATCGCCGGGACCTGGAAATCTGTTCCCGCCGCCGAACACGCAACAAGGCACATAAACCGAACCAGGGTTTCGGGAGAGACTGGCCGAGGGTTTTTATGCATGAGCTGAGATGCCGTCCGGATACCTATTACCCCCCTCGTTCATCCTTGGTTCGTCGGAGAGGAATATTTCTTGCCGTTTCTTTGAGATCTAACCGATGCAGAGTGTTTCTCTGGAGAATAGGAGTCGTAGATCTGATTGATCCGGGAAAGAAGAAGAAGAAGAAGAAGAAGAGTACCTGGCCGTTTTGAATCCTTCCAGAGACCACCTTCTAACAATGTTCAAATCTGCCATTTATCATGTAAGTGCCCTTCTCGGAGAGGCCGATGTTTACCCCCAAAATCCAAAAATGAACTCTGCCTGGACGAGGGAGATTCGGATCTCCCATCTATCACCGCCGAGCGAGCGTTGTACGCCTCTGGCAGTCCTTCACACAATTGCCCCAGCTGGCCCCTGCGTCAGAATCGAATCAAGGAGCTTGCTGCCGGATGAGTCGCCGTTGTTCTTGTTGCACACCACATGCCTCAGAGAGAAAAAGGTATCGTCGTCCAGAAGATAGAACTTGCGAAAAATTATACGAATAAGATTTCCTCCTGATGCATTATGCATAATTGACTGTCGGTAAAAAAACAGACGGCTTCACAGACAGTAATCTCCGAACTTTGCTTGTAATAAAGTACTTACAAGACTGTCTTTGGACCGGAAGATCTCCAACGATGAAACATGACAATTATGGGCATTAATTTTCATGCGAAAAAAGGGTTTATCATGTAACCATGATACTTGAGAATCTTAAATAGCTTTTCAGTTTTCAGGCTGGAACATTTGTGGTCTTGATAATCAAGAGTTGACCTACAGATGATTTTATTAATTTACATACATACCTCTCAGAGATGAGAAGGGATGAATTGATTATTCCTTCTGGAGCTCGGATAAGCTTGATAATGTGCTTTTAAAGGATTTGCTTAAACTGATTTTCTTTGAAGCTGTAGAAGTCATCAGTACTGATGTTGTGCTTATTGTTGTCGCAGTAAAAAGTTTCGTATTGAGTCTAATACTGATATCTTGGCTGAATATATTGAGTTTCGTATGCTATTCTGTTTATCCTACTATCCTTATTTGATCGTCTCAAGCACGTGCCATGTTTTATAATTGCGTAATTTCGTAGTAATGTGAACATTATTTCGAGCAACTATTCTATACGTCACCTTGCAGAGGTTTCTAGGAGGGACTGACTGACCCTCGATGTTGGTTTCCTGTTGCTAATGACTGACTGACCCTCGATGTCGACAATTATTGAAAAGATTTAGGAGACACAAGAAGACCTACTTGTGATCTTAATGTACGAGATGCTGACATTAAGATTATGTGTGAACAATGCTCTTGAAATTTTCAATGAAAAGGTCATTCATATGAAGAAATTCGATTTCTGCATTTGAGTTTATGTCAAGTTTCCCCAGAAAATGATGCAATTTTTCTGTGATGTATGCTTTCTGTGATCTTACCTTTGTGTGCTTAAATTTTCAGACTGCTGTTATTTCACTGGGAGAACAAGAACTTCATTTGGTGGCTATGCCGTCTAGAAGGAATTTTGACAAGTGCTCACGATTTTGGGGTTTTAGCACTGTTCCAGGCTTATATAACTCTTGTCTTGTCATGCTAAATCTAAGATGCCTTGGAATTGTGTTTGATCTTGACGAAACACTTATTGTCGCTAATACCATGCGTTCATTTGAGGACAGGATAGATTCGCTGCAGAGAAAAATAAACGCTGAAACTGATCCACAGCGAATTTCTGGCATGCTGGCTGAGGTCAAGCGATATCAAGATGACCAATGCATTCTAAAGCAATATGTGGAAAATGATCAAGTTGTTGACAGCGGGAAGGTTTTCAAAGTGCAATCTGAAATAGTTCCCTCTTTGTCTGATGGCCATCAACCAATGATTCGCCCAATCATAAGGTTACAAGAGAAAAATATAATATTGACGCGAATTAATCCCTTGGTATGTTGTGGGTTTACCTCATTCTTTTGTGAATACTTTTCCTCATTTTCTTTTGCTTTTTTTTGTAAGAAAAAATGGAGGTATAGAGCCTAGGAGTGAATATGGGTTTTTAAAGAGTTTCAGGCTAACTTGATTTTTCTTCAGATTTAGTATTCTGATATATATGTTGTGCACTGATCCTTGTAGGTTCGTGATACCAGTGTTCTTGTAAGATTGAGACCTGCATGGGAAGATCTCCGTAGTTACTTAACTGCCAGAGGTCGCAAACGTTTTGAGGTCTATGTGTGTACAATGGCAGAAAGAGACTATGCTTTAGAGATGTGGCGACTTCTCGATCCAGAGTGGAACTTGATTAACTCAAAACAACTTCTTGACCGTATTGTATGCGTGAAATCTGGTGAGTTCTACTTTCCTCTACATTTTCCATGACATTTTAGGTTTAATACTACCTGTCTTTGGGGAATGTAATGGTAGTGGTCCCAAGATAATTTTTACTACTGATTCCTTGACTTCAGGTTTTGCCAAGTAACTTGCCAAATAGTTGTATCGTCTTCCCTTTACGAAATTCATTATTTTATTCGGCATATTGATTGTTATTATTCCTTTTTGGTATCTGCAATTGATGAGGTGATAGTAATACTGATCCAAATCCGTGGGTTTTCTCCAGGCTTAAGGAAATCATTGTTCAATGTTTTTCAAGACGGAATTTGCCATCCGAAGATGGCATTGGTTATTGATGACCGACTGAAAGTTTGGGATGATAAAGATCAACCACGAGTGCATGTAGTCCCTGCATTTGCACCGTACCATGCCCCTCATGCAGAGGTATTGGGTAAATGTTTCTTGTGAAGATTTATTTCACTGATTTCCATTTCTACAATGCATTTTAAATAGTTTTACTCAATCGAATAGGCAAATGGTTCTGTTCCGGTACTCTGCGTTGCAAGAAATGTCGCATGCAATGTTAGAGGTGGTTTTTTCAAGTAAGTGCTGTCACTAATTGTTCATTTATGCCTGTGATTGTTTTTTCCTGCAACTTTATATTCCAAATGGGTAATCTTCATCACTCATAAAACGATAACTTTTTTTTTGGCATCGCACAGTTCTGCTGTTTGCTCACATCAATGTGATCCTATCTACAATGCATAGTTAGAATAACAAAATTTTACGTGGACATTTTCACCATGCATGACAACGTCGTAGTTTCTCATTGCAGGGAGTTTGACGAAGGTTTATTGCCACGCATCTCTGATGTTTTCTATGAAGATGAATTGGTGGATTTTCCTTCTGCTCCAGATGTTGGTAACTATCTGATATCAGAGGTAATTAACTACCCGAGGACCGTGACCCATTGTTGATATTATTTTACAAAATATCCCATTCACTTTAAGATATCTGGGATTTTTTCAGGATGATACCTCTGTCTCAAATGGAAGCAAGGACCCATTATCTTTTGATGGCATGGCAGACGTTGAAGTTGAGAAGAGACTAAAGGTTTGTTAAGTTCGTTCAGCCCATCTAGAAATGCATGTTGTATTCATCATTTCTCATCCTGTGTATGCAGAAAACATCCAGCAATTTTTACCACAGTAACATAGCTGTTTCTTTTCCTTAGGAAGCAAACTTTAATGTCCAAGCAGCACCTTCTATACTCAGTAACCTGGACCCAAGATCGGTGTCCTCTCTTCAACATGTGTTGGCTTCTTCATCGATCGTGCCTACGCCAGCAGCCTCCCAAGTTGCCACATCTTTGCATGATAATCAACAACCTCTAAGCATAGGTTCTGTTAAGCCGTTGGTTCAACCAGGCATCCCAGAGTCTAGTTTGCAAGCCTCCCCAGCAAGGGAAGAGGGCGAGGTGCCTGAATCGGAACTAGATCCAAATACAAGGAGAAGACTTCTCATCTTGCAGCACGGACAAGACACGAGAGATCATATTCCAAATGATTCTGTATTGCCAGCTAGAGTTCCCTTGCAGGTCTCACTGAACCCTCCCATACAGTCACATGGAGGTTGGTTTCCTGTTGAGGAAGAGATGAGTCCAAGGAAATTAAATAGAGCTCCAAAAGAGTTTGCTTTTGAACCAGAAGCTGTACGTTTTGACAAGACCAGGCCTTTCTTTCCTCGTGTGGACAATTTTGCCCGACCTGAAAGGCCCATTCACGACAATCAGAGATTGTCTAAAGAGGTATTTATATTTAAGATATATATGTATATTTCTTAAATTGAGGATTATCTACTTTAAAGTTGATATTCGTGTATTATTTCCAGATATATCACGGGGATGGGCAATTGCGGCCAAAACATGCGGCGTTAAATCACCATCACGTGCCAGGTATCTTTAATTGTTAATCACTACACATTAGGAGTCTTTTGTTGACTATAAGATCTACAAAGCGTGATGATATTAGTTGTATGGTACCTTGCCATTAATTTACCTTGATCTGGTTCCGAATTAAAAAAATGTTTGCTGGCTTTATTTCTTAGCTTTGTCCCGTGAAGCCATTTGTCTCACTTGGCATATTCTTATTTCTTTTACCAAAAATTCTGTCCAAAGTTTCACAAATACTAGCATTCCATTCCCCTGTTCCACGGATTATATTTTTAATATTTCCTGCATGTGATGATATTCCATCCTTGCTGAAAAGAGGTTTAGAGTACAGCATTAGAGTGTATTTTTGCAGTTAAGATAAGGTACTGTCAATTTCTTGTCATACGTTTAAAACATTTGATGATTTTCGTTAGAGCATCATGGAGCTTTGCCGGTGGTTGTCTTCCTTGTTAAGGGATCAGGGTCATGATAAGTCGAGTAGCTTTCTATTCTGGACATCAAATTGGCTAGACCCATATAAATATAGCCTATTCATCTTCATGCATTTATCAAGGTTACTGGTGATAACAACAGATAAAAGGACTTGGGGGTTGGGGAGAAACATTTTCTATCATAAATATTTGTGTGGACAGTGGTCTTATATGGTCTTATATGTGACGATGATGTTTTATATGGACTTGGCATATTCTTCATTTTCTATGGTTTATATCATAAATATTTGTGTGGACAGTGGTCTTATATGTGACGATGATGCCAGAGCAAAAGATTTGATAGGTTTTTGTCAGTTTTGACCATGCCAAGGGAGGTGCAAGAAATATGTACGTGAAGCATGGCCTCACTTACCTGGAGGCTCATGACCTGCATCTGATTGTTTGAATGCTTGGCATTGAGTGGGTTTGGTTTCTGGTTGAGGAGATTATAAAGAAGAGGGTCATACTCCTTTGGCTTTTTTCAGGTTACATTTGCCAACCTGAAAAAGGTTTTTAGTGCCCGACCTCCCTAAAGATGTGCATCTAAAACCTGGTCTTGGTTTTGTCCATGAGTAATGATTATGTGGACAAGTGCTTGTGCATGCTTTAGACTGTTGATTAGATTATGTAGGTTCAAAAATAACCCTGAAAATTACAATTTTCTATCTAGGTCCAAAAATAAAGAGGAATGTCTTGTTCTTCTAGTAGCTTAAGTTATTTAGGATGTTTTACTTCTGCACTGTTCGTGGTTGATAGCTTGGTCCTAATGATAAACATTTGTTAGCCTGTGGTCCAGTTGGCGCTGGCTTTAATGTAATAGTCTGAACTGTCTGATTTTGTTTCGTCTTACCAATTGTGAAGGGAGGTGATTGGGTTAGTCGATTTGCTTGCCTTTATATGTACCAAGTTTTGGTGTCGATCCTTAGATGCATAATTTTGATTAAGCCAATTTTATCTTTGAAGGTGATGAGGTACCTGTCGGACGGGCGTCTATTAGCAACAGAGATGCTTATTTTGATTCTTGGCGAATGACTTCACCGTATTTAGATACACCTACTGGTGTTTTACTGGATATTGCAACAAAATGCGGAGACAAGGTGGTTAACCTTCATTTTTTTATTTTACTGTTAATTTATGGCAAATTTGACTAATTAAATTATACATTTGTAATGACAGGTGGAATTTAGAGCAGCATTGGTTGATACTACAGAATTGCAGTTTTCCATTGAGGTAGTGACTTTTATTCATTGTGTTCGACTTCTCTTGATAAATATGGCAAAACAAAAAATCTGAGTATTGAGCCTCGTATGTGTTTCTTTTTACATAAGAAAAGGCCTGAGCCATTTCTATTCTCAACTTTGATGTCTTTCTTCCTGTCATAGGTGATGATAAGTATTCAACTTTCTTGCACATTAGCCTTGATTTTTTCAGCATCATTTTTCACAGAGTCACTGTTTCTTTACCCTGTTTGCAACTATTTTGCCTGATTATTTTTCACTTTACTGAACATGTATTGGCCTTTTTTTTTGTGGTCCTATATCTGGTCAGTTTTAGTTCAACCCAGTATTAAGTTAGGTGAATTGAATTTTTTTTTAATCTATAAGTTTTGACTTTAAAAAAATTCTTTACTTGTCTCACCTACTTACTATGATATTTTAAGTGACTTTCTCTTGGATTTCACTAAATTTAAAATTTCTAGAATATAGTTTTTTATGATCAATGGATCGACCTGTTGTATGTTGTTAGATGCGTGAGGATAGCTTATACATTATTTTCATTTCTCTGAATGATTCAATTCATTGAACATCAAGATGTTGACTTGTCTCTCTTGATTCACGTCTCAAGATAAAGCCAATAAACACTTGGTGTTAATTCCTTAATTTAAATTCTTTTGGTTGAATGTCAGGCATTTGATATTTAGCTTTGCTATTTCTAAAGTAAGAGCTCTAAAAAAAAATTGCCTGCGTCTAGCACTTGCTTTTAGCAATAGCTACTTGTTACCATGAATCCTCACAAATAATGAATAAAATGATCTTATATCTTTGATAGCAAGCACTTCTTTGAGTGTGTTGATGTGGGCGTTGAATGCCAAAGCTTTGAAATTTAGGACAACTTTCTCCCGAAAGAATGTTTTAAAAAACTTGTAAACTTTCTTACCAAGGGATTTATAAATGGATTAGTGTCTGCGCATGTGTTGATTTCTCTTTTCTGAGATGATCAGAAATCGGTTTTTTGTAGCCATTCAAACAACTAGTCATGAAAAATGACAAGTTCTCTGGTAGTAGGTCTTTTCTTTGTTTGTCATGGAGTGACTCAGGTTGAATCTTTTTTTCTGAAACAGTGAAAAGATCAAGATATTTACCAATCTATTTTAAAATTATGTGAAACTTTTTAAGAGAGTGCAAAGTAACATCATCATTCAGATATTAAAATCTTAGTAATGAAATGATGTGTAATAACCATTTTATCTTTGAGTATATTTTGTGATCATTAAAAAAAGATTGAATTTAGGACTTAAATGTTTATCTGTTGTACTCAAGTGGCTAGAATCAAAAGAAGAGACCAGTGGAGTATATAGCCTGTATACATCAGCAATTCTTGCTTTCATTTATTTTGTAATATCTTGAAGTATGATATATCATAAATTTTTTATTCCTAATTTTTTGAGGGAATACACGTTTCGTCTTGCTCTTTATCTGCAGGTTTGGTTTGTTGGGGAGAAAGTAGGCGAAGGAATTGGTAGAACTAGGAAAGAGGCACAGCATCACGCGTCAGAGAGCTCCCTTAGAAATCTAGCCAGTAAGAGATCCCATGATTATCAGTCAATTACTATATTTTGAAAGTACCCTTGAGCAATAAATACTTTTAATTCCCTTGACTTCGTGATCCTAGTAATATATCCCTGTATTTTAATGGTTTACACGTGTTTTACTCATCTATGCCAATCATCCATGGATACATCTTTGAGCTGCCTGTTGACTATTTATCTCATCACAGTCTAATTGCTTGCATCTAGCAACACACGATTCTTCCATTTTTCATATTTAAATTATCGTCTCGAAGTAAGTTGGGAGTGGATAATTCACAGTTGGGACTGGTTTATAAGAAAGATTTGCTCGTAAGTTTCTACCGAGAATTTGTTGTATAAAATGCCTTTTTCTTTTTTGCTGCACCAGTTTGTAAATATTTAAAGCTATCGAAAGTTCATCCTATGTTCATCCATAAGTGGAAAATTTGACTTCAGGATAATAAGGTCTCTCCTGCAGCAGCAAACCGGAAATAGGATACTCGATTCAATAAAAATGCTACTTTTAGACAGCCCTGGGCGGGGGTTGAATATGTTTCTGACGATCAGCCCATCTTTTGACTTTTGGCAGATAAGTATCTCTCGACTGTTTCACACGACCCTGATTCCATGCATGATGAGGCTCCACATGCGAAAGAGAATGGTGCTGTGAGCGGCAAAAGCTCCTTCCAGTACCCAGCCTACCGGGGGGACGAGCCTGTCCTTAGCAGTTCACTGGAGCAGGCCCGATTCCAGGACCAGAGAGTTGACCGATCTAGGCCATCAGGTGCTGACTTAGCCGCTCTTAAGGAACTTGTAAGGGTCCATGGTTCTCTGTACTTGTTCCTCGCTCCTACATGTCTGTATATATTTTTTTCTGAAAGCTCCCCGGGTGCCATAACGACGACTTTTATTTGGGTCTGCTTTTATAGTGCGCCCTAGAAGGATTCAGCCTGAATTTCCTAACACAGCCTGGGGTTTCCGTTGACCCTTCCACCAAGGGGGAAGTGACGGCGCAGGTTGGTATTTATCCGCCTTAATTTTTACTTTTTATGAGAATAATTTTTTTAAAATATTTATTTATTTATGCTCATCCGACAAAAGTGTAATCTTCTTTTCAGGTGGAGATCGGTGGTCAACTCCTCGGGAAGGGAAGCGGAATGTCCAGAGAAGAAGCCAAGCTGCAGGTGTCTCCGGCGAAGATACTCAAAAAAATTGCCGTCTTTGGTTGATTTGGGCCTTTCAAATATTTAATCTTTATTTTTCTTTTTCTTTTAATGGCCACTCGCCGCAGGCTGCCCAGGAGGCCCTTGTGAATCTGCAGTCAATGCTGGGTCAGTTCGCTCCGAAGCGGTCTTCTTCCCCGAGGTGAGCCGGCACGAACCCGTTGACTTCTACCTTTAGAAGTTTTTTATCCGGTCGCGAGGTCAACCTTCTTTTTTTGTTTTTCCCCCCGTTGTGTGATTGGCCAGGTTGGCTCACTCGATGTCCAACAAGCGGCTCAAGCAAGATCTCCCGCGGGGACTGCAGAGGACCTCTTCTGCGAGATATTCCAGGGACGACGCGCCGGTGCTCTGATGATGGTGACGCCGCCTCTTTTCTCCGGCGGAGAGCTCATGGGGCCTCAATGGCCCGCCGCCGCCCGCGGCGGCGGCCCGAGGGGCGCGGCCATTTCCGGCGGCGGCGGGTTGGAAGTCAACGTCGACGGCGGAGACAACGAGAAGGCCGGCGGTCGGTCGGGGGTGTTCTTGTGCGGCGGCGCCTCAGCGGAAGATGATTGGGTTTTGCTCGTCTGCAGCAATTTCTCTTCTGCGAGTTTTTTTTTCTTTTTTGGGTTTTTTTCTTCCCCTCCCCTTCCTGTGATCGCGGATGGAGGTCGAGAGGAGACGACTGGAAGTCAACGTCGGCTGATGTCAAAGACCGGGGGAAGTCAGCGGCCGTGGAGATGGAAGCTCGTACGAGTTACTTCATCGATCTGGTGGTGCTTCCATATCTGGGGTTGTTTTGAGGTCCAAATTTGGGAAAAAAATATCGTCCGGCCCCTTGACCGCACTGTCTATGCCTGAAGATCTGGAAGTCAACCCCACGAATGATGAAAGTCTACTGGCCGGAGCGAGCCCTCACGCTCTTAAATCTAGTTCTTTTTTTATCGTGCCCCGATCCTTCCGAGTCAAACGCGGAGATAAATAGAGAGAGAAAATGAGAGAGAGAGAGAGAGAGAGAGAGGGAATGGGCCGAATTCTGGGACACGCCGGGCCCAATATGAAAAATTAAGAAGCTGGTTTGAATAATTTGAAGGTTTTTAAAGGCCAAATAGTTGTACACGTGTGATCTCCGGGGTCGGCACGTGCTGTGAGCAACACTCTTTCCTCTTCTTCACCGCCTACGGGGCCTTCTTCCCCCCCCTTCCAGACCGCACCAGAACGAGCGCAAATAAAACAGGGCCGACAGCGATTGTCAGCGGTGTGGGTGGGTTATTCCTCTTGCAGCGGGAGGTGAAGCCCCGTGGCCTCGGCAGAAGGGATCGGGAGAGGGGAGATGTCTACGGCTTTCGACGACTTCGGCCACGATGGGGAGGAGGAGGCTGCGGCGAGAGTCGCGGGCACGCGCCCTTTCGACGACGATGGGTACCTAGGGTACGATCCCCGTCTCCCCTCCCAGAGGTACGAGAGCTATGGTGGCTTCGCCGCAGATGAGGATGCTAAGGGTACTTTCGGGGAAATTCCTGTGGATGAACCCCCTTTGGGTTTCCCCGCGGACGGCGGTAGCTTTGCCCATGATGAGGTTCCAATCCCCGTTCTTCATGTTTCCGGGGATAGCATTCCTCCCTCCCCAGAGAACTACGGGTTCCGCACGGATCAGCATCCAGACTTCGTCTCCTCGCCTTCCCCGTTCTCGATACCTGAGTCCAACGGGAAGGCGTATGGGGAGGTGGATGACGACGGAATCTTCGCCTCAGATGGCTCAGTGCTACCGCCTCTGAACGAGATGCCGCCTGAGGAGGGATTTCTCATCCGTGAGTGGCGCCGGTGAGGATATTGCATTTTTTTCTGGATCACTTGCCCCAGATCTGATCGGTCGATGCTAGGATTACTTCGGATTTTTTTGGGTTCTGCTGATACGTTCGGGTCCAAACAATCGCTTCCGTTGATTCTTTTTTGTTGATATCTTGTCGTGTTGATCAGATCTATGCTCTTCTAATTTTAATTAACGATGAGAGATCATGTATTTTGACTACGGTTCTTGTGGACAGTTTTTCGATTCTTTTGTAAATGTTGTTCCCTCATGATGTATTTTTGTTACCACTTTAATTCGACAAGTTCTGAATGATTGGTTTGCTTACCGTTAGTTTTTCATGGTGTTAATATTTTTTTTTCGTTTATACTCTTGAGGTTTAAATGGTTGACCAAACTTGTTCATTAGAGGAAAAAAACGAACTTTTCATTTCCTAAGACGCTCAAAACTCCTAATCTTGGATGCAAAATTGTAGTATATTTGAATACTTCTTATTCTTAAGTGATTTTGATGCTAATGTTGCAGTTTTCCAGTTGCATGTTCATGATAATGTAGCAAGTTTAGCTTTATGCGCTCACAATTTCTGTGAATCCACACTGCAGTTTTTTTTCTTTCCTTGATGTCTGAGATGACATCACGCTTGTGAGGTGAGTTTAAATAGAGCTTTCTTGTGTTTTTAATCACCGAACACCTTTCCGCCCCAATCTCTGAACCGAATATGATTATGCCGATTTACACTTTCTTTAACAGAAAGGTTTTCAGTTTTGGATAAGACAAGAAAACTGATAAGCTATGGAGTTTAGTGTTTTTTTTCATGTTTATGGAGTGATAAGCTTGATTTTGTGTGAATGGCGAGGTATTAAAAAAATGTCCCTTTATCATGCGGGATGGCATGGAAATGGGGGAGAAAGGGTGGATGAAGAGGTTAATGGAGAGAGGGAAGGTGTTCTAAGGCTTTCCTAAGGCGAGAGGTAGATGAAAAAAGGGAAGCAACAGAAGGTAATGCAGCAGCCGTCTTATGACGTCAGATTCGTATCTTGTAGTTGGGAGTTGGGAAACAAGGAGGTTGCCACAGGAAGGCTTTAACGTCGCCACCCGCAGTTGAGTGAAGGAAAGCAGTGACCTGAGAGTCAGAACTAATCTCTCTCTGTTTCTCTGCGTATAACCAAATCAGAAACGAAACCAAGTCTGGTATTTTATTGTCTGCGTCTCCCACATCTTGCCCTTGTTCATGAATTTTTCTTGTTCCTATCTAGATCGGTTCAATCAAATTTACTTTAGCGATTTAACTGAAGTTTCACTAGGGGACTCAATCTCTCCTTGGAATAAATGAATAAAAGATGGAATCGATTTGAGTTTACTGATTCTGTGAGAGGTGAGACGTTAATCTACGATACCCCAGTACAGAAGAACTTGCCGACAACACTCTTTATTCGTGACCCTCTCAATAGAAAAATGCTTACTTTGCAAATTCCACCTGGAAACTGAATATTGTCCTTGCCTCCGCCATTTAAAGTGTTCCCATCACATATGCAAAGTTAAACCTCGATTTTCTAATTGAATGGTCCATATTTTACGACGGTTTTATGAAGTTAATGGGCACCAATGTTTCCTTTCTGTTGTTTGCCAAATCACAACGATCTTGTAAGCATTTCCAATACATTGTTGACATAAGATTTTAGTAACTCTTTGAGTGAATTTTTTGCCTTTATAACATTTGAACTTGGCAGCAATACACAATCCCATGAGTATGATTGATATTTTTTTTCAAGTAACAACTGACTGTTTGCGGAAATTACCCATCTGAATTTCTTTCACCTCCATTATGGTTATCAGCCATAAAGATTTAAAAACTCCTGAATATTCCTAGTGGAATTACTGTCAGTAGTAAGTCGAGGTAGAATAATATTTTTATGTCAGCTGTTAACATTCAAATGAGTAAAGAGTTGGAAACATTTTTGTCACTTCCTTGCAGCATTTTGAATTTGATCATTATATACATCCATGTGTTACTGATTTGGATGTGACATACTATCTTTTATTTATTCCTGAGAAAATTCCCGTCCCTTTTTAGCGTATTATGAATATTTATGAAACGATGGCTTAGGATAATGAGTGTCATCTTATGGTTTTAATGAGATATGTACTACATATTTATAGCGTATGAATAGGAAAAAAGTCGAAATGTTTTCCGATGAACCTATATACAATATGGTCATTTATTTTGGCATATTGAGTAATATGAACATTCTTGTGATTCAGGTTTGATCTATGCAGATATTGTAAACTTCATACATTGGCTTAGTGGACTAATTATTCTAGTCTGATGCATTTGATAAAGTGTTGAAAGCATGCAGAAGTTATATCTTTGAGTCTATTGGTCCGTTCAGAGTTAATCTAACGTAATAACATGCAGCGTTTGCTGACTATATTAGTCTTGTTACTTGGTTTATATTTTGCATGAATTATACATTCATGATATAACGTTTCTATTGTGTATATAAATACTGGGTAGAATTACTTAGAGAAAATTCATATTAGTCTCTTGTCAGCCAGTCCTATGATCTTGCCAGGGACAAGGGTGTAAGTATTGTTATAATCTCTCATTGGCCTTTAAGGACTACGCTTGGCATAGTAAGAAGCACGTGACAGCTCAAGCGGATGTGGTTCCGGCCAGTAACAATATTTGTTTGAATGGATGTTATTATTTGTAAATTTAAGTGTTTAGTAGATTAAGTGACTTTACTTTTTGAACCTGGAAAGCATGGACGATTTGTCAAAGCCTAGTGAACCACTTGATTATAAGTTTGTGAACTCCATATTTGTGAAACATCCATTGTCACATTACTACGATATTTGGAGGAAAAATTAAATAAGATATTAATCCTCCATTCTGTGTTATAGTTTGACCTTGAGCACCGAAATAGAGCGAAGGTCGTGTCAAGAATGGTATCCGAAGGAGAATAAGAAGGGAATGCTGAATATATGATCATGGTTTTGGCCCATGAGTGTATCAATAGATTTTTCCTGGTAGGCTTGTGGGTGGGCTTCGTGTAGTAAATTTGAACTTTTTTTTTCTTATATTAAGATTCAATCAGGAAATGGTGAACGTTGAAAAAGAGATTCTTTGGAGAAGATTTGAAAGTTCGTGTTCAGGTTGTCCATGGATTGTTCAGAGTTAGAGGTTGATCCGAGTATTGCTTTCCAAGGGCAAGGGTTTACGTAGAAAGATCCTCATTTATCCCTGCACAAGATGTCAGGCTAAGTTTTTTATATCTAACTTATCTGAACTTTTTGTATATCCAAACTTTGATGGACAGACATCTTTTTTTAGTTCTTACTTTCCTGTGATCATATATGATTGGCCTGATTCCTGATCCATTGCAAAATACTTCACAAACCACGATTGTCTAGCTCAAAGATTGAAGGTAGGACTTATGTGTATGATTGTGACAGAATTGGTCCTGGATTCATCAAATTACCGCCCATTGTTACTTAGGATAAGCACTAATTATCCGGAGCTAACTTAGAACGTCAGTTATTACTCTGATTTCTGAAGACTTCGACTAATTAACTCTGATACCTGGGATAAGCACTAATTAACTTAGAATGTCAGTCAATCTAATCTGGCCTTGAGGTTATGCAATTATAAGTTATGGAGAGTAACTCTTTAGATTTGTCATTGTCCATATGCCTTTATAGATGGGAGAGTAAATCACTCACTGGCTTTCAATTGCCCGATTCGTTTGGCCTGATTTACTCGCTTAACCTTAGTGACACCAAGGCTACTACAAAATCACCATAAGAACAGATTGAAGTTTATTTCCTGATGCAAGCAATTCACTCAAAATTTGGGACAAGACTTCCTTTCGTGGTTTTAAGGTTTTTTTTTTTATTATTCACTCAAACTTATTTCACGGCTGTAGGATCTAGTGCTCATACATATCCCAGATACCTAGTTCATATGCCTCCTTGTCTGAGAAAGATCGATCATTAGCCATGGAGAATGGCGTCATCGTGGGGTCAACGCATGTGGACTCTCCTCTCTCTTGCTTCCTCTACCCTCTCCTTCCTTTCCCCTCTGGTGGGCGTGTGGTGCAGCGCTGATGAGATCTCCGCTCCTCCATCCTCTCCTCGATTCCCGCTCTCTCCCTCATACAAATGAGTTCAGATTAATATGATCTTACTCCTTTTTCTTTTCTCTCTCCCTTCCGTTATTCTTGTCTCAATGTGGCATCGACTTGAGTTCCCTTTGCTTCTTGCATTCACACGTGTGGAGAAAAACAGTGAAGAAAGACGCGACTTTTATGTCTGTGCAGACAAAACGCCATCCATCTCGAGGAGAAGGAGAAGAGGGAGAAAGAGCTGAGGCTGCAGATCATCGAGGAGGCTGAGGAATACAAGAAGGCTTTCTATGAGAAGAGGAAGATAAACTGCGAGACCAACAAGACCCAGAACAGAGAGAGGGAGAAGGTAATTCTTCCAGACATTTACAGCCCTCCGGCAGAAAGAACGAATGCAGGTTCTTCAAATCATACGGCGCGGCAGACTTATTTTCTTTTGGGTCCGTCTTCGCAGCTGTTTCTGGCCAATCAGGAGAAGTTCCATGCGAACGCGGATAAACAGTACTGGAAGGCGATCGCAGAACTCATCCCCCATGAAATACCCAACATCGACAAGAAGAGAGGGAAGAAGGACCAGGAGAAGAAGCCATCCATAGTCGTCGTCCAGGGCCCAAAGCCCGGAAAGCCCACTGATCTTGCCAGGTTGCGGCAGATACTATTGAAGCTTAAGCACAACCTGCCGCCCCACATGAAGCCCCCGCCGCCGCCGCCTGCGCCTACTGCGAAAGAAGGTGCCGCCGCCGCTGCTGCCGGAGATAAGCCAGGGGGAACCGGCAAGGAGGCCGCAACCGATGGCTCTGCTAAGCCAAAGGAGGTGCCTGTTGCAGCACCAGAGGCGCAAGCCGTGGCAGCGGCTGAGCCCACCGCCTCCTCTGCTTGATCTTGGCGGTGGCGCCTCGCCGTCGGCACCTGATTTATTTTATTCTTGTGCAAATTTGTCCTGGGAAAGGTTTTAGTAAGGAGTCTAGCCAGATACGGTGCTGTTTCTGTCCTTCACTGTCGTCATGAGTGTGATACTTCTCCAGCTCAACTCATGGAATCTGAATCCTCTTTATATGGAAAATTTCTCATAGAGACCCCTTGGCACTTGTGTGCCCTCGTAGTTCACATGATCTAGAGGGTCTCTCTCCATCTCTCTTCAAGACCCCCCAACGTTCTGGGTGGTTTCTGGGCGATGACCTCTCTCTCTCTCTCTCTCTCTCTCTCTGTATGTATATATATTGATACATGAATATGTATTTACATATTTATGACCCACCGATCCTTTTCTTGTCTTCTTTGTCAAATTGGAAAATCTAATTTGTCCAAGATTTAAATATTTAAATGACCAAAATAGACTTTCTCTCTCCTCCTGCTGACCACTCTATTCCCTCCATCCAAGGTTTCTTCCGTCAATTCAAAAGGCTAAACAGATTAGAAAAGACAGCTGAGGAATATCGTCATCATCGCCGTAATTAATGTAAAATCATAATATTTATTCTTCGTGGATTTAAACATAATTACATATATAGAAAAAACCGATGGAGTAATGCATTGTGGGCTCATCCGGCTCACTGAGAGGCACTCATTTCATTTCTCAGGGTAAAGAAGAAGGAAGAAGGAAGAAGAAGAAGGCGAGGAAGAAGAGAGAAGCTTTTTCGTGTTGATGTTCAAATGGGCATCTACAAGAACAGCCCGTGTGGCTACCCCTTTTTATTATTCAAATTATATGAAGGTGAAAGCCGCGGGCTGTAGAGATGCGGCGCCGCTCTAGGGAGCCTCTCCCCAGGGAGACCAGCTGGCGGCGCTGCCAACTCGGGGCATGGCGGAGATCCTGGAGCCGGCGTCGACATTGAAGGTGGCCCCGCACATGACCCCCTCGCTGTCCACCCTCGGCATCGCCTTCATCCTGTTCATGGGATGCTCGAAGCTCTTCAACCCTCCTTCGCTGTGGAACATGCAACCCGTAGGAAACGGGGCGAATGACTTGCCGCAGCTCCCTTTGATCAACATCTGCTCATCGGAGATCGCCACCGATCCGTCCGCCGCGATCCCCCAGTACAGCGGCACCCTCCCATCCGCGCTCTGCCATGCAAACCAGACATCTCCCTCGTCAACACGGAGCGAGAAAGAAGAGAGAGAGAGAGAGAGAGAGAGAGAAAAGAAGGGGAATGGGCTGTTTACCAGAGCGGCGAAGATGGTGCCGGCCCTGTCGTCGTAGATGATGAAGGCGAAGCTGCCATCGAGGTCCTTGACGACCTGGTCGGCGGGGTAGGGGCTGCGGTCGCGGAGGGTCCGGTAGGCCTCAATGACAAACAGCGCCTCGTTGGTCGCCTTGCACAGGCCGTACTGCCTTATCAGCGAGCTGAGGTTGTCCAATCTGCCGTAGAACAGGCAGTAGATGCCATCCAAACTAGAAAACACCCTGAGAAGAATCCAACTATTAGCGAGAGCGAGAGCGAGAAGGAGAGCGAGAGCGAGAGAGAGAGAGGGAGAGGGAGAGGGAGAGGGGGAGAGAGAGAGAGAGAGGGCGGGGGGAGGAGGGGTACCTCCGGTGATCCGCCATATTGCGACCTGAGTTCACGGATGCGAGGGCGGCGCCACCAGTGAAGGTAGCGGAAAAGGAATCATCCGGGTGTGCAGCGTGGAACGCCCTCAAGATCCCCTCCGGCGTCTTGGCCGCCCGTCCCGCCGCCACCGGGCTGTTCAGCTCCTGCGGCGGATGCGCTACCGTCTTCTGGAAAATGGCCAACATCTTCTCCTCCTTCCTCTTCCTCTTCCTCTTCCTCTTCCTCTTCTTCTTCCTCTTCTTCTTCCTCTTCCTCCAAGAAATCCTTCAAATCGCTTCCTTCCTTCGACACAGCAATCAACGACTGGATGGAACGGAATGAAGGCAACTTCCCAAGGCGCCACCTTTATAGGCACCCAAAAGAAGGGGCCCACTTTCGTACAGGATTTGCTTAAAATTACACGTGGACGTGTGTGACACCGCGCTTAAAGTGACCGTCCCCCGTCCACTCCACCTCGTGGGCGGCTTCGCACCCAGGGTGGTGATCGCATCCTATGGCCCCACCGCTGGCTCGGAGAACGAGTGAGGCGGTTCTTATCCCTGACCAGAATACGCGTCAGCAGCATGGCACGTGGATCGAGGTCATTATTCTCGCAATTTTTAATTATTTGACGGTGGGCATAATTTGTGGATAGGACCGCCCCGTTGTTGACACGCTGTAAGGACGTGGATAAAACGCCGCCGTTTCACCGCGCTTGACGTGGCATCCACGTAGTCCTCATGGTCGCCGTGTAATCTAAATATGACGTCATTAGTGCTTTAGAATATTCAATTGGGTAAACCAGCGGATCCCACTGATTGGCCCGAGACCGTGGGCGGCTGACTCGGCGGCTGGAAGGAAACGATTGTGTAACCTACACGTGTCCGTCTTGACGGAAAATCAACGGTCAACTTCTGAGCTCTGGCGAGGATCGTCACTGTCTACTCACCAATTGGGCCACGTTGGGCCAATTTGGGCCAATTTGGGCCTGATCCTCACATGAATCAGGCGGATACGGTTCGGAGAAGTCATAATGGAGCCGGACCTACCCATTAAGACAGCAGAGGAAGTGTCAACGATCGGAGCAGTAAGTGCGACACGACCCGTGGCGAGCTGACTCGGCCGAGCCGCGACCCAGCAGCAAAAAGTGAAAAGGAAATTTATAAATAAGCCCTCGACGAGAGGACGATATTAGAGGGATTCTCTTCCCTTTCTATTTTATAATTTTTTTGGACCTTATATGCACATATCTTGTACACATGACTATTCACGCTCAGGCGAACGTGGGTGTATGAGATGCTAAGAAGAATAACCTGGACTTATTTACAAATCCGACTCCGTTAACCCTTAAACGGATGCATTAACGGCTTCAGACCGGGCCCGGTCAGGGAACACTTCTTTAAAAAATTTATTTGAGTCTTATCCGTTAAGTTTCTTTAATTGAGAAGGCGACAAGTAGGCCCGGTGCACTCGCCTCGCCGAGGGAGCCGTCAGTGTCGGGCATCTCATATTTAATGCCAATAATGTCCTAGGCCCATACCCCTAACTACCTTCCCGCCACCGCCCACGAGTCGACGCGTGGCCAAGGACGGGAACAAGGCCTGGGTTCTTATGAAATTTCTGTGGTTAGTGAGAATATTATAGTCATTTCATAACATGATCAGATGAGATACTTTTGCCGGACAGGGGGTGAGCGGATAAGCGGGGAGGGTTGCCCGCCCGTGGGACCCGCATGGCGAAGGTTTCGATATTCCTGACGACGCCTTCCATTCTCTCTCTATCTCTGTGTTTCTGGTGCGGGATCCACGTGGCAGTGAAGTCCTGTCGCTACCGCCGTCCCACTTCCTCTTCTACGAAGAATAGAAGTCGTCAGTGAAGAGGGAAAGGATTGGGGAGAGATTCGGGAGCGATGCTAGGGTTTGGTGTGGGCGGTGGGGCGGGCTTCGGGCGGGGGGGAATTCTGTGGGGAGAAGCTTCCTAGGGTAGACCGTGGAGCAGCTGGTTTTTCTCCTTTTATTTTTTTTGTTTTCTTTTTCGGTTGAGGAAAAAGGGTGGGGAGAGGGAGATGTTCCTCGTTTCCATGCGGAAATCGTTCAAGGACTCCATTAAAGGTCTCGAAGCCGACATCCAGCACGCCAATACCTTGTGAGTCGCCGATGCCCCCTGCCCCTCTCAACGCGCTCCCTCTCTTTATTCTTGATGTCGTTTGGCTTGTTTCCTCATGTTCAAGTTTTTTTTTTCCCTCTCGTGAATTCGGTTTTTCATCTCCATTTTTTTTTTTTCTTACCGGAGCTCTCTTACGGGTTTGTTTTTGCTGTGGGTCCTCTCCTTTTCTTGGATTTCTGCTGTGAAGCGAATGCTGCCGGCTGCTGCACGTGTGGACCGTTTCTTCATGCTTCTACTCTTGAGCACAAAATTCTTGTTGGAGATGTATTTTTCCTTGGAGTTTTTTTTGCGTGATTCTCCATTGTGACAGCTGGAATCTGAGATTACGTGTGCTAACGGGGAAATGAAGCAAGTGTTAGAGTGTGAATGTTGATTGCCAGGTATTGGCATTTATGTGGTCATGGGATTGATTCATGCGCAAAGGAAGAATTTTTGGCCAAAAAATCCATGGGTCCACAGTATTCTCTTCGTCGAAGTAGTCCTTAATGACAACCTGGGGTCTTAGCTCGAAAATCAAGCATTGGATTTATAAATGCTACAGTGAGGTGGGCAATGGCGTTCTATATTTCTTAAGAAAGCTGCTTGAGTTGAGCTCTTGGAAATAGTTACTATCCTTCTTCATATGTTATTTATTTTTCCTGGAGGACTTTTGCAAAGTTGGAGACTTTAATTGTTTTCGGTTCCGGTGCTTGATCATTGCAATCAGACTGAAAGTGGCCCTAGTAAAGGTCTTTCGGACGCTGCATTTGGTCCCTGATGACGACTTTTTGCTCTTCGAAAATCGATTGGAGTATTTGACTACAATTAAGTCTGTACATACGATTATTTTTTCCTTTTGGATTCTTTGATGCAAATTTAGATGGCATCTTTCTGCTTCCTTTGTTTGCTGCATCATATTTTGAGATGCCTGATTTCAGGCCCGCCAGACTCTTCTTGCAATGGGTATTTCTCTAAAAATTTCTGGGTGCCATAAGCATTAATTTTCAACAGCTATATGATATTGTTGATGTCCTAAGGAAATGGGTCTGTGGAACGATCTCGGTTAATTGAAAAGTTTGAGTATTGACGGTGAGAAGTATGCTTCCAGCAGGAAGTTGTTCAGCTAATTTGTAACGGTGAAGAGTGCTCATCAATGAAGTCGCTGCCTAAAAAAAAAGTGACATCATATTAGCTTCCAATACCCTCCTTAATGCCTCGGATGCATCTAGACTAGTTCCACTGGAAGATTTTGTGTTGCTGATGTTGACTTTCTGCCCTCTAGGAATGAGTTATTTTATCTGAGTCTTGCTTGCAGGGTGACTACAGCATTTGCCTTCTTCTCCCAGGCTAAAATTCGAAATTTTGCCTTTGCCGGCTCTATTCAATTATTGATGCTTGGCTAAAGTTATTCGTCCTGCAACATTTTTTATTCTGCATAATTATTATACTTGATATTATTTAAGTCTTTTATTGCAATGCCATAGGGCTTCAGAATTTCCCAGGGAGTACGATGGCGCCTGTCTTCAGATGCGAATGTCATACAGTCCAGCTGCGCACCTGTTTCTATTCCTCGTGCAGTGGACAGACTGTCACCTTGCTGGAGCACTGGGGCTCCTTCGAATTTTAATCTACAAGGTTGACTTGACAAGAATATCCAGATATATCAAATTGTTCAGCAGTATGGAACACCTTTTGATTGTTTCTTTATTCATGACGAAAGTACTTGTGCTTTAGGTTTATGCAGATGGAACAACGACCATGTCAACTCACGAAAGGAAAGCAAGTATACGAGAATTTTATGGTAATCATTTATCATCTTCGAAGGGCATTATAAGGGAATGCTGAAAAAATTAGGTGCTCATTTTTTTTCGTGCTCATTGACAGCCGTAATATTTCCCTCTCTTCTGCAACTTCAAAAGGGGATCACTGATGTCGAGGATAAGAAGCAGAAGGCTGTCTGCTTTGAGAGGTACAGGAGAAGAGATGATGAAGAGAGGAAGCAATTATCTGATATTGATATTGAAAGGGAAGAAGAGTGTGGCATCTGCATGGAAATGAACACCAAAATTGTGTTGCCAGATTGCAGTCATGCAATGTGCATGAAATGCTTTCGAGAATGGTATCTTCTTTCTCTTATCCTCTCCGTACTTTGCATTTTATTTTTCTTTTGATGCTGTTTTCTTTCTTATTGTCTTTTATTATTTATCGATCGCTTTCATTAAAAAAACATTTTTTGTGATTATCAATTCAGAAACATAACCCTAAAAGTATGATGAGAGATATAAGTTCCTGGGTTGTATGATCAACTGGTTTCCGAATGACCCACCAAAAGTGTTGGAATCTATTAGTCTGTTGATCATTCTTTAAGCATGGGCATCTTGCTTAGTGTATGTATAGTTTTTACATATTGATTGCTACTCTCTATCTCGTCTGCTTATGGAGGAGTGATGTCCCTATTGGATTTGTGCTTAGATTAGGGGAATAGTACATCATATATTCTTCTAATAAAACTGGAAGAAAAGCAAAGAGAAAACAACAAGGTCTCAAGCAGTATAGAATGCTGGAATAACATTCTGAAGTGATTTAAAATTGGATGTGGGTGCAGTTGCGGATGTATTTGCTCAGATTCATGAACAGTGAATTGCTTATGAAACCCAGAGAAAAAATTATCAGATTCATGAATTACTTATTAAGTGTATGTGTTGTCACCGTTGAGTCACATTCACCTGTTTAAATAAATAAATAAATAGTGGGTCTTAATTTTTTTATGAAGATAACCGATTTTATTTTGACTGTTTAAATATGTATCCGTATAAACTGAATGAGAGCTTCTAAGTCAGTATGTTGTCTTCATGCTTGAGTTCAAACATGGTGCCGTGAAAAATTAAACAACTCCAAGATTAAAAAAAGCCAATTAGTTTTTTTCTTTTTTTTAACGAAGAAGTGATCAATTTGGCCAAATGGTTTCATCCATTGGGGGGTCTTGTTGACTCTAGAAAATAATAATAATAATAATAATAATAATAATAAGAATAAGAATAATAATAATAATAATGATGATGAACAAAACATGTAAGAAAATAACGAAAATTGCAATCCTGTAAAATCTTTGTTCCTTTCCATATCATATTATCCTCGAATTGCCACTGATTTCTCTCCATATTCAAGGCACTCAAGATCGCAGTCGTGCCCGTTCTGTCGCGACAGCCTCAAGCGGGTGGACTCGGGGGATCTGTGGATCTTCATGGACAATCGGGACATCATCGACATGGCCACTGTGTCCCGGGAAAATCTGAGGCGGCTCTTCATGTACATAGAGAAGCTGCCTGTGATCATCCCCGACTCAGTCTTTGAAGCCTATGATTCCCATGTAAAATGACTGGTCGGATTATTGATCTTCCCAGACTTGGCCACTGAGAGAACGAGCATTATGAGCGCGCTGCACTTTGTAAGCAGCGTTTTTAGTGTGAGGAATGGTGGCTAGGCGAGGGCCGGAGCCTGTAAATAAGCTTCTATTTAGGGGTGTAAATTCCTGTACAACGTGGAGTCTCTGTCCCCCTCCCCCCCTCCCCCTAATTCTGTGAGCTGCTTTAGGAGAGTTCGGACCCACAAAACCGGACCGTGTAAAGTGACCCAGATGTTTATGATTACAAGGGCGACCGAGCCCTCCCTTTGTGTGGATTTGAGCCCTGCTCAGCTGGTTCAAGCAAGTCTGAGGTGTTCTTCATGTTTCTTATTCAGGTAAGTAGCCTGCCAGTCACTCTCTCTCTCTCTTTCTCTCTCTCCCCCGTCTTTGGTTGCTAGCCTATGGCATCATACTCTTATAGTCTAATCTGATTGCATCATATTATATTATATGTATTTTTAAAAAAATTGCATGTTTATGCTACCCAAGGCAGACATACTCGTAGACTAATCTCATGGATTAGTCTAATCTTACTCTAATCTTGGTTGCTATAAACCAGATCTCTATAGGATATAACAGCATAATACTCTTAGACTGGTCTGATGAATTCCTTGAGGCTTGGACCTTAAGAAGATGGGATCCATATATATATATATATATACACATATATATATATGATCTTATTTTCTATTTTTCATGTTTGCTACCCAAGGCAGACTAATACTCTTAGACTAATCTTATGGATTAGTCTAATCTTAGACTCATCTTGGTTTATATAAGATGTTTATGGCATATAACATAATACTCTTGGACTGATCTGATGGATTTCTTGAGGCTTGGACCTTAAGAAGATGGAATCCATATTATATTTATATTCCTATTTATTTATTTATTTATTATTTATTACATGTTTATGCTACCCAAGGCAGTCTGATCCCCCCAAGTGCTTGAAAAGGTGTTGGAAATATCACGCAAATCAAGAAGGTTGAAACTAGAAGAAGAGCATATAAGCAATTATGATTATTTTCTTAATTCATGATTTACTTAGATAGAAATAATGTTCGTGGTAAACATTTATTAAAACAATTATGGGTAGTAGTAATTCATATTCGTAATTATTAGGTACTTAAGGTCTGGTGATAAAAGCAAAAAGGCGTATATTGCGAATTAAACTCATTATTTAATTGAAGCATACTAAAAATTGGAACTATATATCATCATCAAAATCCGAGCATTTAAGATCATAATCGTCTACAAATAAAGTTGGCAATTGGAAAACATGTAAGAAAAGGAAAATAATATCACATGGTACTTGCCTCAACTATTATGGCTCATTTATATGTTAAACTATTGATTTTTATTTTAATTTAAAAACAATAATTTGAGTCCAACTTGTTGAGACGAATTTTGGTTCGTAAATAACTCTAAAATTAATAAAATAAATGAGTATGAGAGGCATGCTAGGTCAGCTTCATACATAAAAATTTGAACGAGTGTTGAATCATGGTCTAAGGAGAAATGTCTAGATGCTAGCTTGTAACTATTGAATGAGCTATTTTTAGAATATGTTTTCTATCCAAGATTTAAATCTATGTATTCTGAATAGTGAAATGATGGAAATAATCATCAATAACATCATAGAATGCAATTTCCTAGAGGCAAAAGAGTGCTCTTCAATAAGGTAAGAGAACCAATGAATTTCCTGTTGATGAAATAATCGCCAAAAGGGGGTTGGTCAGGACCTCCTAGAGAGAGAGAGAGAGAGAGAGAGAGAGAGCGAGAGAGAGGGGTGAGGGGGCAACTTACCACATGAGTGCTAGATCCGGGCCTTGTAAAAGTTCGGGGTTAGCTTGGCAAGGACCGGGCCCGGCCCGGTTCTGCTGACATATCGTAAGTGTAAATAATAAAAATATTTATAAAATAAATATCTTGGTTTTTAGATTCACTTAAAAGCAGACAAGCTCCTGTCGTTCAACGGGGAGGAGCGTGTGGACGACGGGAGATGATCCTGAACTCGAGAAGCTCCCCGATCTCCTCACCCCTCGGAACGCGGGTTCATGCTGTTCTCGTTCGGGAACTCGGGTTTCGCTCGTCGTTTCCGGCTCCGGGTCGCTTCTTTGGCCTCTGCTCCTCCTCCCTTCCCGGATTGAGGCGCGGGAATGGAGAAACTCGGTCGAGGAATCGCAGCAGTAACCATGAGAACGACGGGCAGGGAAGCCACTCCTTGGAGGGAGAACAGCCATTACTCGTACGCCATCTCTTGCCATTCTACCTATTTTCTTCTTTCATCGTCATCTTCTGTATTGGATTTGCCCATTTCGAACTTCGCAGGAGCTATGCCCATTAGTTTTACATGTCCGGTTCACTAAATTACTTCCCGCATGTATGACTTTCCACTGCGCATTGATGATACCACTTTTCAACAGCACAGTTGACCGATTACTCTCACGCCCACAGTTGGGGAGTATTTTATCGGCCAATATCTGCTGGAATTTTTTTTTAAAAAAAGGGAAATTTACTGTTTCACATCTAGAGCTTCCACCAAACTCTGCAACCTGCGTTGCCTATGTTGGTGGCATGAGGCATATGAATGAGAGGTTGCTTGATATTGATATTTCTCCTCAGATTCTGGTGCAGTAAGTGTATGGTAATAATTTATTGGATTTTTTTTTTTGATACCTAAGAATCAGGCTTTGTTAAATAGATGAGGTGGTTTGCTACATCAAAATTGTAAAAATTAAACGATCTTAACATGATTTTTTGTATGTAATGTTTACAAAATGATGGCAGGGTTTCTCAATGCTATCATCAGAGATTCCCTGGGATAGTGGAAGCATATGGAGCATCATGGGAGGCTATTTTTTCTGCTTACATATCCCTCTGAGTTTTGGCGGACTACCTGTCATCTGCCAAATTCTTAATCAGCCTGTTCTCGATCCACAAACTGAGGTGAGTTGGCATCCAAATCAATGAAGGGAGATAAAGAGAATCTGGGGAAAGATGCAGTAACAGCAAGAACAATTTATATAGTCAGGGATTCCAGATTAATGCCATAATGGTTTCTTTTCAGAAAATCTCGATAATTTTACTTTCTTGGTACGCATGATTGTCAAGTGGGTTTGCTCTTAATCCCTTTTACTATTTATTTTTATTGATCTTATTCCCCCACATTGTCCACAGATTTATTTGGATGATTATTTTTCTGTTGGGTTTATTTGGATCAGACAGCCTCTCTACTTCTGCTCCAAACATTGGAGGTCACTGGGGCATTGGCGCTGCTGCACTACAGTGCAAAGAAACGATACAGCATTTCCAGCTTCTTCCAAGATCAGCATCTTTCAGAAGGAAGGAGCTGGGTAAAAGCCGCCGGTCTGGGTCTGGGATTTTTGATGCTGGTGGTTCTTCTGACGTCACTTCTGGCCGACAGATTGATTGGATCCAAGGTCTTAAAAAAATAAAATTAACCCAGATAATTCGAATATTTCAGTTCTATATTCCGTAGTTTGGCTTCCTTTTTTTCTTTTTTCTTTTTTTACAGATTCTTCCCATCTCGATTTAACTCGTCAATCTTCATTTCCTACAGTTATTTTATTTTAATCCAATTTATGCATATATATATATATATAGGTGGATGATCAGAACTCGATGATGTCTGATGGCTGTCTGGTTTTGTATCGTGCTCACAGGATGTAAGTAACCCGGAGCTGAGGGAGATACTCCTGAGCTTCCCTCTCTCCAGGGTGGCCTTCTTCCTCATCTACTGCTTCATCACCCCAGTTCTTGAGGAGGCCGTCTACCGTGGGTTCCTGCTGACATCTCTTGCCTCCGCCATGAAATGGCAGAGAGCTGTGGTGATCAGTGCTCTCGTGTTCAGCTCAGCCCACTTCTCGCCAGAGAACTTTCTGCAGCTTTTTCTCATCGGTTGTGTTCTCGGATCTGCGTATTGCTGGAGTGGGAATCTCACTGCTTCTTTTGCTATTCACTCTTTGTACAACGCCATCGTTCTGTTGGTGACGTTTTCCCCTGAAAATTAATTTTTTATTAAAAAATTGGCGCCACTTGCTGCTCCTTGTATTGGTCCCGTAGCTCAGTTGGTTAGAGCGTTGGTCTTATGAGCCGAAGGTCGCGGGTTCGAGCCCCGCCGGGACCATATCCTGCTGATCCTTTCCAGGCGCCACCTCCCTTGTCTCTTTCATCTCCTCAAAGCACTGCTATATAGTTATCGGCAGTAAATATTTTTATTTACATTTTCAAAGATATTGATAACTTTTTAGGGTTTGCTCGTGATGGCAACAAACTCTTTTCTAGCCTCACGATTAATCTCATTATGTTACGTTATTCCCAACACGGTTTTCATCAGAAAAATAATTTGTTGTCACCAACTCATGGTGAATATTACTATTTTTGGTAAAAATAGAGAATTAATAAAAAATACCGTTGAATATATTTTATTTTTTCCTAATCGCCGGAAATAAATAACCCCATCATCAAATTCAGAAAATCACGTGGGTATGCTGGCATTAAGAAATATATTGAGGAAAATAAATGGCTATTATTATTATCATGGGGAAAATAACCAACAAGGAACAAATTCTTTGTAATTTTATTAAAAAAATAGTCTTCAAAAAAATGGGAAAATGATATATACATATATATACTGATCGACAATTTGTGATGTATAGTCGGCTGTTCCTATATTTATTAATTTTTATAATCTAGTTTCGATTAATTTTTTTATAGGAAAATACCAAATTTGGTCAGTATTTTAATGCACGCCTGGTTTTAGTCAGCGGCTGAGGTAGTTGATGTCAATATTTAAATGAAATTATTTAAAAATATACATGGACTATGTGTAAAAAATGGTAGAGGCTAGTAAAGTAATGTGCACACACATAAAAAATATAATAATAATAATAATAATAACAACAAAATAATTGGAGCACGCTCATCTGATCCTACGTCATAATCACCGTTGAATCAGTGGACCCAATTGGCCGTAGGCCGCCGCTCCGGGATTCTTCCGGAATCTTCGCGCAAAAGCTGGCTCTGGTTAGTGCACTTCTCCCCATCGCGGAACCCATTTTGCAGAGCCTTGTAGGGGGCGTCTGTCGCAGGAGATACGGTGAAACGGGCGATGGGAGGCGCTGTAGCGGACGTCAGGTCCAAGGAGGAGCTGGATGGAGTGTTAGGTGGCGGCGGCTCTGTGGTCCTCCACTTCTGGGCTTCGTGGTGCGAGGCGTCCAAGCAGATGGACCAAGTCTTCTCCCACCTCTCCGCTGACTTCCCCAGCGCTCGCTTCCTTAGGGTTTGCCTGCTTTTCCCCTTTTATATTCGTCTGCTGTTCTCTTCGGCGTTCTTTGTTACTTTCTTCTCTCTGGGGATTTCGATTTTTATAGAACTGTCTTGTTATTTCGACTCTACTGAATTAGGAATGAGGAAATCGTTTATCATATGTGCGGTGAATAAAGTGTCAGATCCTTCGGCGGATATCTTTTTGTTCAGCGTGCTATATAAAATATATCCTCAGGCCAATGCCGTAGATGCCGCTGGAATTGTAGTTTCAATTCTTGTGCGTAGGCAGCTCGTTGTTTATATTCTTTATGAAGAACGGAAAAGCTGTGGCTTGTATTCATTGGAATAATCTCTGTGATTAAGTGTTTGGAACGGTAGATGAAAGGGATGAAAGGGCCCTATTGAGGTACTCGCCTACAGCATGTCTGTTGGCAAACCTCTCTCTGCCTACATTTGTGGTATCGCGTCTTATTATTTTTCTTTGCTTCCATTGTTTCCAGGGTTTATCTTTCATGAAATGTTGTGATTGTTGGGTTGTCTGTGCTTCTGTGAATTCCATTTTCACGGACATTCGATGCTATTTTAGTTTATAATCTCCTAAAATTTTGATTCATTTACTCTCTTTCTATTTGAGGTCTTTTCCCTACATAAAATTGTTTTTTTTACGCCTGCCTTTTGTTCATGTTTTTAGGTCGAAGCTGAAGAACAACCCGAAATTTCAGAGTGTTATTCAGTTAGCGCTGTACCTTTTTTTGTCTTCTGCAAGGTAATCATGTTCCGTGCCTTCAATTTTAAAAATAATGTGTAAATTTTGATTAATAAAAAGTGATACAGTAAAAGAGTGTTTTTTTCATCAGACGTAAACTCTTATTTGGTGCAGTAATGATGAACGTTGTTCTGTGTTTTCTTTGTAAACTGAAGTTTCTCTTTGTACCTGCTGAAAAGGGAAGAAATCTAAACTGCACGGTTGCAGAAACTTGTATTAATTTTTTCCACATCAGGTTCCCAATTTCGTCTGACAATCATCTATAATGGAAAATTTCTTTTTTTCCCCAAAATTTCCTTGAGTATGAATTTTGTGTCAGACGTGAGGAAATTTTGGGGATAGCAGTGAATATGATCAAAATTGACCTAAATGATTCAATGCTTCTCATCCGTTAGGATATAGCAGTGAATAACTTTTACCAACAGAATATTGAATGTAATAAACTACAGCTGCCCATATGCTTTATTCGATATCTTTCAAGGTGGTCAGGGAGAAAATTGTGTAAAAAATAGGAAAAGTTTGAATTCAGTTAATGGTAAACGTCTTCAAAAGCTATAATGAGCAATCCAAGAGTGAGAGAATCTTGTAAAGCAGTCTTTTCTGGGTGGGAATTTCGTAGCATAAGGAAGGAACAAAAAGAGCACCGTAGAGAGAATAATGTAATGTTTATCATCTATAAGAATTGGCTGCATTTATGGAACCTAAAGAAATATCTGTAAGAAACAACTTGATATTTAGAATGTCAACAGCATCTAAATATAGTGGGGCATCAGTCTCCTGAACCTTTATCTTCCTCATGTTACCAAGAAGCTGACAAATCAGTCTAAATGGAAGACTCATTTGTGAAGATTCTCTGCATAACTTGTAGAGTCGTTGAAATAAAAAGCTGAATGAGTATCCGCTGAGCTACTCTTCCCAATTTGGAGTTTACAACCATTCTTAAATCAAAAATGCACAGACTTGAACTAGGTGGGATCGGAATTATCTGGATTTTGGATTGTTTAGCCCAGTCTTCGTTACCTTGTTCTGGCCTAGTTTGCTTTTGTTTGGTCCATGGGTAACCCAGCGGAGGCATTTATGATAAACATAATCCCTCGATCACAGTTTAACTTATCTCTTGAAAATCTTAATAAAATGGACCTTCATACTTGATACAGGGCACAGTCATTTTCAACAATCAGGGAATGAAGTTTAGATAGGTAGTTTCTAGAATAAGATACAGCTGTTTCTAATATCTGTTTTGACTATTCGCGTTAGTCCTGCATGTGCAATGGGCCTCATGCCAAGTAATTCGTGTTTGACGTAGGGATCTTGGAGGCCCAAGTCCCAGTATCTGGCTGGTTTTTCTGTTCAAACAGCTAACTTTTTGTGCTTTACAACCCTGGTTTCCTCCCTCTTTGTTTTGGTTGGCCTTTGTACTATGATAGCCAAATCTGAGACATTTACACCACCAAATCTCACAGGAAAATAGCCATTCATCTCTTGTGGCATATAGCACATACTGAATTTGTCTCCAGCATGTGATAGGCATATTCCAATTAGTGCAGTATGAAAGCATCTGGGTTTTCATTTCTTCCGGGGGAGGTTGTGGTAGGACGTTTGGAATACGATCCAGAGGACGGTAAATCAATGATGGAATAACGGGAACCCGGATCTGGACAGAAATATGGGAAATAGAAATGGAAACAAAAGATAAACAGTAGAAAGAGTAGCTTGCGCTCCCAAGAACCCTAGAGTCAGTGGGGCCTCTCCTTCAGGCGCAGCTGCCTTAGGGAACTACCCAAAAACTTCCTTCCATTGTCGTGAGCCGGCCAACCTTTCTAATCTTGATGGACCCACGATGGAATGCCCATTTCTACCTCGTCCATCCTCCGTCTTCACGATGTTCCATGGCCTATGGTTGGTTTCCGGAGATATGTGGGCACCACCCTATCCGTTAGGCTCGTTCCCCCGATGTGGGTGAGAGGATCCCGTGAGTATTATCTGATACCAGTTGGGGGTCTTGGGTAGCAGTTCTGATCACACATGTTTGTTCTACCAACTTAAAAAAGTTATTTTTATGAAACATTATTCTGCTGACATATTCAGCTGTCTCACTTATTTGTTTCTTCTATACCTGATGGAGTTAAATCCGTTATTTTTAAAATTTTATATCGATTGATTAAATTCAGTCAAAGGAAAATATTTGCGTAATTTTATCTGATTGCTTGGCCTGTCATCTCTGCTAGTAGCCAGCGTTGAAATCTGAGATTTAGCTTTTGACCAGTGTCGTCTCTTTCCTCATGGATTGTTTTTATTGTATCGTTGACTGTTGCCATCGTTTCCTGTGGTTATTTGCAGAAATCTGGCTTGCCAGTGTTGAAAGTGTTGCAGATACTAAAAATAGAACAGTAACTACAGATGAAGTCAGCGTTTTACTTACTTTTTTAACCTGATTCTGCTGTGTTTCCTTAGGACGGTAAAGTCGTTGACAAATTAGAGGGTGCAAACCCCCCCAGTTTAGCTGAAAAGATCTCTAAAGTTGTGGGACCTAAGAACCGTGGGGAACCTGGCGGAGGGGAAGATGGAGCTCCTCCTTCAGAAGGCCCTGCATCACACCACCCCAGTGACTCCCTCAAGAACCGGCTGCAGCAACTTGTGGACTCCCACCCTGTTTTCCTCTTTATGAAGGGAACCCCGGATCAGCCGAAGTGTGGGTTCAGCCGCAAGGTAGTAGACATTCTCAAGGACGAGGGAGTTGACTTTGGAAGCTTTGACATTCTCACGGACAACGACGTCCGCGAGGGGATAAAGAAGTTCTCCAATTGGCCGACCTTTCCCCAACTCTTCTGCAAGGGGGAGCTCCTCGGCGGCTGCGACATTGCGGTCGCCATGCACGAAAGCGGTGAACTTAAGGAGGCGTTCAGAGACCATGGGCTTCTCGGCGTTGACTCTGGAGCAGCAGCAGCAGCAACAACAGTAGTCTCTGAATCGGAGAACCCTCCCCAAATGGTCACCGAGGAGAAATCCGTGGAGACGACCTCTGATGCAAGCGGTGCCCTCAATTCTCGTCTGGAGGAGCTCACCAACAGAAGCTCCGTCATGCTGTTCATGAAAGGAACCCCAGATGAACCCAGGTGCGGCTTCAGCCGCAAGGCCGTTGAGATTCTTCGACAGGAGAAGGTCGAGTTTCAGAGCTTCGACATCCTCTCCGACAACGAAGTCCGACAGGGGCTGAAAGTCTTCTCCAACTGGTCGAGCTACCCACAGCTTTACATAAAGGGGGAGCTCATCGGAGGGTCCGACATCATGTTGGAGATGCAGAGGAGCGGCGAGCTGAAGACGACTCTCACCGAGAAGGGCGTCCTGCCCGGAGAACAAACCCTAGAGGAGCGGCTCAGAGACCTGGTCTCCTCCTCGCCGGTGATGCTCTTCATGAAGGGCTCTCCTGATGCACCGCGCTGTGGGTTCAGCTCCAAGGTGGTGAGTGCCCTCAGAGAGGAAGGAGTTGACTTCGGGTACTTCGACATCCTGACCGACGACGAAGTGAGGCAGGGCTTGAAGACCTTCTCCAACTGGCCCACTTTCCCTCAGCTCTACTACAAGAGCGACCTCATCGGCGGCTGTGACATCGTCTTGGAGCTGCACAAGAACGGGGAACTGAGAGCCACTCTCACTGAGTAGCCCCCCAATCTTATTTTCTTCAGATTTTTGCCTTTAACAGACTCGAACATATGATCATTTTACCCACACGGGTACTGTTATTTCTGGACACAGTCAGATATTCACGCCATGATTCACGCTGGGCGTAGTTCTCTCACTGCAACATTTTTCTCTGCACGGAGCTGCTCGGTTTCTTAATCTGGTAATGTTTGCATGCTTGCATGGAGATTCATTCGCTGCAACCTTGCATCAACCGTACTACTACGATCTCTGAATGAAATGGTTTCAGTAAGCACAGCACTTGGGGCATCACCCTTTTCTTCCTTGTTCCGGCCCAGTTTTGTGTGGGCTTTTCCGATCTGGGTGGGTGCGGTATCAAGATTTACAAAGCTCAAACCCCACACCTCCCACTGCTCCCCGAGGGAGCAATGACATTGAGAGAGAGAGAGAGAGAGAGCTCCTTCACATGGCGATATCGGGGTCCAATCTCCTCTGAATTGCAGCCGCAGCCTGATCAAACAAGTGGGTAATAATCCGTGAGTGGGAATCGCCAAGGAGAGCCCCATGAGGATAAATAGAATGGGTAAGGGGAGTTCTTGAGACCTCGAAATTTCCCAATTTGTACTGGTAGGCCATTTCTTCCTTCAACTGAGCTTGCTCCTTCATCGCTTGCGCCTAATGAATAATCAACGATCGTCCAAAAAGTTAGGAGAATACCAAAATAATAGACCGAATTCAAGTCATTTTTGGCAATTCTGAGACTTGGATTTGTGAGTCAAGAGGTTACTGATCCTTAGACTCATTAGTAACAACAAGGCTATAGAAAACTGTATTGACAAGGACGCATTAACGGAAAATAAACCAGCGTTTGAAGAACATCGAATGACGATTCAGATGTTTAGGTGGGTTCTGGGATCTGTTACTCTCTCCCCAATCTAGAAATCCCTCTCCAAACTTCTTAATCCCATTATGAACATCAGATAATTAAAAACACGAGAAATGTAATACATTCAAGCAAAACTGAAAGCTGAAAACTGTTCATTGAAAGCATGGAAATTCATGAGAAAAGTATAAAATGACGCAACAGCTTCACATAAAAACAGGAAGTGCGGGGTAAGGTAACAACGCCCACACAGACACTTTTATCAACGAGGAAATGACAAAAAGCAGCATAGAGGTTGTGGGTTTTCGTTACCATTCCAGTCTGCATAGAACGTTTCAGTGCTTCAACCTCTTCATCCTTCTGTCTTTCACGTGCTTTCATCAATTCTTGTCTGCAGAAAAGAAAAAATAAAAGATCCTTCAAACTGCAAGAAAATGAAAGTACAGGGATATGGTCTAAATCTTTCCTCTTGCATACCAACTGAATTTAATGAACGACTCAAGTTTTGCCTCACGAAAGCAAATTCTAATCCTATGTCCATTCCATCTCATATGCTTTTTTTTGCTGATAATTCTATGCGCATGATAGACGGATATTTTGATGTCACACAAATTTACTCGATTCAACAAAAAATTACAGGACATGCTTACTGTTATTTTAAAAAATCAACTGAATACGTTTATTGTTGAAAAATGAACAAATAGCTGCAATAAATATTTTATGATGAGAACCAAGTTCATCACTTTCTTTGGGTAGACAATCCACTTAATTCTGGGGTAGAAAACAGCCTTCCCGATTTAAATTTCTTCAGAAATAAACTCATTGCGGGCAACTTACACATAAAAAACAAGAAGGGTTAATATCAAGCTTCCAAGTATAAGCATTGCATGATGATGACTCGTTAACTTTCCTGATGAAATAACTACTTCCGGGTATTCACCATTTAGACTCAAGAAACTATATATTAAATCAAATTAGCAATAACCATTTAAACTGATGAAAACCAGAACGTTTCGTGACAGGTGCAGGGAGTACTTAATCCCAAAGTAATGCATTACGCCAGCATTAGGTTTGAGCAATGGATATTTGGTCTTAGTAAAGTCCTCTACGGACTATTTTTTCCACAAAAATTGATACTCTGTTGTTAACTGCTGCGTGATTTTTTTGGGAGTAAGAGGGGTTATACCGAGGTAAATAAACAGAAGGCAAAATAACTAATCTTTAAGCCTGTCTGCAGAACCAGGAGGAACAGAGCTAACTGTAGATTTTTGAGTCAATAAAATCAAACTCATCTAATAACCTTGTATTCATATACAATTTTAATTTTGGTCTTACATCATGTATTTTGACTTAACAGAACTGTAGTTTTATAATCATATAATTTTAAAATATTATTATAGTATAAAATTTAATAAATGAAATCATTTCGTATACGTAAGCTCTGTAAATTGGGGATCAATTTTCGATTCTATTATTTTCATGCAATTTTTTCCTAGGAAGGGAGCCGACTCCCTTTAGGCATTGAAAGAGAGAAGACTTACTGCAACAAAAAAAGTAGCAATCGGGAGACTGATAGTAAATTGGGAGGCCGTTGGAGCCAACTGCTAGAGGTTCTTGAATCCCCTACTAAATGCATTTGATTTGAGGCGTTTAAATAAAAGTTCCCTATCATTACACTATACTTACTGAAGATGAGAAATCTTAAATCATTACCAAAATTCATCAAGGTTCCTCTCTCTCTCTCTCTCTCTCTCTCTCTCTCTCTCTCTCTCTCTCTCTCTCTCTCTCTCTCTCTCTCTCTCACTCTAACTCGCTTTCCCCCCCTCCCTCCCTCTCTTTTCAAATACACTTCGAGCTCCAAGGGGAAAAGGCGGCACCTTCAAATTCATTGTTATTATTCTGTAAAGGAAACTGTGGCTAGGGCCGGAAACCTACTGAGAATTAGTGAGGTCAAAGTGTGAACTTCAGTAAGCACATGCAGGGGTATTTAGAAGTTCCTGAGGGTGAGAAACCCCTAAGAGATTACAGTCACTAGACCAAAAACTGTGTTGTGCCTGATCCTGTGCGTGATGATTCTAGAAGCCAACTTTGTAGGATAGTCTAAACTCACTAAATTCAAGGGACCAATTTCTTCCCTCGTGGTCAGTATCTTAGATCCCCCCACAGCAACAATGATGTCATATTTATGAATCAAGAATATGTTGAAGTGCAAACAGAGTTACTGAACTTCGGTGCCCTCTTGCTTTTCAACAAACAAGTATACTAAAGGGAGTAAAGAGGAATGATATGTAGCAAGGAAAATCATGACAACTTCAAGGTAAGCAAGAACACTAGCAAAGGTGAAATCGATGATGATTTCGTCCATCACTAGATGAAGTTCAATTATGTGCCTTAAGTCATTCTCTAGATATGTAAAAAAAGTTAGAGGATGACAGGAGCATGAATCTCAGGAACAAAATCTCATATGATTACACAATTAAAAGCGAGGAGAACTCTTTACAGCGAATCAAGTATTGTACCTGCGCAGCTCTTCGTCATTGAAAACTGTACGCTCTATCTCTACGTGTTTCTTGGAGGCCTTCTTGATGTCTTTAGTCATCATACGCAGATGATAAGCATCCAAATCATAATATCTGAAGAAATTAAATCGAAAGTATACTTAGTAAAGATGTCCGAATTTCATAGATGATGCAAGCCGATTGGATTTGTTCAGAAGGTAAGCTAATCGTTTTCTATTTGGACACGTGACATGCTAATCGTTTTCTAAATGACAGAAAAATTAGAACTCTGAAAAGATTCTCATTATACATCGATTAGTATGATCTCTAAAAAGACGCAACCCATTGTATAGTATCAAATTCAGATTGCAATATATTCAGAATCAATCCAGAACAATAACTCTCTGTATCTGGTGCCGCAATCAAGCCAATGTCTCACTATCAGTGTCAAAAGGCCCAGGCCTCAGAAATCCCGCCAGTTAATGGCAATCTTCACAAGGTCCAGAACCGGGGAGGTAAAGAAGCCATAAAGCCTAAGCCTAGCTTGGTCCACCCAGCCGCTTGCCAGGACTGACTGCCAGCAACGGGAGGTGTGAGAAGGTTACCGAAACAGCCAGAGGATGTGGACGGGAAAATATGTGTGTGTGTGGGGGGCGCGATGTGCAGGGCTACTGAGAACGGGTTTGGATCACCAGATGGAGGGAGGAGGTGGACGGGGAGGACAGCCAAGCAAAGGATTGCCGGATTGACAAGACAGACGGGATGGAGACGACCAGACGGGTAGAAGAAGGTATATGACGGTATCACAGCCTCAAAAAGGAAGATAGTTGTATATGGCATAACATCACTTAAAATTCTACTCAATTTTCAATGCTGATCATTCCTCGATTTTGGATCATCAGGATACAAAACCTCATTCCATCTGAACGGGGATGAGCAGATCCAAATGCTACTAAACCAGTTGTTTTCTCTTGATACGGTCAGAAAACAAACTAGCACAAGTAAAAACTGTAAAAGCGACACAATTTAGCTCTCTCAACCAAGCGAAAATATTTCTTTCCCTGGAATTCGGGAAAAACGATACTAGATAGAAGTAAATTTCTATAAAACATATCTATCGACCTCAATCAGCCATTGAGAACAAAAATAATACACCAGAAATTACCAAAAAACAAGAAATGAATAATTTGTATACATCCGTACGGACTGAGGCAGCAGAATGAAAATAGATAAAAATCTGCTCAAAACGCCTGTTATATAACTTCAAAGCAGACAGAAAATGCAGATATAAAGTGTATTAAAGTGAGATATTCTAAAACATCATGCAATTATCTTTACAGAGTTTGATAACGAAAATGAAAAATATACTGGTGTTGTCACAGTCATGAATCCTCTCTAAGATATCTAATAGCCAAGTGTGTAAAGTAGTGAGAATCAGAAACAAAACGAATTCGAGAACCTCACTTCTTTGAAGGAAATGTAGCGGTATTATGATCCTCCATGAATCTGTAGAAAGATTGTGGGAAACTTCATCAAACTTATTCAAAGTACTTCATGAACACATTTCAACAATATTCACATATTTATTGACATACACAATTGAAAAGGTACAGCAGAAATGGTAGTTTCATTACTTACTCTTTGAACATTTGCTTCTCCTCCCAATTGGCTAAAGACTCCAAGTTAACCTAAAGGAAAAGATCAATAAATTAGTAGCACAATAATGCAATTGAAGCGAGGGACATCATGAGATAGATTATCACAAGGAAACTTTTAACAAGCCACAACAGTGCACTTCCTTTTGCATGAAGCACCTCTCCTGGATTTCCAAAGAGGTTTTCGTCCCACTACATCTTTCCCTTAATGAATTAGCAAAATTTAATTCCAACAATATGCTAAGGAACAACATGTTTTCATCGTGGCACCATTTTTCTCTAATATCCCTATAAGAATCACATGCTGTTGATCGTCAAAAAATTAAAATTAAAGAAAAGGTTTTCCCTTCTGGTTAACCGCATGAACATGTCTTTAACATTTCAATTCACCACGATTGGCTCAGGTAACCTAAAATGCAAAAAAGAAAAGAAAAAGACTACAACGTGAAGACCTATGTCTGCTCATAAAAAATAGTATTAACTAATTATAAACAATAATAAAGGAAAGTAAAACATGGACAAATTAAATTTCAATTCCATGTGTGCAGATAGTAGGAAAAATACCTTTTTAACTTCAGATAGCCATGCAGTAAACTCTGGTCGTTTATTCCTACAAATTGAAGGGAGAATAACGCTCAGCGACCTCTCACCCCCACGGTGTTCCGAATTAAAATTATAAAATAAATGTCAAACTTCAAACTCATTAAACAAGCGATTTTGATGAATTCTAGGACTACTTTCCTAAAAGGAGATGGGGGAAAGGCAAATAAATAGTGAAATACGTAAAGCGTTATCGGAAGATTGACAATATGACTGAATGGAAGAAGCATCTAGCACACATTTTAAGTCCAACACGTAGTAAAGGGCGTCAAAAAATGAGCCGATTACAACTATGAACAAACACAGTATTTTGATGGAAATAAGAAGAAATATATCCGGGGAACAACCCCGAGAATGGCAATAATGCCAATGTGGCTTGGAAGAAACCGTGGCAACAGCAAAGAAAAGGGATGTGAGCTTGATGGCTTACCACATATCAGTTTCTCTGATGATTCCATACTTTCCCCAAGAATTGGTCACTGCACCCTTTTTGCCCAAATCTTTCTCCTTCTTCTTTGTAGTCTTCTCTTTCTTCTTCTGCTTCTTCTTCTTCCTCTCGTCTATCTTCTTCCTCCGTCTTCTCTCCTTCTCCTTTCTGCGCCTTTCCCTCTCGTGCCTTCTCTCCTTATCCTTCCTGCGCCTCTTCCTGCGTCTCTCTTCCTCTTCGCTACCACCCGAGCCAGACGACGGGTCCGAATCGCTAATGGAATCATCAGATGACGACTCCGAGTACGAAGCGGAGGTGGAAGAATCTTCGTCGGATTCGCTCTCATAGCTACTCCTCCGGCTCCTTCTCGAAACCCTGCGCGAGCTTCTGTGATGTCCTTGCTTCCTCTTCTTCCGGCTGCTTCGTTCCTTCTCGTCCGCGGAGTCCCCGTCCCTGTCCTCATTACTCCCTTCCTTCCTCTTCCTGGACCTTCCGTGGCGGCGCCTCTCTTCTCCTCCGTCCACTTCTTCTGCAGGTAGAGAAGAAGATCCGTCTCGTTCCTTCGCCATTGCTAGGGCTTCCTCCACAACAACTACGAGCAAGCTCAGAAGTCCTCCAACGGTCGTAAAAATAGATACCGGGGCATAAAAAAACAAAAGGTACAAAAAAACCAGTTTATGAAGGTATTTAACGGTTTTAGACCCTGAGAAACTCCTCATATTGCGAAATACACTCATTTTATTTAATATTAATAAAAGGCTTACTTTGCTCAGCATGATGTGGCCTTCCCGATCAAAGATCGTGCCCATAAACAAAATTTCCTCCTCAGAATCGGCCCATTATAACTCCAGTGGAGTGGTTCTGGGATCTGTTTGGTTACAGTCATAAATACAGGATCTTTATGGTGAATATAAAAAGTAAAGATGTAATCTTTTTAGGGTTCATCAGAAACCCAGAGATGCATCTTCATCTTTGATTCATTCATATAATTTATTTCGCCTTGTTGATTAAAGCAGAAGTTGTAAGTGCAAGGCACAGGGTAAAAGAGGATATGAGGAAAACGAATATCAGACAAAGAGCTAACTTAGGATAGGAATTTTTCATTATCTGATATGCAGCTAAAATTGTCAAATTAATATTTAATTTTTTCGATATATAATTGTAATAGTAGGTAGGAAAGTTCTCTCCTATGGAAGAAAAGATTGGAATGGCGTTGTGCACCTGCCCTTCAGCCAATTGTGTGCTTATCAGCTGTTATGAAGAACAAAAATGTTGTGGAGAAGTCAGAAATAGTCGTCCAGAAACTGGTGGAGTTAGGTCCTTCCCATGGAATAATTGATTGTAAGATGGATGATAATAAGAAGTCCCAGAATTGTTGATTGATCGGCATGTTCTTAGGCTGGCCGCTAAGGCCTGCGGCTTGTGATCAGGCCGCTAAGTCATAACGCCGGATATGCATTTGGGATCTTGGGCAGAAAGATGACTTGTACAGAATCGGCAGAGGAGTTCACTCTGCGTTCACGGGCATGATCAGTGAGCTTCTGAGAACGGATGACATTGAGGGTGCAGAGAGGACCTTGGAGACCTGAGAATTCCGTTTCATTATCCATGCTGTTCTCGTTCCTAGTTCGGGTCTCTTTGAGAAGGCCGATTTGTGCATTAGCAAAGGTACTGAACGAGGGAAGAAGCCGTTTGCTATCGCGTGGGACCGTTTGGCGAGTGCCCATCTCGAAGATAATCAGGTTCAGAAGCCATTGGCGGCTGTTGAAGCAACCTTGGATTACCTTTAAACGGCAAGGTGATGTGGGAGTGGGAGAGGATGTTCTGAGCTTTCTCAAGCTTTTGAGTCCTTTGACAGGGGAAGAATACAATAAGAGTATGCTTTGGCAAGAAAACCAGTCTCTGGTGTGCCCGATCAGATGAAGCAAGATGTTTCTGAGTTAGATTCTGAAGAAAATCATGTTCTGAAAGGTCTGATCTCATTCTATTTGTATTATTCGATGTGCTCGGTTGGAAGATGATGATGATGGTAACCTCATCATACTTCTAATAGCATAAAACCGCTATTTTTCCCTTATATGTATCTTATTAACATCAAAACTCAAAATTTTCTAAATGTCCTCATGTTCTGCATTGGGTTTAAGCGGGTATATATTTTCCAGACTTGATGTTTATATTATATAAATGGGTTTTCAAGGACTCTGGGTGAACAGCGCCAGTTGGGGTAAAATCTTTTGATTTGTACAGTCTCACCCATTATTCCCATGGATCCCTTGCATCAGTAGGTTGCTAAAGATTACTGTTTTGTCAAGAAACAGGTACTGGGGTTTGACCCAAAGGTGGTGGGGTCTCTGAACTGGTTCATAGGCTGAAAGGCCGGGTGGATGGTCGAATCAGAGAACGGTTGAATGAATGGCGCCACCTCTCATCGCGGTGGAGACCGTCCACATTGGATGAAGCTTGTGGAGGTGCTTTCAGGTGATCTCACTCCTTACCCAGCTTTTGCTTTCTAATTTCATTTATACATTAACTTAGCCTGCAAGAAAAACAAGAACAGATTATAGGGACATCCAACCACAAACCAATCGATGATGGCTACTGTCTTCATAACCGGATTTTATTTTTTTAATTATGTTAAAATATGAGAATATTCTGATTGCAAGAACAATGGAAAGGGGTTTGACGGTGGCCAATGAGAAAGCGATGTATTGACCCATTCATATCCATAAGATTGTTATTTAGTATTTTCTAATAGGAGACAATTCTTGTGATATATTTCAGCAAAAACGCAAGAAAAACTCTTCATGATATTGGACTCTAACAATAGATCATTGTGTCTTTTAATATATTTGATTTACCAAATTTCTTACTTGGGTTTGCTCTAGCAGGTCACCTCCCCTGCAGGTATTTCCATGACCTTTCTTGCTGGAACAGTGCAATCGAGTTGCAGAGTATTGCAGAGTATCGCCTCTAATATTGCAGAGTATTGAATTACCCAACTTTTGGTGATGAATGTTGTAGGCCCATCTTCATAACAACAAGATATTTATAATTTTATGATATGAACCTGTTCTTGCGAAAAAAATGTCAAGAACAACTCTTTATGATCTTGGGCTCTCCTCTCCGCTGGCTCTCTCTCATCCCCTACCCAACAGAAGCAGGCGGAAGAGTTGTGACGCGCTTCTCACTCAACGCTAACTTGAGTTCCCACCTGCACGCCTCATTATTCCCATGCCCTTCACGGTGGCGCACCAGAAACCTCAACTTGATGGCCGGGTCATGCCATCGACAAGGACCCAAAGATTGCAAGTATCTCCTCCCATTTCGTCGTCTTACAAATGATGGGGACGCTCAAAAAACGTGTAAAACCCAACACGAATGAGCGTTTGGATGACAAAGAAATGACTTTTTTATGTATGTTAAATGCTCTGAGCCCATTACTCCAACATCTCAATAAAATATGTCACTCGGGCATATTCTACACGCAAACAGTCGAGGTTGTGTGGAAGATATAACCAGGATCGATCAAGACTGGTGAGCGAGATCCCAATTCCAATGTGAGAAAGCTTCAAAAACGTCGGTAGATAACTAAGTCATTCGTATTCACAAGTGTAGTCACTGCTTTACACTGTAGACGGGGACAGGGAGATCGGACGGCTTCGCCGGCGTGGACGGGACCGGAGGGGAAGGTTGAGCTTAGATCGGTCATGCCGTGGTGCTTCGCAGACCAACCAGGGGTCGCTTTCACCGTTCTCTGAATGGCAGCAGTTCGCTGAATTAATCGCCGCCGCCGCTCCCGCCAAACGCCGCTCCACGAGGGCGGTGGTCCAGACTCTTGAAGGCCCGTCGCATCTGACCGGAGGAATAGACCCCGATGGACGGCGACGCACCAGCCGTCTTATTTGAAACGGAGGGAGCTATGCTCTAGCTTCTTCTTCTTCTTCTTGATCAACGACGATGGCACGTGATGTATATTCATAGATCTACACCTCATATACAGGATCCGACTTCTCTCTCCATCTCTTTCTATCTGTTGGTGGGAGGAGGATGGGTTTAGAAGAGGAGGAGGCAGAGGATCAAGCAACAGAAGAGGAAGACGGAGATGCGGTGGAGGGAGAGCTCCTGGCGCCTCAGGCGGCGGGTCTCGTGGGCGGTGGTGACGAGGTGCTCGTAGGGGTTGGTGTAGTAGAGGCCCATCCACTGCTCGCCGAGCACCCACGGGAGAACCGCCACCGCCGTGCCGCCGAGCAAGCTCAGGTAGTGACCGTCCCCCCGGCGGTCCAAGTGCCGGTGGTGGTGCCACTGGTGGCTCGCCCGCGGCCGCGGCGCCGAGAGGAGGTGGTCGGTGGCGGCGAGCGCCGGCGGCGGCCGGCGGGGGACGTCGGCGGGCTTGCCGGTGGTATACCCGCGGCCGTAGAGAGGGACGAGGGCGGTCTGGGAGACGGCGGTCTTGCAGACGGGGCACTGCTGGGGGTCTTTGCCCTCGAGATGGAGCCATTTGTAGATGCAGGGCCAGCAGTAGAGGTGGCCGCAGAGGGTCACCACCGGCTCCGCCGCGTCCTCCAGGCAGATGTTGCAGTCGAAGCTCCCCGCCGGAGAGGACTCGTGGTATTGGTGGCAGCCCCGGTCCAGCTTCCCGGCCGGGAGCTGCTCCCCACAGAAGCTGTGCTCGACGTCTGCTGCTGCTGCTGCTGCTTCCATGGAATGGTGGTGGGTTCGCTGCTTCCTGTGGAGCGAGCCAAGCAAGATGAGATGAGCGAAAGGCTAAAATCTCAAGAGATGAAGATGGCGATGATGATGATTACGATGGAGTTTTCTGTGGGAGGGGGAGTTCTGAATTGGTCAGATCCTCGAGAATAAACTACCCAAAACACGGAGAGCGAGGACGAAGAATCGAATTCACCTTTACACTGCGCGAAAGAAAGTAAAGAATCATATGGAAAACCGCAAAGGCTGCGGCATGCCTGATTTTGAATTCAATAATCTTCAAGCTCGTGGGAGAACCATGCGTTGACGAGGATGGAAACCTACCGCGGAGTACTGCGTAGATTAAGGAACGTGTGCCCGACGGGAGAAATAATACGAAATTCTAATCAGAGATGCTTCCGCGAAGTTGCCGACTAGCAAGGGTGGGGGGAAATGAGCACGAGCATCCGAAGATCCCTCGTCGTCGAGGCATTAGTGAAAAGTAGGTGGGTGGTGCTTTGCGGTTTCGATTCTACAGGAAAAGAGAGCGGAACGAACAGAGAGGAGAGGGCTCGACAGCTTCTGATAATAAGAGGACAAAGCAGAGGAGAGATCTGAAGCGAGAACGGAAGAGAGAGTCGACGCCGGCTGAAGATATCTATACCGTTTCACCCGCATCCATCATGGAATCGAAGAGAATCCATGAAAAAATGAAAGAACTCTTGGGAGAAAATAAAAATATATTTTCCATCCCCCAAAAAAGGAACAATAATAGGATGAAGCACAACAAGACGAATACAGTTTCAAGCGTCGGACGCGATCGATTGAGGACAGAAAATAGATGGAGCCTCTGATACTGGAGGAGAACGGCCACTTCAACACACAGAGAGCAAAGGACTCCGATCGCCAGTAAAAACGACAGGGGTTTTACGCGAAAAATTAGAGGAACTCGTCGTCTTAATTGCCGCTTCTCCCGTTCTGAATCCTCAACCCGCCGAAAAACGCTCGTACAAAGACCAAAGTCCAACGGAAATCGAGATCACTTCCACACGCAAACGCAATTGAAGATCGCAGACGATCTCTCCTCGTTTCTATTCAGAGTAAGAACGACCACAAAAATATCCAAACGCGCCAACGAAAGAACCAGAAAAGAAAGAATCCCCATGAAAGCCAGAGAAACGACGAAGAACCCAAGACATCTCGAAATCAAACAGGAAAATCATGATGAGGACAGCGGAAGAGGAAGAAGAAGAAGAAGAAGAAGAAGAGGACCAGAGTCTGGAATATCCAGATACATACCGATTCACGCGAAAGACTACCGCCGCTGCTTCCGAGCTCCTGCTATGAGGTCAAGGGAGAATGGAATCGTTGTCTGCGGAGCACAGACGCTCGGGCCGGCCGGCAGTGGTAGCGTAGGATGGATGTATATATAGGCGTGGGGAGCTAGAGGGAGAGAGTCAAAAAGAGGTGATCGGGAGGTAGAGGACAAGGCGTAGAGAGAGAAAGCGTGGGGACGGAGGAGGAAAGGCAAAGTATAGTTTATAGGTGTCACGCCGTCCCAAATCCGTCAGTTGGGATGCAGCAGGAGGCTCGGCTATGGCTGCCACACGTGCGAAGCAGATCTTGGGGGATCAAAGCAGACGTCGAGTCCAAGGAAGAGACTAATAGACGGACGGCTGCGATCATCACCGCCGTCACGATCTGACGTCCCTCAGCACGAGCGACACTTCCAATCCACTGCCCCCCCCCCCAAAATAAAAGCCCAACAAATCCCTGCGCCTGCAGACACGAGGAAAAAAGAAAAAAATAATTGCAAATGGGTCCCGCTCCACGCGGCCCCCTACCACCACAGCCGGCATCGAACTACGTCTCGCCACGCGCCGAACGTCACGGTTAAACATTGACCCCGGCTATCAGTCAATGGGTTCGGTGGGCCCCAGCACTAGGGATGGGCGATTCACCTCACCTCTATCCGGCCACGTCGGACGGCCGGCTTGGCGGCCGGAAGCCGATAAATTAGGAAAAAATATAAATAAGAAAAATAACTTAGGAAGAAACGCGATTTATCATTATTATTATTTATCACCAAGAGGAGCTGGTCAACGTCGGCGGCGAGCCTACGCCGGCGGCACCATGGGGCCCAGAAGGAAATCAGCACCGTCCGATCGGAATCCAAGACCAGAGACCGCCGGGTTGACCTGGTTATGGCAGGAGAGAAGGATCAGTACGCCATCAGAGTTGGAGGGGAGTTGAAGGGAGGTCGATGAGAATTTCCGAGACATCTGACCCAGAATTTAAGGGGATGAAGGGTCAAGTTCTGTGTAGACCGGAATTAATTAGGAGCTAAGCAGGGGAAAGCGGGGGAATTGAATGGAAATTTAGATCAGAAGGCACGATATCTGCTGAAGATGCGGTCAACCCTGAGCACTGATGGGGACGAATCGCGTCATGATGGATAAGCTCTTCAGTCTAAGTCAAAGATTTCCACAGATCGAAGCAGGGAGCTAAAATCAGAGTCAAAGCAAGAAGCTAATTGCACAGATAAGAGGACCCAAAAACAATTTATTTCTGAAGTCCCTGAAAAATAGGAGGCAAAGAAAAAAAACAGAAGAGACGGGATGGATGGATGGATGGATGGATGAAGCTCTGCTCCTCAAATCGAACCAGGGTCAGACAAGAACAAAGAGAAGTGTTCTTCCTGGGGCATCACGATGAATGACGCAGAAGGAATGACCATGGTGGCGCTCGCAGCTGCGACCACCACGGACGGACATGGCTGACCTTAAACTGGTCCGCTGTGTCAAAGGACATGCTGTGTCAAAGGCACAGTTCGAAGAACTGGTCCGCTGAACCAGGAAAGGATAAGACTGACCCGGTTTGTAGGGTAGGTAGGCGGATGTCATCTCTAAAAAAAGTAAAAGAGAACACAATTCACCATCATGGAAACGAAGACGTCCACTTTTGGTATGACTATTGTACAGTTAGACGCGCCCATGGTTTCTACCTGCTGAGAAAGAGACCCGCTCAGGGCTATTAGATAGCATCATGACTGATTCTGGGTCATTAATCGGTCCAAAGGTCTCAATTTTTCTGTCTATTTTGCAGAACCCAGACTTAATACACGATCATAATTAAGGCTCATCTCGCTAATTAGTGGCAGTTTTCGGACCCCCGCCGTATTGTGCTATGATGTGGCAGGGACAAGCAGGTGAGCAAGAACGCCAAGATCGAAAGTCAACGGCAGTCTCCAGGTGCTGAGGCATACTCAGGCAATAAGATTTACAATGGGAAAGCCGCCTTTCAAATCAACGAAGTTAAACTGAATAAAATGGAAAACACAAGACGAAATAACGAAGGAAAAAGGGGATAGAACAAAAGAAGAGAGGGGCTAATTAGCTGATTAAATACAGAAGCAAATAATTGAAACGGAACAGAAAATGAAATCTCAGTAGTCCTGAGATTTTTTATCATTACTAGAGAACCAGCCTCGTAAACATCTATCAGTTACATCAGGCCTACACTTTCAAGCATGACAACAAGCCTGAAAAACCGTTGACATGAAAAATTTTGAATGCTGTACTGAGAGCTTAGTTGGAGGAAATCATAGTAATCTCTCGGAGAAATCTGCTCAGAGAAAATTGATGTCAACGGTGACCTAATGGTTAGAATTGGAGCATTGCATCCGAATATAGTTTTTTCTGTAAACTGTTCTCCAACATAAATCAAAGGGGCATTGCGAGGAATGAATTATTCAAAAACCAACAAACAGCATAACTTTCAGTTCCGAAGCAGCGAATGATCATAGGAAAATTGAAGCGGAAGAGTAGAAGCCCTCGAATCTTGTTCTAAAAAGATATCTGCGAAAATTATGAAATAGTTTCAGGTTTGATCTAAATATTTCCGGTTAGAATAGAGAAAATCATGGAATTCCTATTTGATTAACGAAGCAGGAAGTTCTATTTGTATGTCTGCCGCCCAATATGACGCAAGATCACTTCCAACCTCTCGGCAGTCGTCCTCGGCTCTTCGCAGACTACAACTCTCCGACGCAAGACTCCTGTACAACGTGCGCCTCATCAGTCGCTTCGAGACCTTCAATCCACCGCATTCAGACGGCACAGCCACGCTCGAGCCGCTAGGGACGGCGGATACCGAGGCCATGGCCCTCACCGGGGTTAGATGATCTCGTAAAACCTTGGGGGATTCTGGGAGAGGGCGACGGATTGGACGACGACGGCCATCGTCGGAGCAGGGAGTAAGAGGAAGAGGAAATTCTCGAGGCCAAAACGAAGATGGTGGCGATCTTATGCTCCCCTGGAAGCGACGAAGAGCCAAAAAGCTGTACGTGTGACTACACGATACTGAAGAAGGTGGCACGCTGGAGTTAATAGATCACCTTTGACACGTATGTAAACGGGCCGGGCTGGATTAGACCTCATCAGCTTTGGACCTGGCCCATTATACTTCAGCAAAAGGCCAAGATATACGGGGCTCTAGAACCTCTTAAACGTCCTCAATTTCTGATACTATTTTTAATATCTAGTTTCTCTGTCACTTGAAGTGAATGTGCATTATATTTGTGTTATATAGAAATTTTTATAGAGTTAACCTTGGGATTTGTGTTGTATATTTGTTAGCATAGCTAATGAACTTGGAGATACATTATTATTTTCCTCACTTATTTAATTAGGTTATGTTTAATATTTTCTTTCAATTCCTACTAATTTGAAAATATTTTTTTTATAGTGGAAGAGATGTTGCAATAAATTGACATAATATTTATATTTTAAACCTCCTCAATTTTTATACTATTTTTCATGTATAATATGTTAATATCAACTAAGAGAATTAGGGGGAAATATTGTAGTAATTGATGTTTGATATCTTTCTAACTCATGAATGAATTACTTGCATCTATCTAGTAAAACCACATTGATATTTTTGTCATTAAAACCCACTTTAGTGGTTAGTAGAGCTTTACCCATATCGGTTGCTTATTCTGAATAGCGACATGTCCAAGCATTGTCCACCCTTTTAGTGTTTAGTATAGTACCTACATGTCACTCACATTGTGGATTTGAAAGTATTTTCCATTATTTGACATGTGATATCCTATTTTACCATTTATGTCTCACCTCTTGTATCAGTATCTTGCCTTTTATTCTTTGCCAATTATTTTTCATTCTTTGACATATGATTTCATTTGGTGTGTGCATCGCCTTGTGATTTCATCAACGTCTCTGTTAACTTAATCAATTAAGTTATGTTGCCATATATTGTCTTTAATATTTTTCTCTATCATTAGTAATCTTCATAGTTTTGCATTTATCTCTAGAAATCTTTATAGCTAACTCTTTATCTCTCACATTCACCTCAACTCATCTTTCTATCTCCTTCTCCAAATTCTCAATTATTCCATCATTATTTTTGGGTCATTAGGGTTTGCTCTATTATCAATTTGATAGAACTCCAAATCGAAATAGCAAGAAGAATAGAAGAAGAAGAAAAAAAAAAAGTAACAAGAATAACAAGAAATTTTGGACTACCAACTTGATTATGGTTGTTCAAGAGGACTAACTCTCTCTCAAGTCATAACAACATGATCCTTTCTCTCATTTTCCCTGATACAACCCACCCTAATATCTTTCACCACACTAAGGAAATGACATAAAAGCCCTTCCTAGTTAGTCCCGAAATGGTTATTGGACTTATTTCTTCTTCTTGAGTAGATTAGGCTCACCAAGGACTCAACACAATCATCTTCAATGACCATCACTAACTATGAATATTAATTTCATCTCTAAGGTTGATGCAATCCTTAGAATGAGATCAATCAAGGAGGACAATTCTACATAAAACTATCTTATCTACTTTTTGATCAAATAAAAATAAGCCTCATATGAAGACTTGGCATGTGACTTATAGCAATTCAAAGAATTATTGATAACATGATATTTGTGTTGATTATTCCTTACATTTCATGTGATTTTTTGTTCATTTAAATCTTGAAAATATCATGCTATTAATAGAATTATTTAAATATTCCTAGATCTGTATTAATTTCACTATTTACACATTACGCATGAATTTTGCATGATTTTGACAAACCATGCTTGGCTTCTATGAAGTAAAGCAGTTTTATTACTAATAAATATTTTTCAAGTTTTCATGCTTGCAAAATTTAACAAAAATCAACAATAAATTAGGAGCATTTTAGTGAATGAAAGTTACCTTAATGGGCTAGGAGTACTTTGGAGGACTTTTGGTTCTAGGGCTTAAAAGAGAAATTAGAGGAGATTTTGGAGCCATGTCCAGGCCCATTTAGACCTTCTTCAATTCATTCTAGAGGAAGAGATCCGAAATTCATGGAGGGAGATTAAGGAATTATGAAGGGAAATTTTATTCATGCTTGCCCATGTATAAAAACTCTTCTCTCCTCTCTCTCTCTCTCTCTCTCTCTCTCTCTCTCTCTCTCTCTCTCTCTCTTAGGTCATTCTAGACGTGCTCTGGCAAGAGGCTGGCCAGTAGGACAACAAGGCTTTGTAAGGTCCAAGGATTATTCTCCTTGCTTGATGTAAGTTTCTTGAAATAATCATTTAATCATCTCTCTTGTTTGATTCGAAAAAAACGCCTGATCTTAGCGGAATATAAGGATCCGAATTTGAGAGGACGCATTGAGGGATCAAGAAATGAGCACTAGGTTTTTTTTTTTAGGAACTTTGTTTTATATCAAATCATCATTTCTCTTCATCTCCATCACTTCTCACCATTTCTCCTTCATTTTCCTTCGTTTTCCTTCGTTTTCTCTCCCTACCCCACTATTTCGTCCACTTGCTCTCTTTAGAATTCATGTTTTTCTCTCGAGGTCATATTTTCTCTCTCTAGTTAGTCCTTCTAACTAGAGGCCATCCATTTCCTCGTCCACCGCCGTTGTGATCCGCCACTCCGCCGCTCCTCATCTCTCGTCCGCCGACCACCGCCGCGTGCCCATCGCTAGCCGGCACACGTCTGCCGCCCCCCCCCCCCCCCCCTACCGCCGCCTATTACCAGCCGTCGTGCGCTCGCTACCGATTGTTGTGTGCCCGTTGCCCTCTATCTCTCTACCCTTCCGGACGTAACTGAAAGTCCTAAATTTCGGTTAAGTCCGGAAACAGTGATGGGAGATCTGCGACCCGTGCAGCCCCTCCCCTTAACACCGACTGTCAACTGCCAAGGTAAGTTATTTTATTATTATTTATTATTGTTCTTTTGGAAGTCCTTAACATTTGGAAAAAAAAAACTCCTAAGAATAAAAATTTAACTCTCAAACCCATTTCTATAATTTCTAGGCCTCAAAATTTCTGAATTTTTACCTCCCTATGGATTGACCCCTTACTTGCCCTATGTCTGATAAAGAGTAACTAAGTGGAAATTTTTCTTAATTATTAGTGGTTAAGTCTGAATTAAAATATCAACCCTAAAATCATTAAAATTTGGACATATAACTTATCAATCAATACTTCATTAACAACCTTCTAACAAGTATGTTACATTCACAATATGGAAGAAGTGCATTTTATCTATGGAACTCTACCATAGGCATAGGGTGTGACTAATGAATGCATCATGTACAATACCAACATGGCACATGACGTAGTGACAAAATGACATGACAAATATGCATATGACTATGTGATTATTGCGCATGACTATGCTAGTATGGAACGAGGTTTTAACAAGTGTCTCACACATCTCATAAGATGTTGACACATCTGAACACATTGTGGCATTGAAACAAGTTGCACTAGGGGCATGGTTCCAAGCTTACATAGACATTATGTGGATAATATCATAGGTGTGTTTTTTTTTAGTAGGATGTTATTGTTATAGCTATCATATTGCATGAGTGGTTTAAGAGCTGGAAATATCCATCCTTCAAGTCTTCCAACGTCTATTCTTGAGAGATGGTCAATTCTGGCTGAGCAATGGTTTATGGCTACTTGAGGAAGAAAAGTAAGTGATTTTTTCAGACACGCGTGACAGTAGGACCAACCCCCCACTTGTTCCTTCTCTCTCTCTCTCTCTCATACAAGTTTATAATAATTATTAATATCGAAATTAAAAATGGCCACTTTTTGAAATGGGGGAGCTGTCATCTACGTGTAAAGGTTATAGTTAGTGGAGACTATTTGGCGTCTTGTGATTGGGCAGCGTGGCGTGATCTCACCCGGCGATGTTCCTGTGGTTCGGTTTTCCCTCCGATCAGTTTCTCCTCATCCACGGACGGGGCTCCAACTCCACACGTGGGACCCGCAACGCCGGGGGCGTCCGATCTTCCTGTACTCACGTGTGCGGACGTGGGCTTTTATCCGTTCCGGCGTGAAAATATCTGCGCTTCCCTATCAGCGGAAAGTATCCCGGTTTCGGATCTTAACTTCGGTTCAGATCCGTAGAGGCTGCCGTTGACTGCGGGTTCTCCGCCCTCGTTTTATCGTCCTCCTTGCCTTCCTCGTAGAGGCACTCCGCAGGGGGAGGAGGAGGAAGAGGATGAGATCAGAGGTGTCGTCCCTCACCTTCAACCACGCCTCGCTGCTGAGATTCTTCCCCGGCACCGGGAAGGCCCGCGGCGGGCGGCGGAGCTGCGGGTTTAGAAGGGTTTCCCCCTCCGCCAGGGCCGCCGACGACGACCGGGGCCGGCCGCCGGTGCGCACAGTGGGGAGCCCGGAGCCGCCGTGGTTCGTCGTCCCGCCGTCGCCGCCGGAGAATGTGCCCTCCGTCAAGCTGTGGCCGTCGGAGAACCAGACGGAGGGGCTCGGGGGCGGCGGCGCTGCCGGCGTCCCCTTGTCCCTCCGCATGGTCCAGATGAAGAATCGGCTGGCGGTGGCGGCGCCACCCCGGTGGTCGGAGCGGAGCCAGCCGGCCGCCGCGGAGGATCCCGCCGGCAGGGCGGTCTCTGCGCTCGTGTACATGATCGGGGAGCTCCAGAGATCCGTCCTCGCCGGAAGGGACGGCGGCGCCGTCGACGAATCGGTCCTCGATCGGGTTTCCAGGGACCGGAGGGACTCGTTCGTCTGGCTTTTCCGGCGAGTCTTCTTCAGCTCCCCCAACCTCGTTGTCTCCCTCCTCGTCCTCCTCGCCAACTACGTAGCCTTCTCCGCCGAGAGCAACAGCCTCCATGGGGGAGCCACCACCTCCACCTCCGCCTCCACCGCTGCCCCTGCCTATGATACAAACGATGTGGATAAATTATCCCAGGACCAGAATTCTTTGCTGGAGCTCGAAGGGCAAATGCTTGCTTCGACTTCCGAGACCATCGGCCTCAGAGGATACCTGAACTGGTTCGACATCGGGATCAAGGAGGGTAATCTAGATCCGATGCAGCAGGAGGACGAGGAAACCTGCGCGGATCGAAGGCGCCGTGTCTACGAGCGCGCCATCGCCGAGGGGGAAGCGACCTCCCTGATACTCTGCAACTACGCTCAGTTCCTCTGCACGGTCGCCAACGATCACGACAGGTAGGGTCTCAGGCCGATCATCATCATCATCACCATCATCGAACCCCCTCGAATTCGGTTGATCGCTGAGATGTTTGATCCGCCGCCTGCAGAGCGGAGCTGTACTTCCAGTGGGCGGTGATGGCGGAGCCGCGAGACCCCGAGGCCATCAGCCGGTACGCCTTCTTCCTGTGGGATGGCCGGGGGGACATCAGCGGAGCAGAGGAGATGTTCCTGGAGGCGATCGAGGTCGAACCAGGGAATCACTACTACAGCAGCAACTATGCCTGGTTCCTGTGGAAGACCGGCGCGCTGGACACCTGCTACCCGATCAATCCTCCTCCGCCTGCTCCGGAATGGTAGATCATCACCTCTGTAGCAGCAACCATTCCCGCCCGCAAGATCGATGCAGATCCAAGGCCTCCTCACCAAGAATTTATGGCTCCAGCGAAAGAAAACCTCCATGAATTCCCACTGTATCCCCACCCTGTTCATCCCTCCTCGTCCCCCTCTGTTAGTATATACCTCCTCCGATTGTCGTATGGAGCTTCCCTTCTCGGGACCAGATTAACATGCCACTTCATTGCCACTTCCTTCTGAGTTGCAGATCCTGCTTTCATGGCGGTCTCCGTCGGCAACGCCGGCGGCGATCGCCGGAAAAGGCGATCCAGAAATATCCAGAAGATCCGACGATCGAAAGATCCAAACCCGCGAAATATCCGAAAAGGGCCCCACAACATCTTATCCCTAGGGCGAGTGGACATCTGGCGGCCCATACCCCCGGGGCGGTCAACCATCCCAACCGACGTCAGTCGCAGGTCGGCCCAATAACGGGCCTCGGAGAAGGACGAGGAAACAGACGAAAATTCGACGCGATTATTGGGCCAGCCATTTAAATACGGTTTGGGCCGGTTAGCGGTGGTGGTCTCTGTCGGCAGAGATTCCGGGCACTTTACACGCGTGGCCTTGAGAGCGCGACAGGTAGTCGTATTTTCGGAAATTATTATTTATCTATTTAAAACTGATTGAATTATTGGGAAAGTATTTGGCTTATTGATACCCTGGGGGTTATTTTCCCGTCGGTGGAGGCAGGAGCTGGAGTGGAGGGAAAATATTTCGTTCTGACTGACGAAATCCGAAACAAACGGATTTCCAACCTTAGTCACAGCTTCCTGCGAATCTCCATCAGGCCCCATACTTGCAGCTTCCGTAGCCTGCGCAGAGAGTTGTACCAGATTAGCAATGGAGAGAGAGAGAGGGAGAGAGAAGGAGGAAGGGGAGGGGGGAAGAGAGAAAGAGGAACAGAAAGGAGGAAAGAGAAAGAGAAAAGAGAGAGGGGTAGAGAGAGAAAGGGGGAGGGGGAGAGGGGGGGAGAGAGGGAGAGAGAGAAAGAGAGGGAGAGGGAAAGAGAAGGGGAGAGAGAATGAGAGAGAGAGAGGGGAGAGAGAGAGAGAGAGAGGGAGAGAGAGAAAGAGAGAGGAAGAGGGGGATAGAGAGAGGGAGAGAAATACAGAGAGATGGGGGGAGAGAGAGGGAAAGAGAGGAACAGGAGGATAGCGAGACAGAGAGAGAGAGAGAGAGAGATGGGTACTTGGGTCTTCCAGAGTGACGAGCCCGGTCTGGCCAAAGTCGCAGGCGGAGGGACTGTGTGCGGCCGCCTGGTAGAAGGCGTTCATGGCGAAGGCAGCGTGGGCTTGGAGAGTATCAGGCAAGAAGCAGGCGCCGCCGGGCCGAATAGCCATGCACTCCATGCCCCCCCTTCCACAGACAAAATCAATGTTCTCCTGCAGAGACTTCTCGTCCGTGTTCGGCTTCGGCAAGCACCACGACGCCGCCCTCATCGGCAGCGGCGCCGCTGTCGCCGGCGGCCGCAGCACCACTCCGACGTCGTAGACGGGGGAGAAGTCCGGCAAGAAGAGGCCGTAGTTCCTCTCGGAGGCCGGCCCGGGCTTGAGATCCTCGTTGAAGAGGGAGAAGACAAAGGCCTCAAAGGTCCTGTTGGGCATCAGCGGCGTGCCGGCACCGGAGGAGACTCGCCGGAGGAAGTTACCGTTGTACTGCCGCGCGTTTTCCACGCCAGCGCCGACCTCCCACGGCTCCCCAGCCGACGGCCACCCGGACTCCGCCACCGCGATCTCCACGTCGGCGAAGCCAAGCGCCGCCATGGCGGAGAACACGGCGTCCAGCTGTGCGTCCAGCATGTTCGTGTAGGTCAACCCCGTGGCGGGGTCAACCACCCCGGGGCTCTCCCGGAACAGTGCCAAGTCCAGCGTCTCGGGGGAGAACCCGAAGAAGGGGTAGGCGTTGACCATGAAGGGCGACCCTGTTGACCTTAGGAAGCTCAGCAGAGGCCCGACGACCTCGGCGCCGTTGTAGCCCTGTCGGAACCTCCCCGTCGACGGGGGCGACGAGGAGGTCAACACCGCCATGGAATGCGGGGAGGAGACTTTGACCCGGTCCTGTAGGGCGGCGCCGGCGAGCGCCGTGTGGAGGTTCTGCATGGCCATCACGAGGGCGGCGGCGAGGGACCGGTCGCCGGCGGAGGCGACCTCGTTGCCGACGAGGACGCGGGCGATGTGGGTGGTGGCGGCGTGGGGCAGGACGTTATCTGCGACCCACCGCTGGGCGAAGGCGAGATCGGTGAGGTTGGGGATGAGCTCGTTGGCTATGGCGACGTCCACGGCGATACCCGTGCCGGCGAAGGCCGCCACCGTGGTAGCGTCGCAGTCGAAGAGCTTCACGTGGTCGAAGACGGTGCTCTCGGCGAGGAAGCGCGCCACCGCGGCCGGCGGCGGTAGCTTGCTCCCCAGTCTGCCGTAGTTCACGCCCAGACCGGCGGCGGCACCTGAGAAGAGGGAGAAACAAACAAACAACCAGTTAGTGGGAGACTTCAGAAGCGGGAGTGGCGGTAGTGGGTGGGTCTCAGCTCACCTCCGGTGAGGACGAGGAGGAGCAGGAGGGAGAGAGCGGCGGCCACCGCCATTGCCAGTGGAGGAGAGACAGAGAGGAGTTGAGAGAGACGGACCACTTCTTCTTTCGCCTGCTAAAGCGATTGACAGCGTCCGAGAGTCTGTGCTTTGCCCCCCCTGACGGCGATTCCTTCCTTCAACCCACCGCATCAGTTGACTTTGCGATTCATTCGAGAACCCGTAATTTTCGAGAGGAAAAAAAAGGTCGTCATGGGTGCCTACTTTAGGCGAATTCAGAGCGAAACTTAGCCGCTGAAGTCGATAATTCAAGGTAAAGCTACCTCGCTCTGTTGCCTTCCCTCATCATGGGTTCCACCAAGGCCCCCAACCTCACCTTCTCTCTCTCTCTCTCTCTCTCTCTCTAAACGATGATGCCCATGTCTCTCAATAAATCCCAAAACTTAGCTCGTATAAATACGAATGGATGTTCTTCCAACTGTGGTTTCCAGTCGTGTGATAAGATAGATGATGGCGAGAGAGAGAGAGAGAGAGAGAGAGAGAGAGAGAGAGAGAGAGAGAGAGAGAGAGAGAGAGAGACCAGGAGCTCAAGCGGCACACCTGGTGTCAAGCGGACTTGAGCATCTTCTTGTAATCCTGGAAGGTCCCAAGGAATGGCGCGACCTTGCCATCAGACACGGCCCAGAGCTCACCAACGCTCCCCGATATGAGATGCTCATCGTGGCTCACCTGAAGAAGCAGACGAGAAATGGGCCCACCAACAAGAACGAGGATGAGAATATGTACACAACAAAGGCGAACATATTTATCTTAGATAGGGAGGGAAGCGCTCAAGGAGATGCATACCATCAGCACGCCTCCCTGGAAGAGGACGAGCCCCTGAATCAGAGCTTCAACGGCATCCAGATCCTAAAATCCCCATAAATAAATAAATAAATATTCGAAAGAAAAGGGCATTAAAAAAAGAGAAAAAAGAGTGTATGTATGTATGTATGTATACTCACGAGATGGTTGGACGGCTCATCAAGCAGAATTATGTGAGGTTTCTTGAATGTTATCTTTGCGAATGCGACCCTGCTCTTCTGACCGCCTGAAATTGCACCCAAGGTTAAAACACATGTCAGTACCATGGTAAAATGGGACGGAGAGAAATCTAAAGACAGAAAAGGCTGCCCAAAATACATTCGAGCTTGCTCTCAGAGAGAGAGAGAGAGAGAGAGAGAGAGAGAGAGAGAGTTACCTGATAAGGTGTACATTGGCTGCAAGGCCAGATTGCCTGTAACACCAAAGGAGCCCAAATGACCTCTAAGCTTCTGTTCAGGCACCCCCTGCAAGAAGTGAACTACAAATTTAAGTCTTTTTTTCTTGGAGGAGGATCTTTGACGACACATCTTTCTCAAACTGGCATTGAAAAAAAGAAAAGCATTCAATAAGGGAATCTTTCCATAAGAAGGGAAATCTCCTCTTTCTCTCTATCTTGGAGACAAGATAGATAGAAATGTTGGATCCATAAGACAAAAGTCGATATGTATCTGATGGGGTGTACATCGTACGTAGAGCGCCCAAGTTTGGGCCAGCTCAGTTTCGTCCTCATCATCGTTTACAGAAACTAAGCAGCTTTCAGATTATGTCACAATCCATAGAACACGCCAGAGCAGGGACATACTCAACATTCAAATGATTACTGAACATAGCTAACTTTACAAAAGATAAGGATCAATACAGAATTAACTATCATTCTAGTCAGCCAAAGCTGGATGGTCAACCATGAAGCAATGACAAAACGATTGGGGTCAGATGGGGCTAATGGGTACCAAAGTCAGCCATGGAGGTGGACAGGGAACAGGGGAGAAGGTTATTTCATCATGAAGACTGGGGGGGTTCGTGGGGTTCCAACTTGGTTGTGAATATGATCGGAGAGCAGACAGGCAAGTAAATGGAGTAGATTGACCTAGTGGACTAGTTGACCCTTGTGCTGTTGCCAAGTCGTCTCTACAATCCTAGCAAGGTGGAAAGCTTGATTGGGCTTGAAGCTCCTCTTTCCTTCCGAGGCATTTGGAGCGATCAGCTTGGAGCTTGATCCACTGAGGGTATTGTTTGATTAGAACAAAAACATTTGCCTAAGCGGCAGCATAGAATTTCTTCTATATAAAGCACCTGAATGGGAAGAAAACTACTGACATGCTTCATCGTAGGACATTTCTATAGTCTCTTCAGTTGAAATTTATACATTAATGTGATCCATTACGACTAGATTTTATTTAAAAATCGCCCTCTCTGTGCAGACAAACAATACAAGGAAGCCATGAATACTGAAGCCGCCTTCGTAGCATTTCGCGAAGGAGGCCTCTAAAGGGAGAAACTCAAGCATTTCTCACGGGTAAGTCCAAGAACAGGCTACACCATGAACTCTTCTATGAGAAAATAGTTTGAAGTTTTATAACCTTCTAAAAATGCATATTTCTCTCTTGAATAGCCAAAAATTTACACCGCATGAAAGAAACTGAGGCAATTCTAGATAGAGTATGAAACACAAAGGCAAAATCATTTACTTACAGGGTAGCAGCGCATCATATAAAGAAGGGGATTTGATGATAAGTCAAGGCCGTCAACATGGTGTTGACTAAAGACAGCCATACGAACCTGTAAATAGAAGATTAACAAAGAGAAGACATATTACCAAAGTACATAATGATAAGACCCACTAAAGTACCGCATATTACTTCATCAATAGACGGTGAAAAAAAATAATGATGTTATGCAACAAGCAAGAAAAGAAGAAAAGAAATGCAATAAACAAATCAGTGAATATGAACAGATTCTTAATCTTGAAGGAATATTAGAAGAATACAAAAGTTAAAAAAGAATGCCCACCTCAAAAGGATGAGAGCCACGTGCAAATTCATAAGGATCCAGATGATGGCCAAAGCCACGTTCACTCCCATCCATTACACTTCTCAACATTTTCTATTGGGTTTCACCAAAATGATGCCTATTCCAATGCAAGCCATCCACCCAGATAGCCATCCATGATCCAAACAGAGGCTCAAAACGAAGCCATTTCACTCCATGATATATTATTTAAGCATACAAAGAGCATATACTAGTTATCCAAAGAGTCCAACCCCCACCCACCCAGATCGCTTTACCCGGGATGTTACCCGTTGCATTCAAACAAGAAATAACCTCTCAAACGTACTGAGCTGACGGGAAATGCAATAGAATCCAGCTCAATCTCCGGGCGCAACATAGCACAGGTGCAGCAGCTTATGCAAGACCTAAACGGACTCTCTTCTCCCCGCATGGCCATTTCATTGTCCCTAGTAACTTCGTATCATAGATAGGGACAGGCCTTACATCGCCATTTCATCTAATGAAATTTACCTCATTTTACCCCTTTCATAATGACTGGTTCTTTTTATATCCAGAAAATTTTCACCCATTCCAATAGAGCCAAGTATCTCAGACAGTTTCAACCTTATTTGTTTATTTTTCTTCTTTAGGGACTAAGGTAATGATACTGAGCTAGAAAGCAAAACCTTGTAGCCACATCTTTTGCGTAGAGTTAGGCATTGGAAGAATGACAACAATCTCACCAAAGAACTTAAACCGCGTTGACCAAAGGAAAGCGTCATCGACTGTTTTTCATTCTTCATTTGGATGAGGGGGGAAAAAAAATAAGGTCAGTCAGGCTTCGACTATTAAGCTTATATGGCCGCATGCTCCTGTCAAATCTCAATCCGTGACAGATAACCTTCTTGTAAGCCAGTCCTCTGCCATGTTATTAGCGAATGGGGTTCAATAAAGCTCCGGTTAACTATTTCGTGATTTCAACACTAACAGCTGTTTGAAATTTAATCAAACTTTCAACAAGATAAAGATCAAAACCCTCAAGAGTTTCAAACATTCGTCATTTGATTCCAGGGATGAAAATCGAATTTTCTCTAAACAAGGGATAGGCCTAAGTAGCCAGTAAGTGGAAGCTCTCACTCCCAATAGCTAAATCAGTAGCAGGATTTCGAGTAAAGCTCAAAGTGACTTCTAGTGGATCCCCTGTGTCCTTGACCCAAGAAGGAGAAAACCTCTTGCTGGCTTATTGATCTCGATTTTGATTTACAGACAACTATTCCTATTTAGATGTATGGATCATCGTGCACTCGCTTAATAAAGGGCTTGTTTGAATTTTTTATAAAGAGTTTTCAATTTCAACCAGTGAATCGGAGCATCAGCACCTAAGTTGAACAGGTTTCCAAGAGTTTCTAGAAAAATTCGTTTCTTGAGGCAACAAAACGATCGCCTGCATTGCATGTCATAGAATAAAATGGTAGCACTCAAAATTAATTAGCAGATAATTTCCAAACCCGCAATAAAGACAGCTTAACCAATAGAATCACATGTCCATGAACTCAATAAAACAGTCACCTTAGCTGAATGATAGACAGTTCCAGAGCTGGGTTGAAGATCCCCAGATATTAGCTTAAGTATGGTTGATTTTCCAATGCCATTAGGTCCAACCACTGGAAGATAAAAAACAAATCCGAGAAACCTATGAGTAGGAAAAAAGAAAAACACAAGGACAAGAAATCAAAGAAAAAAGGTAAATCCTTACTTGCAATACGGCTGTCAAGATCAATACCAAAATTCAGATTCTTAAACAAGAGAGGACCTCCAGGGTAACCAAAAGATACATCACTGCAAAAACGCACTAGAGAATCATGACTGTGTTCCTAAAAATATTTCTATTTATTAATTTGTATATACATATATACACAGACACATACAAAGGGAGAGACGTATCAAAATATTATCACTGTCAGACAAATGCATGGCAGGAATCGTTGTCAGAATCCCACAATTGACTGACACGAAAACATGAGGAATGCTGCTTTTCTTGACAAAAAGTACATGAAATTAAGTCAGACGTGAAGCAAATATGCCTACTCTTTAGGAAGAAAATTAAAGTGGTTGCAATCTTATCGAAAGCATCCCTGGATGTTCATATATGGTGGCACTTCATAACACATTGATTGAGACATAATATCTGAATTACATCATTTCCGTCTCTGGCGGTTTAACGATTTTTTCATGTTCAAAAAAGAAGAACCATATCCTAAAGATATCCATAAAATTTAAATGACCAGGAGAAGCCTAATTTGTATTGATAATTAAAAAACTCTCTAAGAGCCTTAGTAGACATAAGCCATCCGCTAATATCATTCCCTGTTGTCACAGCACCAACCACTATAGCTATCTATCATTTCTGCTATCGATCACCAGCTGTAAGCAAACTTTACGGCACCATGAATAATCTTTGCAATGATTATAAAATAACTTGAAAGCTTATTCTAAAGAAAGTAGTCTTCAATAGAGAGCAACAAGGCAGCCAGATGACCAAGCATTTATCACAGCTGTTATCCACAATCTACTGCAAACTACCAGTATATAAACGATTTTTTCACAATTTTATCAAATCACTTGGAAGTAAATGTAATGAAGAGCATTTTCTTCAAACTATTTTCAAATAGCTTGATAGCTAATTATCTTAGTGCATATCGTATATCATTAATCTTCTTATTGACTAAAGTAGACAAAAAATAACCTCAGGTACGATAGAATACTTCGGTCAGACAAATAAGAAAGACTATATAATAAAAATGTTCAAAGGGATTCAAAGTGCTGAAAACTCATTATTAAGCTCATTTGAGAAGGGAAACGCAAAAAAGGTTCATCAATAAAGAGAAAAAATGGATGATCCTTTATCACAGTATCTGATATGAGAGAGAAAAAGCCAACCTGAAACTTATAATTGGTGGTCCTGGTCTATCATCTGGCGTGGGGAATTCGAACTTGTAACTGCATATAAACAATAATTTAATGTGTTTAATCAATATGGAATAACAATCAGTGAAGTGACAATATAAAGAAGCAGGTGTTTCGGTGCATACTCTGGATCGTTAATAATTGCGTCCATATGACCCATCCTGTCTAATGCCTAAATACGTAATCAGTGTAAGCATTCATCATTGCAGATCAAATAAATCGTTAAGACAACCATCATAGAGTTGATCCTACGCTAAGCAGTCAACTCAGGTAAGTACAATTCGATTAAATAAGACTGTTAAAACCTAAAGCAGATAAATTAGAAACATGCACCTTTATTCTTGACTGGACAAGAGATGCTCGTTTAGCATTGTAACGGAACTTATCGATGAATGCCTGCATAAAAACAGAAGCACATGTTAAACAACCCATGAGATCACCAAGTATTGATGAATATCATGACATATTTTCAGAATTCCTAAATACATCTCCTTCCCTTAATATGTATTCTTCTCTTTACTTAGAGAAGTTAGAGAGTTTTCAGGAAGATCTGTTCAGTTGTTACTGTGTTTTTGCTTTCATTTTTTTGTAAGGTCTTTCTCTGGGAAAGCTTATTTAGGAATTTCAAAGACAGTAGGAGAGAAACTCTCCCCCAGCTCTATATCTATAGTGAAAGTTACATTCAGTTAAGTAGAGAATAATTATTTCTTTCTTCATCGCATCAGAGCCGCAGCGGCAACTAGGACACCGGTACTTTTAACCCTAATCTTTCGTTACCCAATGTCTCCATAGGTCTTTATTCCCACCTTTATTTTTCCCTCAAATATATCGTGACCCTCATTGCTACCTCTGTTCTTCCTTCAATTTTTTTCGTGGTCCTCATTAAAGTTCTGACTGTTCTGTTCGAGGACGTTTGAGTTGTCTGAGAACAATGTGTCTACCTCTGTTGGAGTTGTCCCGGAATTCTCATCGATGAACTTAAGTGGAGAGTTACAAATCATTAATGCCACATATCACTGGAACGGAAAAAACTATTCTGTTATGGTCACAGATCGAGAGAACATTCTTGAAGGAAAAAAGGGAAGATTAGACAGATAGGTCAGTCTAAGTGAGAAAAATCCTAGGTTCCAAGCATAGGATGAGGACTCAATGATCATGTCCTCGACATGAAATTCAATGCAGCTAGAGATTTATAAAATTCTTTTGTTCTTCCCCACAGTGTGGGACATTCAAGTGAATACTCCATCAAGCAAAGTATCGTCTGCAACACAAAGTTATCTTTCTATTACTGAATTCTACAAATATTTCAATAGTCTTTGGCGTCAAATAGATCATTATCAAGATCTTAAGATGAAGTGTGGTGAAAATGCCAAAGCTCTAGTAAAGTTTGTAGAGAGAGAGAGAGAGAATTTTTTATTTCTAGCAAGACCAAATATGGAATCTGATCAAGTAAGAGTTCAAGTGTTAGCAAAGGACAGACTACCATCTTTAATGAGACCTTTTCCATCATTTCAGCAAAGAAAACTAAGAAAAATGTTATGCTTGTGACACAACTATCTAAAAGTTTTGCTATGATAACTAAGAAGAGCAAAGTAAAGAGTTCTGCTATCTAAAAGCTATCAAGTTGAGAATGCAAGAAATGAAATCCATAACTCGAAAAAAAAAAGAAGGTTAATACCTCGGAACAGTCCGACAAGATAGATTGTGGTGTTATTACTGTAAAAAACCTCAACATACAAGAGATAATTGCTTCAAACTTCGTAGGAAAGGTTACGTATTAGCTAAGAATGGTGGATTTAGAGGACAACACTTAAGACTAGTCAACACAATTGTCGCGCTTTTAATAATAGAAAATAACTACACCAAACCTAGCGTCTAATATTCGACCATACAGACTGCCTAAAGGTTAATCGGCAGCTATGGGCACATTGCTTCGAGTTTCAAATCAATCAACAGGCATACAAAAATAAAATTTTAAAAAAATGTGCCTCAGGCGGTACATTATACTCTCTATCCTCCAAAGGCCACAACCATCCAAAATCAACTAGCTACAAGGCAACATCCTCTGTTAGGAACGACCCAGTGCACTGGCATTAAGAAAATGGTCAGAACCAGGTCAATCTCCAACTTAATCAGACTTAGAGCATAGGATACCAATCATGCTTCAAGGAAACAGAGACAGCACTGGCTGAAAAATAACTTAAAATGTGGAACAGGTTTTAAGGGCTATAATTGCAAGAAGTAGATACTTCATACTAATCGTGGCTATCTCTTTTATCATCTTAAAATATTTGAATTTCCACATCCTTTGCTAACAAACATCCATCAAAGTATTTGTGTCTATACTTGGCAGTACCCCTCATCCAAATCCACAGTAACAAATCAAACTTTTTTACTCCGACTGAAAACAAAAAGGTTCCCGTTAAATGTTACTAAAGTATCAAAAAAGGAAAAAGACAACTATGTTACCTGCATATGTGCTCTAGCTTTTTCACTTGTTTCAAGGGCCTTCTGCTGGTTTCTCAGCTGTTCTGCACGTGTCCTCTCAAATGTATCATAATCACCTTTGTACGCCGTTAATTTTTGTGCATGCAAATGAAGGACGTCTGTAACCACCTAAAGAGTTCATGTGCGATCATTAAACTTCAAATGAAATAACGCTCTTCATCTTTTCCATTCAGGTGAAGCTGTCATTAGCTGCAAAAAATTAAAAGAAATGCAAGTTGCTAGAGGAGCATGGATACCGTGTTCAGGAACTCCCTGGCATGAGAAACAACTATAAATGTCTTCGGCCACTTCACAAGGTAAGTCTCCAACCAAAGCACTGCATGAAGATCAAGATGGTTCTGCAAAGAATAAAAAAATAGGTCAATCCTCAAAGTGAAACCAATTTGAGAAATCCCAGTGGAGCAGTACCGTTGGTTCATCAAGAAGCAACAAATCAGGCTCAATGAACAAAGCACGAGCTAGAGCAATTCGCATGCGCCAACCACCAGAGAAAGCTTTCGTGGGCTTCCGTTGCATTTCTGGAGTGAAACTCAGGCCCTAAAACATTGCAATTTTTTTGAACATAATTATAAAAATGAGGAATAGCAGCAGGGTTGTCACAACTAGCCACATCACCGAACAAATCATCAGAGAAACTAGTCAAATTTCTCAATCGGTTTTTCAGAAAATATAACTTTTTCAGAAAATACAAAATGGTTAGATATGCAAAAAAATTCAAGGAATCCAAACGATTAGATATGCAGACACTGGATGAATTACATAATGGGAAGTTCCCAAGTAATTATTCTCGTAGCATTTTCAAGGGATCAAAAATTAATGCTCTTTTCCCGAGTTGACATGCATACCCGTCGAATTAGAACAGTCATGACACAATTGCACATAAAACTGAGTGTGAAAACCAGATATTAATTACAGATAAACCGTCGACATGTACCTATAAATTGTCTGTATTGTACATGTTAGCAAATATCAACTAAAGACACGTGAAATTAGATATAAAGAGATACGCAGTTTACATGATCACATTTGTGTGTGAATGATTTCGGACTGCAGCTTTTTAAAAAACTCTATGACATACAAGTAAGACAGAGTATAAAGGATCAAAGGATGGACCGCAAGAATTGACGCTGCGCGTGACTCAGCAGAGTCCGCATCAATGTATTCCAGCCTCTTGTATATTTCTTGAAGCCTCTGTGACAACACATCTTTGTCGGTTGTCCCATTAACCTTCCCATCAATCACTCCCTTTTCCCCATCAAATTCTGAATCTCTCTAGAAAAACAGTTAAAAAAAGAAGACAAGTCAAAATATGTCAATAATGAAAGCAGGAAAGCATATGCTTGCAAATTTCACTGACAACCTGCAATGAAAGTATACGAGCTTCTTCTTCCAAGAGGTGAATCCGTTCAATATCAGAGTTGAGAACACACTGCAACGCAGTTGTATCATCACCAGAAACTTCTTGTTCTACATGTAATATCTGACAGTTTTTTGGAATACCATCAATGGCATGCAAGGCCATATGTCTCAGAAAAGATGTTTTCCCAGTACCATTCCTGCCAACAAGACCTGAAAAATAAAATATTGAAGTGTCATCTAAACTAAGGAGACAAAAAATAAGGATTAGCTACCAGATTTTTGAAAATATTAAAAAAACAGTTAAATTTATCACTACAAATAAATAGCTAAATATAAGGTAGAACGTAGATGTTGGGTGCTGGATGTCCGAGTCGCACATGACATTTTGAAGCTTTTCTAACGGTATGTTTTCTTTTCTCTCAACATATTGAATATATGACCTCTGTTTAATTTTCGTATATTAAATCGTCCCTTTAGAAATCACATTTAGGGTAGTGTGGAAGAGTTCACTCCATCGAGATTTGTATTGGATTTCCTAGACAAGTTTTGGACCCTACAATCAGGTCTTCCACCGATTTCTTCCTCTTTCATCGTTAATAAAAACACAATGTCAAGTATCCACAACATCCACAACACAATGTCCACATAATCCAACAATCACAGAAATTGAAAATTTGAGAACATTGATCAAATTGAAAATTGTACTACCAATTGACCGAAATTATAATCCCTCTTTTCAAAAATCCTCTACTTAAGCATGTTTTATGCAACCCGAATCAACAAAAGGTAAATTTATCTCAATGAAAAACATTCTGCAACTTTGTTTGAGTGAAGTAAACAAGTGGAGGCAACTGTCCATATATTAAAGGTTGCTTTGAGTAACAGCTGGGCATTCATTTCATATTCTTTCTATGGGAAAAAAAAAAGAATGCAACATCAAATTTGCCTAAAACAACGATTTTCACCCTTTGGACCCAATTGGAAAACAAACCTACGTTATGAACCACATATTTTGGTCAAGGTTTGAAAACCACTAGAGGCTGTGCTTCTTGCCCACAAAGCACAGGAATTTGCGTTTTGACGAATGAACATCTTATCCCCCCTTCCGTATCTCCTCACTACTTGTAAACCAACGAGGCCCTCTCCAGATAATAATAGTATCAAACAATTTTTTCCTTGTTGCTCATGGAATCAGACTCAAACACTAATCCATTGGTTATTGATATATTTGACCACACTGAAGAAAGAAATTTAAAGGTCGTAAACAACTACTTTATAATATAGATATAATTTGATGCAACCTACAGAATGCCAGTGTGATGTGCAAAGAAATACAGCGGTCAAGACATGGAAGCAACTTATGCCTCTTTATGGTGCATTGAGAGAGATTGCGGACATGATGGAGGCAGATCCATGAAATGGAGCATAGGGAGGGGAAAGGCCCTAGAGGGAGGCAGGAGAGTGAAACCACGGGGAGAACAAAGAAAAGAGGTGAAGGAGAGGATCAGGATCTAGGATTTGAAAATGCTTAAGACACAAGAAATTAGAGATATTACCAATCCAACAGCATCAAAGGGAAAGCATGGTCAGAAACCCCTGACAATAATTTCATTAGACCAGGTCCAAGGATAATGGGAGATTATCGTAAGCTGGAAGAGTGAGACTATGAGGGTAAAAGCAAAGGGGGAAGGTGGCGAGATCAAGGATGAGGTAGTTGATAATTGGACAGAAAACAGATAAAGAGGATGGGAGAAGGGGAGAGCGAGGGCATAGGAGAAGAAGATAGGAGGGGGTACATCTGCTGATGATTGTACAAGGCATGAGCATGAAGAAGACCACTGTAAGGGTGAGAGCAACAGAATGCCGGAAGCAATAGTGCAAGTTAAAAATGGCACAGATGACAGCGACGGCAGAGGTTCATGAAGTATGAACCTACAAGAACATGAGCAGTGGGCTCAACAACGGGATGCAGCCACCTGGGGTCCCTTGAAATACCTGGTTTGCCCATATGAGATCACGGGCTGTCTTTTTGGTGCCAAAAAGGGCACTCACCACCTCTCCCTTCCACCAACACCTGAATGCTAAGGCAAAACTGAGCCATTGTGTGTAGGCACCTGGCTTGACAAACGTACATTGTGTGAATGAATAGACGTAAGGAACCTTTCATATAATGCTTTAGGAGCACTCCGTTGATGCATGGAAATACAATAGAACCAGAATTTAAGTAATATCAGGCCATATATCTTCATCTTTCTTCCATGAAGATAAAACATAGATTTTTCTTAGCAACAGATTCTTCATGTCACACCAAAGTTTAGCACGGTGAATAACAAACTGTCCATTAATTTCACAAACACAACATTCACAGGGATAATTTTAAAGCATTGCTCATGTCCTGGAAAAGAAATCCACTCACCAACTTACCATAATGTCTACCAAATGAAAGAGTCAATGAAGCATTGCTAATGAGATCACGGCCACCAACAGAGACAGTGAAGTTCTCCATGTGGATATCTTTAACAGTTGATCCGCTCTCACCAGACTCATGCTTCACAGATGCTACGGGCATCCCTGCTCTAACAGCTTCCATTTCTGCCAGATGCATTTGATATTGAGCCTACATGAACCAAAAGTGATGCCAATGATCAAACGCAGAGAACTAAGCATCGTCACATCCGAGAAATTTTATAATTGGCAAACACAATTCAATTGCAAAATTTCCAATCTTGCATGGAAAGAATGCACAAAGTATATATTTTCTGATAATCTCAGAAATCCATAACATTCATAGCCATGAAAAAAAAAATCAATAGGAATATTGTCGATAGAGTAGACTGAGTGACTTGGAACCCAATAGTAAATTGTAGGCAATAAATTAAATGACACGAATTCATTTAGCACACCTCTCTCTGGCGTTCCTCTTTTCTCTTTTTCCGTTCAAGCTTTGCTCGATCACGTTCAGATAGCACAGGACCATCCAGCACTTCGACTTGTTTCTTTGGTGTTTGGTCTTCATCCATTCCATCAAACATTCTGACAGGATTTGCAAGACTTCGTACGGTCTGCTTTGGCTTCATTAGACCGTGCTTCCCAAATTTTTCAAAGATTTTGCTGCAGACCTGAATTTTCCTCAGAGAAAAAAATCGTCATAAAAAAATAATAAAATTGAGGGAAAAAATGACTCAAAAAATGTATCTAAGGATATGATCAGAAACATATTTCTCTCCTTAGACGACAGTTTAAATAGAAAAAAATGAACGAAACTAAAATCCCAAATGCAGATTGACAATAGGCTACCAATTCCATATGTACATATGTTAAAGACATAAAAATTGCCATCAGTTGATATTCATACAATGAATTGGTAAAGAGTGATTTCGATAACAAATAGTGAAAGAAGATGAGCTAAAAAGTAAACTGAGATTCAGATAACGATAACTTAGCATAAATAAATAAATAACCTATAATGAAATAAATATCTATCCTATTATACTCATTTACTAGATAATTAGAGCTTACCCGAGGACATGGAAATCAAAAAAAATAATGGGATCGCCTTTTCATGAAGACATTCCTATCAAAGTGGGTTGGCCTCTCAAAAGAAACACCTAGAGCTTACTAATTAAATGGTACTTCACCCACAAATAACACCTAGAGATTTTGATTATCTCCACGAGAAGCATCATCCAAACAACAACCAGTAGCATGAACTCTATAGTAAAGGTTACATGTTGTCACACCCCAAGAGCACATGACCAGATACCATGTTTCTACACGCCAAATAATCCGTAGTCAATTAGCCCTTTTCTCAACCAAAATAAAACTCACGTTATAAAATGAAGATAATCAAAATTTCCCACTTAACCCAAAATTTCAAACTTTGAAAAATTAGATCTATCCTGACATAAGAGAAAGGAACAAAAGAAAGCATCAAGCAGTGGATGCAGAAACACATTGCCAAAACTTGCTCGCGTCTTGAAAGCAATCCGGTGTATGCAAAGAAAGAAAAGAAGAAGAAAACACGCAGAAGTTGGATAATTATGCAGACATGCACCAAAATTTGCTCGAGACAAGATGAACTTTCAGAAAATTGTAATAGATATTGGAACAATCCTACGAAGCACAACCCAACCCTGAACTTGAATGCTTACCGAACGACATTCTTCATAATCTTGGACGCATCCGGCTTCGACGAGAAGCTCCCCGATGGCCTCGAAAGCGCCCTCCCCTTCGACCCCGAAGTCGAAGTCCTCGTCGGCGAGCACGTTGATGATGTAGTCGACGATAGGCTTGTCCACATCCTGAACATTCGGACCCAACACCTCGTGAACCACCGTGCTCGCCACGGCCGCCATCTCCCTCCCTGCCGCCCACCCTCACTCTCTACCTCTTTCTTCCCCCCACAGACTCGGCTCCCACCCCCCGGAAGTCCAAAATCTTCCAGCTTTAACAAGCATAGAAAGTCGGCCCTCGCCTACTCCCCCGAAACACAAGGGAGTTAAAATACCTCGCGGTGGAGAATGAATTAAACTGAACCTTCATTACGACGAAATAACCTCCAAGATTAGGGCTGTGATGGCCCGGCCCGACCCGGCCCGGTCCCAACCAAGGAACACGGGCAAGGCCCGCTATTGGGTAAGATCGGCCCGTAAGCACATACTCCATCCGACCTCGGTCGGGGTTCATAAACCCTACTCAGCATACTAAGCACACCCTTATGAAATATCAAATTCGAGATTATTTTCCAGACCGTTTCGTATAAGTCCCGAATTTACCTTTTATTAATTATTCACTCTTTTTTATTATAATAATTTAAGAAAATTTTCCTTTGCTGTCTAATATCATTTTTCATTTTTGGACATTTATTTTGATTGAAAATAATCCAGTGCGCATTTACAGCACGATTTTATTAAATATAAAAATTCTCCCGTATTATTATTCAAACTAATTATTAAAAGCCCAAAAAATTAATAATCAACCAGGTGGAATCATGGCGACCGAAATAATTAAAAAAGAGGAGAAAAAATATATATTTTCATAAGCGAGCATATTGGTCTTGAAATCATCAAAGAAGGCAGAAAAACTGCACACCCGGGCACATAAACGTGCAAAAAGCTTATATTTTTCTTCTGTTCTGTTTATCTTTTGCTCTACAACCTGCACACATCCACCGATCGATCCCGGGCTCAAGAGGAGGGGATGGGGGAGTAGGTCACCTGCAACCCAGTTCGGCCCTACCGTCTGCGGTGATGGTCGTGTTTGTGCAGAGCTTCTGGAGGTCGATGTAGCCGATAATGGTGTCCTCAAAGACCACGTCCTGCAGCTGGGCTTCCTCGAAGGTGGAGCCCGACAGCACGGTGTTCTTGAACACTGCCCCGTGGAGATCGGCCTTTCCAAAGTTGACCCGGTCAAGAACAGCATTCGAGAAATCTACGCCTGCATCACCGAGGACAGTCACCAGTGAGACAGTATCGATGGTCACAGCTTATAAGTTCTGGGCCTTTTCACAGGGATGTTGGTCTCGGGTCAGAATCTGAATGCACCAGCTTGAATAAATTTGTCCAGTCATGCACCTTCATTCTATCATTTTGTTCTAATGATCATAACTTCGTGTGATATCCTCAATTATTTAAATCATAAATTCGAGGGAAAAATATGGAAAATCAAAGGTCTGTGTGGATGAGGATTTATAAAAAAAAAAAGAAAAAAGATGTGAGGTTTGAGCTTCTTTGTTTTTCCAATAGAATAATTGACAATTACATAAATTTTGACCACGCAAAACCAGCTAAACTTAGAAGATTTTCTGATAATTTATATGCAAGTAGATCATCAATTGCCTAGTTAACATCTTCGACAAGGTGGAGATTAATGGAAAAAAAAATCATGTCCTCTTGTATGACTAAGCCTTTAAGATCCCCACTTCTTTACAATAATTTTTGAAAATAACAAGAAATGGACCGGAAAACCTTAATCGAAAGATAAGATGAGAAGTGAGATATGTCGTCCTTGCCTTTGAAGCTTGCTCCGACAGCATATGCCTTGGACATGATGACCTCTGTCATGTCGGCGCCATCAAATTTGGCGCCTGACATGAGTGCAGCCGCCAGTGACTTCCCCTTGAGGTTGGATTTCTCATTGGTGTAGTCGCAGAACCTAAGATCAAGTGGCTTGTCGTATACGCCGTTCGCTTGCCCAATTGTGTTCCCAACAAATGCACGTTCACACCGATCCGGCTCCGTCGAGAGCGGTGGCAGCCTCTGCAATGCAGACCAAGAAGAAGATCAACAAACAACGGACGTAGTGAAATGGGAAAGATATGTTCCAGATGATAACTAGCAGAATGAACACGAGTAGTCCAGACGAGATGTACCAGTTTCTCTTTCTCACTTCAGTCACGGTTTCCTCCCCCTAATGGATGGGGAGATGGAAGGAATCAATAGCAATACGTTGCCATGGGTGTTGTCCAAGAGGTGGCAGAATTCAGGAAGTGAGTACTCCAAACATGCAGAACTACATAATTCCAGGTTTATGAATGGGAAGCCTTGAGTTAACATGAGGAATGGCATTAAATTCAGCATCAGCATAAGGCCTGGAAAAGAGCACTCAGCCAAACCTTCTTATGATAAATGAATGTTCTACAGGATGAATGAGAGAGTAACTGCTTCGCAACTTTGCTGGAATCTACAAATCCAGAAAAAAAAAAAGAAAGGGAAATAGCTACATTCCGTCATTCCAAAAGCTAACTTGATACTGTTATGATAGCGAATTTCAGGCCAAAATTTATTAGGATAATGCATCATATACATCTGCTAGGATGATATGAAAACTTACTCTAGTTTTATAACAAAATCTAGGCATTAGTATATTATTCTACACATCAAAAAAGTTTATTTTCAGAAGCAGATTTTCGTTCCTTTTTTTTAGTTAAATTGGGTATGCTACCAAATTATTCTTCGTTCAAATAGCTTCTTATAGCTTAGATTGCCTTCTGATGTTAGATACAAAAAAAGGTCTAAACTCTATTTATACCCAACAGTGTCTAATAACGTTGCAGATGCCAACACTTGTAAACTTCGATGGTCCCACAAAGTTATGAAAGGTCCCCTACTCTGCGATCCGGGAAAGGTGCAAATTCTCAATCCGTGTAATCATACCTCTATTCTGTTAGAGATGTTGAGAACTGAAATGCATTCTTCAGTTTTTTCTAACCAATGTGAAAAGCTGCTTGTATATGAGAACTCAGCATTCAAAGATCAGATTTATCCTCTCTTTGAGAAAAAAAAAAGGAGATAAAACGAGCCGGGGCAGTTCTAACCTGATTTGCAGCAACAACTGGGGAGGCGGTGGTCACAACCCAGGCAGCAAGCAGGCCACAAGTGACACTTTTCAGTGCCTTCGATGAGAAACAGCTATCTGAGATCTCATCCGTTCCAGATGCTGCAGTCGCAAGATGCTCATTAGCACCCAAATGTGCAATCTAAATATCTGCCACGATTAAATCCATTACTGTTATTACTACAATATTTGCAGCGTTCACTGCAAACTTAACATTCCCATGGTTCAGCAAGGGGCACATATGCGCTCGAAGCACAGGTGTTCGCAGCCCTCATACGACAGCATATAATGTCAACATCATCCGAGAACAACTTCCACATATTTCCCACCAGTTGGATCTTCCAAGAGAATTAACGTGCACGACAGTCCAGTTCGCCGATAGCGCGATTGACTTTTTCAAACTTTTCAGCAATCAGAATACACCGGCGAGCGGTTTGAACTGGCATTTTTAAGCCACACTCCACTAGAAGGCGTACAATTCACATGGATCGTTCCCGAACATAAATGCACTACAGCTTCCCCAGCTGTGATGCCAGCAGCCAGCGACCAACTTAGGGTTTCTCCATAGAATAAGCCTCCGACTCGAAGATGAAAATACGAAAGCAGCAATTCGCGACGACAAACTCGAAAATCGAGTGAGAGAGAAAGAGAGAGAGAGAGAATGAGAGAGGATTGGGACTACCAGAGGAGCGTATCTGCAGTCGCGGACGAGGCGCGGACGGTTTCAGCAGTCCAGAGCATCTGACCGAGGAGGGAGGGCAGCTGTGGAAGCGGGCAAGAGGGGCGGTCGCCATTGTTGCTCTGATTCGGGCCTGACCGGACGCTGGATCGCGCCTCCATCCATACTCCCTCCCCCCCGCTTATCTTATCCAACCCGAAGCCTACGTGGCTCCGCCGCTGGAAGAAAGAAAGGTCAGCAGCCACGGTCCGAATTCCCCATTAAAATGAACCGTAGGAACACTGTCATCTGCCGCCCGATCGCCCCTGCCCGACCAACCAAATAAATAAATAAAAATATTACGAATAAGATACCCTACTTTATTATATTATCATCCTCATTTCATATCATATAACGAATAATATAATCATTAATTTATAAGTCCGACTAATTAGTTTCTAGACGTTGAGATTTAGCACTTTTGGAAGTAAGGATTATCGATTAGGCTGATTAATTGCATGCAAATATAACTTTCTTTTTACAACATGCAATGATCAATTGCCTGCCACCAACCAACATCAGTGCTTAAAAGGATTGACAAGGGCAACCATCAAGTGGGTTCTAGAGTTGGGTAGGTTGACTTTTCTAACATTCAGTTTAGTCAACTCTACTATTCAAAGAATCCCTACTTCAGTCAACTACCAATTAGCAACAATTTGATTTGTGCCACTTGACCATTGAGGAACAATTTTTATGAGCACAAACCCTCGCAACTTGCACCGAGCATGAAGTCTAGTCCCTGGTTGAGCCGTTGACCCTGCCCCAGATGATACTCTGATATAGAGCACCCTGATCCCATCACTATGCCGTCCAGTCTGGAGCCTCATTCCATAGCGTCTGATCTGATCTCTCTAGCAAACAACTAAAAGCCTCCAGATTAACTCATTGAAACCTAATTAGTCCAGGAAATCACGAAAATAATCAAATGATGGAGTTGTAGCTGAGGGAAGATAGCAAAGGAGGGGAGACGCATTCCAGATTAACTCATTGAAATCTGCATGTTCACTGACAGTTGAGGATCTATATCGTTCGCAATCATTAAATAAGAAAATGCAGTGCTCAATAATTATGCGATATTAGAGAGGGTCGAAGAATCTGACAATTTCCACCCTCTTAGGGATGAAGAAATATTAACATCCCTTCTATACTGCCAAAGAAACCTCCTCTCAGACAGGTGGGAATCTGACCAAGTCTTCCGTGCTTCGCTAGCCTGTCTTCTTCTCCTTAGTTTGTGGCACTGAAAGGGAGCAGAGACGAATGTTCAATAAGATTTGATTCGATTCGGTTGTCAAGCATTCAATTAACTAAAATACATAGGAATTCACGGATTGGGCTGGAGAGGGGCATTGTACAGGAACATATATCTCAAGAATCAAACAAAATATATTAAACATTCGGCAGGTAGCAAATGAAAAATCTCTTACCAGAGATGAGAGCTTTGGGTCTATTCTTGAACAGAATCCGATGCCGGATGATTCCGATGACTTCCAGCTCCGTCGTTGACGATTCTGCTCCGCCCAGCGACTCCTCCTTCCTCTTCTTCAGTACCAGCAGTGGCTTCTTCAACGGCACCTTCGTCCCCGATAATTCGTGGTAGCCGACCGTGAATTTATAGACTGACTGGGGAAGCAATCAAAGATGTGTGAGATCTTCTTCACTGACACCCATCTGAGAGGCGATCCAGTGCCTCACATTTGGGCACGAGCGGGGTAGAGGCTGACCTGTGACGAGCAGCAGAGGTGCCCAATCTCGAGGTTCTGAAGCTGATTTCCGATCGAGGGATCCGCCTCGACTACTCCCTGGAGCTCCACGATGGCCCACTCCGGGCATCCGCCTTCTCCGCAGGCGCACCTGACCTGGATCTGCATCCCGCTCCCTCCGCCCTTCTTTTCAAATGTCCTCTGCACAATCGCGATCGACTCTACGAACGAATACCGCGGGAATTCCGAACTTCCCGCCAACCAGCGCGAAAAAAGCGGGAAACAATTACCTCTCTCCTCATGGGTATTTTAGACATTTCCTACTCCACCGCTGGCTCACGACGGCTACACAACCTGCACATTTATTTATTTTAAATGATATTTAAAATGTCGGCCATTTTTGCTTAATCTATTCTCAATATCTAATAAAAATTACCTAGCAGTTTTTCGACGAGCGATTAATGTGGGAATTTTGAACTTCCCGCCTTACGCCGCAACAAAGCGGGAAACAATACTGCTCTCCTCGTGGGTATTTTAGACATTTCTCATTCTACCACCGGGTCACGACGGTTACACAACCTACACATTTATTTTTTAAATTAATACAACTTTAAATAGATTCCCGGCATCTAATACAAATTAAGTGGCAATTTTTATTTCGATGCATTCTCAGGTCTTCGTGCGAGCTTTCGGCCTCCAGAAGCGCGTCAACGGCGACATTGATGAGGTGTAGACGTCGAGCCAAGCAAGGCCCGTTGGCCGGAGCGACCTGATCCACCGGCGGCGGCTGTGCATGTAAATACGGGGAAGAAAACCCTCATCTGATCTTGCTCCCGTGTAGTCTTGCTTCGATTTTCGTATATCAGTTGGGATTTACGCGATCGCGCTCTTGGTCTCCTTTCGGTCGCGATCGATCGCCGAGGGAGCGTTGGCGGAGAGGGGAGGGAGGGTCTGGTTTGATCCAGTCCTGCGAGGAAGGGAGAGATGACGAGAGGGACTCTGGAAGTGCTCCTCGTCGGGGCGAAGGGTCTCGAGGACACCGATTTCCTCAGTAAGTCCCATCTTCATCCCTCTCTTGCCTCCGATCTTCAGAGCTTTTGCCGATCTTCTATTGCCTATGAATCGCGGAACTTAGCGACCGATATGGAATTCGCATCTTTGTTTTGTCTTCTTCCTGATTTCACAGTTTTCGCTAATCTGGCTTAGCATTCATCCTTTTTCTGCGCCTATAGCCTCAATTTGAGATCCAGATCTGTCATTCTTCACCAGAGTATTTGGAACAGTCACTTTTTTCCTCATTTCCCTTCTCCTCCCACAAGTCCTATAACCATAATGCTCACGGATCTATCCGCGAGAAGGTAATCGATCAGGAAAACCATTGTTTTTGTTGGGGCGTAATTTCATCAAATTTTCTGAACTTTCTTTAATGCTCCTCAAGGTTCATTTCCACGCGGTTCCATTTTAATTATGCTTAGTTTCCAAAGAATCATGATCCCAAAATTACACCCGATAATGTTCTTTATTTCTACTTTATAAATAAACATAAATTGAGTGATTTTCATCAGTCTAAGATTTATCAAGACACCATGCTTCATGTTTTCGTTGCGATGTGCCTTATTTAGGAAAAGGTTACTCTCTTCTCATGAGGATATAAATTGTCAAATATTTTATTCTGAATTGCAATCGTACTTATTGCATACACCGATGTACTTAATGTTCAAATATTTCTTAGAAACACCGTATTAATTATGTGTCAATGATTTTTGCCTTGCAACGAGCTTCCACGCTCTTTTTTTATTTATTTTAAAAAAACTTTTAATCCGTATACTATTTTGATGTATTTGAGATATTCTTCATATCAGCCAACATGGACCCTTATGCGATACTCATATGCCGCACTCAAGAACAAAGAAGCAGTGTTGCATCAGGTTTATATTTCAAGCTCTCATATTAATTATTATCTTTTGTTTTTGTTGATCATATCACTAGTTTTCATTTACTGGACTTGTTTAGGTATCAATAGGATATGTTACAATAGATTGTCTAGCTAGCATTTTTGTCAATACTAAATGAATTTTTGAAATGTTTTGTGAAACGAATATGGTAGATTTTACATTCACCATTTGAAACTTGCTTATTCTTTCTAATCCAAGACCATGCCATGATGATTACATATGGAAAAACATTGAAAAAATTATAGATGAGCCTCACAATCTGGGAAAAAATTAAATCTAGATTTTTTTTACGTTGATATGGTACCATTAACCCCTCATTTCACGTTGGGCATAACAAATCATCTTTTATGCCTTGTAATCACACCATTCTAAAAGAAAATGTATCACAAGCTAACAAAGCTGTAGCCTCTTTAGGAACATAATATGAATAGGCTATAAATTAAACTACTGCACACTAGATTGTCCATCGAGAAAGATAGCACTAATTACTTAGCGAAAAATTACAATCAAACGAAAGGTTCTTATTTTTCACGTCCTTGCATGCCCAGATTGATGGGATTTGCCTTTTGTCTTATATATGATGAATACTTTTTTTCTTCAATTATGAAACCATATGACCTGAGTTTATATGCTCATCAATGGAACAGGGCTTGACAATATTTAGAATAGTCTCACATTAAATAAAAGGAAAATTGGTTAAGAAATTATTGCATAGATGGCCCATGTTAACTCTTGTCTTGTGCACATGACTAAGTCTATAAAGTCAATTGTATGTAAGGAGACACACTAGAGTAGTCTTATAGAAGTCACATAGATCACTATGTATCGCCAACAAGTTTCAAGTTTGATGGACAATAAAAGTAACGTCTTTCTAGCTTTTCATTTCATATAAATCGTCACCATAGATAAATTTTGTATCACATCATCATCATCACACAAACAAAGATCAATTTTTGTAAATAGAGAAAATAGTGTCAAAAATAAAAATAAAAATGTATAGAGTTCACTTCTGAAACAATGCAAATTCAATTTTTGTCATCATTAATTTTCTAGGCTAATGGCCAGTTGCAATTTTATGTAGGTAATGCCTTACTAAACTTGGAAATTGCATCTTAAGATCTATCTTATTTTATTGTGTGTGATTTCCATTTATGATAGGTAAAGGGTCTGATCCAGAATGGAATGAAACCTTTGTTTTCACTATTTCTGATGGTGTTTCTGAGTTCACTATCAAGCTCATGGACAGTGACACTGGCACAGAGGATGATTTTGTGGGCGAAGCAACGTGAGTATTTTACCGAGTAATTATATCTATACCTTTTATTTTGTCTCCAAATATTTTTAAAAATAGAATTAAAAATTATTATACCATTTGCATCATCATTGATTAATTTACTTTTAGCACTCTTTTGGATGCAATGAATTCATATTTCTCACTTTTCTTTTTTTTAGTCAATAATTCCATGTGCTCTCGTGTCAACCTTGCGTTACTGTTTCAGGATTCCTCTAGAACCATTGTTCATCGAAGGTAGCCTCCCTCCCACTATTTATCGTGTGGTCAAGGATCAAGAGTACTGCGGGGAGATTAAACTCGGCCTCACTTTCAAACCAGAGGTGCCTCTCTTAATCCCTGAAATATGCTAAAGTCATATTTCTTATTTGTCTATATATATGCTAAAGTCATGCCTGAAATTAGTCTCATTCACAACCATAATATTATATCATTAAACAAACTATATAATTGAAAATAAGTATAAACACCATATTATTACGATAAATCCCACCTCAAAATGATGAGCAAAAAATAGTATACAAAATGATTTAGTCCATACTCGTTGACTTTTTTGCATGTCGGCGCAATAACGGGACATCATTCATGGCACCTGAAAAAAAAATAAAAGCTAAAAACTTCACAAGTCATTTCATACACATTGTTTTGCTTCACAAATTCAACTAATAGGACTGATTAATGCTGCACCCCTCTATCTTCTTCTTCTTCTGCTTCTTCTTCTCTGTAGGGCGGTCAACGCCAGAGCTACGAGGAGGAGACGTACGGCGGGTGACGGGAATCTTGAAAACTTCGTGTTCGTGTTTTGACGGCCCTTTTGTGTTGCTTCTCATGGGCGTCTTCGCTCTGTTCGATTATCCAACCATCATTTCAATAAACCGATTTCGAAGACTTAAGAATGGATTTTCAATAAAGTCGAAGAAAGCTCATCAATGAGCTGGTGGTCGGTGGGCTTGGACTTCGTCTTACATGCGTTAAGCGCCATGAGAATCCATTGATTTGAGCGTAATTAGAGGGGATGAGAGATCCTCGCGTGATTTATAAGGTGAGGGAGGTACAATTAAAATTAGTTAATTGTTAGGGTAAGATGATGTATATCAAAACATGCACGACCCCGCCCGTGATATTTTTCCACGGCCACCCGTTTGCTCGGCTTCCCACCACGAAGCTGGGGCTGGGATCGTGGGGGGGAGGAGGTGGAGGAAGGCGGGGGGAGCGCGGGATAAACCGAAGCAGAAGGAACCGTATAGAATCTCCCCCTTTGTGCAGACGATCTCCCCCTCTCTCTCTCTCTCTCTCTCCCCAAAATGCTCGCGTATGGCCAGTCGCTTCCCACCTCCACTCTGCACGGGGAGCTCCTGCCTCTCGTTGGGACCAATCCCCGCGGCTCCGGGCTTTGTACGTCTCGACGTCTCCGTCCGTGCAGGAGATTACTCTTCCGAGGTGAGCCTCAATTGTGATGTTTCCTCGCCTCTTCTGCATCGATTTTCTTCTTTCTTTTCCTTTCTGCATTCTATATTCGGTTTTCCGTTCCTATTTGACTAGGATACCTTACGTTCTTCGTTCTTAATGATCGTGCAATTGCGTGATACTTCGTTTGAGATACCAGAAAACCGATACCGGCGAACGCGTAAACATCGTGGAAGAACGATCACTTGCCTCCGCACTATTCGTCTCCTTTATCACTCCGTGACTTCATATTTCTTTTCAGCCTTCAGCTTTTTCAGGGAGCGAAAGGAGGCTTTCTGGCCGCTGAATTGCCAATACAGGAATATTTTAGTTCGCAGTGCATTGAATTCGAATGCTGATTCGATTACCAGAGGTTTCGTGAAGAAGAGGTAGCATTTCGTACTCCTTTGCTATTTTTTATTTCTGTTTTTATATGCCATATGTTTGACTATATTTTTCTATATGAAATTTTAATTATGTCTGAAGGGAACAAAATAATAACAGAGGAAACCCGTAGCTAATTTTACTGATCCTTTTATTCGAAGCACTGGCTACAGTCCTGGAGGTTTCGTTGACTACATTAATCTTTTTCATTAGGACACCAATGCACCTAACTGTTCTGTGATTTATTGTTATTCGAAACTTGGTATGTCTACTGTAAATTAAAATTTCAGCCAAACCCTGGTTCTTAAAAACCGAGTTCGACCTGTTCAATTAATCGTTAAAACTTGCTGACTCTTCAACATACAGTAACTTTGTTCAATCGAAAGTACTAATATTGTTAAGATCATTAGGACCGTTTCTTCCGTGGGTATATACGTGGATCATTTACATGCGGTAATTTCTTCTTTAGGTGAAGGGTTTATATTTTTTTTCAAGTAGCAAGTGTCACAGAAACTCGGGTGAAAGTTACGAAAAAAATGTACATGTATTTTTTCATTTTTATGAAGTTTTTGAAAGTGTAGGTGGTGTTTAGTTCCTATGGCTAGTTTCCAGGTTAGTAGGATGCATTGATTATTATTTATTGATACTCGAACATATTTTCCTTTTCTAATTTTAAATGATGTCTATTGTTCTCTGAAACGTATACCTTATATATTTTCTACTCATAAAGATATTCTGTCTCTTCTGTTGTTCACAGTTATATCTCTCTGATTTGTTGCTTACCCTGAAGCAAGCATTCCTTCCATAAAATATGTTCAGTGAAAGTCATCAGACCGATGCATGTTTTTTAATGTATTATAAAATTACTTAGGGAAGATCACTTCCTATCTTCAACAAGTCATGCTTCCATACCCAAGACATACGATTTAATGTCAGATTCAAGTTATAGGTACAAAAGTTCGATTAATGACCAGTATTCCGTTCTTAATGTGCCAGAAATATTGTGGAACACATATACCTTTTAAAAGCAAAGTCAGAAATATCAGAGGAGGAAGAGAAGAACATGCTCGATTATCTATATACATCGCAGTATCAAATGCGGGGAGTTCTTGCAATATCACTTGGTAAGGATATTTTCACCGTTTAATAGCATTTTCCGACAGTTTTATTGGACGTGTCACATTGTTACCCGCTTTGTTTCTGATCTCCTCTCATTTTTTGCATTGAAATAAGTAGATTTTTCTGTACGAATTTATTTCAGAAGCGAGTTGTTGAACAAAACTGAATGAATTGCCATTTTCCACGGAAAAAAGCACTGCACGAACACTGTTAAAGTCCCAGTGGCAGGAGTGCAGAGAAGCCACTGCTCAATAGCAGATATATTTTACAATTTTCGGTTTTGGTGTGACGCCTATGCAGCTGATAAACAATGTGAAAATGGGCTCGATTTTCAAGTTTTTTCCTTGTCTCTTTTCAGGAATGTGTGATTTGATGGCAATCAACAGAAGGTTACTGCTTAACATTGAAAATTTGAGATTCTAAAACTGTGGCAAGATTGCGAGCACCCCAGTTTAAAATGAAGTTTTTACCATTTACCATTCACCATTTTTTTCCATTCCATTGTCTTCTTATTAATTTTTCTCTTGGTATTCTTTCCTTACTAGAGCAACCTTTGTCATTGCTTCAGTTGGTAGTCTTCTTTTCTCTACTTTTTTTTTTTTTTGTATCTCTTCCCATGTTTATTCACTTGGATTTTGTGCAAGGGCTTCATGTCTCTCTTTTTTTTTTCTCGTTGGTTCTTTTTATTTAGTAGTATGGGGTTCACTCTGCTTTTTTTCATTATTGACATATTCACTTTAACTCTAAATAATTATGCATACGTCACAGTTGTGTATATAAACTACCCAAAAGAATCATTCACTGGCTAGATGATCCATTGATGATAAGAGATTTGAACTACATATGCTATGATGATTTTCACTGATACACGATTTTCCTTTATGATACTGAACATGCTTATATGTGTATTTTCCATGTATAACTGATACTAAGTAAAAACTTACTGGTTATCGTATAAATAAACTTGAGGTTTAGAATGGTCTCAGAGATGACAGGTGCTCTTGCGCTGCATCCATCTCAATCATGTTCTCCATATAACAAAGCCTAATGATCGGTATATACATGTGAATGACGCAATATGGTTTATAAGTTTAACCTCATTTTACTATAAACGGGCCTACTCTGTTCGGTGTAAATTTAATTTAAATTGAATGAACAAAGCATAATTCTCTCATTTCCTAAAGTTTACCTTATGTCTCCGACATCGCAGGCCGTATTGTAGATGCAAATGCTGATGGCTTTACCCATGCAATATACATGCGCTTTCATAAGAAGGAAGATCTGAGAAACTTCTATGGAAACTCCGGCTACCTGGGAGTTCTTGACGAGTATGTGATGCCACAATGCTATGTACGCCCTAACATGTAATCACCAAGGCACCATTTCCTTTAGAAGTTTTGTCTTGTGAGTGGCATCATTCAACCCTGTTCCGCTCACTGATCCCTACGGTTTACTTTTTCTAGGATTCAATCTCAGTGGACTACGAATCGGAGGTAGAGGACGACATCCTGCCCATATTTCGGAGGGGAGAGGTCCGCCGACAGTCCTTTTGACTTTTTTCCAAAACTTTGGAATGCTCGTTCAGTGCTAAAATGCGACATTCTTTGTCGGAACAGGAATTCAACTACGGAGTTGAGTTCGTTCTTCTGTTCTCCGTCGTCGAGCACGCTCTTGATGATGCTGTGGACGATGCCGTGGCCGCCCTCCAAGCTCTCATCGACAAGTTCAGCTGGTTGATCGTGCAGGCAACCCACGGTATTTCAAAGACCCTTTTGGGTCTCGAATTCTGTATAGCTCTGATTTCTCCTCTCCGTCCCTGTCAGGTTCTAATTTCAGCCCGAGAGCCGGTGAGTACACCCACGGGGCGGTCATACGCTTCCCGTCCGGTAAGAAGAAAGAGCATCTCACCTCTTCTGTTCTCCTCCTACCCGTGTGTATATTCTCGGACTGGGCCATTGACTTGTGCAGCGGAGGCCTTGGAGAGCTTCAGGGGGTGCTCCGACTACAAGGAGGTGAGCCCATCTCGCCCTCTGCCTCCGTCCATCTCCACCGCAGAGGAGAGCTTCACTGGGTTGGGTGTTTTCATGGGCAGATGTGGAGGGGGAAACTGCAGCCGATAACAAGGAAGGCCCTCGCTGTGCATTTCGCGGTGGACCCTGTGGGCACTGACGTGATGTGAAGCGCCCGCCTCCGACACCGCCCTCGCTGTACGTCTATCATCATCCCTTCCCCTCTTTTGTCTCATTTAATTCGCCAGTAAACGATGGCAGCTTGAAGCGAAAGCTCTCCTTTACTGCTGCACCCCCTCTGTCTCCCCCCTCCCCTCCCAAGCCCAAATCCCCATGCCGAATCCCATCCAAGCCCAGATACATATAGAGAGAGGAGAGAGAGAGAGAGAGAGAGAGAGAGAGAGGGTAGAAGAAGTTGGAGGCCTCTGAGTTGGGCTCGTGATTGCTCTGATGGGGGGGTCTTTTCCTGATATTGAGAGAGAGCCGACTCTTGTGAAGTTTATAGAGATGGAGAGGGTAGAAGAGGGTGGGGTGTTTTCCTGATATTTAGGCGGTCCTCGGGAAGGGAGAGGGGTCGGCATTGGAATCAGCGATGGGAATAGTCGTTCTTGTCCCTTGGGGTGATGGAGTGGGGGGAGGGACTCGACTGCTTACGTCCGTTGCGCGTAAGTAGTCCTATCAAACTATTAAAGCCCGCAAAAAGACGCTGCCTGGGTCGCGGTCGTCACTGACCCTCGTTTCTACCTCGTCTTCCAGGTGGGGAAGTCCGGAAGGGGAAACGTACAGCCATTGCACTGCTCTAGAGATAGACAGATAGAGAGAGAGAGAGAGAGAGAGAGAGAGAGAGAGAGAGAGCTCTTCCCCCACAGTCTTTGGAGCTCCCAATTCAGAGAGAGTGAGAGAGAGAGAGGGAGTTTTTATAGTCAGTCTTTGGACTGGTAGAGATACAGAGAGCTCCTATTGACTGACTGATGGAGACGCGGACTTCGCATCTCCTGATTCCCGGTTGATAGATAGATAGATAGAGAGAGAGAGAGAGAGAGAGAGAGAGAGCATCTTCGTAGTCTTTGGAGTTCGTGATTCATAATGAATGTATATATAGAGTGAGGGGTTGAGAGAGTAAGAGAGCAGCTTCATAGTTTGTCTTGAGAGTTCTTAATCCATCACGTATGTACGTAGAACGGGCGATTGAGACTGAGTTTCTACGTAGTTAGGCTTCGAAGTGCTGAAGTCACTGCGTTTATATATATACTGAGTAAGAGAGATAAGAGAGGCAGATACCTCATAGTCTTTGGGGACTCGTCGTGCCATAATAATAGTTTGATACATAGAGTTGGGGACCTCTAGGCGTCAGGTGGAAGCGGAGGGGCAGGAGGAGGACATCATCATCCCTACGACTGACGCTCTCTCACTAGCCAACTCTGCCTGCTCCGGCCACGCAGGTCAGTTGTGGAGCGGGTTGGCGCCCTGCGGCACCCTCCTCGCCGACGCCCCATAAACCATGTTGCCGCCGCCGCCGCCGCCGGCATCCAACCGCGCCGCCGGTAACGTCTCCCCGCGCTGCCCAGTGCCCTCCAGTCGCCGCCACCTCTCCCACCGCGCCCAAACCGGTGCTTCTCCCACCACCAGCAGAAGCACGAAGAAGACGCCCCTCCAATTCATCACCTTGCAGAGGAACCCAACTGCACAAATAGAAGGCACAAAGAGAGAGAGAGAGAGAGACAGAGACAGAGACAGAGAAAGAATGGGTGTGGTGGTGGGGGTACTGTAAGGTAATATTAATACACGGTGGGGGCGGGGGGGGGAGAGAGGGGGGGCACCTCTGTGGATGGGTTGAGGGGAAGACGGCTGCGATGCCTGTCGGCAAAAGGGTTTAAGTACGCGAGATAGGTGGATGCCGTACTCTTGGTTCTCGCTGGTTTACGCCGAGAGAGGTCGGCGCCTCTCCGAAAGAGTGAAGTCGGAGTTGCTGTTGGGAGAACAAGTCATAGATAGCAGCGTGGTCAACGGGGTGGTTCCTTCAAGTTGCGGTGGGGGTCACAGGAAAGAAGGGAGTGCGGTCCCATGTGGGGTTTGGCCCACAGAAGAGCAGGGTGCATTCTAAAAGTCAACCGCATTATATGAGTTCCAAATTAATTGTATAAAAAATAGACTCCGATTATGATCCTGTTAGCTACCAGTCGAGTGCTGATGAACTTTTTTTTTTAAAATTTTGGCTCGAAGTAGAAATGATTAGATAAGATTAAAATTGATATCTTAATCTTCTATGTCTACATTTTTTGTATAATATTGCGCATTAACACACTCTGTCAATCACGGATGGCGAAAGATCTCAACATTGCCCATTAATGAGAAAAGGGTTTACAATATATTTATTATTAAACAGTCAGTATATATATATCTAGCGAGAGAGAGAGAGAGAGAGAGAGAGAGAGGGGGGGACGTCATCAATGTTTACAGCCGGAAGAGATCTCTAGAACTCATTTTTTTAAATAATTAATAATAATTATTATTAGTTGAAGCTGAGATAACACGTAAGCTGGCGAGTAAATGAGACCAAGAAAAGGGGGTAATCATATATAGACTGTTGTTTATCTATTCCGGTCAGTATGCCTGCGTTCCTGTTAAACATTCTTCCCTGGGGCCCCTGTAACAGCCCCCCTCAGAGCCGAGTTCTCAAAACCTACAGTCAACCGAAGGCTGTTCCCAGCACAAAAGCCTGCCCCCCCCCCAACCCCATCTTATTTCCTCTTAAAACAAGACAAAAAAAAGCCCAGGTGATGCGTTGGCGTTGACTCACCCGCTGACACACCAGCCGTCGAAAAACTAGCATACCGAAGTCTCCGGGATCGAAGGGGTTGATCTCAATCTCCTTCGGCCAGAACCAGTCCTCCTCGTACCCGCACCACTAAGCTGACCCTCGTCCACCGGCAGAACTAGGCGTTGACTCATCCGCAGACCTGGTTGACGCACCAGTCGTCGAAGAGCTTGCCGTGGTCTCCGAGATCGAGGGAGCTGACCTCGTCCTTGCGCCAGAACCAGTCCTCGTACCTGTACCACCTCATGAGGCCCTCGTCAACGTTCATCCTCCTGCAGCAGACGCAGAGCTGGTCGAGGCAGTAGGCGAACTCCCTCAGCCGCGACGCCTTTCCGAGAATGGCGGCGTCCAGCTCCCTCATGATCCTCTTGGAGCTGGAAGCCGGGCCCTCCACTATCAGACAGTGGGAGATGTTCAGCACCTCCAGATTCTCCATCCGATCGAGGATGAACAGCAGCGCCTCCTTGGACAGCCTCGAGCAGCGGACGCTCAGCACTTTCAGCGTGGGCAGGTTGGAGTGGATGGAGCTGGCGAAGTTCACGTCGAAGGAGCCCATGATCTTCAGCTGGCTGAAGTTCTTGCAGCTCCTGCTGATCTCCTCCATGATGTACGGAGGGTACTGGATCGTGGGCATCGTCAACGACTCCAGCTCCTCCCATCTCCTGATCGCCTGGCAGATCCCCGTCCTCGTTATCCGGTTCCACGCCGGCAGCACCAGCCGCCTCAGATGCGGGCACCTGAAGATGAACACCCTCGATCGGCCCTCAATAGAAGAACAATAAGAAGGAAAGAAAGCAAAAAAATTGGCTGTGATTATACCTATCGGCGATGTAGTTCAGGTGCTCGTCCTTCATGTACAGGTCGAAATGGAAGATCATGGAGGAGATGCTCCCGCGGCTGAGGGCCATGGCGAGCTTCAGCACCCCGGTCAGCCTCCGGTCAGACCGGTCGTCTACCCAGACGAAAGGCGAAGCCCGGGTGGGGATGAAGTTGGACTTCATCCGCCCCAGGTCGAGGATTCTCCAGAGCAGGGGATCTGCGCAGGCCAGGCGCCAGGAGCGGCAGACCTGCGATACCGGCGCCATCTCGATCATGTTGAGCTCCTTGAATATCTTCACCAGGCCGTCGATCTCCATCTCCTCCCACCTCTTCGATGCTGGACGGGCATCGGCCATCCTTGCTGCCCCTACAGCTATGCGCCAGAATCACAAGACGATGCATCGTCAGAGGTCTGCTGCTGGCCAAAATGGTTGCCACTGACATATGCTCTCGAGTATGGGAGATATACATATATGTATAGGAGTGAGAAAATGTAGAGAGAGAAACTGTGGGATCTACCTGGAGTTCCCACACTATTGATAAAAGAAAGTGAGAGGAGAGGCACTCATGTCATAGAGGGGTTCGAGAAGCATGGAATTCCGCCATTAATACATTGGATAGAGATGGTTTGCAGGAGCTTCAAGGAGGTATGGAAACTAAAGGATCATGATCTCGAGAATGCAACATCTCATCTTCTGGGAAGCAACTTCTTTTACTCATAATTTATACAGAAACGGTATTTGCTATCCGGAGAAATTTTTTTCTCCTCTTTGCATCGAGACCACTCATTTGGAAAACATCATGCGGTAACAAAAAAAAGAAAAAAAAAGAGAAAAGACAGTGTAATTAACTATTCAGGCCAAAAAAATAAAATAAAAATCTGATTTGCATTTCTAGTGACAGCACAGAATTCATCAAGACAAATGAGGGAAGTGTCCCACTAAGACATGGCTACATAGAACACAGGTTAACCTGCTATTTGAGTTTCTTTTTATTGAAAACAATCGAGAAAAGGGAGGGAAAAAAAAAGATGAACTGCACGAAAAAAGGAGACATTATCAAATCGCCCCTTGTCCAAGAACAGGAAGCAGTGATTCCGAGGTGCTGTAATATTGTCCCGTGACAGTCATATCTGGTAAGAATTAATAGGATGGCGAAGATTTACTGGCGCACCATATTGAGGAGGACAATGAAAATGAATGAAATGGAATATCCTACGAAATTTCTCCCAAGTAATATTCCTCAAGAAATATTAGCATCCAGAGATAGCTTTAGACATGAAATTCGCCCATCCACACAAAGAACAGACATAAATCTCCATCTCCCTGTAGCTACAAGGTGACCAGACACGCTAATACATGCTTTGGGACGGGTATTTTCTGTGTGAAACGTGTGGTATCTTCATTCGCCAGATTCTTTCTGGTGTGGAAATAGGTGAACATCGCGCCTCTTTCTTCATCGATTATGCATGTAATCCAACAATGGGCAAACATTCTGAATCTTCATTATTTATTCTTATGGTTTCATCCATGGAATATCTGTCCCCAGGCACAGAAATCTGGATTTTTTTTCTCACCCGCCTACCCTAAGCATTCCATTCACAGCCTCCACATCCCCAGATCACCTAATGTCAAGTAAATGATCACGATAGCCATCACACTGCCTCTTAGAGGAAGTATCCTCCAAGGCAGAGTTCTCCCCTACGGAGATTCTCTTAGATGCCACTTAACTCTTATACTTCACATGAACCACTTGACCTCCAACAGCGAGCAGAATAGCTACTCCCATTTGCTCTGATTTTCCATATTTACGAATAGAATCCTAATTTAAGCTCCGAGTTTAAAAATAGCATTGGGATTTGGCTGTACCATGAATAAGCCAAAACAAGATTTCGGTGCACGAAGTTATTTAATTTAAAACTGTTCCTTATAGATAATTTTTTCACGTTCTCTCCCTTTCTGGAATTATCGTATCAGTCAGGTCAGATAATCTATCAAATACAGATTAAATATAATGGTCGGCATCAAAATTCACCTATAGTCTGTCGTCAGAGGCCAAATCTAAAATCATTAGATGCTATACACCGAATCTCCATCTAAATCTTTCAAACATCTTGACTTCGCAATAACATTCTCTAATGGACATGTTTTTCAGAAAAGTCTGCATTATTCATGTAAGAAATAGCGTTGTATTTGGGTGATCGAGATTTTTTTTTTTAAAAACGACAATGAATAGGAAATAAACGGTTACATTGCACACAGAAACGACATAAAAGAAGTACTTTCATTAAAATAATTTAATCTTATTGTGTCATGTACCCGTGCTCACTAACGTAATGAGTCGAGGTAACCAACGTATAAATGAGGCCTATCGCATCTAATAACTTTATAGCCCCGAAAAAAAAAAGAGCAAAGCTTGATTACCGATCGATTTTCCACCACAATTATCAGTGCGATAATATCTAATATGTCTGCACTTTGCCATGTCGTTCTCTTCCGTCCCCAACTAGCGTTTCGGAAAAGTTTAATCGCCAGGGTCAATCTTTCTTCTTATACTTCCTCCTCAAAGACCATCTCATTCAAAGGACTGGCAGAAAGCCCATAAAACTCGAAGAGGAAAAGGTATCCGAGGAACAGAGACGCACACGATCTCGGACACACGAATAAATCGAACGAGAAAAAACGAATGTTGATGAAAGAATCGGAGGAAATTCAGCGTTGCTCCTCCACGGATCACTTCTCTCTCCCTTGCTTTGTCTCTGAAGGACGCCAGGACAGAGGATCTTCTCCCATCAGTAACCAAACTCCCCCTTGAGTTTTTTTTAAAAGAAAAAAATTCATAAAGCACAATTCCCAAACCCCCATGCCTCACATCCAACTATATTTTCCTTCCCTCGATCCAAAACTGTGGGGGATTTATCTCAACAGAGCAAACAATGGATGCATATCCACATCGAGAGCAAACGGAAGGCAAAAACCAGAGATCGGCACATGCAGACCTGCTGCAGAACACGGAAATTACCTTTCCACTCCGGTTGTTCCGCCTCCAGCCTTTCTTCATCCCTCCTCTCACACCCCCCCCCCCGACTCCCTCACCCTTTCCCCCTCCTATCGCCACTCTCGCAGGCAGTTTCATATCCCACTTCCTTCCCATAAATACCCTACATTTTTCGGCGTGAAAAAAAAGGCCTCGCACGGAGTTTCTGAGAGGTCATTTTCCAAAAAGGAAAGTGCATAAAAATTATATTAACTCAAATTGGGTGATTTACGAACATATTCTGCAACACCAGTCCAAACGCCGGCTCGGCCCATTGAAATCTAACATCTATGGCCCACCAATGCCCCACTTTTACTGGGCCTGGTCCGTACCTGGTGGGCCCGGGCCAGTTGGATATATATGTAACCCTTCTGGAATAAGCGAGAGAGACAGGAGAGAGTGGGATGACGTCATAATCGCGAACATATTCTTATTTTAATTTCCTAATTATAATCTAGAAATGTGTGTTAAATAACTTAAATTGAGTTATTCTCCCCCTTTCGGCCTATATCGGATCCTACTGCTGTGAAATGAAAGGCATGTTTATCGGGTACGGATAGTAGGTTCGGGCTTTGGGGGGCCCGGCCTAAACCCTAAACCCTAAACCTCGATCGTCTTCATCAGGCAAGCCCAGCAGTAGTTGAGAGCAGAGAAGTGAGCAGAAAAGGCATGTCTTGGTCCGTCGTCCTGAGAGAACGATGGAAGATTCTCTCGAAGATTTCTGCAACTCTCACGGCCGTCCGGTCCATGGGAGGGGGCCCGCGGACCTTCCCCGGAGGGCTCAACAAGTGGCAGTTCAAGCGGATGCACGAGAAGATGGCCAGGGAGAAGGAACGGAGGCTGCTAGAGCAGGAGAAGGAGGTTTATCAGGCCCGGCTCCGGTCGCAGATCAGGGTGAAAGTCGCCGGGAGGTCACCGGCACAGGGCGACGAGGAGAGCTCATCTGCGGCGGCGTACGGCCCGATGACGGCCAGTGACCACGTGAAGGCCCTCGCCGATCGCTTCACGAAAGAAGGGGCGGAGGACTTGTGGAACGAAGATGATGGTCCGCTGCGGGATGATCCCGTGCCCCGGAACCCCGCGCCTTCGCGTACTGTGCCCCCTCTCGATTTGAGGAAGATGATGTCAGATCGTTGTAAAGTGGCGGATGGCACTGCGTGGAGGTCGAGGCGACCTGTTGAGACACCGGGCCGACGAAGGCAGTACTCTTCTGATGCAGGAAGAAAATGTCGGCCTAAGCTTGGCGTCAAGTCGAAATGGTATCCAGATTCTGATTCTGATTCTGATTTGGATTCCGACTTTGGTTTAGAGGGCGACCCTGTGAAACCCTTCCAGACAGGGGGGACACGAAACCCTAAGTTTCCTAGAGTCAGTTCTGTGAATGCGGACCTGAAGGAGGAAGAAGTTGCGATTAGGGCTGAGAAGAAGAAGAAGATAATGTTAAGCGGGGCTGCTTTAATGAATCACGATAGGAAAAAAGAGAGACGGGCGCCCAAGCCCAAGGCTGTAGAGAAAGAGGACAGCTTGGACGAGGAAGTGGAGTGTATACGAGATGAGCTGGAGAAAAGGAAACGGGATTTGGCTGCCACCGTAGGGCAGGAAGTTGAGGAAGAGGCTCTTTTGACCCCGCGGAGGTAATCCCATTGTTATAGATATCGTAAATCGTTGTAAAACCTCTATTTAGGCCAGTTCTCCTGTTTCCAAGATCGTTGACTTCAAGGAGAGTGGTGATGTCTTCTAGGCCTCTTTTCATTTATTCTGGGATTCATATTAAGGTAGATAAAATCCCTCTACTTTGGAGAATCCATGAAATATTGGTTAAAATGCTCTACATTCCTGTGATATTGACCAAGGAAGTGAAAAGAGACGTTGGCAAAGTGTGAACATAGAGTCCAGGTACAGAAATGTCAGAAATCATGCAGGAATGTGATTCCAACCCTTAATGAGCATTACCCCACATTGTTTTTCTGTGATGAAACAAGTTTAAATGGTAGCAGGTTAATTATTGTACAAGCAGTTTCTCGTGTGCATAGTATTTGACCCCTTACAAGTGTGCCCATGTTATCTGTTCTCTCCACGCTTCACTTTCCACTCCTGTTGTCACCAAAGTCTCTCGTGCCCATAAATTTTGTCGATCTTTACTCGCCCATAACCAGTTTATTTACACAAATAATGTCTGCAATTCTTTCTTCTTTTTTTTTCATAGATAGTATCTTCTCTGTGGGATATTTAAGGTTTTTTTGGGATTACTTGGAAAATTTAATGCTAAAACCATTCCTTGGACTAGCTTCTAAGAAGCACCCAAAGGACTTGCCATGTTGTACCATTTGATGTAAGATAATACATACTATTTTCCATTTCCATTCGTAATATTTTTTTTCCAGTCCGGAGGATAGAATGCATTAAACGGTGTTTTTCAAAATACTAGCCTGTTAGTCATACTAATTCAATTCTTTTCACTCCAGCTCATTCTTGATTTTGTGGGGCTTAAGTATCCTATGGTAGAAACAATAGTTGAGGCAGGGTGCTAGAAGGGTTAACTAAACATCGCCAAGAGGCTTCCCCTTCCCTCAAAAACTGTTGTTACAGTAACTTTTTGCAGAGGGTATGGTACACCTATGTTAGTGCATGCATTAATTGAGCTTTGGTTGCCATGCTAGCATGCTCCCATTTTTCTTGCTTTGACGTTGCTCTCAAAAGTTGGAGTGAATCTTGTTTTGATCTTTGGTTCATATCTCTAGGTCTTATTTTATCATGGAAATTTTGAAATATCCCATCTGTATAAATGCTATGTTCCTCTGTTTTCATCTGTGCGGGCATTTTGGACTACGGCCAAGTTTTATTCCTGACAGTTTTCATATCTATCAGCCCTTGTGTGTGAGCACAGATATAATTTCCATGTGCAATAAAGTTTTCAAGATCTTGGGCCTATGGGTGGCATGCCAGCCCTGGATTGCAAAGTTTAGCCAAGCCTGTACATGGACTGGGTTTGATTTCAATCCAGACTGAATTAAATCATTCAGATTGTCTGAAACCCAAGTGAAAAAACCAAGCTTTTTTTTCAAGGAAGATATTTCCATTAATATTAAGGTCACGTGGATAAACATCACCGTATTAAAAACACAGTTTTAAACACTCTTCCATGAGGGCTTCGTGGAGATTTCAACGCTGCCAATCCCAGGGCTATTCTGGGCATTTATTTTATAAGTTCCTTGAAGGTCTCTATAAAACTTTCCATCTCCAAATGTATAGATGGGAGGATGTTCGTAGGTCATGGTATATTGATGTACAACCTGTAGATCAAGCTTTCCAATAGGAAAGTTACACTTTGCTAAATAGGGTAGGAGGGCATGGGAGAACTTACAACATTGTGCCACGTAAATTTATCATATTGCTGCAGAGTTCATTGACCACGTAAATCTGGGCAATGGAGATAAAGTTATAGATCCAAGAGACGATTATTTGATTTTAGCAATCCCCTTTGTATCATATTCAATATCCCCATTTTTCTATGTTGATGACTGATAGATTTCAGAGTTATTTTGTAGAATAAATGTTTCATCTTTAGATTGTTTGACTTTCGAATGCAGGTTTGAGGAGTACAGCATCTCTCCTTTGACAGTTAAAGCACTCACTTGTGCCGGCTATGTGCAATTGACTGTAGTGCAAGATGCTGCTCTGCAAACCTGCCTTGATGGTTTGTTGGTTAGATATTATATGGCTTACGTTTTCTTTTTTCTTTTGGAATATTTATTGTTCATATTCGTGTTTGCCTGATTCCGGGATGAAAACTGATGACAAATGGCTTGAAACTTAACTTTTTTTTTTTCGCCATTCTTTTTCTCTTTTATTGTCTATTTGTGCCTTGTAAATTGTAACAGAAGATACCTGGTCTACTTCGAGGCATAGTTGATTTATGTGATCGACTTTAGATCATTCTGAGTTGTATATATATCTCATATTATTATTCAAGGATGCAATGCCGACGAGACCTTGATGAGTGTTTGGCCAAGTAAAAGGAAACTAATCATTGTCTTGATGCTTTTACTGGGACAGGAAATGACGTGCTTGTGAAAGCAAGAACTGGCACAGGCAAGAGCATTGCATTTCTGGTATATGATCTGCAATTTTTCATTTCGTTTTATTTTTTTAAGCACTTATCTTGTCTCTTCAATGCATAAATTGAAAGAAAACAGCTTCCTGCAATTGAAGCAGTGTTAAAGGATGCGACAGTTGGTGTAAACAATCGCATCTCTCCTATACTTGCGCTCATTCTTTGTCCCACAAGAGAGCTTGCCAGTCAAGTTGCTGCTGAGGCAAATGTCTTGCTGAAGTATCACAATGGTATTGGTGTTCTGAGTCTGATTGGTGGTACACGATTCAAGGTTGACCAGCAACGCCTAGAGTCAGATCCATGCCAGGTTTGCATTTTCACCTATAAGTAATTTTGAAATGTACGTTAACTTTGGGATTTGTCACATGGATAACACCAATAAGGTGCACATAGTGTCGGAATAATTATCTCATTTAATGTCGTGTCAAAACATTGGGTCATTTGATACCAAATCAATTCGCAGTGTGCAGAGTTTCCCCATTCATATAATAGCATGGTCTCGTTTATTCCTTATAATGTTTAACTGGTCTAAGAAGAGAAAAAATCTTCAATTGATGAGTCCTATGGAATTCAAATAATATGTGCTTCTGACAGTATGCATGTTCCTTGACTGAATTAATCCCAAGGATAGATCAGTTATAGAACATTTTATGGCTGATATATGTACAATGCTCACTTTCTATGCAGATTATAGTGGCAACCCCTGGTAGACTGTTGGATCACATTGAGAATAAATCTGGTTTCTCATTGCGTCTGCTGGGATTGAAAATACTTGTCCTCGATGAAGCAGACCACTTGCTTGACCTTGGATTTAGGAAGGATATTGAGAAGATCGTTGACTGTTTGCCACGTAAGAGGCAGTCATTGTTATTTTCAGCCACGATTCCTAAGGAGGTGCAACAAATCTTTTCTTTCCCTATTTAAAAGTTACAGTCACATTATTGGGTTACAGGCCTAATATTATGGAATAGAAGAGTATTTTTGGCCTGACTGACTTAATTATACAGGTTCGTCGGATTTCACAAGTTGTATTGAAGAGGGAACACACTTTCATTGATACGGTGGGATTGAGCAGCCAGGAGACACCCCCCAAGGTATATAATGTTGGCGCACCTTTTATGTCATTGCAAATTGCTCCTGGAAACGATTGACCAGCATTACATGACTGTAAGTTGCTGTTTCATCTTCTTTCCTCGTGCTGCAAAACTAGTATGCCATAACATCTGAATGATAAGGCGATTTGATGTTTTTATGCAATCCAGGATCACAATTTTTGTATTTAATTTACTTTTAAATGACAATTATAAATTTATCTTGATGGATTTTGGTACTTATTTTCACCATCAAAATTTAGGTTTCGCAATCCTATATCATTGCACCCCATACTCTGCATTTTGAAGTGGTTCATCACCTTCTGAAAGAGCATATTATGCAAGAGGCCAACTACAAGGTGACTGTTTTTCAGTGTTATTTTTTTCACAATTACCATTATTTCGCTAGTTCCTTGACTTGGATCCTTCTTCCAACCCAGGTAATTGTCTTCTGTACAACAGCAATGGTGACTCAGCTTACGTTTGCACTTCTTCATAACTTGAAGATGAATGCCAGAGAAATGCACTCCAGGAAGCCTCAGCTCTATCGGACACGGATATCTGATGAGTTTCGCGAGAGTAAGAGGCTAATTCTTGTCACTTCAGACGTTTCATCGCGGGGAATGAATTATCCGGATGTAACATTAGTGCTGCAGGTATATTTTTGACTTGATTTATGGCTATTCTCTCCCTTTGCTGTGTCAATTCTAGATTCCGATTATGGGACAAATTTGGCTATTTCTTTTTTCTTTTAAAGGATATTTGTTGATTTTCATAGTATGCATTATGTCTCATAAGTTGGTCTTTACTCTCCTTTCCCATGTCTCATAGTTCTTGCTCCAGTTGGTGATATCCACCTCCTGCCAACGGCTAAAAATACTTAACATTTCACAGAAAACATGCTGTCGTAGTTCTATAACTGTGTTGTGCCTTTTCTCCATATCATATATATATATATATATATATATATGATATTTCCAACAGCCGAAAATCATGATTTTCGTTTTTCATAAATCTGAAAAAAGTAGTTTTGAGTTTTCCTCAAAATGACAAGACGATTGTTTTTGTTTGCGGAGGAAAACCTGTGATTCCAGTACTTGGTAAATCTCAAAAACATGAAATCGAGTTATTGAGTCAAGGAGTAAATCAGGTAATTCCTTGAAATCCAAAATTGAGTAATTCGGATATTCCTTCCAATTCGGAAATGTAGTAATTTCACTATATATATATATATATAGTAGTTTGATTATTTTTTGTGCGCAACTTGTTATTCTGGATTACTCCACCTGTAATGGCTTCGTTTTTTATGATGGGCGACTAATGGCTCAGATGGGTGTTCCTTGTGATCGTGAGCAATATATACACCGGCTGGGAAGGACTGGACGTGAAGGGAAAAATGGGAGGGGAATTATGTTGCTTGCTCCATGGGAAGAATATTTCTTGGATGAAATAAGAGAACTTCCTATTGGGAAGTTACCGATGCCTGTTCTGAATCCAGATGCAGGGGAGAAGGTCTGTAACATGCGAGGATTTTTTTTTTTGTTGCTTACAAGTAAAATTCCTATTCATTCACTTTCCCAGTCCAGATACATTCATTTCTTGATTATCCTGCTAATTTTATGGTTCTTAGTAATCATTTCGATCAGGGTTGGATTGTGGAATATGAATCTTTTGCAAGTTTTATTTGTTTGTTTGTGTTATCTTTAAATGGAGTTCATGCACGGATCATAGTCTCTGACAAAGTCACTGGGTCAGCCTGGACTGATTTCCATTCAGGGAAATAAAGAGAAGTCAACCGGGAGCTATTCAAAGATGCATTCATTACTTGATTATCCTGCTAATTTTATGGTTCTTAGTACTCATTTCGATGAGGGTTAGCTTGTGAAATATGAATCTCTTGCGAGTTTTATTTGTTTGTCTGTGTTATCTTAAAATGGAATTCATGCAAGGGTCATAGTCTCTGACCAAGGTACTTGGTCAGCCTGGACTGATTTCCATCCAGGGAAATAAAGAGAAGTCAACCGGGAGCTATTCAAAGAATTAAGGATGTTTGATAAGTAATTCTGATAGAGTGCTTCTAGTAGTTCTGATACTTTATCTGAAATTATGTGAAGATATATTTTTTTTAGGCTAGATTTTCACGACTTTCGAAAACCTGGTCTGACAGGTTTAAAGTCATGCGATGCATGAAAATCTGATTTGTGAAGTGGTTCACATGAATGCAGAAAAATCAGCTGTCCTAGAATAATCATATCTCATAGTTTCAAAGGCCTACTCTGCTAGGCTGATTGGTTACAGGCTACACAGAAATGTCCAGATGAACAGAAAACGGTCTACTACGTGGGAGTTTCAGGAGGCATACATGCTTGAATTGTTTGTGTCAAGAGCTCCTGGCATTACAGAGGCCCGATCTATGAAGAGAGTTTTCTTCTCACAGACATTTCAACACCTATTCCATCGGTACAAGTTTTCAGCTGAGAAGTCGAATAGTGAACGGTCTATGGCTAAAAGCGGTCGAAAATTTTCCAAGAGGATTAGTTATTTTCTAATAAGGGAAAAAAAAGGATTTTTACAGCACAGAACATACTCGGAATATTTTTTCATCTGAAAGTGACCTTTTAAAAAATATAAAAAAACATGTTTTTATCAGCTATATTCAATGCTGATCAGTTATTGTATGAAGATACCTCGTGGTCAACGCCTGCTTCTTTTGCCACTTCCTGGGAATCTTCAGTTTGAATACTTTTCCTTTTCTGGTATGATCAAATGTTGTCACCCCTTTTGATCTTGGTTTCCCCCATTGTTCCTCTCTGTTGCCAAGTCAAACATTGCAATACTTCAGGTCCTTGTTTCAGTTCCATTAATCTTATCTCCATTTGCCATGTTAATGACTGATACTCTCCCTCTCTCTCAGGTTGCAGAGTCAATGGGGAAGGTTGACATGAGCATCAAAGAGGCAGCGTATCACGCATGGCTTGGGTACTACAACTCAATCAGTCAAACAGGGAGAGATAAAACCACTCTGGTTGAGCTGGCAAACCGGTTTTCTTCTTCCATGGGCTTGCAGTGCCCACCAGCGCTTTTTAGGAGGACGGCGTTAAAGATGGGCCTGAAGGACATCCCTGGCATCAGAGTTAGGAACTCCTGAGTCAACCCCCCCGCCCCCTCTTCTTCCATTTCGCTTATGGTCAACCCACCAATGCTGATGAAATGAAGTGCGGGCAATTGACCACTGAATGATCAGATGCCTCTGATTGTCATGTATAGGGGAAATCCTTGCCAATTACTGTTCTAGTCTATACAAATTTTGTTCAGATATGGTGATATTTTCTGCAAAATGGGTATTATCTGTCTGGGAGTCAAAAACTTAAATCAGTGACAAAATGGATGAAGGACACGATGCAGAAAGATCATACTTGCTCGAAGAGATTACACTACTTCACATCTAGCATCCTTTCCCATTCCAGTGAGAGGTTAACTTTTTTTTTCCAAATATGGGAAAGAGTAGCGCTGACTTGTTTCCAAAAAGAGCAAGAAAAAAAGAAAAGGTACAGAGCAGATTGACCGATCTCAGACTTTTCCTGACCGCCTTCTGGCAGCACTTCTCCTCGCACAGCATCCGACCAAGTACACAGTCAGCTGTCACCAAAACAAGCCAATGAACAACCAAGGCAGCCCGCCAGTGAATTAACTAATCAGCTACTACATAGTTCTCATTCAAAAGAACAATATCGCATTATATGCTAATATTGGTAAGATGCAAATATATACATAGATCATAAATTGTTCAGGGTGAAAATATGAAGAAAAGGAAAATTAATCCTACACCCATTGAGGCCCAATGGTGGGCAGCTTAGCCAGAAAAATGTACGATTGGAAATTAGCAGATTTTTTTCATAATTTCTGTAATTTGTTTGAACTGATAAGATTAGCGAGTGGGTAACAATTTTTTTGTCTTACCATGTAAAGGAAGGCTAGAAACTCACCAGAATAACAAAAAGAACTAGGTTGAAGATGGCCACCACTCTCCACTCTGTTTTCATAAGCTGTGCGACACCAGCCCTGCAAGAAATAGTGGTCAGCATCTTTAAGAGAAAAAGCTGAAAAATCAGAGATTTCTAGGCAGAAGCACTTTCTTGCAAGAATCACAACTGTAGCATCTCACAGTACGTGAGTTTTTATAAAGCTTGCAGTCTTCCTTGGAGGTTGCTGGATGAAAGCTCAGATCATAGAAGGATGCATTTATGGCTGGGTAACCGCATCTGATAATGTTGGAGAATCAAAGATCAGCGTTAGGACAAATCGAAATAATATAATTGTAAATCCAATTTTGGGAAAAACGGCATTATCCAGAGCCCCAGATAAACGGCATGGAAGAGAGGAACAGGTGCCTACACAGATGGTGGTCGGCAGCAGCCAGCTTCAATTGGGGTCAGTTCAGCCACTTTATACTCCTTCAGAGTCTGTCAAAGGCATACATAAGTAATACAAATCTGGTAGCAAGCAAAAGCTGGGCGAAATCAGACCAAGAATCAGACCTTGTATTTCTTGTGAAGTCTATCGCAGTCATCAGACTTCACTAGACAACTTTTTAACCGTCTCCAATTTTCGGCATCATTCAGCTAAGTTAAGATCCAACCGTGTAGCTCAATGAGATGGGAGCAAAAGGCAGAATCCAAGTGGCAGTTAGATGTCTCACTTGTTTTTGGAACCAGGAACTGTAATCTTCAAGATGGTACTCCTTGTACCTAATCACAAATTTTCAGAGTTTGCAGCCATGAGTGCATCTCCAGTTTTCTTTCACTAAACTCGAGATAGTTGTCATCGATAGTCACTCCAGAGGAAAACATTTCTCATAAACAGTTATAAGCACAAACATGAACTAGAAGGCACTATAAATGTGGTTCTTTTCTTGGATAGTAACCAACTCCATACTTTTCAAAGTTAAGGGACATGTTCTTGCCGGGATAACTGTAAAAAAACATCTTGAAGTGCATATTAAAGACACTCAAAACACCGATTCTGAATTCATGATAACAATGGAAATATTCTCACACAGTAATAATGCTATTTACATTACCTGAATATGGGTCAATAAAGCTGGTTGAATATAAGTATGCAAAACTTTCACATCAAAGGAATGCTATTGTTTTACTGACGTTTCTCATTGTTGTTTTCCCTACTTCGGTTCGTAACTCCTTCGTACAGCCCTGTATTTTTATTGATGAACGACTGGATGCCTTTGGAAGAAAGCACTCGGAAGAGAAGTGACAAGCAGGATGGGCAAAGCGCACCATCTATTTACGAGTACAAGAGAGGCCAATGATACCTGGCATAAAAACATTGCCTGTACATCCGTTTGAATTTTCCACTAACAAAACCTTAACCTAAGATGCAGGTATTGTCATTTATGTACCTAATAAATCTAGAATTCGAGCCGAGTTTCAGTACAAATAAGCTCTCATGGAGCGTGAACCCCAGACACTCTTGAACCATAATTCTATAATGATTAATCAGTATTTCACCATATTGATGCATTAATTGAATTTAGAATTATGTCAAAGTAACACGGAGGATAGGCTGGGTCTCCACCTGTGTCAAAACCAGGGCATTTGGCATTTGGCACACCGAGTTAGTATATGAACTGAACTTGAAGCTCCAGGGCTCGTTTTAATTGAAAGATTAAAAACCAATGGAAAAGAAGACTTTGATGATCAGGGTGTCTATGTTGTTATTTCGTTTTATCAAATAGTACATGAATAAATTTCAAATAAAATTCTATTCCTGATTTGACGTTGTTCGAACCCCTACGAAACAGAAGAGCTCTCGTCCTATCCACTTTATGGGTGACGAGAGAAAGATTCACAATTTGACCAATCTGTACCTTGGCAGCCTTCACAATATGAACAGAAACTATTCATGTGTGATAATGGGACTTTGTTAAAGAGAATCACCTCAGTCCAGCTACAGCGTGACCTGATGCGCCATTTGTTATGACAAATCTACAAAACGAAATGGAAGCATGAGGCTAGAAAAATGAGTTAAAACTAGTCATATTGAAAATCTCAAACCTCTTTGCATGATTCAGCCCATTATGACGAGTGCAAATTAATTCAACTGAAGGATGGCAAGTTTTGGGATCTATCAAAACGTAAACCATATCTATCAACTAAACACAACATTGTGAAGGAACAATCTCAGCAATAAGTAAACCATATCGTCTATAGTAATTTTTCAACAATGTAGGGGAGGGTAGGCTACATAGAGATTGTGAGGCATTAGTTTCAATTAAATTGAACAGGATGATGCATCTCAATGATTGCTATATGTTTCTCCTTTTGCATAAAATAATGGAACATCAACAAGAGCCCAAACTGGCTACCAGCTCTGTAAACTTGCACTCCGATGACTTTTCAAAGACCTCTTTATACACCTCTATGTAAAAGGAAAATAGAAGGATAGCACACACATCTTTCTGTAGATATAATGAAAGCTGGATAGAATAAGCTAGAACGAATTTATGGGCCAAAATAGGAAGGTAACTAAATGATGGAAGATAACCTGTCCGAAGATAGAATAGCACGTTCCAGTACTCAAGTTCAAGATATAGATCAAGGAAATAAGTAACAGCTAAATTTTACATTGCTGACAAAACATCTTATTCTATCCAACTTTCATTATATCTACAGAAAGATGTGTGTGCTACCCTTCTATTTTCCTTTTACATTGAGGTGTATAAAAAGGTCTTTGAAAAGTCTTTTGGAGTGCAAATTTACAAAACCGGTGACCAGTTTGGGCTCTTGCTGATGTTCCATTATTTTATGCAAAAGGAGAAACATAATAGCAATGATTGAGAAACATAATAAACCCTATGGAAGTCACACCATCTTTCTCACGCTTTGTTCTCCACCTGAGAGCTCCTCTATGTCTAGTGCTTCCCACACAAGTAGATCTCCTAGTCTCCTCTTGTTATTCGTGCTCCTTATTGTTCCTCCTCCATAGTTCCACCCTCTCTGTCCTCCCCTGGGACTAATGGTTAAAGACGTGATCTTCTTCTTACCATTTATCTCAGAGGTCTCTTTTCTTGAAGCATCATCTGATGCCAGCATCAAATGAGCATAGAAAGGATAGTCCATGCCCATGGATGCTGGTTGAGAGAAGAAAGTTCAAGATAAAAGTCATTCTATTTTTAGCAAGGTCCAACTAAGAAATAAACACAAATTACACTTACGCCAGTACTGTGAAGACCAGAATCGCTAACAAGATGATGCACAGCATTCCCAGATAATGAGGTTGCACTGTCAAGGCTAAATCAAATTCTTTTACTGCCAGGTGGTAAAAAAAAACAATGCAAGAATCAAGAAGCCAACACAAGAGGGATACAATCCACAGCAATATGGTGATATCCTTGAGTGCGCCTAGAAACCCAATGAAGGACCTGAACATAGAAACAATGGCACCAGTAAAGAGAGGAAAATAACGATAAAAAGAAATACAGAAACGAAGAAAGGAAAAGCGGAAAGAATACAAACTTACACGAGAAGGATTAGAGCACCAAGTGCCAGAACAGGAAGGGCGAGGGACTTCCTACAATCATCGTGGTGGGTGCTCATCCACACACCAAAGCCGATAACAGCTCCTGCTAATAGCTGAAGGATGGAGAAACGTAAACGGAAATAAGATTGAGATAGAAACGGCTCAAGTTCTTTCCAGAAGCGGAATTTTCCATGAAGCAGATGAAAAAAAATTCCCATACTCTTGACCGGTATGATCTAAGATTCCCAATCCATAAATTAACTGGGCACTGAAGGCCTCGTTCATGGCGATGCAGGATGTCAATGGACAGAAAGAACGCATATAATCCCAAAGATACGAGGGGATTGTGGAGTTACAGAAAAAAGAAACCATCTACGGGAAGCGTAGCTTTAAAAAATAGAACACTGACGAATTGCATACGGAAGGTGGTGGCAGCGGGGTAGTGTATAAATGTATATCGAATAAAACATCCGGAATGAAATCAAAAGCAGTGTTTAGACGCAAACCATGGTGAGAAAGTTGATCCATCTTATCACGAACGTGCTCGTTCCCATCCCCATATCCACTGCCTACTCCCTTCCTCTCAGGTTCAGAAGAGAGACAACTAAAACGCTAGAGAAAGAGGGGAGCGTCCAAGCTTCCACAACCAGCGCGAGTTACAGCCTGCACCACAATGCTCCCGATCATCACCGGCCGGATCGCCGCCGGCGAACCTCGCTCCGCCGCAGCAGCCCTCGACTTCGTCTCACCGGAGAAGAGGTGGCGCACTAACACCTCCAAAATGGCAGCTTTCCTCATTTTGGGCCGACTGGACGAGAACTGGGCTGAGAGCCGCCCAATAAGCTTCCTACTCCCATCTGATCAGATTTAAAATCAACGGTGATCGGTGAACGGAAAAAATACCAGATGGGCATTAATTTGGGAACAGATCTGGCCCAATCCGATCCCAATGAATCCTGTCCGACCGATCAGTGCTCCTGGTTCAACGGTCAGATGTCTCGCATCGGTTTTCTATCGCGAGAGGAAAGTCTTCCGTCACTGTGTGATGAAATGCGGGGGTAGATCCTGTTCAGTCGCACTCTCCTTCCTCCCGCTTCACGACGCCCTAGAGGAGATCAGAGGCTACGTGGGGGAAGACGACGGAGGAAGCTCCGATTGCCTCTCCAGGCGGGACCAGTAGGGGCCATGTCAGGAGTATTCCCATCTCTCGGTGTTTTTTTCCTCGCTCTCGGAACGACCTCCTCCGATCGCCTCGCAGAAGATAGGCGCCCTTTGTTCTGAATTCCTCTCGCTGACGGCGGACCCATCCCCCTTCGTTCGATCCGTGTCAGATCTCGCGTATCTTGCCGCCGCCGTTACGTCGGATTGGGGATCCAAAGGTTTCTTGAAGAAACCCTGGTGTCTTTTGTTGATTCTGTACCATTATAGTTCGATCCAATCCCTAGTTTCTGATCGCAACATTTTGTAGTGTGGGGTAACTTAGCTTTTTTCGTTTCTTCTTTTTTTCCTTAGTCTCCCTCTTCTGACCGGATATTATTTGTTCCGGCGTTAGAGGGTTGATCGGCATTTACTTTCCTTACCTTGGAATATTAAGTTGTTTCGACTGGGGTTGTAATGAATCCTCGGGGAAGATATCCTCCCGGAATGGGGAACGGTCGAGGATATGCTAGTGCAAACCCTAATTTTTATCCTAGAAACCCTCATCAGCCGCAGCAGCAACCGCAGTACGTGCAGCGCGGTACTCCCCAGAACCAGCAGGGACAACAGTATGAACAGCAAAGACAGCATTATCAACAGCCACTGCAACAGCAGCAACTACAGCAACAGCAGCAGCAACAACAACAACAACAACAATGGCTAAGGAGGAACCAGATGGGAACTGATTCTGGTGTAAACAACGCCGGGAAGTTAGTGCAAGCGGATGCTAGCGTAGACTCCAGGTATGGCCTGCTTATTACTTTTACTGAGGTGACTTAGATGAAAAAGGAAATAGTTGATTGCAGGTTTTTCGTTGGAGCATTATCTCCGGTATTAGCGATCTTTTGGGGGGGGCAAAATAATTTAGAGACCATTCAGTCTTCTTAAGAGTATTATCCCTGTGGTTTGAAAGAAGCGGCGCTAGTCTTAGGAGATGAAAGTGGGGACTTGATTTAGAGTTCCTGGAAAATTAGCCACTCTTCGCTATTTATTAAAAAACTTTCTTCATAGTGCTGATTTAGTAAAGAGCTTCACAAGGGACTCCGGCTTGCATTTATTTTTCTATCTGGTGCATGCATCATCCACATCCCATGTTCCCTGCTTCCCTCGTCACTGATTGTTCAGTGTTATCCTGTGCGGTTTGTCTTTTTGAATACGAGATGCCAGTTTCCTTGGTAAAGCTAACCATTACTTCCCGTGGCCTTTTCACGTACGGGTAAGGTTGATGTTTTTCATCCTCACGTCATTATTTTAGTATTCAGCTGCCCTGCACAATGAAGTTCAATAGAAGTGGGCTGTTTTTAGACATGCCCATTAGTTTTCTCCTTTATAACCTAGTACAGCAGGCAAAATATTGTTGGAGGACCAATTATAGGACATTGCCCTTACAATCCAGTTTGAGGATGTTCTACCTAACTGTAGCTGCGGGAACGGAGTATACATGAAGGATTAAGGGTATGGTGTCTCTATTAGGATAAATAATAAGATTATGTTATTCGTTGCAACATATAGCGCAGCAATTAGTTGGATATGCATGTGATCTCTACAAGCTTAGCGAGTTAATGGTAATAGCCGTTTCTACGGTTGTAAACGATAAGTGGGGAGATCTACTTTAACCAAAATGAAAATTATGATTATTTTATCTTTCTAAACTTACTTTTCTAAGATGACTAGCCTGGATGACATTTTTTTGCCATCTTTCAAAAAAAATTACGATTTCTTGGGAAGAAGAAAAGTGCTGGATTTTTATGCCATTTCATGCTTAAATGTGCATCTTGTTTTGGGAAGCTGTCTCGTGGGAGTTGAACATTTTTTGTCAAACAGCGGAAAATTCAATACCCTCCCTTGCCCATTAGTCTAGTTGACTTTTAGTATAACAAATGGGAGGTCTGTATCATGCTTACAGTTCCAACCTGTTCGTACACCCTGTAGGTGGTCTCTGGATCCTAATTCCATGTTGGATGAATTAGTTGGACGATGAGGATGCTATCACTTATGCTAGTGACTGATATATGCATATCTATGTCAATGAATACGTATACATATGCTGGTCATGGTTAATACCGGATAAACATTCAGTATTAAAGAGATTATTTGCAAGTGTGAGCCAAAAATGCTTACAAAAAACCCATATTAGACAGGCAGCAAAAAAACCGCCACCCAATGACGATTTGCCGACTTCAGGGATCTCATTCATTCACTTGTATTTATCTTCTAGAGTTTTGTCCCCGATTTTACCAGCATGATGATGACTATGTGGTCACTGAACATTTTTACTGCCAATTGTAACTAATACTGTGTCTTCAGTTAACATACTTTTCTTTTTCGTGGATCAGTTCTCAAGATTGGAAGGCCAAATTAAATATACCACCACCAGACTCACGGTACAGGACAGAGGTGTGGAGAAAATACCAATTTAATTTACCGAACTGAAAAAAGTATTTTTGTGTGGCCACATTAATTGTATGGCCACCTGATTCAAGTTTTTTTTCTTAATTAGCACTCTCCATTCCTTCTTGGAAACTTGCACGAAGGTTCTGTATTTAATTAAGCAAATACTCCTTGTGATAAAATGTATGTTTGTTGCACTGCTATTGCATGCATTTTGGCCTTGGCGTAGTACTTCTCTGGTAGTAGTGCACGTGAATTTTCTGATATAGTTTACCGCATAAGCGTATTTTCTGATGTAGGTAACATAAAAAATATATTCAAATGATTTTTTAGTTGATGATTGAATTCATTTTTATTATTTTATTTCGTTTTATACGTAATCCCAATAATTTCTACCTCTCATTTCGAATCTCACATCCAAGCATCCCCATTTTCCCAAACCTTGGTCAGTGTTGATGTTTCTGTTGTTATTTTAAATGATTGATGGCCATTATTCTGTTAGAACTGTTGGACATAGAATACCTGGTTGGTCCACATTCTCTTCCATCCGTTTTTACCCTTTCGGCTGTATCTGACATTCTCAACATTAAGTACAGACGAAGAACTCATTTGTAGATAGTGGAAAGAATAAATCTACGTGGTTCCCTTGTTTGTTAAAAAGCGTTGCTCTTTGGGATTGCTAATGTTTTTACTGGTGAATCATAGAGGCTATGAATTCCTTAGTGTGTAGAAAAATATGTACAAGCGTAGTGTTTCCTTCATATAGCCCTTGTATTCCTACACAGGCAGTTTCTTGGTCTGGGTCAAGTCATGAGTGTTTTACCATAAATGTCCTACGTTAGAAAACAGTTCAGTGCAATGAACATATAAAAATCTTGATGTGGCATTCAGTTAATCATTCCATAGAAAAGCCAATCATTTTGGTTCAAAGATGACCGACTCACCTTTGATAAGAAGTGAATACAGTTTAAGAACGTATGAGAAATGTACATTTCTAAATCGAGATAAAAAAATGTTTACAACATAGTGTTTCCTTATGATAGCTCCTGTAGATTCCTACTCAAGACTGGTTTTTAATCATTTTTAAGCATTTTCTTATCTATGGAGCACATTAGCTACGATCAGGCGTAGATCTTATTAATCGTTTGATCCGAATATCAGTTTAACATTGCCATTGAAGAGCCAACGGTTTGGTCTTACAGCTCTTGGCCACTTTTGATGAGATTGCATTATTTTGATAAATCCCAAGACTAGTAAGAACAGATAAGGCCAAGCTTATGGGTTTGTTTGTATTGCTGATAGATAGTTTCCCTATCTGCCAGATTTTAGCTTATCCTGTAAGATGCATATTTCTGCGAAGTACTTGATCTGAGTTTTATATTTGGGCTTTGTCATTATTGCATTTTGGCGGCCATTTTAAAATATGTAATGTTTGTTTTCTTGTCAGTGTTTTTTGTTGAACCCGATCTACTTTTATAAATGCCTGCTGTCCAGTGTCCTGCTTTTTCCATGTTGAATATACAGTATGCTTCTATGCCTTCTGTCTTGGAATATCTATGTCAAACTGAATCTAACAGAACGATTTAGAGATTCTTGAAAATTATATAATGAAAACTTGTTATCTTAGTTTTTTAAGTTCCAATCAGTCCACTATCACACATGCGTTTCGTCCAATGTTTGTCTTGGGATGCAGACGAGTAATATTTTTCAATTTCTCTTAGGATGTGACTGCTACGAAGGGGAATGAATTTGAGGACTATTTTTTGAAGAGGGAGTTGCTGATGGGTATATATGAGAAAGGATTTGAAAAGCCTTCTCCAATTCAGGAAGAAAGTATTCCGGTTGCTTTAACTGGGTGTGACATTCTCGCTAGAGCTAAAAATGGGACTGGAAAGACGGCTGCCTTTTGCATTCCTGCTTTGGAAAAGATTGATCCCGATAATAATGTCATTCAAGGTTCGTTTTGCTCTCTCTTCAAGCTATTGAGCTTTTAGTTGTGTTTTTGGCACAACTAAAGATAACCAATGCCGGCAACTATAATGATGGCCATAGTTACTAAGTCATTACTCTGACATATGAATCACCGGCATACGTAGTAGCATTTCGATTACTGATGGAGTATTCAGTCAGTGGTTTGGGTGAGGTGAATGATTGGCTTGAAGCTCGTACCTCAGAATCTTCTTTTCTTGTCTGAATGACTGGTTTTCTTCATATCTCTCATTTTATGTTAAATTTTATTTTGGGTATGTGTAAATTATGTGGTTATTCCTCTGAATGCAGTCGTCATATTGGTTCCCACGCGAGAACTAGCACTTCAAACATCACAGGTTTGTAAGGAACTTGGGAAGCATTTGAAGATTCAGGTCATGGCAACCACTGGAGGTACCAGTCTGAAAGATGACATAATGCGCTTGTACCAGCCAGTGCATTTATTAGTCGGAACACCTGGGCGAATACTAGATCTCGCTAAAAAAGGTGTTTGCATCTTGAAGGATTGTTCAATGCTGATTATGGATGAGGTAATGGGAAAAATAAGTCACGTCCATTATGCACAATGCCAAATCCTTCAAGACTAATTCACTTACAAAAGTAATTCGCAACGCATTCTGAAGGATTATGCATGCGAATATTTGATTTTTTTCTCTCTAAAACCTCTGATAAGTATCTATTTGAGTAAGTTTTAGTTTGTGCATGCCTGGAAATGGGTATTCTTATATCTTTCATCTTTAAAAAAAAAAATCTTCAACAAAATCATGCTATGACAAATGTGATGGTTAAAACGAGGAGAGATTCCCTTTTGTATAAGAACACACCGAAAGTTGGTTTTCAACTTCAATATCTATATCCCTGTAAGTATTTGAAGATTTCAATATACAGCATTTCAAAATCAAATCACTTGTTATGATTTCTGGGTGGGCACGCACATTTTTGTTTCTGTTATACTTTTCATTTGTAGCATTGTATTTGAGATTTCATTTCTGATTCTGACATCCTAAACTTTTCCGCATTACAAAAAAAATCGAAACACTTGCACATTATGATTTAGGAATTCTGCCAAATGGGGAAATTATCATATCCTTTATTCATTCATAATTTCTAGAATCAGGTCTCCTAATTTTTTTGTTAACATTCATTCCTGATGTATTATGTTTTTTTTTTATTCTTTCAGGCCGACAAGCTTTTGTCTCCAGAGTTTCAACCTTCTATTGAGCACCTCATTAGTTTCCTTCCGGGAAATCGGCAGATATTACTATTCTCAGCAACATTTCCTGTAACCGTGAAAGATTTCAAAGATAAATATCTGCCAAAACCCTATATAATTAATCTTATGGATGAACTTACACTCAAGGGTATAACACAGTACTATGCATTTGTCGAAGAGAGGCAGAAAGTCCACTGCTTGAATACCCTTTTCTCTAAGGTCTCTTGGCGAACATGAATGCCTCTTCCTCTTTCATATTATTATTATTATTATTATTATTATTATTATTATTATTATTATTATTATTATTATTATTATTATTATTATTATTATTATTATTATTATTATTATCATTATCATTATCATTATCATTATTATCATTATTATTTTCATATCTCATCTTTATTTTGTATCGTCTGTTTTTCTGCAGCTTCAAATCAACCAGTCTATAATATTCTGCAACTCTGTAAACCGGGTAGAATTGCTGGCAAGGAAGATCACTGAACTCGGTTATTCGTGCTTCTATATTCATGCAAAGATGCTGCAAGACCATCGTAACCGAGTTTTCCATGATTTTCGTAATGGCGCATGCAGGAATCTTGTTTGCACAGGTAACTTCTTTTCTTTCAAGCAATCATTCAGTCTTCTGCATGCTAGTCGTTTCTTGCCATATTTCATGACGTGGACCTCAGATCGTTGACTTTGTCTCGGGGCCCAACCTTTAGAAAACATGCTTCAACTTGTGCCATGATTTTTCTTCATTCAGTTAAATCTAATTGATATCTTGGCTATTGAATTTCCTCGTAACGTTGGAGAGATCCCACGCATCGTTTCTTGCATTCACTGGGTTGACTTTTTCGAATAAAAATGGGCAAGCAGAATTGACTCAGATACCTCTGCATTCTGCATGGTGCTTCTTTTTAGATTTGTTCACCAGGGGAATTGACATCCAAGCAGTCAACGTTGTCATCAACTTTGACTTTCCCAAGAACTCTGAGACATACTTGCATCGGGTACGCGCATCGGATTCTACTATGTATTAGAAAAATAAATTCAAAATAAATGCAGCAATAGGAGGGCTTGGCTGTATTTATAAATAATTGCGTAATATTTACAGGTCGGCCGTTCGGGGAGATTTGGCCACCTCGGTCTGGCGGTTAATCTGATCACCTACGAGGATCGCTTCAACCTGTACGTGCTGCCCCCACCGCGCGATTCCTCCTCGCTGACTTTTTTTGTTCGGTCTTCTAAAAGTCGTGATATGGGTTTCCCTTGGACAGGCATAGGATCGAGCAAGAGCTGGGAACTGAGATAAAGCCAATCCCACCGCAGATTGACAGGGCTATCTACTGCCAGTGACTGTAGGAAATTTCGTGAGATGCTCGATCGTGCATGTAGCTCTACCCCGCCAGCTGTACATACAAACTTACAAGTAAGACGTCGTAGTATGACTCTCCCTCTCCCTCTCTCTCTCTATCTCTATGTCCTTGCTCTCTCAGAAAGCAATGGGAGGTATAGGGGCCTTAAGCCCAAGCGGTGAGGTCGTCACTCCGATGCGACGGTTGACTTTGTAAACCTTTATGTGGGTCGTACTATGATTCTCTCTCTCTCTCCCCCCGTGTACTTGCTCTCAGGGAGAGATGGGAGGTAGGGAGGCCTTAAGCCCAAGTGGGTGAGGCCGTCAGTCCGATGCGATGGTTGACTTGGTAAACCTCATGTGAGTCGTAGTATGATTCTCTCTCTCTCTCTCTACCCACCCCCTCTGTTTGTGTGTATGCTTTTAAGTGTATGAGTAAGTGGGTACGTCAGATATGATAAGAACTGGCGGTATAAGGCTCGTCCTCATTGACTTTTATCGTATGATTTAATTGATCATAGATGTATATTAATCGCGACTAACGTTATCTATTACTTTGCCGCTTCTCAGGATTACCTGGCAGCCGAGGGGAACGCGGCGGCATTATCATCTCACGCGATGACGAGGTATCCACCACCACCACCACCACCCCACACGGAGGTGGTTTCCCCATTGAGCCTCCCCCTGCTGATGACACTTTGACTCTCATGGGCATTTCCGCGCGCTGACTACTTACTCTACGCTCTCTCTCTCCCTCCCTTCCGTAGTAGCTAGACTCTTTGACTGCTTTTGACCTTTCTGATCCTCCCCCCCAACCGAAGGGGAGTGAGAAGACGGCTGGTAGATCGATCTAGGTTGACCTCCCGACGCCGCCGATACTCAGTCAATGTGTGTTCTTTGTTGTGGACTTGTTAGTGGAGTCTAAATAACTCGCCCCTTCCCCCTCTCCCCTTTTTCTCCTTGTTCTTGTGATATTTATAGTAAATTAATAGGGCTAGTATTAGTAATGCTAGTGAGATTGATTATATTTTATTACTAGTTGTTCGGGAGTTAGTTTATTTATGGAGGAAGAAACCAGACCCTGTGGGTTTTCCGCCACCAGCGCCGTCGCCTACTCCTCTGCCGATGGAATCTCTTTCTCTCTCTAGCTATCCCTTTGAGAGGGCAACATGATTTCTCTGGTGGCAGCATTGATTGGCGAGGAGAGAGAGGGGTCGGAGAGGTATCCCCAGCAATTAAGGCTCGTCTCCTTCGCTGAGATTGGTCATTCAGAGGAGAGAAGACGTTCCTTCTCTCTCTCTCTCTCTTCAATCTTCGTCTTCATCCATGTTTGAAATTCTCATGGGTGGGTTGGACCTTTTCTTTCGATTAAACGAATCCACACGGTGAAGAAATCACATGTTTTCATACAAGCCCAGCACGATTTACAGCCGAAAGTCAACCACAGATGATGATTTGCGATGTCATCGGGAGCACACAGCGAACGAGGGTACGAGCATAGACAACCCCATTTACAGAGATAAATAGAGAGAGAGGAAGAGGGAGCTCTTCAGCCCCCGAAGCAGCCAAGGGTTTTCTTGGGGATGAAGCCCTTGATACGGTGCTTGGCGGCCAACTCTTCCACCTTGAGCAGGTCCTCCCCCTTCTTGGCCTCCAACATCGCCCTCTTCTCCTCCGCAGTCTTGTGGATGGCGGCCACCTTGTTCTTCTTCTTCTCCGCGTACTCCGCTTTCTTCTTCTCCAGCGATTCCTTTCCAAGCATCATGGAATCCGATTTTACCAGACAATTCTCCACAATCTATGCTTACAAGGGTATTATTGGAGGAGGAATGTCAACGCCCCAGGCCTATCGGGACGTCTCTGGGTCAAACGCATATGAAGCCTTCCTTTCACGCAGAGAGAACGAGAGAGAGAGGAGCTGATCATGGGGGGCATGAAGGGATTTCTAGATGAAGCAAGTCCAGTCTGTCTTCCTCGTAATTGTATGAAAATAAGATACTTTCTAATTTAGGTATATTTCTCAAGGTTCCTCACCTCCACCTTCGTCAACTCAGCCTCTACGCTCGCCTTCTTCGTCTTCTCCCAGGAGCTCACAGCTGATAGCTTCTTCTGTGCCCTGTCGCATCCCTCAAAAATTCCTCAGATAGAGATAGAGATAAATAGATAGACAGATAGAGATAGAGAGAGGTAGGGAGAGATAGATAAATAGATAGAGATAGAGAGCGGTAGAGAGAGAGATATAGATAGATAGATAGAGATAGAGAGAGGTAGAGAGAGGTAGAGAGAGAGAGAGAGAGAGAGAGAGAGACTGACCAATTCTCGACCTTGGCCTTCTCATTCTCCTCCCAGGCCTTGAGGAGGGACTCCTTCTTCTCGGTTTCAACACGAGCAAGAACGGCATCTGGAGACCCGAAAATCGAGGACCGTTTATGTACTCGAAATCGAACACGAAAAATGCGGCCGCAGGTGAAAATTTTCTGCTCTCACCTCTGTTGATGGATCCCGAGCCCTTCTCCACCGGGGAATCCGCAACCTCTGAGACGAGATGAACGTTATTCGATCTCATTTCATGAAATATATTCACGCAGGATCGCCGATTAAAGCTCCTGCCAATCTACGACCACAATTATATCTTTTTAGAGAGAGAAAGGACCCTACTCTCGACGAGGACGAGGGCCTTGGAGTCGTCAGTCTTCTCCTCGGGGGCCGGCGGGTCCACCGCCTTCACCACGGCGGCATCCTCTGGCGGCGCCGCCTCTGCTTTCTCAGGCTCTCCTCCCATCCCCGCTCTGAAACCGACGTGAAGAACTCCACAAGAGCCCTAAAGAGAGGAAGGAAGGAAGGAAGAGAGAGAGAAGCGGGATCCTATTTTATGGGGATGAAGAAGAAGAGATGGACGTCTGTGGAGGTGACTGGGGAGACAAATCCGGCGGTGGGTGGCGTCTGCGCTGGCCACGTGAGCATGGAAGAGCTGTCGTCACCTTTACTGGAGACAAGGGCAACGAGAATGGGACTGTTTGGCGGCAGCCCATCTCGAGTTTTCACGGTGGCCGTCGCCGGCAGCGGTAGAAGAAACCCTACAACCCCATGTGAGTTCCAGATAGGGCGACGGCCACACCATGGCCCGCTGCCGTCGAACCAGTAGGTCACCGGCATTTAACTTAATTCCCCTCCTTCTATCCCTCTGATCGCCGGATTTTGCCACGGTAAGAACCAAGATCGTCAGCGATCGCCGGTGATGGCGACGCAGCGGTCACAACCCCACCGTTTCTCCGGCGGCGGCGGCGGCGGCGGCGATGAAGTTGAAGACATTGGAAGCTGCCGACAGCAGCTCCGTCGTAGTTTAACCCTCGGTGACCGCAGCATCAAATGAAGATAACAGCGTCGTGATCTCCGCTCTACTATTCCTACAGTCAGCGATGATGCCATTACTCTGTCTCTGTCTCTGTCTCTCTCTCTCTACGTTTATCTCCCTAGATCTCTCCCTCTGACGGGAGGAGGATGCTGCAACGGTTGAATTCTGAGAAATATCAGTTGGACCGGGGCATTCTTATCCGGGTTGGGCACAGTTTAAAGTCCCAGCTTGGGAGAACCGGTAAAGTGGGCCCTCTTTGGAATGTGGCGTATGTTCATTGGTCTTAGTCAGCTAGAAAGATGTCAGCCGAGCCTTTAGTGCATGTAGTGTGGGGCCAGCGGTCGTCGCTTACGTCATCTCCCCTCCAGAAGCGGCCCCACCGTCCTTGCCGACAAATCTTACTAGGCCTAGGCCCACTTAAAACCCATTCACCAAACAGAATAGGCCCAATAGTATTCCTAGGTGTAGTTAGACGTCATGCCACGTGGCATAAAACCGTAACCCCGGCCGAACCGCAGCGGATAAGAGAGAGAGAGGAGGGCTCTGGGCTCAAGCGAAATATGGGCCGTATATCTTTTAGTCCATTAACAATCCATGGGCATGCTGGGTTAAACGAGGAATTGTGGGCCCATTTTTTTCAATCAACCACCGTCTCAAGCGTGAACGTGGGCCAAGAGCCCGCCAAGAAACGAAACGAACGAAAGGGGGTCGTGTTCTGGTAGTCATTTCAACAAACAGTTGAAGGGCACAAGTTCTCCTAAGAGAGACGGACGAGGAGAGGTGGCGGGGAGATGTTCGCCGTCTCGCCGGATCCCGGCGGCGCAGGGCGATCACGGTGGGGGGAAAAGGTGTCGAAAGCCGCGCTTTCCCTCTACTACTCCCTGCCGAAGAAAGGGAAGCCACAGGGGAGGGAGACGACAGTCCTTGCCGCCTTCCTTCTTTCCTCTCCCACCCACGGTACACTCTCTCTCTCCTTCTGTCTTCACTTCATCTCCATTCGGGCTTACTTCCTCCTCATTGCGGCTTGGATCGCCGAAGCTCAGGTGGTGGTGAAGAGCGCTTAGAAGGGAAAGAGTTATTATCGTTGTTGTGATTTGTTAAGATCTGCAGGTGGTAGCGTTGGGGACGGGAACGAAGTGCATCGGCGGCTCCCTCCTCAGCCCAAGGGGAGATGTTGTCAACGACTCCCATGCTGAGGTTATCGCGCGGAGGGCTCTCCAGCGATTCTTCTATTCGGAAGTCGGACGGGCGAAGATCGCCTCCAAGGTCGCGAAGAAGGACGAAGGACGATCGGAGGATGGACCTCTCTCGGACTTGCTGTTCTGCATGGACGATGCTGCTCCTTCTGACGGCCGTGAGAAGTATGCCATGAGACCTGGTTGGGAGCTCCATCTGTACGTCACCCAGCTGCCATGTTAGTCAGCACCCGCCATCCGCTCCTCAATCTTTATTTATAAACATGAGCAATCTCAAGATCGAAGGAGGGCAATTAAACCGATTCAGATATCTATATTTGCAGGTGGAATTTTGTCAGCGACCCAATCGGAATCGCCCTTGAGCTCTTCCTCCGAGGTACGAAATGTTCATTATTATCAACTGTAGCACCAAGTTTCTGTGATATGAAATAAAAAGGTAGTTAATCGGGCTCCGACATACGAAAAAAAATGTGCGTTATGTACTCTGAATAGGCAGATGTCTAGCATGCTTTAGCGAATCCATGGAATCGCCAAATCAAAACTGTCAGACAGTCCCCCGTGAAACTAATAGAATTCTTGGTTGCTTAGAATAATGAAGCCTGACAGAGCCACCAATCATATTTAAAAATTCAGGGCAAATTGACCTCTTAAAGTGAAAACTCGAGGAAGAAATTAATCTCGTAAGAAATCCACATGCACTACGAATCTTGGTACAGATCATCTGACTTGTCTTCATTGATTCAAATTATTGTCGTTTCCTCAAACAGTAAATTTAAGAAAATTTTACTCACAAATTGCACTGACGGTCTTAAAGAAATGGCAGGCTTTAACTATCATTTTGTTCATCATCCAACATCTAAGTTGCGATGATACATCATAGTTTTAAGATATGCTTCGGATTGGAGAGATGGATTTGATGGGGGAAATTTTATGAAAAACGTCAGAGAAATTTGATAAGGCTAGAGATATGCCTATGGCTTTTATTTTTATTAGCTTTATTCCGTGGATTTTTGTATCACTATTTTAGTGAAAATCAGGAAGAACAGTTTCTTTCAATGACAGAATCATCATTCCCAAGTGGAGGACTCGTCTATGGGTTTCTCTTCAGAAGATCATATAAAGCACCCAGTGATGGTTCAGAGGAAGCCTGGGCGAGGTGATACAACCTTGTCAATGAGTTGCTCTGACAAAATCACTCGATGGAATGTGGCTGGCGTTCAAGGTTCATCTCTTCAGCTAAATATAGATATCGGCGGAGATATGCACCTCTACCTCCCAGCCTTTTCCTATCATATCTGTTCTTCAAATTTGTAATTCTCGTGGGAAAATTTATTCATTGTCTTCCTACTGGAGAAATATTTCTTCAAATTTATAATTCGCATGGGAAAAGCTATTCACCGTTGCCCGAGTGAAGGAGAACTATCTCGTCAATCTAATGGGGGAACTTATTAATCATCAGCATCCAACTGAAGGAGAAATATTTTATTTCAAATGTATAATTCTCACCGGGAAATTTATTCATCATCATTCAATCAAAGGAGAGATTTCTTCAAATCTATAGTTATCATGGGAAAATATATTCAGTATTGTCCAACTGAAGTGGAAATGTCTCTTCAAATTAATAATTCTCTTGGGGGAATTTGTTCATCATCATCACCCAGCCGAAGGAGAAACATTTCTTCAAATTTATAATTCTCATGGGGAAATTTAATCGTTAGTATTCAACTGGAGGAGAAAATTTTCTTCAAATTTATAATTATCATGGGAAATTTTATTTTCCTTTGTCCAACTGAAGGAGAATTAATTTTTTTGCTATTTACTGCAGGAGCCTTGTTATCCCACTTTATGCAACCTGTCTATTTGTCTTCCATTACTGTTGGGAGATTAAATGATTCATCTCAGGAATTCCAGTCTGAGGCACCTCTGAGGAGGGTTCTTGTTGACCGCATACTCTCCTTGTCCGAGAAATTGTCAACTCCATTTCGAGTGAACAAGGTAAAAAAGCGAAATTTTGTTGAATTGATTGTGGGGAAGAAAATTATTTATTCTTTTTATGATAAATCATTGACAGGCCATATTGAATGAGGGTCCAATGCCCCCTGAGGAATTTCAATCGTGTAGCAACGACTTACCAACTTTAAAATGCGGGTAATCACTGAATTTTCTTATTTTCCTTTTTCACTCGGGAACTCCTCTCTCTCCACATATTTTTTTACAGAATAATTTCTATCCCTCTATCTCTCTGTCTCTTTCCCCTTCAGATAAACATGATGGGCCAGGCTGGGCATCACAAATTCTGGCCCAGAGGCCATTTAATAGGTTTATGGGCTTTTATAAGGTCTGGCTCAGATAGCCGAGAGCCCATTTTTACCGCCACATTGCTGTCTCACAATCATTCATCTCTCTCTCTATCTATCTCTCCTCCTCTCAGATAGGTACTTACAGATGGCCGGGCTGGGTGCCTAGTCAGCGCTGTTCTTGTCACCAATTTTTTATGTAATCTTGATAAACCTGATCACATTAAGGAGTCGACTTTTAACCATCAGGTACTCTATTTGTTGGAATATATCTGGCCTGCACGAGGTGATCCTTGGAACCACAGGAAGAAAACAGGGGACATCTTCAAAGGCGGCTCTGCTGCCATCCACGATGTCATCCTTATGCAAGTATTAACGTATTTCGTTCATATCCTCGGTTTCGTCTTTATCTATTTATTTATTTATTTATTTATTTTCATAACTGCATGAACCATTCCTGCTATTTTTTCCTATTTTAGGCTGATCCTTATATCACACTGGAGCCGTATTGGATATTTGAAAAATAAAAAATAAATACTTTATTATGAAACAAATCTGCCATGGGCTCATTCAGGCGATGATCTTCTGATGATAGGAGGCGGCTGCTGGAGTTATTCAAACAAATCTGCCATGGGCTAGAGGCTAGTGAAGTCACCTACAGGGAATTAAAGGTGATCTTGTCTCAAATTCCTATTTTCTGCCCCTTTTGTTGACTTTTTGTCCCCTCGTTGGCTTTCTCCGCTATGCCTCATGGCTGCTTTTCCATTTTCAATAGTTTTTCTCGAAAAGTAGAATGAAGGCTGCCATTCTCCCGCCTGATACATCCATTCATGTCCGTGATAAAAAGTCACCCCCCCCCCCCCCTTCAAGCTGACAACTTCCCCTCACCTACCGTCACCTGAGTTGGATGGAGGCCCAAGAAGCCAATCTGATTATATTTTTTCCTATTTTTTTATTATATTGTGACCGTGGCGTCATATAGGGAGATATATCCTAATATGAATCTTCAAATGTTAATTTATATGTATTTATTTTCGTAGAGGGTTTTCGCATAATGGCAGTCAATTAAGTTCAGACCATGATGTACTACCTTATTGAAGTGGGAATCTAATCGGCTGCAGTGCTGGCAGGATATGGCTTGTGACTACCAATCCACTCTCATAGCTCTAAAAGGGACGCCGTCTTTCGTCTGTTGGCCACCGAAATCTAGCCATCTGGAGATGTTCTCAATTCCTCCGTGTGAGTGAATGCGATAGATCATTTGACTTGCTGACTAGAAATCGATCGACGGTGGGGCCCATCAGAGCAACATGTTTCTACCATCTGCGAAGTTAACCCCTTTTGCGGCATGAATCCTACTTCTGCGCAAAGAGACTCACCCATGCGTGCGGCGATGGTAGGTGCCGCATGCTTGTGTACTTCTGCTGTTCTATCATCCTCCAGCCACTTGGAAGCCTTTTTAATTTTATTGTTGGTAAGTTTTTTCGATTAATGTGGGACTATATTATTGAGTCAAAGAATTGATGATCACTAGACCCAAACATTTCACCAGATTCTTCTGGGTTTGACATGGCCATAACATGGACAGAATGTAGAAGTCCTAACTCGGAGTCAACTGATAACTGGTATTAAATCGGATAAATGCATACAAAAAATACATAATTTTTCGATAATCAGTGATTTTCTTTTCTGGGCTCTACTCCGTGATCAATATAAACGATCCGTGCAGGTAATGATGATGGATTTCTTCCATTACAGGGCGAGTGAAAGCTGATTTAGAGAGAAATGAATGACAGACTCTCGTGTTTAAGAGCAACATAGTAGGAGGATCGTGGACTGATGGGAGGAGGATGGGCCGAGGGATGCAGGTGGTCTCTCTGGTGGGTTACTGAGGTATGAAAGGCAGGGGGAGCCCTCGGCCTGGAGGCCGATAGTAGGTAAAGAGTTCCCTGGTCCAGTCGTTTTCAGAGGTTCTATCCACAGTGACGAAATTCGAGGTAGAAAACAAATGATGAAGGGGAAGGGAGGTTTGGAGGACAGCTCTACAAGGGCCCCTACTGGCGTACCTCGAGGCCTCTAGCTGTAAGTTGTTCCGCCGGAGGATCGGTGCTACTTCTTCTCTTCCTTCTTCTCTTCCTTCTTCTCTTCCTTCTTCTCTTCCTTCTTCTCCTCCTTCTTCACCTCCTTCTTCTCTTCCTTCTTCTCTTCCTTCTTCTCTTCTTTCTTCTCTTCCTTGGCGGGGCCGACGGACAGAACGTCCACTCTCCCCAGCTTCTTCAGCTTTTTCGCGACGGCCACGACGTCCATGTCCCCGATGACGGTCATTTTGTTCCCCTTCAGATCTGCGGCGATTGAATCCACGCCTGCCGAAGACAGGATTCAGCGGCGGGGAGACGACGATTGGGACCTTCCGAGATGGAGATATTGAAGAAAGGGAAGGGAAGGGCAGAACAGAGATGGCGTCGATACCAGAGATGTCGGCAACGAGCTCCATTGCCTTCTGCTTCGTCTTGTCGTCGACCATCCCTGTGACGAGCACTATCACCTTCTGCAGCCGAGGAACACAGAGAAGGGAAGAATCAAGAGAGGAAAAGTAGGAGCATCTAGGGGGATAATCGAGCAGGGGAGAAGAGGCTTCCACAGACCTGCGCCATTGCTGAAAACCAGAGGGGGAAGGGAAAGAAGCTACTCAACCACACTGCTACCGTGGATCCGCCGGCGCCTTTGTTTCTTTCCCCCCCGTTTTAAACCCAACCCGGAACGGAGCCGATGTCCCCTCGGAACGACGTAATTATCGCCGGCCTCGCTTTTATTGCGACGAGCCGCCGGAGGGAACCCGCCACGTGGCAACCGCTCCGCAGTCCCATCTGAACGCTGCCGAGTTTCCGTTGGCAATTTCCCCATCACGGGGCCCTCTTGACCCCTTGGCCGGCTGCTTTTCCACTTCCGTAGCGTTCACGAGATTCCTTTCCCCGCCATTGCGTCGGAAACAGAGGTGGGCCCCACACTGCAAATCAAATCTTCCACTTCTCTTTAATTATAATCTCTGCCGACCCATCAATGTTCACGCTTTAGAGAGAGAGAGAGAGAGAGAGAGAGAGAGAGAGACGTTCACATTGAACACGAGGGGAGTAAGACTGAGACTGATGAACAAAGAAGAAAGAAGAAAAATCATTCATCACTTGCTGCGGAAACAAAAGAGCAGGTGATGGTTGTTTACTTTTCTCTGCAAGAACAGCTCCTTCAACCCAGGAAATTCACCACCTTTGGGCCCTTCTTTCTCTTGGCATCCACATTACTGGCAACCAGATCAACTTCCAGATTGGGAATCTTGGGTTTCTTGGTTGCCGGTGGCCCCTCGTCCACAATGAAGTCGTCTTCCAGATCGTCACCACTGCGGAACACTGCGCGGCTCCCTTGCCATGTCTTGGGATGATCACCGGCTGGAACATATTAGACAATATCAAGAACTTTTCTTCAGTGATCTCGGAACCAGACCCACATGAGATCAATAAATGAGGCAAATTCTGTACAAATCTCATGGAGGGTCTCGCATTCTAGTATGTTCACACATTCTAATGGTTTGATGAGGCACAGCTCATCCAATTTTTTAAGAAATCTCATCAAAGGCCTCTTGTTTTATTCATAAGAAATATTCATAAAAAATGCACAGATAAAATCACTGACAAGAACAGATGAAAACCAGGAGACGTCAAAACCAGAATGTCTCAGAATTGATCAGCCAACAACGAAAAGTAAACGGGGATATGAAGACAGAAGTGGAACTGGGACACGTTAAGTCAACGGTTAGCAGGCAGAGAACTTACGTTTACTTTCTGATCCAAAAGCAGCTGCCCCTCTGCTGCCTTTCTCTGGGCAGTCCCTGGCTAAATGTGTCACTCCTCCACACAGTTTACAACAGCCACCCTGAAGCAATTACAAACTAACTAAAACTAAGACGACGGGATCAAAATGGAGAGAGAAAGGTAGTAGGAATTGAGAAACAGTACTAAAGACTATTAAAATGGGCAGGGATTATCAACTTCACACAGAAGAACATTAAGCAATGCCTGTAAACATGAAGCTTTACTCGCTGAAGGAAAAAACGTTGAGTAGCTATCAATATTTGATGACTATGGTGACGAGCAGAAGATACTATTGGTCAAAAGGCCACGACGGCGTCAAAACCGGTTGTATTATCGCACTTATGCATTATAGAATAGACAATCAGAAAGGTGTGGTCAATACCTTTGGATAGATCCCATGAGTATTTTTGGGGCAATTCTTGCTAAGATGCCCCTGCTGATTACAGATGAAACAGCTGGCGAATTTTGCGCCCCCTATATGGAGTAGAGAAGTATCAAAACGATGATAACCAGAACAACATAGGCCATGCAGCAATACCAACTTGATTTTCTGGCAAGGATACATCATAAGCTTAAGGTGGGAAAAGAAAAAATAGAGTAGTAACAATTCACAAGCACCATTATGGCTATAAAGTAACAAAAAAGAAAGACAGATGAAATAATTGCAAAGGAGACAGTGACTACTGAGATGAACAGGAGTATGGCACTTTTGAGGTCTTAAATTGTAGCTTTCAAGAATATTTCTGCCCACTGAAACACCCGAGTGATTCCTAAAATCTATTGCTTCCTTCCGCATAGAGCTAGAAACATCACTTTCAAAGGCGTAAAAAGAAGAACAATGAACTATTTTTCAAACATAAATCATGCTTCCAATGTGCCCAAGAGTCATGGTAATTAGATCTGAGCCATCATCTCCTTGAATCTGAGCCAAAATCACTAGTTCACTCTGTTCTAATGCTTTTCGGCAGTCTACTCTAAGGGGCATAAATCCCGTTCTAATCATCTAGTGATTGACCTGTTTATCATCATTATGAGTCATATTCTAGATTCTGCGAATAATCAGCATACACTGTAAGAGAATATCATGGGAAAAGACTGAGCAGTATCAAAAACAGTAAGTTCAGACAACTTACCATCCTGAAGCGGTTGAGGACACCTGTTGAGGGAGTGTCCAATCTCTCCACAGTTGTAACACAATTTCTTGTCGCTGTCTTCACCTTTATCCGGGCAATTTTTAAGACTGTGGCCACGTCGACGACAGAGCAAGCAGATCTGCGTGAGAGTTATGCCACCATCAATCAGATATTCCATCTTCGCTCGATAACGAAAGGGCTATCCAAGATAAGCACAAGGTACTCGATGAAGAGAAATATTCATGATTTTTTTTGCACATTTATTGCATGTTTAACAAGATAAGCATAGCCGAATTTCAGCAAAATCATTAGCAACATAAATGATAACACTATGTGAATAATGATAAGGGAATGTTTTCACACCTAGACACGAAGGACTGAAAAGGTCAAAGCATCCGATCATTAAAGGGTATGGATAGAGCTTTGTTGCGTCAAGGAAACCGCAAGTTCACTTGAGACGCCACATTTAAGTGCTAAGTTAGGCAGAAACTAATCTACAACGATCTATGAAGCGTCACGGACTTCCTAGAGATAATCCTTCTGTGATATATGTTAGATTTGGCAGCAGATACAGGGAGAGAAAGGTTCCAATTGATTCAACTACCAATCCACGATCCAGAACACACAGCACAGGCCAAAAACCCTCCCCAAGTGGCTAAACATTGACCAAATCTACTGAGAAAAAACAAAACTCGAGAGAGAGAGGGAGAGAGACACGCCTTGTGAAGTGCAGGAACCGACCTTATTCTTCTCCCACTCGGCCTTTTGAGGGCACGCCTTGGCGATGTGATCATTAGCATTGCAGACAAAGCAAGCCTCCCCAGGCTTCCAACCGGGAATCCTCAGGGGGTGCTTACTCCCAGTGAATCGGTCGCTGCCGCGGCCACTCCCCGGCTTCGCAACCCCTCTTTTTAGGGTTTTTCTGAAAATCTTCTTCTTCTTCTTCTTGGAACCCGCATCCTCGGAGGGCGGCTCCGGCTTCGGAAACAGGTGGGGATTCGCTTCCTTGAAGCGCTTCCTCGCCATCCTCTGCCGCTGGCTCACCATCTTCCCTCCTCTCGCAGCAGAACAAAAACCCTGCAAACTCTCCCGCCGGCGGCTATCGTAGCTTCCTCCGGTGGTACGAAGCTCTCACTTTCGATGTCATCTTCCCACTATTGGGCTGTCTTCACATTTGTTAGGCCTAAAATATGTGGGCCCATAAATCGGGCCCGGATACCTTGTCTGCCCTCTCACGCGCAAGCCCATGCTCACATGAAATCTGGCCGATAAGGTTGCCAACTCAGATTTCCGGAGTGGGACCCACATAAAACAAAGGGCCCCACATATCGGAGATTCGTTCTCTGGGCCCACAATCCTAACGTACCATTTTGACAAGCTATGAGCTATCCGAAATCCTTCGCGGGCCGGGCTCAGGCCCGGACTTGGTGTCTTTTACGAGGGCTGAATTTAGGCCCTTTCTATATACATTTTATACATATATATAGAGAGAGAGAGGGAGAGAGAGCTGGTAAGTACGCGGGCCGAGCCCCGGCCTGAATTCAGTGTCTTTTACGAGGACTGAATTTGGGCCCTTTTTATATATATATTTAGAGAGAGTGAGAGGTGGCGGAGTGCCCAATAGAAGCCGAGCTCTAATTAATATTTCGAACACTCGACTCGTCCGCCCCGATGGAGTGACCAGCGAATTAGAAAACACGGAAGAGGAGAGAGAGCTTACTGCTTCCCCGTGAAGGCTTCTGCCGATTGCCGACGGATTGCCGTCGCCGTCGCCCTACTATCGCTTCTGCAACATCAAGATTTCGGCGCAAATTCAGTTTTCTCTTTCCCCTCTTTCTTCTTGTGCTCTGCATTTACGTCACGCACTCAGGTGATTTGGTTCCGCTGCCTAACCTCCTCATCAGGTAATAGTCTGCATTCCTTTCTCTTGCGGTACCGGATTTGGTTTTCCGATCGGATTCGAAGTTCATCCGCGGAATCAGGGCGTCGCTACGCGTCTACGTTTCCGTCTTGTTCTTATTGATTGTTCGATATTTTCAAATGTAGAACTGAGGAGGTGATCACTGGTCGCCGCAATATTTCGTCCTGAAACCGAAGTAATTACGGAATCATTATACACTTTTTTTTCTTCAGTGAAGTTCCTCCTGCTTTGTTGGACAGCACTTGTGTGATTCATTCATTTAAGAATTCCAAGATTCAGATGTGTCTCGTAGGAGTTTTCGAGTATGAAAAATCGCCGTATATTTTGTACCCGAATCATGTTTCAGTGTCATTTCCGTCGAAAATTGCAAAATGAATGGTAATCCATGATATATTTTTGTTCAGATGGGTTATATTGGACCTCATGGGGTCGCAACACTACACAAGTACAAGTACAGCGGCGTAGACAACTCTTTGGTTGCGAAATATGTATTGCAACCATTTTGGAATCGCTGTGTTACTCTCTTCCCTCTTTGGATGCCGTAAGTTTTCCTCCCAGACTTGTGCCTGATTGTTTTATGTTGTTTTGAGTTACCAACGATAGCCAATTATCGATAGCGGCATAAAGAAGTGAGAAAGGAGGTGGGAGGAAAAATAAGAAATTCTACTGTAGGGGGAGCATCTATTTGGGAGATCCTGAAGTCAACCATGTAATGGATTTCCTTAGACTTGAAAAGCCAACCGAAAAAAATGTGAGTTCTAACAGCGCAAGCGCCCTCTTCCATGTAATATCTCGTTGCTCCAATTGAACCAAGTATACTTGAGGTGTTGCCCATTTTCAACCTGAATCTACATTAAAATTTTACCTATCAGAATACCTTGCATTTTCTGGACAGCAATTTAGTTTCCTGAAGCTGCTATTTTTAAATTTTTCTGACTTTCTTTTATTTATTCTTTATGTCCATGGTTGTCTGTGCAACTCCAGTCCAAATATGGTGAGTTTTGATTTTTCAGTTTTTTTTTTGGATTCTTATCTTGAATTTACATCGGCTGTTTTGTTCTCTATATGAGTTTGATTGCATGCGCGGTATTCATGTTACCCAGATCACTCTTACTGGATTCGCGTTCCTAGTCACATCAGCTTTACTTGGTTATGTAAGTGAACTACCGCTTGGTTATATTTTTACCTTTTTCTAATTTATTCCTTTTACAATTGTTCTTCTTTTGTTGTTGGATCCTCCACGGAAATAGGAAGTCGATATCTTAAACTTTCTCATCGTTCATAAGATGTATAAAGACAGGTTGAATATGATCAGTAGTATACACTATCTGAAGATTTATTAATGAGATTTGGTGCTTCAATCTAATTCAAGTGTGGAATTGACCAGTGTTTTAAGAGGTAGAATGTAATCCTGATCTAATGAATAATTCCAAAAGATAAAACGTTATCGGCAGTTCCTGCATCAGTATTAGCATTTTGTTGGGCAACATAGTTTTGTTAGATTCCCAATTCTGGGAACTGTGTGAGGATGACATTATTTGTGAAAAGCTGGTGGTATATTAAAGGATGATCTTTAACACATACAAGGAATTTATCCCTTCACCTTCTGTATCCACTGACTTTTCCCTTCAATGGGGCATCTTCTTTACAGGTATATTCGCCACATTTAGACACTGCTCCCCCAAGATGGGTGCACTTTGTCCATGGCTTGCTGCTCTTTCTATACCAGGTTTGCTCAAGTTAATTTCTCACAACACTTTCTTGTTTTCTTTGCTAGTGTTTTTCTCTGGTCTTTCTATACCAGGTCTGTTCACGTTTTTGTTCAAGTTATATTTTTATCGTCTGCACGTTTTAACAAATATGATCGAGTTCTAGATTTCCAGGGCAAGAAACTGTCCATAAAAAATTGAAATATTAGGAAGTTGTAACCAAAAGTTTGGAAGATTTTGACGCCTCTCCCTTTCTTGGTCTTGTCGTGTTTCTCTGATTTGGCTTTGGATACTATATACTTGACAGACTTTTGATGCTGTTGATGGAAAGCAAGCAAGGCGTACTAACTCATCAAGTCCATTAGGGGAACTTTTTGATCATGGTAGAGCCCCTCTTGTTCAGAGTTTCTTGAAATGCTAAACCAAAGGAAACATTGTTCAATATACTGCTTTGAGTCGAGAACTCACCTGACTTTTCACATTAATCCAATTGCAGGATGCGATGCGCTGACCTGTGCAGTATGCTATCTATCCTTATCAATGAACATTTTGAAATATGGCATTTTGTTTTCCATTTTTAATATTTTTTTAATGCTGTGTTCTCAGTTTGAAAGCTTGGCTTTCGGAAGCACTGCTATGTGTGGGAGGGCTACGTTTTGGTTTTGGGTACTTTCAGCGGTTCCATTTTATTTTGCAACATGGGAACAGTGAGTTACTTGTCATTTCCCTGCTTCACCTCTTGTTATGTTTTCCTTTGGTGCGCGATCTTACTTAAACGAATTGATCACCTTCTTTAATCTCTCTTGAATTTGGACAAGGATCGAAGCTCTTTCATTGGATGTTTTCTTTTAGTTGCTGTTATAGGTTAGTTAACAGCTGAAAAATCAATTGTAATTGCAAGCTCGAAACATTTCCATTTTATGCAGAAAACTATGTCGTATTAAGATATTACGCGCATGGGCAGTAAGATAATTTATGTATAATGGAATAATACTGGTTAATTTTCAATGTCATGGGTGTCTTGATCCTCAGCAGTTCTAGTACCTTTTTTGGATAAATTTGATGAAAGCATTGTTATGGCTTTTGACCGTAAGAGTCCACTCTAGGATAGCCCAAATGTATTGTTGTTTGGATAAGTTGCTTAGATTCAGACGTTCAAAAAATGAGGGAACTTGCATAAAATTATTAATAACTGGCCATACAGAAAATCTGTGAATTTATGGTGGCTACAAAACTGCGAAGTTTCCTTTGGGGGCTTCAGTAACTTGCTATTTTTTTCACGACTTTTATCCCTTTGCTAACACCTAGTTTCTACGGTCCAGCTTTTTTACCAATACGCTTATTCTTCCCGTGATAAATGGACCAACAGAAGGTCTCATGCTGATCTACGTATCCCACATTCTTACATCTTTTGTTGGTATGTAGCTTAAATTTCCCTCCTCCGAAAGCTGCGAAATATCATCAGGATTACTGTATTCAATTGACTTTTATATTTTGAATGCTCCTTTTTACTGCCAGGTGCTGAGTGGTGGGCACAAGATTTCAGAAAGTCTGTTCCATTTCTAAGTTGGATACCTGGAGACTATGGTTTGATTCTTTTCCAGTTGATATACATTGTAGCAGATGTAGACTTACCATTTTTGCCCCCCCCCCCAATTGTTCCCCTTTCCTTTGGCTATGATGTCTTACTTTTAAAGAAACTTAGACTCCATGTATACGCATATAATCTCAATATGTTTAAAAATTATTTTTTGCGCAGTGCCCACTTTTGATATCTTAAATGCTCAATGCCGAGAATCAACACGAAATATTAATGAAAGATGTTCCTTTTAAAAAAACTCTCACAAGGGAGGAAAAGAAGAGTTCCAGGATGGAGGCTAGTCCGTCGTCAGAGTCTAACATTCTTCTCTGTCTTAATCAGACGTCATAGTTATCCGTGGTAATGATAATGAAAGATAGGAAACATTGGTACAGGTTTTCCGTTGCCCAAACATGGAATAAAAAGGAAACTGGTCAAATCGTCAACTGTCCCAATCATTTCTTTGTTTTGCTCTGGATGAACAGGAAGGTTTGATGTGTTTCAAATTTGATCCAAATTGATTCATGGTTACCCATTGAAAATATCAGCCAATTAGTCTTCGGGATATATGATAAGCATCTTTCACCTATATCGAGCCTTCCATTGATAAAGTTCCTCTCAATGTCAATGTGTTTGTAGTAGCCATTATAAGGAGGTCTATCATTAGTTTTGGTTGTAGTCTTCTTGTCACAAGCCTTGGTCACCCATCATCTATGAGAGAAATATACCGTGGGACGACTCATGCTGTATTCTGGTTCATCAGTACCATTAGTAAGTTCAGCGTTATCCAGTTTTATTTGGTGAATGTACTGCATCACGTTGAGGACCGTCTTTCCTTCGTATAACCTGTACACTTACGTATCAAACTGAAAATCTAATCAATCATTGCCGTCAATGAAAGCCTTGCAAGCACAGAATATATAGTCCACTTCAGGGTATCATAAATTTAGTTTGACGATACATATGCAAGCTACATAAGATCCATCAAATTATTCAGTTTGACTTAATGAATGTGTGCTAAAATATGTATTTGGAGAATTCTCATTTCGTCGTTTTCTTCACTTTACTGTTTTGTCACTAAGAGATTTCATTCTGCATTTTGATGCTTCAGAAATCCCATTTTATGGAGTTGCACTCGCTCTAATGTTTGGATTCGGTGTTTTCCCAACAATCGGATCCAAGTAAGCACATCTCTCGTTATATGTTAAGAATTTTTTTAAGGTTTTTACTTGCGACTTTGAGACACTCTTTTGCAAACTTTGGACTGAACATGTACCATCAAAATCATCACTATGTTGCTGATGATGAAGAAAATAATACTAACTAAAAGAATATTAGCCATATCGTCATCAAATTCTTACGTATTACAGTTATTCTGCGCTTTTTGTCTCCCTGAAAAGTGTTCTTACTGTCGAATGCTTATAGTTATCCTTGGGAGGAAGCATCTTAAACTACATACGATGAGCTACTGAAATGATATTCTTTGAGCTTACCTATTGTTGTTCTCTCCCCCAGCATCAATAATGTCTATAACGTTGTCCAAGCAAGGAAAGGAAGCATGCTGCTTGCATTAGCAATGGTATAATCTTCGTTGGATGTTTTACCTGTTATCATTATTTTCATGACCGGAACTAACTGCTTAATTAATTTTCGTGTACAATTTGGAGATGGTAAAAGCCAGTCAATGTCCTGCCGATGCTGTGGATGGTTGTATTGTCTTTTACCATTTCCCTTGTTATAAAGAGGCCAGTTCGTTCTATTAAGATAGTTTTTTCATAAGTTTTGTGTTTATTTATAAAACCCAATGAGATGGAACCTTGTTGACCGAGCGGCTTAGGCACTGGATTGAAAAGTTATCTGATTAAAGTTCTCTCAAACATTCTAATTGCCTAGAGAATTCATCGCTTCATCATTGCTAGGGCCAATCATGCTTGTCTAGGTTGTGGTAGTATATCCTGGAGTCAAACAGAAAATTGAATCATACTAACCTAAATGCATGATTCTATTGTTTGATGATAAGATTGCGTATACCCTAGAATTTTGTACTCTCATTCTGTACCCTCGAATTGTCTGGTGACCCTTGTTCCTGCTGTAGAATCCACTACAGAATGCAATACACGTCCATTCATTGATATGCCGTTTATTTGGGTATTGCACCCAGCACAACACCAAGAGTGATATCATTTCAAATAGCTATTATTTTAGGCGAAACTATTTCATGAATTGTCAGATGTTGGTCATATAAAGTGGCAAGGGACTTCTAATCGTCATATCTTTCTCTGTTCTGAAAACATTTCACTATATCCCTACATCGGCGCTGACCTTTCTGTTATTTCGGTCAGCTCTTTCCATTTGGCGTGCTCATGAGTGGAGTTCTAGTCTGGTATGCATATGAGCTTTCTGCCTCTTTCCTCGGTTTTCTGTTGTGATTGACAGGATTTTTTTCCTATTTCCTATTCTAGGTCCGTTTTGTCTCCTGATGATGTTATGAAGAACTACCCACATCTGCTTCTCATTGGAACAGGATTTGCTTTTGGGTTCCTTGTGGTATGTGGTTTTGTGCTTTCTATGGGCTACTTGAATGCCAGTTCTTCCATTGCAGCTTGCCGCAATGGAACCATGAATAATTTCTTAGCCCATCGATATTTTCAGAACTAGAATTCTGAAGAAACATTATATCTTCTTCTGCAGGGGAGGATGATTTTAGCTCATCTTTGTGATGAACTCAAGGGCTTGAAAACAGGAATGTGCATGGTAATTGCCTCAAACCTTGCCCTAATGTATAAAATTCAGTAATACATTTCCTTTTTTAGAATTTGTTATATTACATATATCGACATTGATTGTTGAGCCAAGCTCAAAGGCTGCTGAAGGCTGATACTTTTCTTTAAATGTGAGCCTCAAAAATCTGGTCCGGAGAGGAAAATAGGCCACCTTTTGAGTCTCATACCCGCATTTGGTCCAAGCTTTGGTTGTGTCCACCTTCTCTCTCTCTCTCTCTCTCTCTCTCTCTCTCTCTCTCTCTCTCTCGTGGATATGGAGGGCCAAAACCCATTTTCTGTGCTTTTCTCCAGAGATCAGACCGAGCCCATTTGCACCCCAGATTAGCATCCGAACATTTCTCCAGAGGTCAACCAACCACTTCCGACCTCGTTGCAGGGCCAGGATCCGCATATTGTTTTCCGTCTGTTTGTTGCTAAGCGACCGTTGGCACTGTGTGTTGACTTGTTGATTTCTTTGAACAGTCTCTACTATATCTTCCTCTCGCCATTGCGAATGCACTCACGGCTAGGCTCAATGGCGGGTACGCGATCAGTTTCCAGATCCTTCATTGGCCTTTCCTTCTATTTATAATGAAAATAATGCCTATCTGATTTTGATGAGTTTTCCTGACAGAGAGCCGGTGTTTAGTGAGCGTTGGGTTCTCATCGGCTACTGTACATTTACAGGTAACCATTTTATCTCGAAACTCTAGAGACTCTTCTACTAACACCACTGATTGGCCCACCGTTCAAAGCTTGTTTCATCCTCTACTTAGTTAGTTGAATCTATATTTGGAATAATCTTCCTTTTTCGGCTCGCCCAACTATCCATGAAAGAAGAGTTGACTGGGCAAATCGTTATTTCATGCAGAAAGGTCAACCCATCTAGCTCCCCATTAAATAACAACAAATAATAAGAAACAGCAGTGGACGACAGGCTTAGAATGGCAATTATATCATTTTAGGAAAGGTCAACCCACTGCAAGAGAAGCTGGCCTGCTAATTGACAAAATCCTATCCTACATCTCCCTCCCTCCTTTGGGCCCTTCATTTCTCGTCTCGGCATCTTCAGCTATTTTACTCGATCTGTTCAGTTGACCCTCTGTTTTTTTTTTTTTTTTTTTTTTTTAATAATGTGTGGATGTTGAAAATACGACCCAAAATCAGTCACTCTCTACATGCATTTTGCCACGTCGGTCATCCACGAGATCACGACGGCGTTGGGCATCTCCTGCTTCAGGTGAGGAGGCTGCTCATCCGCCTTGAATTGAGGGAGCAAGCTGGTTTTTTTGGGGAATCCATTCTGACTTTGTTCCTTGGACGGCAGGATCACCCGGAAAGAGGCCTAGGCGAGACCAACATCATTCTGGTAAGTCTCTTCTGAACGCATTATCTATTCTTAGATTAGAATGAGCTAGGCCGGGCCCGGGCCTTGTCAGGCCCAGCCCAAGTCCATAGAAAAGCCCGAAAAATGGGCTCTGGGAAAGAGAGAGAGACCGTCACCATTTGGTTGCCCATCGTCACATCCTCTTCTTTTTCTTTTTTTGAACTTTCGCTGGGCGGCAGATTTGGAGGCTGGAGCTCTGGGAGTCCGCTTGCCAGCCGAAAGCGCTTCCCAGGGGATTGCAGATTCGGGATTCCTGCAGAAGTGTGAGTACCGCCTAAACTCCACGTCTGATGAACCGCATCACATTGGATTAAATGAAACCTACCCACGTCTGGTAGAATTCTACCCGAAATGATGACGTCATAATACGCTACACCCGAGTTAAATACCGTAGGTTACCTATTAAAAAAAAAACTCAGCATGATTTTCGATAACAGTTTTCTATTTTTTTTTCGGACACCCACGTGATTGAACGTGATGACAATTAACTATCCATTCACCATAGAAGATAACTTATATCTATTTATGTGAATAATTTTGAAAAATAGGCCATGACTTGTGTCTTCTGAATGCTCGTCGTATATATGTAGAGAGAGAGAGAGAGGTTGGCCAATCTGGGCCGACTCTGAGCCCATCCTCTAAGTATTCATTTCGCACAATCCAGCGGTTCATTTATTCACCTGTTTAACGCGTGAATTATACAATAAATGATGACCGTTGGATCGGCCTTTTTTCTATGTGTTGGCTTCAGAATCGAACTGGATCATAAAACTCGCCGAGGCCCGGCCCAATGGAGCCTTTCGCCCAATTAATTGGATATTGAAATCGGGGCCCATTATGATCTCAGGGTCCACTGCCCATTCGTTTCGCTTTTGGGGAGTTCGAATCAGTGTCACGTGGCGCTGTTGAAACCTCTCCTGCTGGATTTAGGCTGTCCAGACGCCACGTCATGAGGTTCGCTGGCTGCTTTTCGACACGTTTGCGCGGGTCACTTTCCACCCCAAAATAAATGGACAGGAGGAAGTGGTGTGGCTATTCGCGGGGCTTCGGACTTCATGATCTTCTTCTCCAAGCTTTCAGTTCCTTCCCTGTCCTCCTTCCCCTTTGTCTCTTGCCGCAGAACGAACTTTAGGTCGTCAGCGGCTTCTGCATCCAATCGGTTGTTCTTTAGGTACCCGCGGCGTTCGCCTTGTGCTGTGGCAGCATCTAATTTTCCTTATATCCGCGAGATCGGCCGTCACCCGCTTCTTTCGCCTCGTCCTCAATTTCAGTCTCCTCCGCAGCGCCTGATTTCTTCGTGGAGATCTATTTCGGAAATGGCTTCTGCATCAGCCCAGTCGCCCAAGTCAGTTCACGACTTCACCGTGAAGGTACCTCGAAGATAGGCTTTACGTGGTCTTAAGTATGGTTTTGGGCCTTAGTGTCCCTTTTTCTTCTCGATGGATTTGGTATTTAAGAGTTTTTCGGAAGATTTTTTATCGCCCCTCGGCTTATGCGACGTTTTGTTTGCTGAAAGATAGAGGTCCGTTCCGTCCTTGTTCGTTTGTCATGGGAATCAGGAGAGTCGGAATGATTTTCCGTTCCATCAATATGGGTGTGGATTTGAGGGATTTACCGGGCGATCATCATGATATATTCTGGAGTTTTGGAAGAAATAATTATATATCTGCCAGCCCGTTTTGTCTAAAGGGATAAGGAGAGGACTTGTGAGAATCGGATGGATCTTTATGATCAATGCATCGCTGAGAGCAGACTGACTATATGTTGTATTTATAATGTATTTCGAGATAACGATGAGAATTCTAAGATTTGGAGGTAATGATATATTAATAAAATCTTTGCAGAATATTTTTGATTATGAGTTTGATATCCTTCCATCTTGTAGCTTCTGGATTTAAGGGATATAGATCTTTCTTAAGAAACAGGTTTTAAAATACTTTCCTGGTTTAGTTTTTGGAGATATAAAATTGTAAACTTAAGATGTTAATTTTAAACAAAGATAATTATATATGTTTTTAATCACTCAAAAGATTATGCATGATAAGTCTTGGATTTATGTACTGCATATTTAAATTTGAAAGATCAAAAAAGACTGACCAAGGAAGATAAAGAAATGGGTGGCGTTGTGTGGTCACGAAAATGAATTTGTGAAGACTGCATACTTAGATTGTAACACAAAATCAAAGTTGATGCATCCTTAATTATGTGAAATCGACAGTCACGTCCATGATACATCATCCATAATTTTTTTCGATCATCCTGTCCTAAAGTATGAATTATTTCTCAAAATAAAATTATGGAATTTAATTGGGAAAAGGCCATGGCCGTCTTGCTCATTTAGGGATTAATGCTTCACATATAGACCTTCTTGGTTGAAATTTCCGTGCTCATTTGTGAGGATAGAAATGTGTGCCTGCATATGTATGCTTATATGTGACTGGTTTGTATGACTGTGTCCGTATTTGTTCATGTTCAGAAGTGCATGTGAATATATATGATTTGTTGTTAAAGATATGCATATGTATATGCAGATACATATCTCATCTGTGTGTGTAGTATCATTCACGTCATTTCCTGCCTTGTACATCTTGGTCTTTATCTTTAGGACTCAGAGCTTTAGTTGAAGGTGTGCTTTTATTCTATATATATTCTGGGTTCATTTGTGGGAGCAGCCTGGTTTTCTTTGATATAATTTACGTTTGGCTCTGAAATCTTAATTCAAAGAAAGAAGCATTTTATGGAAATCGACGGAATTAATAACCATATTATTTTTTTCGTCGTAAATTCCTTATACGAGGTCTCAATGGATTATCTGTTTGCCTTGTGAATAAGGAAATTAATTAGCTCTCATACAGGACGCCAGGGGCAATGATGTCAACCTCGGCAGCTACAAAGGGAAGGCACTTCTGATCGTCAATGTTGCATCACAATGGTATCTTCTCGGTCTGTTCTTTCTGTTTTTCAAAATCTTATTGGAGAGCGTAGAGTAAGGCATTAGTTCATGACTGCGGTTGACCCAGGAAGTATTTCATTTACTTCTACCGTTTCACTTATGGGTATCGCCTTTGACTTTTTTTGTTTAATGATTCCGCAGTGGATTGACCAACTCAAACTACACAGAGCTGAGCCAGCTTTACGAGAAGTACAAGAGCAAAGGTGTCATGGCGTCTAACATCACTGATTTAATCATCGCCTATCTATTACTTGATACAATAAACCCTGAACTAGCTTTAATGTTAAACTTGATGCTGTTTTTGTTGAAGAACAGAGGCTTTGCATTTCTTAATTTTATTTATTATGCAATATTAAGAACATAATTTTAATCAACATCTATTGTGACCTATCATAGGAATTGTGGGATCACTTGTATGCCGAATTAAAAATAATTATTTCCTATATAATATTTTTTCTTAAGAAGCTTAAAGCTTTTTCACGACTAAATTTTATTTCCTATGTAATATTTAATAATACTACATGTTCTTCCATGCAGGCCTTGAGATCCTGGCTTTCCCATGCAACCAGTTTGGCGGACAAGAGCCAGGGTCCAATGATCAGATCGTGGAGTTTGCTTGCACCCGATTCAAAGCCGAGTACCCCATTTTCGACAAGGTGAGCCGAAATATTCCATTTCAAGGCTGACTGCCCTGGCCCGTTGACCTGATCCTTGCTCCACTGTAAGCGGTCCACGAGAAGCTCCTAAAAAAATGGTCAACGACCTGAAGTAGTCCACGGACCGAAGGGCCCTCCTTTGCATTCTGTCTGATTCTGCTCGCATTGATTAGGTCGACGTGAACGGGCAGAACGCCGCTCCCGTCTACAAGTTCTTGAAGTCCAGTAAAGGGGGGCTCTTTGGGGACAGCATCAAGTGGAACTTCGCCAAGTTCTTGGTCGATAAAGAAGGGAATGTCGTCGATCGCTACGCCCCCACCACCTCCCCTCTTAGCATTGAGGTAAAGGAAGTCCCCCTCCCCCACAATCTCTCTCTCTCTCTCTCTCTCTCTCTCTCGATTACTTAAATGCCCCTTTTTTTATTCTTGCAGAAGGATATAAAGAAGATATTGGGCGAGGCCTGATGAAACACCGTGCCTGGGCATTATCGTAAATAAGTGGAAGATAGAGGTGCTTCATACTGCGACGGATCCTTTTCCACTCCGGCTTTGATAGCCGGGCCTTTTGGGCGAGTGTTCGCTGGCACCGTTGACTTATTTTAATAAGACATAAACTGGCAATTCTTCGCCTTTTTTTGCATAGAAGATGCTCATACTATGAGAAAATGGCTGTAGGAGTTAACAAGCCCTAGCAGGCCTTGCTCGGCCCAACTGGAGGCCAATTGGACTTGACCTGGCCCAGTAGGAAGTGTAACGCTCCTGGAACCTCCCGGCTGGCTTTAGGCCACGTGGCACACAGCATATGTCTGTCTCCCATGCGTAGCGGACTCGTGGGCCACGCTGGAGCGGAGCGAGTTTCTAGATATCGGAAGGTGTCTATATTAAGGTGGACAAAGGAGGCAGGTCAAAACGAAGAAGGTTCTCTAAACCTCTCTCTCTCTCTCTCTCTCTCTCTCTCTCTCTCTCTCTCTCTCGGTAAAGAGGGAGAACTTCGTCTTCTAGAAGACAAAATAGAAAGAGTGAAGAAGAAGGGTACGAGCGAGAGCTGTAGAGATAGGGGAAGCTCCGGAGCACGTGAGGGAGTTGTGGAGGTCGTGTAGGCTGCTCGACGTTGTCGGTGCAACAGTTGAGGCCAGTCTCAAGTTAGGAAAGGAGAACCAGATTATCCACTTGTCTCCAGCTCCACGCGTAAAAGTATTTTTATATATATATATATATATATTATACGTATATTTCCATTTTACTTTCACTTGATCGTCTAAATCCATATAATCTGTAAGAATATTAGAATTTGTCCCTATCTATTTAGTTGTGATAATTATTTCTCATAATATTATGATTCTATCTATAAGATTTGTATTCATTTTTTAAATAATAATATTCTAGTAAGGAGAAGGAGAAGAAAATTGTCTAATTAACCATTTTAAAAAATAATTAAAACGTAATGTTTATGATGATGTATAAAAATATTAAACTTGATACAATATGGCATATAAAGTAAGTCATTACGATATATTTAAACTATTTTTTATTGCTAAAAATGTATCTAATTAAGAGTCCAGATCACGTGTTCCATGAAAAAGTAAAGTTTTCAGACATTTTAAATGATTTGTTTCGTAATATTAATTTTTCATTAATCATTCTGAGTGTGTGTATCTGGGAGAGAGAGAAATAGTGGGACGGATGGAGGAAGGCAGGTAGAGAGAGAAAGAGCGCCTATTAATAGTTATGACTTAAATAATATTAAAATAAAACACATCACGCTACTATCATCCGATTTGACTTTTATTGTTTGACTGGAGAGTTGTCGGAGACCCTGTAGCAACTCAATTCGTCACGTGATCAGCTGACAGTTTTCCTCATTCTCTCGGCATAAGTGTCGTCATTGAGAATCCCGAGTTTACACTGAACCGCGGCCATTCGTCGCCGTTCTCGCCCTCATGAGCTTCCTCCGCTCCAAGCTTATAAATCTCTCTCAGTCGTCCCTCTCCTTCCTTCCTCCACCGCCATCTGCGACCTCCGTCCTCTGGTCTTCCTCATCTCGGTATTCTTCCGCCGCCTTCTCTTATCTCGCCTCGTCGTGGATCCGCAGTCCCCACCGCAGCTCCTACTTTCCTCTCGGAGATATATGTCGGAGATGGCTTCCCCGTCGCCAACTTCTCCCCAATCGGTTCACGACTTCACCGCGAAAGTACGTCCGAGATAGGATCTCGAACGCGTTTAATGTCTTTTTCGGATTCAGGGATTCAAAGTCTTCGGCGTTTGAACGTTCTTCGGAACCAGTGGGAGATCGAGTTCTTAATGAGCGCTGATACCGGTTACTCTTGTAATCGGTGGTCCGTTCACCTGAGGAGACTTCGGCATTCCTTTCAAATCGTTTCAGTTAAAGTAGATGTATCTCGTGTATTCAAGAGATTGCTGGCTGTATGCTGCCGCAGATTTCTTGGGTCTCTAATGATCCCTAAAGAGTTTAATCGAGCCGGACCCTAATTACATTATCTCTCCATTAGTTCTTATTCTGATTCTTGTGTCTCTTGTTTCGAAATGCCATCGGCTATCAGTTTTTCTGATGGGCTACTACTGATTTCTCGGCTTTAAACGCAGGATGCCAGGGGAAACGAAGTCGATCTCAGCTCCTATAAGGGGAAGGAACTACTGATCATCAACGTCGCATCACAATGGTATCGTCACTTTCTGCTCGTCCTATTTGGGGGGAAAAAAAGAAAAGAAAAAGAGTGTACGACTGATGGTTTCTTCAAAGCAAACCTCATGGATTCAAATTTTTGTTTTCTTAAATCTGCTGCAGTGGATTGACCCACTCCAACTACACAGAAATGAGGCAGGTTTACGACAAGTACAAGAACAAAGGTACTGTGCTCTTGACTCTAGCCTGTTCGGTCAACGTCTATCCGTTCCCAGTCACCGTCGTTCCTCATGAAGGATCATCAGCAGGATCAGTTTTGAGAGCATGTTCCCCAAAAACTGGCACTTTTTTCACTTAAAATCTGTCATTTATGCCCTTACAGACGATTTTTCTGTTTAAGTTGGCTTCTAGTACAACATGTGGAGCATATCTTCTTTGTCCAGCAGGTCTCGAGATCCTGGCTTTCCCTTGCAATCAGTTCGCGGCAGAAGAGCCGGGATCCAACGAGCAGATCCTGGAGTTCGCCTGCACGCGCTACAAGGCAGATTACCCCGTATTCTCCAAGGTGATCAGAAATACTGCCGGCTGGTTGTTCTTCAGCATCGCCAAAATTGGCTTCATCTTCCCTCGTTTCTGACCTAACATGTCTCCAAAAGTATCCATTTTGGGTGTCTGTGGGTTCCTTAAGAAGCGTGGCGAGCTACAGATAGAAGCATCGCCATGTTGCATGGTGATAGCTCAATGGCTGCTTTCTTCTGTCCGATTCATTTGTGTGATCTCACCTCTGAGCAGAAGCCATTCTCATGATGACTTCGGTGATTTCATCTTCTACGATCTCGTCTGGTTGGTCCGTTGACCCTCATATGATTCTCCTTCCTGAACTAGATCGACGTGAATGGGAAAAACGCCGCCCCACTCTACAAGTTCTTGAGATCGAGCAAAGCCGGGCTATCTGGAGGCGACATCACGTGGAACTTCGCCAAGTTCTCGGTCGACAGAGAAGGGAACGTCGTGGGTCACTTCGCCCCTAACACATCCCTTCTCAACATTGAGGTAAAGGAAGCCTCTCTCTCTCTCTCTCTCTCTCTCTCTCTCTCTCTCTCTCGCTCATACACACACACACACACACACACACACTCCAATCTTGCGATTTGTTGAACTGTTTTGTAATGTTTCATCGCAGAAGGACATACTGAAGGTACTGGGCGAGCCCTGAAAGGGGTCTGGGAAGCACCGAGTTCTGGACTTATCATAAGCAAGCGGACAGTGGAGACGTTTTATGCTGTCTCGCGTCTTTCTCTCTCTAGCCTTCGCCGTCGAGTCTTCTGGGCAAGTGTTCAAAGGTAGGTTGATGGAGTGCCCGCATCCATCTCGTAGTTTAAAACTTGCAGAATTTGCTTGCGTTGTCCATGTTTAAGAAGCGTCCCTCCTATCTCAGTTTATTTGGGCTCTCTCTCTCTCTCTCTCTCTCTCTCTAGCCCAGATGGAGAATCGGAACAAGATGGGCCGAACCACTCGTTTGAGATCGCTTTTGAGGCACAATGGGCGAGTTTATGGCATAAGGTGAAGAAATTGATTCAATTGGTGGAGAGAAGCCTTTTTAAGAGGAGGATCTCCTGCTTTTCTGAAAGAAGATCTGACGGGGGATGTGCGAACGTCTACGGCCGGCCCCACCAATCGGGAAAGAATCCGGCGCAGACCAGCGTTGACGGCGCCGTCGCAACTAAATCAAACTTTAACCAAATTAATAGATAATCTCGAGTAAAATCTCTTCGAATCCTATCCTTCTTCGGTGAAATCTGGACAAGGCCAAGACGGGTCCCACAGATATCTGGACTTAGCGAATAATACGCCGAGCTAGCGAAGTTCCTGTCAGGACAGCTCCTGAGGGCTCACCGCTACGGGCCCACTCGTTGTCGGTGTATGGCTCGGAGATTTCGGTGGTGAGACGTCCAAATTGACACAAATGGTAATTAAATTCTTGAAGAATCGTGGGGAAGGACGTCGATAGTTATCTAATCACACTCGTCTCTCTCTCTCTCTCTCTCGCTCTCAATTTTTCTGCCTCTTCTCTCTCTCTCTCTCTCTCTCTCTCTCTCTCTCTCTCTCTAGAATAGGTGAAGGCCCGTTATCTGGGGTTATTTTCCGGGAAGCAAGCTCCCGTTGTGGGTAGGATGACTGTTAACGTCGAGAGGGAGATCGGATGTGTGCAGAGTCGTGTAGGTTATTTTAAAGATGGTGGACGTCATTATGAGGTTCCATGCGACCGGAATGCCGGTGGGTGCGTGAGTAGACACCAACCAGGCGTGGCCCAGCTCGTAGTTGTCGGTACGGTCGTCGATCACGCTCGGAAACTCTTAGTTTTGACCACTGGAGTTAATCTCTCTCTCTCTGTGCCCCCCCCCTCACCCCTTCTAAGTATCCTGTGTGATTTGTGGTGAGAGAGAGAGAGAGAAAGGCTTTCTGTGATGGGTTCTTCGCGACTTGTTCAATCAACCTTCCACAGCTTAAAGGGCAGAGTGTTGTGGATATTTATACAGATAGACAGAGCGAGAGAGAGAGAGAAAGAGTTTTGGTTTTATAAAAAAAGCGTTTTTCTCGTTTTGTTGAATCTCTCACCAATGCATGCAAGAAGACGAGGGATATTTAGAGGGAGATGTTGAGAGATCGTAAAGGTGTTCATAAAGCGAGAAAAGGGGAGAGAGAGAGAGAGAGAGAGAGAGAGACGTCGGTATATTGCTCTGCATAATGCAAATACGTTTTTCATGTTTCCTTCTATCACAGATTCGTGCCCAGATGATGATCGATAGTGTGTGTGTTTCACCAATCGAGCAAGAAAGAGAGAGAGAGAGAGGGAATTAGAGAGAGAAGAAGCATTGGATTCTGGAGAAATGCCAAGCGGCCCTCCACTGGAGACGATAGAAGCGGACCCTCCCAGGCCCGACGAGCCAGATCGTTTGTGCCGGCAATAATTGATTGCTATGACCAACTCATATTAGGCGCTCCTCCTCCCAGTTACCAAGGAAGAGGGGCGGCTTAACTGTAGCTACCCCCCTTCCCAATCATCTTATTGTAGAATACCTCCCAAACATACTGAATTAACTATCGGCCCTACTAGTTTATAGCTTCCTAAAGCGGTTGGCATCCCCTCAGAACATATTAAATCAGCCAGTTGTCCAAGAGGCAGTCGATTTAATCCTAGCAGAATGGATATAAATTATTTCAATAACACCCTTCTTTCGCGCGGAGTACGAGAGCATGTGTAATTAGGTTTTCGGTAGGATATTTCCCAAGTGGACAGAAAAGTAAGGGGGTCCATGTTAATTACCTGAAAGGACTTACAGGGTGGCGACGAGCCAACAACTCATGAATGGAGGTCGATCGGGGGCACCGCCTCCTTGCTGTCTCCCTCCCTTGGCCAGCTCACGGACCTGTCGTTGATGGGCCGTCTCCCTCTCTATATCCCCACATGCTTCTCTCTATTATTACTCTCTCTTCCCTTACATTATTATCCTTGTTGCCTATTAACAATCTCTCTCTCTCCCTCTCTCTCTCTCTCTCTCTCTCTCTGTGTGTTTGACCCGAGTCTCCACCACCCATTTGTTCCTCTCCGAAACCAAAAAATGGGGCCGCAACCATCAAATTAACCTCCCCTGCCGCTACAAAACCCCACCCTATTCGATCACCACCGCAGGGTCGCGCCCCTTTGTTCCCTCCCCACCGCTGGCTACTCTCTCTCTCTAAGCTTCCCCCTTCTTAAAGGGGAAAAGGCGCGTCCTTTCCGATCCCCCTCCTCCCCTGTGACCAAATTGGAGGAACCCATCTCTCCGCGAGATCCAATTGGCGCGCCATTGCCCTCCTCTCTCAGAAAAAACACTCGAGAAACAGGAAACGATGAGGGAGATCCTTCACGTACAGGCCGGCCAATGCGGCAACCAGATCGGCGGCAAGTTCTGGGAGGTGGTCTGCGATGAGCACGGCATCGACGCCACCGGCAGGTACGTCGGCAAGTCCAACCTGCAGCTGGAGAGGGTCAACGTCTACTACAACGAGGCCAGCGGAGGCCGCTACGTGCCCCGCGCTGTGCTCCTTGACCTCGAGCCCGGCACCATGGATAGCCTCCGCACAGGCCCCTATGGCCAGATCTTCCGCCCAGATAACTTCGTTTTCGGTCAAAATGGCGCCGGGAATAACTGGGCAAAGGGCCACTACACCGAGGGAGCTGAGCTCATCGATGCCGTCCTCGACGTGGTCCGCAAGGAGGCCGAGAACTGCGACTGCCTCCAAGGTAAGTAACCGACGCCCGCGGCCTGTTTTGCCGGCAGATCCGCCGCCGTGGAGACTAAACCCGACGCCGCCTGTTTGGATGTGGGCAGGTTTCCAGATCTGCCATTCGCTTGGGGGAGGGACGGGGTCGGGGATGGGGACACTGCTGATATCGAAGATCCGCGAGGAGTACCCGGACAGGATGATGTTGACCTTCTCGGTGTTCCCCTCGCCCAAGGTCTCAGACACGGTGGTGGAGCCTTACAACGCCACCCTCTCCGTCCACCAGCTCGTCGAGAACGCCGACGAGTGCATGGTCCTCGACAATGAGGCCCTCTACGACATCTGCTTCAGGACTCTCAAGCTCACCAACCCCAGCTGTAAGCTCCTCGTCCCTCTTCTCTCCACATCTTTGCCGACGACGATTAAACATGATATCACGCTCGCTCCCATAATAGATGTGAATTTTTATATCAAATCGTTCATGTCCAAGAAGGTTTTAATGATTTTCGTTTGATGTTGATTGAAATGAATGCGTTTTTCCAAAAAGAAAACAAAAAAACCCACTCTCTACAGTCCCTTCCTCATATCAAATCAAAATACCCAGCTTAAATCTCTGCTTATCAAGAAGATACAATTAGAAAAAAAAAGTGATTTTGGGGATTTCTTTTGATGTTGATTGTAACAATGAGCAGTTGGGGATCTGAACCACCTGATATCGACGACGATGAGCGGGGTGACCTGCTGCCTGCGGTTCCCGGGGCAGCTGAACTCGGACCTGCGGAAGCTCGCCGTGAACCTCATCCCCTTCCCGCGGCTGCACTTCTTCATGGTGGGGTTCGCCCCGTTGACCGCGAGGGGCTCGCAGCAGTACCGCTCCCTCACCATCCCGGAGTTGACTCAGCAGATGTGGGACGCCAAGAACATGATGTGCGCCGCCGATCCCCGCCATGGGAGGTACCTCACGGCCTCCGCCATGTTCAGGGGGAAGATGAGCACCAAGGAGGTGGACGAGCAGCTGATCAACGTGCAGAACAAGAACTCCTCCTACTTCGTGGAATGGATCCCCAACAACGTGAAATCCAGCGTCTGCGACATCCCGCCGACGGGGCTCGCCATGTCCTCCACCTTCATGGGCAACTCTACCTCCATCCAGGAGATGTTCCGGCGGGTCTCCGAGCAGTTCACTGTCATGTTCCGCCGCAAGGCTTTCCTCCACTGGTACACCGCCGAGGGCATGGACGAGATGGAGTTCACCGAGGCCGAGAGCAACATGAACGACCTCGTCTCCGAGTACCAGCAGTACCAGGACGCCGCCGCCAACGAGGACGAGGACCTCGACGACGACTATGCCCCCCAGGCTGATGACATCTAGCTCTCTCTCTCTCTCTCTCTCTCTCTCTCATTATCTCTCGCTCTCTCTCTCACAAAGACACACATCATCTCTCGCTCTATTTCTCCATTCTCTCTCGCCGTTCTCTTCGTTTTTATATATAAATATGTGTGAGCGTAATGAAGAAAATGCCCGCTGGAGATTTCCCTTAGCGGTGCAAGTGTTTGCTCGTCCCCACGGTTTCTTGGTGTAGTAACTGTAGCGTCACGACGCGCTGCATTTACACATGGCGCTTCCCCCCGTTGGCCCCTGACATTCCTATCTATCGAATCATTGCAATCGATGCTCGAGCCCGAAGAGAAGGATGAGATCTCCGGAGGGTGTGGGCTGTCATCATCCCATTAAGAACCAAACCTATTCAAATGTTCCTTTCATTCTAGATTTTCCACAAGCTATTCGTAATATTTTTTAACAAGGCGAAATTTTTCTAACGACTTTCTAAAAATCATAACATTTTAAAATACCAAAGTTCAGTGCCCAATATCTAGAACTAATATCCATTACGTTAATTTTTCTAACGACTTTAAAAATACAAATACTTTTTATTTTACTTATAATAAGGGTCCATAGCTCAGTGGTAGAGCATTTGACTGCAGATCAAGAGGTCACCGGTTCGAACCCGGTTGGGCCCTTTAGGTTAACGGATGCCACTAAATTCGTCCAAGATTCTATTTTTAATATTCATCTATTTCCTTCGCATCCAGTTGCGATCTTTTTGTAACTATTATTATTATTCTTCCTTGCCGGTAGTGCTTTATGACCCTACAACTGCCCCTCTTAACACCCTCCTCCCTGAGTCAGAAGCTCAAATCCCTCACCGCCGCAGGGCAGATCCGGCAGCTCCTCCGTCACTACCTTCTCCTCGGGCAGTTCCAGAGCTTGCGCTGGGGACGTTGCAGAGCCTGTTAATGACGACAGTATTGATCCCTCTTAAAGCTGCCGTCTGCCGCACAGTCGTCTTCTTCCCCCGTGGGGATGGCCCCTCTCCATGGCCGCTCCCGCAAGCTCGGCTACAGTGGAGACCGCCATCGTCGACTTCCACGCCAAGCTCGGAGATCATGGCCGCTTCATGATCCATGGCCTGGACATGAACGGACAGGGGCAAGCCTCTCTGGTCTGCTTCTTCGACATTGTGAAGAGACGGGTCGGACCGGATGGAGTCTGCCACCGGGACCTGTGGTGTTTCTTGGAGTCTTACCACGTGGCGTTCTACTATTGGGGAATCCAAACTGGTTTGACGTCCCTTTGACTCGGTGATTTGACTCCCCCGTCCAATAGTCAATGTCATATCGATGGCTCTATTCACGTCGGATATTTTCTGGTACTTACTAATCTCATAGTTTTATGGTAACATGCTAATGAAAATAGTTGTTTTGCACTACTAACCCTAAAAGATGGCAGTTACGAATAAGTAATGACGAGTGGGTAGGAAAGATATTTTAGGGTTTAGGGAATATTTAAGAATAGTCCTGATTAAATATATTGTATTGTTTACCTTCCTTAGTGACTGTTGGTCATTTAGACCTTTTATTTTAGTTATTTATCACTTCGCCCTTATTTCGATGTAAAGGAAAATTCGTCCTCTTTGGCTTTCCCACTCATGTTAATTATGAAAACGCTTATTTAACTAAAATTTTCATTATCTTGCGTCAAATTATTATAAATATATTTTTAATAATCGCTATAAATATTGCTTTTTTGATGGGTCAGTTAAATAAATGGCATAAAGGCATGTAGTAATTAACATTTAGTAATCCCAAACAAACGCCATAAAAATACATATATATATATATTTAATAATATGGTCAACAGTTATGAAACTAAAACTGCTTAACACGTGGATTATTCTGACGACCATATTGGCGAAGGTCAATCGATGGGAATTTTATAGCGCATTTATACATTTTTTTAATTTACATACTGAATAATGAAAAATAATGATTTTCCATTTAGAAATCCAGCGGTGGGAACTCTGAAATTTAGGAGTCTGGAATCGATTCCTCGGAGTCGTAAGGCGCAACGGATCCATCCTCAACAGACATCCTTTACTTGCGCCGTCGTTTAAAGCTGAGGAGGGTCGTCGTCGCCCTCTTCCTCTTCATATGCTTCGACAGTTTGGGTGCGATCGATTAGGGTTTCTTCAGATCCGAGCCTTCCCCGGCACTGGCCCCTCAGCTTCGACCGCCATCAGGTACACGGGAGATCGTCCTCCTCCTATCCAATCGGTCAATCATCAGTTAATCTCGCCTGCCTGGTATACGGATCGGAGTTTGGGGTGATCAGGAGTTGAAGATGGAGGAGGAGGAGAGATCATGTCCGTTTTCAGGTTCTCTCTCCGGCTGCTGGAACTGCCCTGCTGATCTCCGATTCAGTTTGGAAGATCCGCGGCGGACATCATCAGTTCCCTTCTCCCGCCTCCATATCTGCCCTAACCTACGTTCTCCCCTTCTCGATCAACGGGCGGCTACTCGCTAGAATCTCGGCCGAAGAACATCGCTGTTGGAAGATCTTCGAGCTCCACATAGATATGATACTTACACCCGTAATCTGTTCGACGAAATGTTCCCTTGTTCTTCTTCATTTCATGCATTCACCGGGAGATAATCTCTCGAATCTCAGTTGTTACCTGGTGCAGCGAGAAGGTGCGTGCCATCTGAATCTCCTCCTTTGTCTTCCTTCTTGATCCAGGATGGATTCCGCAGGGGAGGGGACAGAGAGAGGAGAGAGGAAGCTCTCGGCCTGCGACGTGGAAGCCCTGAAGAGGTGTCTGCAAGAGAACAAGGGAGACCACCGGAAGTGCCAGACGCAGGTCGACGCCTTCAAGGTCTCCTGCTCCTCCAAGAAGCCTTCTTCTCCGCAGAAGCAGTCCCGCTGAAGTGGTTGCCACGGTCTGCGGGCCCCACCAAGGTTGACAGATAATGTCAACCCAGATGAAATAACTCCCAAATTCCGGGGTGGTAAAATTCCCATTTTCTTTTTGCCATTTCCGATCGTCATCCTCGTCTGCATCAACGGTGGCTGGTCAGATTCATCCAATTGTAAGGAATCGGATCATCTGATCGGTGATGGCCTGTCTGACACGATCCCCACGGTTTTTTCTCCGAATTTTGTGACTGAAAATTAATAAATGGTAAATTAGTGCCTCGAGAAAAGTGTAATTCAGAAATTAACGCGGAATCCTACGTGTGTAGAACTACGGATGGCTGACACGTGTAAAACTCTAAAAAACTGAGCCAACTTGGTGTTTAGGCTCAATTTTTTTGGCCCACCATTGGGCTTGTCCTTTGCATATAAATAATATATATATATATATATATATAGAGAGAGAGAGAGAGAGAGAGAGAGAGAGAGAGAGAGAGAGAGAGATCTTTTCCTGTCGCTGACTCTCGTCAGAGAGGAATCAGTTCCTGGAGGAGGAGGCTGGATCAAGAGATCGGGCCAGTCGACATCACCACCACAGCATCATCTCTCCCCTCCCACTCTCTTCCTCCTCCATCTGGATTGGAGCTGCCGCAGAATCCCTCTTCCTCGCCTTCAGACAGCCCCCCCCTCAGGAATGCCCGATCTTCTTCGTCCCCGATAAAACCAGACACAAACAGCCGTGGAGATCATCCCGCTTTCTCTTCACCCCTCCCAAATCCCTTCCCCAGCCGCCGGCGAGCTCCTCCTCTTCTTCTTCTTCCTCTCCGATGTCGATCATCTGCGGTTTTCCCCTCTTGGAGTGCGTCTACTGCTTGGGCTGCGCCCGCTGGGTGTGGAAGCGGAGCCTCCACACGGGAAACCGCGACAGCGAGACCTGGGGAACGGCCTCAGCGGTGGAATTCGAACCAGTGCCCCGTCTCTGCCGCTTGATCATGGCCATCTACGAGGAAGACCTCGAGAACCCTTGTCACCCCCCACCCGGCGGCTATGGCGTCAACCCTAAATGGGTACTCCGGAGGAGGACCTACGAGGAGACCAGAGGCCGAGCGCCGCCATATCTGATCTATCTGGACCACCGGAATTCAGACATAGTCGTCGCCATTAGAGGCCTCAACCTGGGGAAGGAGAGCGACTACGCCATTCTGGTCGACAACCGGCTCGGGAAGAAGCAAATCTACGGTGGGTATGTCCATAACGGGCTTCTGAAGGCGTCGGCTTGGATTCTCGACGTGGAGGGGGAGATGTTGAAGGAATCGTTGGCCGAGTATCCGGATTACACGTTGACTTTTGCGGGTCACTCGCTGGGCTCCGGGGTCGCCGCACTGTTGACCATGCTGGTGGTTCAGAACGGGGAGAGGCTCGGTGATGTTGAGAGGAAGCGGGTCCGGTGCTTCGCCATGGCTCCGGCGAGGTGCATGTCTCTCAGTCTGGCACTCGCCTACGCCGATGTCATCTTCTCTGTCGTCCTGCAGGCAAGTAGTCTCCTCTCCTTTTTTTTTTCCCTTCATTTTCGACACATCCCGGTGGATTCTTGTGAGAGATTTCAAAGCTCTGCAGCGTAGTTCATGTGGAATAGAATGATGGGTTCACCATTGAATCTCAGTTCTTCGTCTGGTTCAAGCTCTGATGGTGATTGGTCTCACTCAGGATGACTTCTTACCGCGGACAGCAACTCCCTTGGAGGATATCTTCAAGTCCATCGTCTGGTAAACCGAGACCCTCCCCCTCTTCTATCTTCTTCCTGAACCTCAGTGTGCCCCCTCCCTCCTCCCTCCTAGCTGAAGTTCTTGGGGTGCTCTCTGTTTGGGCAGTCTGCCGTGTGTGCTGTGCCTGAAGTGTCTGAGGGACACCTGCGTTCCGGAGGAGATCAAGTACAAGGACCCCAGGAGGCTCTATGCGCCTGGTCGGATATATCATATCATCGAGAGGAAGCCCTTCAGGTAGATATATACCTGCGATTATCACTTGAAATCAGGATGCCCAGAAAAAAAAGATTCTACCTTAAATTCTATTTTCGTTCTAGAAAATCATTCCGGTAGCCATTTTTAGGATGGTTACGCCGTCCATCAGATGCCCACCACGTAAAAATCTGACCTTTAATCTGTTGTTCTCGACAAAATTTATGCCCTTTGATAGCTCGAGATGGTACATAATACCCCAGCTGGTGGAAGAATTCCGACCGGAATTGGAAAGAATTTGACCTTCTGATCCCTTCGTCAAACTGAGTTGGTTGACCCATGGAGTTCGACGTAGGTGGGGGCGACTGCCGCCGGTGGTCCGGACAGGAGTGCCCGTGGAGGGCAGATTCGAGCACATCGTCCCTTCCTGCAACGCCACCTCGGACCACGCCATTGTCTGGATAGAGAGACAATCACAGAAAGCTCTGGATGTGAGTTTTTCTCGGAAATTACGCACAGAGAAGCTTCAGAGATGCCTGGTTTTAACAGCACCTCCTCCTCCTCTTCCTCCTGAGCTCAGCTGATGCTAGAGGAGGAAAGTGGCGCCGCCATGGAGATCCCGCCGGCGCAGAGGATAGAGCGGCAGGAGACCATCGTTAGAGACCACAAAGACGAGCAGCGCGCCGCCCTCCGGCGAGCCGTCACGCTGGACGTCCCACACGCCGTCTCCCCCTCGGCATACGGCACCTTCGACGGCGCCCACGCCGCGGCGGCGGCGCCCGGCAGTGAGAAGATGAGCTGGCAGGAGCTCATCCGGCGGGTCAGAGAGATAGACGGCGACTCTGTTCATACGTAATCTTTGGTGATATTCTTCCCGGCCTCGAAAACCTTTCTTTCCCCCTCGGAAACCTTCCTGGGGAGCTCCCATGGCGGCCGAAGAAGAGCTCCGGTGACTGTTCATATTCTCTTTCTTTGATTATTCCCCGGGCTCCGACGAAAAAAAAACTATTCCGGGCTGGTTTTTATTTATTTATTGAGGTAAATAAATTGAATAAGTTGTCTTATTTTGTATTTAACTGAAATTTAAAACCAGTTTTTTCGGAGGGAATTTTACTCTGAACGTGGTACGTTTTGTGAGAGTGATTGCGCGACAACTTGTCTAAACCTGTACCCGACCTGTACTGATTCAATCCTCTTACAGCCGCATTTTACTCGTGGGAATATAACTTACAGTAAACAGTGCCTGCGGACCGTCAGACCGGGCTTTGCGAACTCCAATCAGGATTTTGTATTCCGGCGTTTGGTTTACTGGATTCTGGGATCTCCAAAGTTGGAGATTTGTCAGGCGTCGTTTTTTCACTGCTCTGAAGCCGGCGGTTTCTCAGGGGAGACGTTGCCTCGCCGGTGAATGGAGGAGAAGGAGGCGCCGCCACCACCAGATCTTGAAGGCCCTTCCGGCGGGGAGTCGCCGGACCGGGCGAGAGAACCCCAAGAAGATTCCTCAGTGGACGTGAGGCCGTCGATGGACCGGGCCGAGATCTTGAGGGCACTGGAGATCGTTGAAAGGGATTCCGCTGCCATCGCTGAGAGCTTCGTCTCTCTCTTCTCTACTCTTCGTGCGGCCCTGTCGGAGGTCTCTGATTCCTCGATGCAGCTTTTCGATTTATGCTCCGTTTTCTTATTTTCTGAATTAGGACGGTCTCCTGAGGTAATATGAGTAGGGATGCTTCGGCGTCGGAAAATGCTTTGCGGTACAAAAATTACGCTATCCCTATCTCCTGTAACTAGTTTTTTGGTCGTGTGTCCTTTGCTTTAGTTGCTTGTTTGTGTGATGTCTTCCAACTCTGTTTGTCGTTTGAAAGCGGGAATTTAAGCCTTCGCAACGTTTAGTAATAATGATCCTCGAATTCGTGTTTTCTCGGAATTAATAGTCCATGAGGGAAATTATATGATGGAAAGAAAGAGAAGGACGCTGAACAGGAGAGGGGAGATATACGATAAGATCATGTAATAGGAATGTACACTGCAGATCGAAGCATTGGAGATTAGAAAAATCCGAAATAGCACGCCGTATATTTATCCTTCGCCCTGTGACTTTGTTAGCTATGTTGTAGTACGTGGTTAGTTTTTGTTGAAGATTCAATGGATCAGCTATGCATCAATCCTCACACTGAAGTAAAATATCTTACAAGCTACAACTTTTAGGTTCTCAGAAAAAATGAAAATGGATCTCTGTCGTCCAACAAGTATCTATCATAAATATTATTATTTTTTATCATTTAATTGGTTCTTGGCGTGTCTAACAGCATTTTGTACTCTGCATAGGTCAGCAGCACTTCAGTAGAGCATATGAGTTGTTTCAATGATGTTGTAGGCCGTCTCCAAGAATCCGGTATCTTTCTGAAACTACCAAGGTCTTTCTAGGATTTGGAATTTGATGGCATGATAGTACGTAGAAGTTTTTCGCATGTTTGGGGGTGTAGTACATCTCACGAGATGTAAAGCTGTTGAACGTGACGTTGACTTTAATCAGTTGTAATATTAATAGATGATCTTTTCAAAGAGATTCCTGTCTTGGGATGCATATTCAATTTTTCTCTTCTGTTTGCAGTGCTCGATGCAGCAGCCAAGGGAAATAGATACATGAATTCGTGCCTCAGGTTATTTCTTTTTTTATTTGATACATGGTTCATGATACAGTATTACCATCAATAGTAAGCTGTTTCATCGGATCTTGGGTGACCAGCCCCAGTTGAACAACCAGAAGAGCTTATGAAGGCTTTTTTATGCGCATTTATTTTAAATCTTGAAGGTTTTGAAAGATTGGTTTTGTCCTTGCGCCTTTGCCGAAATAGAATGATATCCACACAAGGTCCTATATTTTATGATGTTTACGGGAATTGAATGCTCTCACTCGGACGCACATACATCCGTTCAAATTTCCATAAAATACGAAGTCCCTTTCAGTTTTTTTTTCTTGTGTTGAAATGGTTTTACGTCGCTCAAAGATCGTTAGCATAACTCCAATGGCCTGGAAATTTCACAAAGTCAAAGTTGATCATACAACTACAAAAAAAGTGATTAAATGGCTTATCAAGTAGTCAAACGAGTCAAAATTTTCAAAAAAATATCAGTTCATTTAAGTGACTTCACAGTCAGCTGTTATGAAATATGATGGCAAAATAACATGAGGGAATGCTTTGAGGTTTCTCGAAGATTCTTTCTAATGTTCATAGGCTATAGCAGTATGGTGCAGGAAAAAGATAGCGAAGGTTCATGGTTTTGTCTCTAATTTAATGCCGATGCCATTGAAATCCTTGATCATTAAGATTTGAAGAACTCTGTCAGCCAAAACAGAAGAGGATGGGCGATCTTAACAGGAACACGCTAAGTAGGAGTTTTTTTTTTTTTTTTTTTTCTTCTGTAGTACTGGCAATCAAGATGGAATTTTCTTTAACAGCATTGCTTTTGGTGACATGAAGGCGTAGCCTGATTCTTTATTCTGCATGTTTTCTACAGATTAAATGAGGAAATGAAGGGGATGGAGAGTCTAGCTATGCAATTGTATCCTCTTATTCATCTCTTTGCAGTCAGATTTCTGATGCGTGCAGGCTGTTTTTATTATTTGTGTTGTCCTGTTCAGCCTCCGGACACGGTTTGCATCTAAAATCCTTTAAAAACTTTATGAAATGATCTTTCTGGTTTAGTCAATATTATGGTTTCTTTGACCAGCAATTACCATCCATCAGAAAATAAACCCTGAGATGGGCTCGCTTTGAAACCGGCCTAAGAATGACAAAGAGTAGTCAACGTTGATCCTCTCAGGAGATAGAACGCCAGCCGGTAGATATCAAGGTTTAGATGGCTTGAGATCGCTGACTAATTCTATGGAAATTTCCTTTTATGTTGGGCTTCCTGACGCGTGTTAAAGAAAGATCTTGAGGAGGAACGTTGACGTCCTGGACTCAGCGGTCAACCGGCTTCTGCGTCTCCAATGATCTCGGGCGTTGCTCTCTGTCACTGCCTGGGTATGATGAGCTGGCTTCACCCTAGATCTCATCTCAGATGGTGTTCATAAAGAGAGGGTTCGTTCCAAATTGCAAAGAACTAATCACTTTTCTGCCTTGGTTCGCTCATCTGTGTAGGATTGTCCGGGCTGGCAATCGACGGCTGCAGACTTCCGACCAGGTTCTTCGTGAACGATTCCTACTCGCCATTGTATCTTCCTTCTTTTATTGTAATTTCCCCCCTCTTATTTGTTATTTTTTCATAATGTGAACTTGAAAATTTCCCTTTTATTTCTTATTTTCTTCTTCATGAAATCTTGATTTTGTGAAGCTTTCTGGCTTGATTTTTCTTCCGGAGGTCATGGATTTCTATATGATAATATATCTAGAGAGAGAGAGAGAGAGAGAGAGAGAGAGAGAGAGAGAGAGTTGACCTGGGCACTGACGGCTCTAATGACGACAACTGATCGTCAACCATTTTCATCGGGTATTGAGCTCGGCTTCCTGCTAGTTGAAAAGTCGCCACGCGTAGTTTTTTTTAATAAAACCCCTCGGGATGTCTTCACAAAAACGTAAGCCGAGGAGCCGTCATCCACGTTTGCTTACCTTTCCTGCCAGTGGTGAAATCCAGTGGCCAATGCACGCTGCCGGTATGACCGACGATAACCAGTCAAATATCGAGAACAGCCAGCGGAAAGTGTCGACCAAGGTGAAGTGGTCTCCACGCGGCGGCCATTGCTGTGGAAACGGACAGTAACCGGTCAATCCCCGTGCCAAATCAGTTCACCTAGAGAGAGAGAGAGAGGATCTTAGCTGGTGGAAAAACTTGCTCGCTTGCCGGAGCAGGCTCCACTGTAGCACCGCTGCGGAAAGCGACGGAAGAAAGCGGGAGGGAATCGAGGAAGACGGAGGGGGGCGAATGCCGCCTGAGGCGAAAAGACAAAATCGGCGTTGCGTGATATCTTCTCCCCTTGCAGGTTGTGGACATCGAGTCGGAGGGGGGCAATTCCCTGCGACAGCTTCCAGCGGCGATCTTGGGGCTTCGTCTTCTCTCCGATCTTCCCTGTGAATATCCGATATCGTGTCCTCCACCTGCTGCGCCCGTTGGGGTTCACCGTGGAGGCGCTTCGATGATAAGATTTTGGGGGATAGTCTTGGGGATTTTCTCGATTTGTTTGCTCCCTGTGGCCGTCGTCGGGGGTGACATTGTGCACGCAGATGATGGTACCCCCAAGGGGCCTGGATGTTCCAACAACTTTGTTCTGGTGAGTTCGGATTCTCGATCCTCTGATATCGTCGGCTTCGGCCTGGCGAGACGAGCTGATTCTTGGATCCGTATTTAGTTCAGTCTACTGTCTTCTTCTTCTTCTTCTTCTTGTTTTTTGGGGGGGAACATCATTCCTGATTCGGAGAGACCTGGCATTCACTGCGCGAAGTGAACTGACGGGTCTGGTTCTTCTCGTATTTGCTTTTATTTTTGACATCTGCAGCAAGCCTTGCGCTTGGGAAAATTTCCTTCTCATTTTATCTTCAGTTGCCCTTCGGACTACGCAATTCTGTAAATTTATGGCTTAAAATTTCTCCGGCACTTTAGAACAAGGCTTGATGGCAATGATTGTTTGGGCACTGCGCAAGATGAGGCCGCTGATCATCGCTTCGGTTTTTAAACTCCTCCCCATCATGAGATTGTATAGGATGGTGGCCAGAGCTTCACCCGTTTGTACGAAGAAAAAACCGCTGCTAGGACTCGGAAGATAAGAAATTCGGGGATACAAGATTCATATAATGACTGGAAAGTTGGAAGCAATACGATCATTATGTGCCTATCCAAAACCGTTGCAGGTCAAACCAGTCGTTCGATCCTAACCCTGCGGAGAGTGGAATCTGAACCGTAAATCTATGACTAACAGAGTATAAAGGGCTTCTGTTGCAGCCTTCTGAAGTTAACTGTTCAGTTTTCTTACTCCAACTTCATGTAAGGCACCATTGGTTATTAAGCTTGGTATTTCATGTCAGACACCAAGACATAAAAACATAAAACACTCAGGCATGACATTCTGGCATCTATCATATTGCAGCAAACTGCATTGATTCATAGTCTGGAGAAAGGAAAGTGAGTGTTTAGTGGCACACTTTCGTTTTTCTTGAAAATCTTGCGGAGAAGATTTCAGAGAGCTGCTTCTAAGAGAACTCTTTGTAGTATGTCAAAGCTGTATATATTTTGTGTACAGATCTCATTTGATTTATAGCGTTCCCTTTTTTGTTAATTAAAATGCATTGCCCATAATCTGGCTGTTCTCAGGTAAAAGTCCAAACTTGGATTAATAACAAAGAAGACCATGAGTTTGTTGGTGTTGGTGCTCGCTTTGGTACTCCAATGCAGTCAAAAGAAAAGCATGCAAACAGAACCAAAGTTTCCCTTGCGGATCCACCTGATTGTTGCAGTCCACCAACAAAAGAGGTAACTTGTATTGACCTGGGCATTATCATTTTCTAATCAGGTATTTATGTGGAAGGTATTATGCTTTTTTCATGGTGAATGTATACCTTCCTTTCTCTGTTAGGTTGTTGGAGATGTTCTGCTAGTTCATCGAGGTAACTGCAAATTTACAACAAAGGCTAAGGTTGCTCAAGCTGCTGGTGCTTCTGCTATACTCATTATAAATAATCGCAAAGGTGTGCCATATTTTGTTGCATGCCATCTTAGTCATTTTGGAAATAGCATGTTTCTGTATACCAAGGTTATATACGTCCTCCTTGCGTGGCCATGGTTAACATGAATACCGCTCTTGAGCATAGCAAAACTAAGTGACGTGACATAGACTGTATACTGTTTTCTTTTTAATTTTCTCGCTTGGAATGCAGTTGACCCTGCTTGATGGTCAATTAAATGGCAAGTCTGTTTTAGTGTCTTTGTCCTATCCCATTCTAGCGTGTAAATCTGGTAGTTTTTAGGCTAATTTGTTGTATTAATGTTTTTAATTTTCCAGAACGGCAGAGGCATTGATTTTTTAGGCTGTGGTCTTTCGTATGAATCTCATACAGAGGTTGATTCAGCAGCAAGATGTTCATATTTACTATTTTTTGACAGAACTCTACAAGATGGTATGTGATCCGAATGAGACAGATCTGCATATTGGCATACCTGCTGTAATGTTGCCCAAGGATGCTGGTGCAAGTTTGGAAGGTAGTCTACAAAGTGGTGTTCCAGGTAAATCCTCTTCTTGACTCTGCAATCGACATAGGAGCAATTTTTGCATGCTTTACCACTATAAATGTGAGAGATTCTTTCCATAGTCAGCGTAATGGGAGGTTTTTTTTTAGCATAGCTTTTACTTTCTCTACAATGTAAGGTATTTGTGGGCCGTCGTGACATGCATACCATGCGTCCCAGGATAAGCAGGGTTTGATTGTGTTGGATTCGCTTTGGGACAGTGATATTTCTGGTGAATTATTTTTCCTTTCTCCCTATTACCACTTACAGATCCCGGAGATGAATTATGCCATGGTGGCTGAACGTATTTTGTGGTCATAATTTCTATACTCAGATATATGTGCTCGTCATCTGATATTTGAGTCTTCCTGACCGATTTCAATCACACCTTTGTTCAAAATGGGGACCTTATGTCGAAGTGAATAGGTGGAACAGAATCACAATTTCCTTCAGAGAGTTCAGGTTATAGGCTATGTCTGACCAACGTGAAATATTGGGTTCCAAGCTTCCAACGCTCTGAATTGTATTCCTTACTGTTAAAGAGCGATAAGAGTCAAAGAAAGTTATTGCTTCCTTTAGTTGAATATCTTTACATATTAATCATTGCTGTTTATAGTTGATTAGGTAGCAAATTCCTTCAGAGCGTGCAGTCTGTCAACAATCCCAGTTACTTTCTGGGCTTCTCTAATTTTTTAATATTTTTCCTCAGTCGCAGTGCAATTATACTCCCCAGATCGTCCACTCGTAGACACAGCAGAGGTTTTCTTATGGCTAATGGCAGTTGGCACCATTTTATGTGCCTCTTTTTGGTCAGCATGCAGTGCTAGAGCAGCTTCCATTGAGCATGAAAAACTATTGAAGGTCCCATCCCTAAATCTCTGTTAATCTTCTGCATTTGGTGGTTGTTCGTTGGAATAATATTTCCTATTGTTCCCAGCCCCCAGTTTGCTAAATCTATCTAATGAATTACTGATGTCCCAAATTTATTTTTATCCAGGATGGTCCTGAAGATTTTTCTGAGATTGAAAATACTGGTTCCAGTGGTGTGGTAGACATCAACACAACATCAGCGGTCCTCTTTGTTGTGATTGCTTCGTGCTTCCTAATCCTGCTATACAAGTTCATGTCCTTCTGGTTTGTGGAGATTTTGGTGGTTCTGTTTTGTATTGGAGGTGTTGAGGTTTGTACATCGTTTCCCATTGTTAAACTGTAGTTTATTTTTTATAATATGAAGGAAAATATGAGGTTTGGAATTTCAACCTAAGCAACATTGCGGCTGTTGTCTTTGATTGAAATGTGTTATTGTTATCAACATAGAAACTTGCTACCAATGAATGATGATCTGCCAGGAAGATCTGGTGGAAGGTTAAACACCCATCAACGTCTTTTAAATGTGTGAGAACCTTCATTCATTTATTTGTGCATGATACTTCAATAAAATGTTGAGCGTTAGACAAAGTAATTTTTTTAATGTAGTTTATTCTGTACATGCACGTAAACTAAATAAATGTTAAAGTCAGTAACGAGGAATAAGTCAAAAACATGATTTCATAGATAGTATTTATGCTGGAAATAGTAATATCGATGGAGGATCATAGCCTATTTGAGAATTTGATTTGAACTCATGTTTAATTGGGTTGAAGTCCATATTATATCGGGTAGAGCTCTATGAAATAGTGATCTAATATTCGTTGTTTGTGATCCTTAGGCTTTTAGAACTGATAGATTTAATCAACAGACAATGAGCTTAAGCCTTCTCCTGAAAATCTTGGATTTGTCTAACCCCTGATAGGCTTGGCCCCACCCTTTCACACGTTGGATTTTGCCAACTTTTGCAGACTTTGGCCCCACTTCTAGGGATGGCTGACTTGAACCCCTTTATGAGATAATGAGTTTTAGTTCACTCCTCGGATGTATTTTTGAACGGATTCCAGCATATTGTTGGAGACGTTTAATCAGCCCAACTTATAATGGTCTTTGGTCGATTTCTGAAGATTTTAGGCCTGCCCGAGCTCAAGCGAGTCTTGGCTCACCATTGTGGATGTTGGATTTGCCTAATAATGAAATCTTTGAGGGTAGTTTACCTTTTCTCTCTTCCTCATTACAAAATTTGTACCACAATCTTCTGTTGTGTAGCATGTATTGATGAATACCCTCTGTTGGAGAACACGATCATCTAAAAATACAGTATTGAGCTGAATCAGTCAATTTTCAATCTCTCCACGGGAGATGCGGGGATGTTTTGGCCTTAAACTTTTATAATCAATGGATTCTTAGGAAAACCCTGAGTTGGTGAAAACTGAGAATACAACGATGAGGAGTCTGAACCTCGTTTTGAAAGCTTCACGGTAATAGTGTGGCCTTTAGGGATTATCATATGACGTTTATTTGGGGTTATTTGTTGACAACGCATATATTTTAGTAGTAATGACCCAATAAGCCGATGAGCTACAGTACCCATGTATTATATTAGGATGATTCTATGACTCTTGAGCATGTATCCTTTTTTTCTGATCTGATTGGAATGTCTTTTGCTGGACTTATCTTTTTTCCATTTCTATTTTCAGGGACTTCAAACTTGTTTGGTTGCATTGTTATCACGGTATGTCGGGTAAATTTTATTTGAAATGTTTTAAATTTACGGAGTTAGCCTTTCTTAAATATACTGATTGGAGTTAGCTAAATCGATGACTAAGGTGTAAAAATTCATCGAGTTGAAATTTGGTTATGCTACTTGTACGTACTAGTACATTGACCATCGAGATAAATTGCAAGTCTGTATCAATGTTTTTTATTTATTTCCTTACATTTTATTTGTATATCTCCTAGATCATGGTAATTTCTAAAATGGGAAAGCTGTTATTTCCGAGGAGAGGATCACCATGATTCATTTTATATTACTGACTTATTGTAGTTTCATTCCCACCCCATTTGTGCAATACTATCATGGAACCATAGAGTGGTGGTAACCAATATATCCAACACAAACCATAGTCTTTTTCATATTCCATCATCGAATTCGGACTATTTTTGTGAATAGTGTTTTTAAGCTCACTCTAGAAAAAGGTTAGACTTTTAAATTGTCATGTCTTCAGTCAGAGTGTCACCAAGGCGAATAGGGAAACCGTGACAGATGATAATATTAATACTACAAGTACTTTTCTTATTGTCGTAAGGTTTGATCATTTCTGAATCATATAATAACCATGCAAAATCCATAGATTCATTCTGAAAGTCGGATGTCTGAAAATCCAGTCTGAAGCTTGTCTTTAATGCTAATTGGCTGCTTTTTCTTAATGAAACCATATGGAGGAGAGATCTAGTAATACACGAATGGAGTTGAGACTTTGGGCTAACTTTGATTATGTCCCTTCAATCCGTGAAGAAAATATACCTCAATGTAAACCTTCACCTTCATCCTTTTCTCCTGTTCCAAGACCGGCAATGTAAGTATAGCTTATCTAAACAACTCGTTCGATGATCATTTGTCCCTGAATAGAATGGACTGTGGCAGTGACGTTTTGCTGTTTATGACGAAATGCAAAGTCTAAAAGCTTCTTGAGGGGGATCAGAACGCATGAAATATCCCCTAGAAGAGTGAAAAAAATCAAGGTGCAGACAGTGCACCCCTCGTGGAGGCACGAGGAACTCAGTATGATAGCTAGTGATTGCACCTATGAGCGACCATCTAGTATTGAAATGTTTGGAACTGGTGTTGACATGTCGACTTTGGAAGAACGTGCGCGCCAGACACCGGATTGTCGTTCTTTCCAGGAACTACTGCCTTTTCTCTCTCTGAGGTTTCAGCTACCTTCACACGCCCTTTTATGAAAGTGAGAGCGCCTTGGAAACCAAGATTTTAACGCCTCTTTCCTCTGTATAATCTTTCTGCTGAGATGCCACTTTCCAACTCACGGATGCATCTATGATGAAAGTTTGACATGCTGCCTTAACTAGAACTATAAATAAAATTCTCATTTCTGCCCATATTCTTCGTAAATGTTTAATTCCTCAAGTGTACGCAGTATTATTTTATTTTTTTCAGTGAACTACACGCTTTCATGCATTTCAGGTGGTTTAAACATGCTGGAGAATCTTTTGTTAAAGTTCCTTTCCTCGGAGCAGTTTCATACCTCACACTGGCTGTTTCTCCGTTCTGCGTAATATTTGCTGTCATTTGGGCTATTTATCGCCGTGTATATTTTGCCTGGATTGGCCAAGATATCCTTGTAAGGAAATATTTCTATCTCTTACTATTTCTTTATAATCGAATTTTTCATTGATCTAGATCTATTATGCGCTGTAAGTTGTCTTTCATTTATTTCTATAATCTGCATGTACACAAGTGGAAACTGGAAAATAAATGTTAAATTTGTTGAAAAAAGTCAAAGCGATGTTATGTTCCATTGCAGAAGGCCAAATTGATGTCCCACGTATGAAAGTTTCAGTCTCATGTATTTTTCATATTCAACAAGATGTTAATTGTTTCGCTGAAATTTACGTCGACCATATTCTTCTTCTCTCTGACTCTTCTGGTTATTTCCAATTAGGGTATCGCCTTGATAATCACAGTACTGCAGATTGTTCACGTGCCAAACCTAAAGGTACCTTTATCCTTTCATTTCATGCTTTGAATCAGTGTTTAGATTGACATTTGATGGAGTCCAAGGGACGATCCCGTTGTAATGGCTGCTACCACGGATAGGATCATAGAATCGTAATATGATATATTTCGGGATTCGAAAAATATATGACGCAAAATGAGTTCATGCAAAAAGAATGGGTTATCTTCAGATGCTTGCCGAATAAAATACAAGGTGTATGAATTCATGTGGTTCATGAAAAAAATAGTAAACTTGGCTCGTTTAAGATGTTTGTGCAGAGATACAATCGATAGCTTGACTTACCTTCTGCGTTGCATCTCTCTTTCTCCACACCATTTGTCTTCCCCCATAGATTTTGACAATGATGTAATGTGAAGGATTTTGCGGGGTTTAATGCTTTTAAGATTAAAAAAAATTAATCTGATGTAGATTAGATCGGAATCCAGTAACGCACAGAGGAACTGATGATCCAAGAAGACTTCACAATATTCAATAATCTGCGTTGCTTCATTATTGAATCAAAACGGACAAGGAAAATTTTCATTGGGAACTATTCAATCTGTGAAAAATGCCATTTTTCAAATAAGTACAGTAGACAAACTTGTTGAGTGGCCATTTTTCTCCAGATGTCCCATCAGAAATTTCCGCAAGTACTCCAAAGGCGGGATTCGAATTCAGCACGTGTTTCCTGTACACTACTACTAGCATTCACCTCGTAGGTTAATCTTTTTATCTGCTCGAAAACTTTCATTCCTTGCAAAAGCTTGCCTCGTATTATCTTTTTATTATTTTCATGGTGTAAATGGCTACTTACATCATGACCTGATATTGGAATTTGACCATGATGGATGCATGTAACCGTACACAAGAGCACACATCCACTTTGATACCCAACGCATGCTCGACCCAGCCCATGTACTGCCATTCCAATTGTTGTTCTCGTGGATCAAAATCGGCGCCATGTCTTGTCTGTTCCGGTTTTCATTAGTTATCTCCTAGCTAATATCTCGCTTCTACTTGTTATCAGGTTGGGACAGTTCTTCTCGGTTGTGCCTTCCTGTATGACATCTTCTGGGTGTTTGTTTCGAAGGCCTTGTTCCACGAAAGTGTAATGATAGTGGTAGGTAGTTCATTGTTCACCCGTTGCCCTAAATTAGAGAGAGAGAGAGAGAATACAAGGGTCGCCTCCTTACGTGCTCGTTAATTTCTGGAGGTCTTCTTCTTGTTTAGTCAGGTTTATTTCCTTGTAGGTTGCCCGCGGTGACAACAGTGGAGAAGATGGCGTTCCCATGCTACTCAAGATTCCACGTATGTTTGATCCATGGGGTGGATACAGCATCATTGGATTTGGCGACATCCTTCTCCCAGGGCTTCTAATCGCATTCGCACTGAGGTAACCAACTTATTCTCTCCATTGGGTAATGTTTTTCATTTTCCATGGTTTTAATGCGGGTTTCAATTATTTCAGCTGCATGTTCTTCCACAGAACATTTTGCCTTAGATGATTGTCTCTTCTATTTGCGTAAATTCATTGTATTTCGATCTATTTTTAGCATGATCTTAGAGCATTCTGACCGTGGAATAATGGCTTCCCATGTATGTTGTGAGCCTTACTAAAGATGAGAAACCTCTGGTCCACGTTGGTTCATCTCATTGAAGGCCTTATATATCAGTCAATCCATTGAGGGCCAAGATTGACAGGGAACTCGATGTTATCTGATCGATTTTTCTAGGGACTATCTATCATAAACTGAATTGAATATATACAGCAAACGGTCATAAGAAGAACAGAAAATGAGCCATGGCATTTAATTTTTTTTTTAAATTCTTAAGAAAGAAAAATATCTAAATGGTTTCATTTCCAGATATTTTTTCTGAGAATTACTCGTAGATTATAGACTTCTTTCTCCATTTATACAGCAAACAGTCACAGGAGGAATGAAAAATGTGCCGTAGCATTTAATTAATTTATTTTTAAAAATTTTTATAAATAAAAAGATCTAAATGCTCTCATTTCCAGAGATGTTTCTGAAAAATACTTGTAGATTATAGAATTCTTTCTCCATTTAACAGCAAACGGTCATAAGAGGAATGAAAAATATGCCGTAGCATTGATTTTTTTTAAAAAAAAAATCTTAAGAAAGGAAAAGATCTAAATGGTTTCAATTCCAGAGAATTTTTCTGAAACTTACTCTTCGATTGAAAACTTCTTTCTCCATTTATAAATTTATATTGCATTTGTGTATGTTTGTTGATGATGCCACAAGCAATGTAAGCCTCCGGCAACGGGTGACGTTTGTTTCAGAATCTACTGATGGCAGAGACAAATTACCCTTTTTTATTCTCGTTGAAATAATTAGAAAAAAAGAAAAAAAGAAAACGCCTTGTCCCACATGAGAAGAAACCTTGGGAGATGAATCATCTCTCTGGGTGCCGTCTATTTCTCCTGCAATCAGTTTCTAAAGTTCGCTGGTATATTTACGTCGCATTAATTGTAGATAAATGAATTAAATAGATCCGAATGCGTGGATCCAACGCGGAGGATCTAAATATTTACGTCTTATCTGCAGGTACGATTGGGCTGCCAAGAAAAGGCTGCGAGACGGCTACTTCCTATGGTCCATGCTGGCTTATGGCTCTGGTGAGACCACTATAGCTCCTCCCCTCCCCCCGTCTAAGAAATATTGTACGACGTAGAGGAGTGGGCCCCTCGATGGGCCTTCGGGCCCGGGCCCGGGCCGAACCTTTTAACAACCCTCGTGATCACATTTTGGGTCTCTCTTCATAATTTTCTCATTGGCCCCTCTCTGATAAATAAAGCCCGTGGGTTTTGCAGGCCTCCTAGTCACGTACGTGGCTCTGAACATGATGGACGGGCACGGGCAACCCGCACTCCTTTACATCGTTCCTTTTACTCTGGGTATGTCAACGTCCGGGCAGGCCCTTTTTGCTTTCGTTCTTGTTTCTTATCCCCTGCCATCTTGGGCCCGAAAAAAAATCAAGTTTTATACAATGGGAGTGGGCCCTTTTGCTTGGCACATGGGTGTCCGGTGACCGGGCTTTTTTTTCTTCTTTTGAGCGGGCCGGCCCGTTCGACTGTTAACTGCATGCCCCACCTCCCCTTTCTTTGCAGGAACGTTCTTGGCGTTGGGCAGGAAGAGAAGAGAGCTCGGAGTTCTGTGGTCCAAAGGGGAACCGGATAGGACGTGCCCTCACGCACAGCCCCCCCAGCCCGCCCAGCCCGCCCACTGAGAATCAGCCAGCCACGCGTTGTATATTTTGTTGCATCGTCTTGAGCTCCCATGTCTCTTATCCTCTCTCTCCCCCCTACCCAGAGAAAAAAGAGAAAAAGGGGCTGGAGCTTGCCTCTTTAATTTAGTTAGACGCCGTCATTCGCTGCCGGTCGGCTCTTCGCACACCCATGATCCTCTCTCTCTCTATCTCTCTCTCTCACTGACATAGGTGCGTAGGGAGGGCCGGCCCCGTTTTGTAAGGATCGTTGAGCCTTTTAAACGATGACTTGGGGACGGGCGAGAGTCAGCTCATCTCTACAGCACACATACGTAGGGAACTGATCGGAGATAAGAATCAAGAGGAAGAGCAGAAGTTGAACTCCAATCAAAACTCCGCGGGGAAGAGCGGGTATAGTGATTACTCCCATTGGAAAACAGTGAGAGGAACAAAATCCAATCGCCAAACCCAGGCCTAAACCCAAACCTCCCCCTCTGTGAGAATTAGCTTGAATTTAGTCGGAAACCCAAAGGCCGGATAAAACTCCTCAACCCCGCCGAATCACCGCGGTTACGGTAAGGTACCAACCTACCCTCGGGAGAAGAGGGGACTCCACATGCCATCGGCAAGCACTGAGAAAAACTTGCACAGCACAGCAGATAGAGAGAGAGAGAGAGAGAGAGAGGCGTGACTTCACAGGAGAGGGGCCTCCTCAAAAGAGCCTATGCAAAGGAATGGCCTGCAATGTACATCAGCCGGGGATTTGGCGGCTCACCTCTGATACAGCCCTGCAGAGAAGAAGTGGTTTTTTTGAGTGACTGCCGGGGATATTTGCTTTCTTCTATGACGATGAAGTCAAAACAGGTGGACTACGCTCCCTCCAAATGGGGATAGCTCACTCAGGTCAACTACCAAGACAGATCCGATTCGAGGTATTTATGAACCCACGGTGCCCTCGTCCCAAGGAGAAAATCCGAGGGAATTAACAAAATGCCGGAAGATAAGAATCCGGGGACGAGGCTGTAGAGATTTTGGTATTGGAGAGAATTTCTTCACATCCTAAGGCAAACAGATGTTCTGTGATGTGGGTACATGAGACCATGGAAGTTTGGAGATAGATCGAATTCTTAAAATTATACGGATCAAAGGTTTGTTTTTGGTAATTTAGCGGGCGGGTTTTCTCAAAGAAGATCCCTAACATTAAAATCAGGTGTTAAATGTACCAAGGCCCTGGTTGAATAGTTTTAATCTTCCAAGAGAAAAGAAGAGAGAAGAGAGAGAGATGGGTTCCTTAATGGAGTTACTGTCACAATCGAAGTGGAATTATCTCAGGCGAGTGCACAAACACCAGAAACAGGAAGCCACCTCAAGAAAGGTCATTAAATGGATGATCACACAAGATTACATGTGATATAGTTTGGATGAATCGAAGTATCAGTTGATTGTCTTCGCAGTGGAATAATGAAGAGGAACTCCGCTTTCCCTAAATCTCATGTGGTATTATGAAAAGGGCTAAAGAAAAGGCTCCTACCATGGTATTTCGTGCAGAAAAAAAGACTTTGAATAGGTGGAGTTAGGGTCGAGGTACCACAACGAACAGGAGTATGAGTATAAGAGGAAAAAGTCCAACCAGAATCATTTCATCGTAAATGTGATGCCTACCAATATGGGAAGGAATGGGAGAGAGAGAGAGAGAGAGACAGACAGAGGGACAGAGGGAGCATACCTGTGTATCTCTGTGAGGAGCAGCTGCCATTCACAGACAATGGTACTAGTTTCCTTTCCTGACTCAAAGACAACATTTCTTGCATTCTTTCAGGCCAATCCGAGTTTAGTCTCCTGGCAAAATCTTCCACTTCCCTGCAAATTTATCGCACAAGTAATCCATGCAAAGGTCATTGAACTTTGTTTCTTCAGCATCTCACATACAGGCCAGCCCAGGCTGCATCATATCGCCACCAAAAAAAATCATAATAACAGATAAAATCAAGGAAAGAATGTGCACCTAGCATGACTGAATTCTTGTAACACAGGAAAGCACGAAAAAATTACTGATAAACATATAAGTTTTTCTTAGTATGATGAGCATCATCAGCTGCCCACTAGTCATTCCGTGATCCATCTGTTTTTCCCCTACTCTTTGAATGTGTCTCCTCTGACAGCTGAAAAATCCCCCCGATGTGGAGCTATCAGCTATCTTTGGAGCTCTACCGAAATTAATGTTTATATACCTGCTTGTTCGACAGGGATTGGCCTATCCCAGGGACAGTTTGTCTCATTAATACCCAATTGGGAAGGGACTAATTATGATCTAAATCAGAACCGAGCAATTCTACACACCTTGCTCTAAACTAGCGTCTCGGCAGACTCTGCCAATGAAGCACCTGCGGGGATTCAATGATAATAATTCGATGTGAGACATTGACTCTGCCAATGAGCAAGTCTTTGTCAGATACCACTGCCATTCACTGGAGATGTCATACGCCACGCTAAAAGGGGCAATGCTGCTTCAAACTGAAAGGACTTATGCATTCCTCCAAGCATACTTAACATTGTCCCAAATTCAGCAATCTTAGCCGAAAAAGTTTCTTTATGAACTAGATTGAGGCATAAATCAATTTTCACGGACTCCATAACAATAATTTATTAAAATATTTCAGTTACTAAAACTAGTTGGTACTGAAAAGGTAAAACAGTGTTGTAGCGCATTTGCTTAAGCTATCTTGCCGCAAATGTTTAGCCGTTTACCAAATAAAACAAGGGGCTTGCTTTCGCAAAATTTCACACAAGGTTTATGAAAAGACAATACAAATATTGGCGAACAAAAAAATCAAAAATAAATGGCGCTACTCCACACAACACCAAAATAGACCATCGGAAGGGATGACATACAGTTAATTCAAATCTACACACGCTTCAGATTTGCAACAGGAAAAGCAACAACATTTTACTAACAAGCTGGTGCAATTTAACGAACCTGTCAAGCTCTTCCTTCATTGCAGGATCAAGTTCGTCATCAATGTCAACATCTTCAAATTGATCTTCCTGAGTAAATTCATCTTCACCAACATCACGAAGTTTTAAACTTTGACTAGCCTCAAGATTGCTTTCAGCATTACAAGACGAAGTACAAATGTTGTCTGCCTCCTAAAGTCAACAACAGCAAACATTCTATCAGGAATGACACAGCAAAGATGATTTTCAAAAAAAAATCTTCCGAAAAAATGTAAAAAACCTGCGTGAGGTTTTTGCTTGAGTCGACTAAGGAGGAATTCTTCAATTGAAATTTTTTTCTCCGATTCTTCTTTTTATGTTTGGCTACTCTACTTCCTTTCGAATCTGTACAGGATAAAGAAAGTTGGTATCAGACCTCGGAATGTTTCAAGCTTATTGATGATCAACAAAAACATTTAATCCTCACTCCGTTAAAAAAAATAAATATTAGCGTGCCCTTCTTTTCAGAGTTCCATCAGGATACAGTTTTCACCTGTTTGAAAACCACAAACTATCCCTCGATTAAACCGTTTGCCCTTTCCCCTCCTATTGACTAGATCCCCCAAGAGAATCTGTAAGATGTGGCAGCTGGGAATGAAAATTATAAAACCCTACCACAAAAAGAATCGGTTTTCCATACACAACATGACAAATGGATCTGGAGTCTCCACTTTCTCCTTCCCATGCAAACGCAAGTTATTCTCGATCCACGTAACCATGGTCATAGTTATCTAGTTTACATTACACCATTTGGGTGATCTCTCATGATCTACTGATGGAAAATAACCCTTTTACTCTCAACATAAGAACATAAGGTAAAAGTACATTACCCAGGATTACATCATTAAGGTTCTCTTCTTGAAGTGGATAGTACCACATACTTATCAAAATCCAAAGTGAGAAAGAGATATACATGGTGTAATTGTGCTGAAAAAACCCCTGAACGGAAGTATTTTGGGTTTCATCCAGGTTTTGAACACTATTAAAAAGTGTATAATTCATAAAGTACGCTTTACATTATACTAATTCACGGTATTATAAAAGTTCACGCTGCTGAGGAATGTATCAGACAAAAAAGGATTCAAAACATTAATGCAAGCACTGCCACGAGCATCTATGATTGTATTCCCAGAAAACTGTTCAGAAAGAATGGGATAAAAACAGGCTGGCCTTTTGGTTTCTATGTCCTAAAAAACATAATGTCCTACTAAGGTCGCAATTCTCAAAGTTGAATGCATTTTCTAGAATGTATACACTTGTTTGATAAAAAATATTGTCCTCTCATACTCTATGATTTATCAAGTTCACTACATAGAGCTTTATAGTGTCGTCTTACCCCACATGAATTCGAATATTTCACCTTAGAAATAACTTCCATGCTGGGACCAAAGCTAGATTCTTGGCTTCCCCAAGAAAAATAACGGAGAAATGGGAGAAAAGAAAAAAAAGATTGATAAAAACTATTTTCATCATTCCAATGACAATAGATGCAGTTTGTGTATCCTTCTTTCCCATCCCTTTTCTAGTTTCAAGATTTGCGGAAAACAGTTCATTATGGCTGTTGCCATTGTCGTACTTATCACTGCCGGTATTGTTTTGTTCCCGCCATTATTGTTGACGGATAATCATATGAAGTGACAATGAACAAACTGATAATGGTGCTGGTTCTCTGATAGAGTAAACTACCCAGCACGAGTCACATTGATATCCAAATCTTTGCCTCCACCTGCCTAGTTTTAAGGGTTATAAGCTGTCTCCATTCAGCCAAACACCAAGCTGTAGTTTCCTACAGCTTGTCTCCTCCCCAATTCTCTTTCTTATTCGTCCTATTTCTTTCCCTATTTGGCATTACCATCCCCATCTTCATCTCTCTCCATCCATCTCTTCAGCCTCTCTATCCGACAGTTCTTCCTTTTTTCTCTGTCAGCTCTATCCAAGTCCGCATTCTTTTCTATATCTGTCATTTCCATTAATCTATCCTTGAATATCTTCTCTCTAACCCCCAATAAATCACCTCTCATTCTGTTTCTTTGGTCTTTCAGCTCTACATACCAACTCCCCATAAAAACCCAGTGCACCGACTTCACATTTTTTTTCCTTTACTGATCTCCTCTCTTTTCTTCTATTCCATAAAATCTTCCATCACTTAATACAGAATCATCCCCTCCCCATCAGTTTTCCTAGACGACCTTATGTCACAGTTATTACATAAAGTAATGACTGGGGCCCAGAACAATTCGAGGAACACTAGAGCACCAATCAAAATGACCCAAAATAAATACTCTCCGACAAAGCATTTCCATTGATGTCAAATCAGCTTGACAACTAGCAACGAAAAGTTCATTAAGTTCTAGGGTCCATATACGTATAAGTGCATATGAGGGGGGGGGGGGGGGAGAGAGAGAGAGAGAGAGAGAGAGAGAGAGAGAGAGAGAGAGAGAGAGACGGAGAGTTCTTTCATGACATACATTGAACTGTAAATGTGGAAATAAGGATGCTAATGTTTTAAATACACGGAAAGAGCATGTTGAATCGAGTTAGAACTTAGAGCAAATATAGACCTAAGATATTTCCATAGAAAGTACTAAATACTAGACAAAAGTATGGTTTGCTGTTTCGAAGCAAACACTCGTTTGATACCACAAAGCGAGAGCTAATTAGAAAAAAAAACTCCCACCAAATTGAGAGAAAGGAAAATATAGATCTGACTATTATGGATGACAATTGACCAGGCATTTATATCCTTATAACCAAACAGACTGTTAGGTTGCACAGATTTGATTTCACAAAAAAATATAATATACAAAAAAAAGTAATTAGACGCTTAAATGTATTGACAGATTACCAAAAAAAGAGGCCAAATGGCAGTTTACCATAAATGCCAAAACGAAATGACAGCTCTTTTGGATTGGCAGGCAAGCATGAAGTTATTTCCATTAAGGTTCAGATATTTTGAACGAGAAAAGGAGAGCACTAATAAGTATTTTGCATAATAGCAAAATAATTCTTCGATTATTACCTTCGTTATCTCCATTTATAAAGGAAAGAAGATCATCAACTGAACGCTCATCAACATGTTCCTCTAATCGTTGTTCGTCAACTTCAGGATCCTTAATCAGATAAAAATGGTTAGGACTCAAGATCATTTACGAAATAAAAACTTCGATGCAAGTTCCATCAGTGAACAGTCAACAGCAAATCAACCCAATAAGCTAGCAACCAACAAATTGAAAGGAAACGCTGGTTCTTTATCTTGTGGAAAATAGATGATCTAAACTGAAAGAGGAAATCTATTCAATATATCTAGAAGATTAACCTATAGGTTCGAAGATGTACAATTCAGCGTAGCACAAAAAAATGATTTATAAGAACTGCAAAGCAACACTCTCGTCTTTGTTAGATGTAAAACCAGGATGATGCAGCTACCTTCAATTTCTGTCTCTCTTTTAATTCTTTTCTTTTTTTGGCATAAAGTCGATTCAACAGTCGAATTCGAAGATCATCAGTCGTGTTTCTCAAAGGTTCCAACTTTTCCTCCTGAAATTACCACATCAATGAGCGAGGAACAAAAACAAAGAAAAATAAAAAAAGAATCCTAACATGTACCTCTGTAAGGTCATCAGGCAGATGAAATGTCTCCCTAATCTCCTCAGGAGTTTTTCCTTCAATCATACGAGCTAGTGCTCTGCTAGTTAGATCAACCAAGGGCCTCAGTTGAAGGCTATCAGCAGCGGATGTCAACTCACATAACCGCTTTGTGTCCATTCGAATGAACTTCTCATCAAAGGATTTTCGCTCCTAATTGATAGATTTCACAAATTGAGAGAGAAAGATAACCAGCAGCAAAAACAAATAACAAAATTGTCTTCGTTAACATTTCTAGGTTTCAATTGAAGTCAGAACGACGATAAAGAGAAATGAATCAAACTCGAACTACCACGCATTCGGTATACTTTAAACCATACTCTTGAGAAAAAGAACAACAAAAGGATGTCAGGATACAGGAGAAAAATCTGGCAGACCTTATTAGATCGACCAGGAACTTGATGAAACCGGCAATAATCAAGTATGAGACTAAGCATAACTGGATTAACACGCTGCGGGAGAGAAATAGCATGATTTTTTGAAGTTCCCATTCCCGTCTGAAGGATTTCGTGTATCATGGGACTGAACATGGCAACCTCCTCCTCTACTTGCTGGATTGATCCATCAGAAGTTTGAAGCCAGATATAAGATTTCATCATCTGTGAGATTTCACAGAAAGAAACGCATGAACTTAGTTTCCACTGAAAACATCAGTCATAAAATAAAAGTTATACGTTTAATGAAAATACTGAAAATGCAGTATGAAATTAATGCAAGGATATTTCTTTCTAACTCAAATATTCGCACCAAAAGTACCTAAAAACGAGCAATCCTATATATATATATATATATATATATATATACATATATAAAAATGAACAAGGGAAGACGTCATTCTTGGATCTCGAGGCGTATGAGATCCTTAGGCTCATAAGTTTCTAGAAAATATCATATTTTTAGAACGCAGTGGTCATATGTCTAAAATTCCTCTCTCTTTTTATGTTAATGCGTAAAGTGAATTATCCGCTTTCAAAAGAAGAAACTGGTGAACAAGGGTACGAGTCACATACCTCCCTACCAACGACTGCCATTTTTCTTCTGAAAATTGCGTAAACCCTGTTGTGTGAGAAGCTTTTCAGTAGCCTCTTGAGAAGTTGTTAGGTAGCTCTTAAGAACTTAGTACGAAATCCACAGCCTTTCTGATGCAGCGAACTGTTGGTTCCATGATGACCACCAGGGTTGTCACAAATCCGACGATGGAGAGTATATCTAACCATAATAATAATATCGCCCTCCTTTTCTCCAACTATGGTCAAGTAAAAAATTCAGTAAATTAAAAGGTTCATCATGCAAAATATTTATTCCACAAGGATCAAAAAAATCATTCTTAAGAAAAGGAATCCTGGTTCAGTAGAGGGAAAAGGGGTTACAGAAAGCACAAGAACGAAACTTACCTTTAAAATGAAAATAACTCAGCCCCATGTTATGGATATTTCATGGATGTATATTATGAATATAAGACCAAATGGATCATTTAAATTAGCAACGGACTCAACATATTGCAAATGAAACACGTTTTCTTCGCTATTCAAGGTCAACCAATCCGATCTTTCATTTTTTAAGCGTTTAAATCATAGGAAAAAAAAATCTCAACACACCGCTTCAAGGTCCTCCAACTTCAAAGCGGCCTAAATTTTAACTGAAAAACATAGAACAATAATGTGGTGAAACATTCTTATGGTTATTAACGTATTACCGTGAGAGTGGTAAATCAAAATAGTAAAAAAATGTAATTTGGATTGTTAATCGGAACATGACTTCCCATATCACTTATAACCGGATACCTTCATAAAAAGAGTGCTTTGGATTGTAAACTTCGTGAGGGAAAGCACTTCTGTGTCATATTTAATCCGCGTTTGCTAAAGTCATTTGGAAATTGCAACTCCACAGCAGGGTTCTGACAAAGGATGATATTATGATCAACGTACGGAGCTACATAACCACTCTAGCTACCTCCCATAAGTCGAAATGGCCACAAACTTCATATGCAAACCAATGCGCGGCAGCTGAACCTCAATGAAGTGTGCAATGAGGGACAGGATCTAGCGATCCCAGCTTTGTATTGTCAATAATTCAATGTGTGAACCACTGACTAAGCGCTAGCTGCTCCAACGCAGCAAAATCTGATCCATTGGCAAAGTAAAGGCAAGGCTTGTGATGGTTTGAGCTCAACCGGAGTACCCCCTCAAATAAGAGTTTAAGATCGTAGACTAAAAAATTGACACATATATCACAAATGTGTGGAAATGACCCGTACATTGTGACACCACAAACCTATTTATATATATCAAGATTTAACAGTTTTGTCGTTCATCTCACGACTTTATTCTCCGATTTGAATCTATTCACGACTTTTTCATTAAAACGAAATAAAATTGAAAGAAAAGGAGATGTGATCCTCGTGAATTCTTTCACCCTGGACTACCATCCTGACAGCAATCCTGAACAGAATTTGCCACTCTCCATTCCCAACAACGCTCGCCGGTGGGATAAAAGAGGTCAAAACGTTACACAAAAAAATCCGGACGAAAGACCAGGAACTAACCGGGACAGAAATACGAGAACACAGCCAACGGGAACGTCGCTCGAAACAAGATGGAGTACCAAAACGAAGATGCTAGGATTGCACTGGACCTTCAATTCCCACCTTCAGGCCGCTGTCGAAGACGAGGCGAGGAACGGGGAATAACAGAAGGGCGGTGAACGGATAACGAAGTCACGATGGTGAGAGAGCGAGAAACGACAGGAGGTGGGAAGGATGATGATATGTACGGGGAAAATGGTGGGGCAGAAGGCTGGAGGGAGAGAGAGAGAGAGGAGCTAGGGTTTTTAATTTTGTTACCTTTGTTCTCCTCTATTCATCTCTGGGCCTCTTCTCCGACGCTGGCGGCGCCCGACCCACACTAGCATCCCGACACGATTCTGACACACGGCAAATAGGTGCCGTCTATCCGCCAATTAGAGCACTTTCACACAGAGCGCACGTGCCAATCTCCGATGAACAGTCCATTGTGGTCAACCACTGTTGGGTGAGTCCTCGTCGTCGAGTAGACGGGGTCAACGTGAAAGAGGAGGAAGTTTGCGGCCCGCAGTAGTTCTTCCGGTCCCTGCAACAACCGAATGGCGTGCCAAAACAAGGAAGAACTCCTCCATACTTTCAATAGGAATCTTATATTCAATAAGTATATGTGATTCTTTTTTTTTGGATTTTTTTTAATTCCGATTGTGTACGCCACTCACCCTGAGCCAAGGCATAGACGTCACGTCCAATGTGCCAATTAATGGGCTGACTTGGGCCTGGACCGTACGTTTTAAGAATTTGGCCTAAAAGGCCAGAATTTTTATTTTAATAATGTGTATGTTTCTTATATTCAGTGTTTATTCGGCCCCGTATTATTCGTCTATGCTGAAATATCTCGGCTTAGAAGATTAGAATCCGTTTTTTTATCCCCTTTATTTTATCGTATTTCATCCGTTATTTCGGTTTTTTGTGTCCATATTTCATTATTGGGACCATAAATAGCGTCCTCGCAGTTGCTAGATCGGGATCTAAATACAATAATATATAATAGGCGAGTTAATATGTGATACTATTTATTTATTTTCGCTTCGTCTGTTTCCGGTTCCCACTCAGATCTAACGACCAGAACCTTCTTCCCCCCCCCCCCCCGTCTCGTCTTCGCCATAAAAAACTCGGTGGAGAGAATTAGAGCCGGCGGCAACGCGCAGATATCCAGATTGGTCAGTCGTTTGTCAGTGGCCTCTGATTGGAGAAAAGGGAAGATCCCGCGGGAGAGGATTGGAACTATTGCTTCCTCCATTGTCGCTGCCGTGGCAGTTGCGGAGAAGGCTGTTGGTGAAGAGGAAGGAGAGTGGACTTCCGCTGGTCTTCGCTGTGAAGAGAGAGAGGTAGAGTAATGTGGCGGTGGCTCGGCAGGAAGGGCCCCTCGGGTTTCTCCTCCTCTTCCACGGCGGAAGAGGTCACAGAAGGAATCGACGGCACCGGACTGACGGCCGTCATAACAGGTTCTGCGTCTCCGACTGCATCGTGTGTAGAATCCTCCATTTCTGACTCCTCTCGCTTTCAATTTACCCGTTTATGTTGTCCCTCCCGCTCAGATTCATATTCTTGAGACCTTCCGGCTCGGACTGTTCCGTTTGAATATTCCGCTCGAGTCTTCTTTTATTCTCAAAAGCTGTGCGATCCGAGCACCCTGATTCATCGTATGCACGTGTCAGGAGCATCAAGTGGAATCGGGAAAGAAACAGCTCGGGTTCTTGCGCTGCGTGGTGTCCACATAGTCATGGGAGTGAGGAACTTGTCTGCCGGTAACAGTGTCAAGGAGGAAATCGTTAAGGAAATCCCTGGAGCTAAGATTGACACGTTGGAACTGGATCTCGCCTCCATGGCGTCGGTCAGAAAATTCTCCACTGAGTTCAGAAGTTTAAATCTCCCACTGAACATTCTAATGTGAGGAGAATCACAAACCTGAAGATTATGAGTCGTTTCGAACAATCCGTTCTGAACCCGTTTCAACTCGACACTTTCTAATCTAATATTCCGATGATCTTACCCTTTTCATTCAACAGAAATAATGCTGGAATTTGGGCTTGTCCCTTTTCTCTTTCCAGTGATGGAATAGAGATCCAATTTGCGACAAACCATGTAGGTATGATCAAAATTTCTTTCTGGATCTATGATGTATTTTTTTCCTTAATTTATCAAATACTCGCAGAATACTCAGGCATGTCATATGGCCTTCTTTGTCCTCCAGGTCACTTCCTGTTGACAGATCTTCTACTGGAGAACATGAAGAATGCAGCCAAAAATAGTAACATCGAAGGAAGGATTGTCAATCTCTCATCTGACACGCACGCGTTAGTATATGGAGAGGGCATTCAATTCAATAAGATGAATATGAAGTTCAAGTAAGTAATATCATCTTTCCTTATGATCAAGGATTTGGTATCAATAACCCAAGGAGCAGGGGAAAGGCAGATACTGCATACTATGGTAGGTTCTGGAATTTTAGACAGACTCTGTAATGCTTAGATTCAGCTCGGAAAGGAATTGGGTTGATCCAGACAAAAATCTTTCCTTCTTTCTAAACAATAAACTTAAGAAGCAAGCTTGGAAATTTTTACTTGGCAGTTTAGATGCATGGATATGCTCTTATCTTCTCACAAAGATTGGAATTGTCACAGGTACAATATCATCTTAGCATATGGGCAATCAAAGCTTGCTAACATTCTACATGCCAATGAGCTTTCTAGACGTTTCAAGGTACCACTTTACAAAATATTCTTTGACAAGGTTTGAGAACACAATTTTGTCGTAATTATTTTGGCGCAATGGCTTTATTTTTTTGTTGCCTGTCTGCTCATCTGCCTAGTCTTTCATGTCTCATAATTGTGAAATCCTAACAAACTGGATACAAGGAATATAGACACGGCGATTTTTGATAATGTACACTCGAATGTGAACTTTCACCACAGGTTTCGCAACTTTTCCTCTGACTAGGATTTTGATGTAAACCCAATACTTTAAACTTAAACCAAATATTAACATTTTTGCACACGAAATTATCTCCTTTCAAAAATCACTTTTCCCCAGGCTTTCATTGTGCTTTCATGGTGTCCATCCTATATTTAACTCAAGAACCAATTGAAAGCAGTGCGAGTTTGATCTTTGAAAATCATCGAAAGCTGTATACCTTTAGGTTTATCCATCTAATGACGACGACGATGGTTGACTTTGGTTTTTTACAGGATGAAGGGATCAACATTACAGCTAATTCAGTTCATCCAGGAGCTGTGTTGACGAAGATATTCAGATACCACAGTATCATAAATGGTGAGAGACCAAGCTCTGTTTCACCCTTTCCTACATTATGTTCATGTTCTAACTCAACTATGTGAAAGAAAATACATCATTTGACTTATGCACCCCTTTCATTGAAGTGCCAATGGGCTGCACAACCTTGACCTCAGCCTCAAAATGAAACCCGGAAAGATAAAAATAATCCCAGTGCGGCCTCACATTTATCTCTCTCTCTCTCTCTCTCTCTCGCTTAGGATTCAAAGGTGGGGGTGGGCCTGAACCGGCTTTCACAAAGGTCTTGCTTGGATGGATTGAACCGGCTTTCCTTTGGGCATTATGGCCTGTTGACAACAATCTATATAACTTTTTCTCAATCTCCCAATAGTAACTTATTGAAAGCTCCCTTCTTCTGTCTCCCGCCCTGGTGCAGCCATATGTTATTCACTAGGGCAGCTGGTGATGAAAAATATTCAGCAAGTAAGTGCAGCCTTGAACTCAGTGTATCTTGTGCTATATGTTCAGCATGGGTTCGTCTTGATGTCCTCTCACCATCCCCTTTGCAGGGAGCGGCGACGACGTGCTATGTGGCCCTGCACCCGCAAGTCCATGGTGTAAACGGGAGCTACTTTTGCAACTGTAACATCTCCAAGCCGTCGTCGAAGGCTGAAGACCAGGAACTCGGCAAGAAGCTATGGGAGTTCACTGAGACCCTTGTCAGCTCTTGAAGTGGCTCTCCGAGTCCCCTTCCTTCAATAATAATCAAGCAATGGTTCCAATCAATGATTCAATTAAATTTCATCTATGTGGAGAGTAAATCACTGTGTGGGGCAGTTGATGGCATTCCTCAATTTCCGCAAAGCCAGAATCGAATAAATTGATTTACCATATCAGGCCAAGGTCTGCTTCAATGGCGGTAGACTGTGGGTTCTCCTACAACTTAGGGGTGATCGGAGTTAGACGACATGCACAAGTGATTGCTCCTCTAGCGACAAGGGGAAGGCGCTCTGTTGAGACCCGAACAACCTAAATGGGCTCAATAGGAAAGAGGTCCCAAAGAACTCAGCCCAGCCCAAGAACAAGGCAAGGATGACAGGAGTCAGAAGCCGAAGGGAACAAATGCACATGGGAGCCTGCAGGATAGGAGAAGTGTGTGGCGGATGGAATTCGACAGGGAACTGTGGTAGACTTGACAAGGATGGAGCACGGCAGTCACAGACGTCAGAGGACTTGAGCTATATAGAGGGGCAAGCAGCCACAAGAAGAGGAGGTCGGGAGAACCTCATGAAGAACTCTGTGTGGAGTAGAGATTCGCCATCTCGCATCGGCAACCCCAAGACCTGGGAGGTCTTGGTTATTGTATTCTCTCTCTCTGTATCTCCATGTCCCTCATCGACTCTCTCTCTCTTACACTCTGATCTCTCAGCTGTTCTTGGCCTTTTGGTGGAAGTTATCTCTGAGCCCTGGGCATCCAGAGTTTTGTACGAGACAGATTTTTTTATTAAACCAGTTCGTGTTTGACGCCTCATTCAAAGGGTTGTCATCAGTTGATATCAGAGCACAACTATGCTTCTTTGGGGCCCAAACCCTCAGATCCCAAGATTGACTCTCTTGAGAAAGAGTTAGAGGAGTTTCGGCTCCTCACTAGCAATGAATTGATGGCTCACGCCGAACAACTTTAAGCAATATGGGCAGAGCATGCAGACATATGCCAAAGATTAGATTTAGTCTCACACCAACTGGGGTCAATGGCCCATATCTTAGACAATATCTAGTGCCAGCTAGGCATTTCCCTTAATCAGTGCGAGGCACTAACAAATGGAGGTCGACTGCACCAAGGCGGAGGGGTGAAGAAAGGGTCTTCGGTATATGATGAGCATCCATTACGCCCCCCGCCAACCAGTGCGAGTAGCTATGAAGAAGAATAAGGGCTGAGGCCATCTACAGCAAGCACAATGGCCCCCATAGTTGGTGCCCCTCTAGCAGATCGACGACGGTGGCTGCACCTCACGGCGGCAGAAATGCAGGATCAAAGGGGCCAAGGCCTCTGCTTCCACTGTGACAAGAAATTCACACTCGACCATCAATGCAGACATGAGTTGAATAGTTTATTATCCCCCACTGACTCTAAGTACCGGCCGAACGACGATCAAGCAGAGGAGCTCTTCTCAAATACACCTTAGAAGACGGTGAGACTGTTTAGCTCAAAGTCTCTCACATTGATCCATGGGAGGGGATGTCGACCATAGATGCCATGAGGGAACTAACTCACAACACCTACCGGCAGTCTCCCAACTTACACCTTGAGGACAAGGTGTGAAATTGGGGAGGGGGGGTGTATTGTTGAGACCCAAACAGCCCAAATGGGCTCAACATGAAAGAGGTCCCGAAGAAGTTGGCCCAACCTAAGAACAAGTTAAAGTTGACATGAGTTAGACACTGAAGGGGACAAATGCACATGGGAGCTTACAAGACAGGAGATGTGTGTGGCTGATGGAATTTGGTGGGGAACCATGGCAGACCTAACAATGATGGAGCATGGCAAGGGTCAAGTCTCGTCAGGCCCGATCAAAGTGAGTTGGGAGGCAGTCGCCGATGCTAGAGGACGTGGGAGACCTGAAGTGTGACGGTTTGTCGCTCTTTCCTTAGCGTCTCCTTCTCTTCTCCTTCAACATGGTATCAAAGGAAGGTTGATCCTGCTGCTGCTGCCACCGTTGCTTGAAGAGGAGACTTTATCTCTTGTTGCTGCCGCCTTAGCTTGAGCTTGCCGGATGCCGTCTTATTATCTACTGTCTTACAGCACCTACCAGGCACCACTATTGCCTCTCGCCGTGCCTCTACAAGCGTTGGCACCACCGCCACCGCCGCCTCTCGCCGCGCCTCTGTAGGCGCTGCCACTGCCGCAACCGCCGCCTCTCACCGTGCCTCTTCCATTGTTCTAACTGCCCTTCCGGTGCCGCCACTGCTCCATTGCAAGCTACTGCCTCTTTCTAGCTTCAACGTCAGCCGCCTTTTATGGAGACATAAAGTCTTCCAACACCTCCATTCATCTCTACCAATGAGGGCAGACTGCCAACACCTCTGCCCCCATTGTTCTTGTTATGCTAGTGAATCCACTCCTTAATCAGCTTCATAGTTCGGGTCCGCCTCTTGCTGAAGATGATACCAATTATTATCAATAAACACATAATTTTCATCTTTTCCTCAGCATTCATGGCTATCGCGAATTTATTATGGATTAACCGCCGTATGCTGGTGACTCCAGTTTGTCTGATTAGATAGTGAAAGATAAGATCGTCCAAGTCTGGATTCTTAAGATGGTCACTTCACAACTTGTAGAGACTATTGAGTATCTAAATACAACCAAATAAATGTGGGACAAGCTCTATTGTTCATTTGGGGCCAGAAGAAGCATTGATCTTATGATGGATATCTTCAACAACTTTATTAAGCTGTGCGGCATGTCATCTCCATGGCATTCTACATATCTTACACTGACAAAGCTTGGGAATTTATTAGATCAATATTAGTCGATTTCTTCCTATTCAAATGTCAATTAATGCTATCATCATGAACTATTAGTGACTGTCTATCTTGGCTCTATTGATTCGAGTTTCGTCAATCAAGTCAAAGGCTCAATCCTCAATGGAGTTACTTCTCCCACCTTAGAGGAAGCATTTAATGTTGTGTGATAGATTGCTCCCATATTGACCCTGGCCTCAACCCCCATTTCATCCATGATGGTTACTCCTAAAGCTTCGTCACTTGCAGTTATCACTCCTAGAGTGGGTCCTGGTGCCTCCTCTAATTGTGGTTGCAGACAGGGTCATGGGCATGCTACTCCTCTTGGCTGCAATAGTTTTCCTCCTTGTGAGCATTGCGACAGGAACAACCATGTCATGACCAAATGCTTCTAGAAGTTTGAGTATCCGATAGATTGACCTCACAAGCTTCCTCTCGATGGTGTCTACACCAATGTGGTATTGCCTATTCCTATTGCTCCTGCACTGCCATCTGGACAACCTGTTAGATCTACTCCTCCAATGAGCCTTGGGTTATTGATTTAGGTGTCTCAACCCATATGTCAAGTACATCCTCCCTCTTCACTTGTCTTAAGACCCTCAATTATCTTGAGACCATTACCATTGCAGATGTCCATCTCTACTCTGTCACTAGCAAATGGGTGACTGTCATTACCCCTTCTCTATCTCTTGACAACATTCTTTATGTTCCCAACCTACATGTCAATCTCTTATCAATCAATGCCATCACCAAAGCCTTTTATTATTCTATTATAATTTTTTCTTATTACTGTGTGTTTCAAGACTTACGGACAAGGAAGAAGATTAGTTTGGGTAGAGAGACTGGTTGGAGCCTCTACGAGTTGGTACAAGATATATCTTCAGTTGGATTATCTTGTTTGTTTTCTCAAAAGTCTTCTTCATTGTTATGACATCGACATTTTGGTAATGTAAATATTTTTTCTCTACATATCATCATTGTGATGGTTTATCATGTGAACACTAGTTTGAATTGATTCACTGTGATATTTGGGGTCTGGCTCATGTGACATCTATTTTTAAATTATGTTACTATATGGTCTTCATTGATGAATTCTTTTGAGCTTCGTGAGTTTACTTGCTCAAAGATCTCACCGAAGTTCTTTTCTAGGTTTTTCTCCAAGAGGTTTATACACAATAGTTTGTGACACCCAAGATTTTGCGGACAAATAATACACTTGAATTTACTCAATCAGTGCTTCAAGAACTTTGTAAGAATTTTAGGATTATTGATCACACAACATGTCCATACATGTTGCAACAAAGTGGTGTTACTGAATGAAAGCATCATCATATTCTTGATATGAACAATACTCTACTATTAGAAATAAGGGTTTTAGACTATCTTTAGATAGATGTGGTCCTCACCTCAACATGCCTCATCAATCATCTACTATTCCCTCCCCTTGGCAATGAAGTTCCACTACAATGTTTTTAGTCTAAGGGTGACTCGTTTCCTCTTCTTCCACGAGTTTTTGAGTGTGTGGCTTTTATTCAAGATACCACTCTAAATCTTTCGAAGCTTGCTCCACAAGCCATCAAGGGTGTTTTTTTGTTGATTATTCCCACACTCAAAAGAGTGAAAGTATGTTGTCTTGATTGATGCCATCTTCTATGAAGAGTCACGATTTTTTAATGTACCATCTTCATCGTCTATGCGTCTACTAGAGGTTGTGCTCACTACTACGCCTATATCTACCTTGAATCTGACATTTGACACCAGTCATCTTCACACTCAAGTTCTTTCATTACCACCTCTTGACTTTGCTTCTTCACCACAATTGTCTTTGCTGTCATGTTTTCTCTCGTATGAAGCTTCTTCATCGGCTGCCCCTACTAGATCAATCTCTCCACAAGTCTCATTGATGAGATCACAAGACGTAATGAAGAATCCTCTACTCATGAAAATCAACTCAAGTCAGCGAAGGATGGTCAATCAGAGGCTCAACCTTTGAGGTCAGCCCTTTCAAAAAGAAGTGTTAGAATTAGGGTTCTTCCAACTCGACGAGTTCATCTCCAAGTCAATCGGCACCTTCTTCCTCTATTGGATCTAACATGACATATTAGATTCAGAACCAATGAGTCTCAACCAGCAAGCAAGAGGATCCATCCACAAAAGATGGCCCAAGAAGAAGAAGAAGAATGAGGAGTGCCATGTCATCCTCACTTCCGTCCTCTCCTTAAAGGGGGGGTCGTTTTCAACCAAGAGGCACCACATGGCACCTCTTGGGAAAGGGTGTCTTCGTCACCCCTTCTCCCTCGTTCTCTCTATAAATGCATCGACTCTCTTGTGCTTAAGGGGATGATTTTACGGAGTTAATCAAAGTTTATCTTACCCTCTTGGATTAGAGGGTCGTCTCCTTCCCTGTCTCGTCCCTTGGACTGGGGGTTCCTATCCTCCCTTCATCGCCTCTTGGATTAGGGGCTTCCTCTCCTCTTCTCGCCCTCTTGGATTAGGGGGACCTCCTTCTCTTCCTCTTCATGACGTCCTCGCCACCCTGTTGTCGCCACTCTCTTTATCGCCAGCCACCCCGTCGTCATTGTCCCGTCTCTTGTCGTCCACCCCACCACCGCCACTCCTCTTCACGCCAACCACCCTGTCGCCATCGTCCCGCCTCCTCGCTGCCCGCCCCATTGCCGTCGTGCCGCCTCCTCGCTGCCCGCCCCATTGCCGTCGTGCCGCCTCCTCGCCGTCCGCCCCATTACCGTCGTCCCGCCTCCTCGCCATCCGCCCGTTGCCGCCACTCCGGCTCCTTGCCGTCCACCCCGTCGTCGCCACTTCATTTCTCCCTCCCGCCGAATCCCTCGTTCTCTCTCTCCCGCCGTCGCCACGTTTCCCGTCCTCTCTCTCTCTCTCTCTCTCCCGCCGTCGCCTCGTACCCCTCATTTTCTCTCCCTCTCTTTCTCTCCCGTCGTCTCCACGTACCCCCTCATCTTCTCTCTCCCTTTCTCCCGCCATCGCCACGTACCCCATCATTTCCTCTCTCTCTCTCTCTTCCGCCCGACGCCCCTCATTCCGCCCCTTTTTTTCCTCCCCCTCCATTTATTTATTCTCCTCATTATTCTCTTATTCTTACTATCCCTTATTTACACCTTTTTTCTCCCTTATATTTTTTCATTATTCAAATACTTCATGGAGCTCAGCTACCCAACCCAGACCTCTCATTTTCTTGAGTCATCAATCATTAGAAATTCTTCAACAAGGCTTGTGGATCTCAAAACATTGGAGTCTATAAAATCACTCTAGAATCTCTTTTGACAAGGTACATTGATTTCAATTCCTTTTGCGAAGTGATCATTATTTTTTAAAAAATCCTCGCTTCTTATAGAAATTGAGTGAACCATATGCTAGTCATCTTTGTGCCATTTATCGATGATCCTAACACTCTAGTTGAAACTTTATCTGAATCCTTGAAAGTGTGATTCTTCTCAAGTAATTATGTTCCTAATTCTTTTAAAATCAGCAGGATCAACTTACTCATAACCTTCTATTCGATACATATATTTCTCTTTGGTCCTGCATCACTCATCACCAGCTCTCGATCAATCCTCGTCTCCTCCCACAAGTCTGGCTCTCAAAGTTGACCTTGATCTTCCCATTGCACTTCGCAAAGGTACCCAATTCTGTGCATTACATCCGAATACGAATTATCGCTCTTGTAACCCTCATCCAATTGTTAATGTGATTTCCCTTTCGCTGGTTGCTGAATAAATTACCAAGTCTCACATGAATGCTATGATGGTACCTTACTAGAAAATGGCCATAGATGAAAAGTATACCGTTCTCATCCACTAAGCTTCGTGAGAGCTACTTCCTCGACTGCGTGATGCTAACATTGTTTCTTACAGATGGGTTTCCATCCTTAAGTACCTTTTTGATAAGAAGGTACACGTTTATAACACATGATTGGTGCCTTGTAGATTCTCACAAAAGTACGACATCAAAATTATTTTGATAAGATGCTAACATTCTCCCTGAAAATATTGAGTTAATGAAGTGGCCAATTATGATTCACCACCATAGAGACTAATATGCATACTTAGGCAAGCCTCCCCAGTATGTGTTGCTAGTGAAATTTGCCAAAGTCTATTATCTTCGGAAAGTTATTTACAACTTAAATAGAGTCTCTTAACTTGGTTTACCAAGTTCAGCGCATTGGTTTGTCAGCGAGGTCCCTAGGAGTGCAACTTTGTTATGGCTTATATGATCATATAATTCATCACCAATGGCTGCATTTTTTTGGTCATCTACGTTGATAATATGATTATTACTAAAGATGATGTGGTTGACATCTAAGATATCAAAGTGTTCCTCAAAGAACACTTGAATATTTGGATTTGGGGACTCCCAAGTACTTTTTAGGGGTTGACTTTGCTTGTCGCCCTAGTGAGGTGGATCTTAACAAGTAGAAGTGTGTGTTCTTGATATTTTTGTAAGAGATGGGTCTTCTTGACTGCAAGCCTCATACATTGCTGATTGATAGTCGGCCTGGAGTTTTGGGATGAGAAATTTCCCTTACTAAGTGATCCTCAATAATATCGACGATTAGTGGAGAAGTTGATTTATCTTATGTTTACATGTCCGGGCATCACCTTCACTATAAATTACTTTTTGCTGACTACCTCAAGCATGCTCTTGGGAGAAGATTAGTTTTTTGCTGACATAGACATCTCCGCGTGGCAAGTTATTCAAACTCTAATCTTGCAAAAGATTGGGAAGACCAAAAATATATCGCTGATTATTATATTTATGTTGGTGGTAACCTAATGACTTAGACGAGTCACAAGCAACATATTTTGTCCTCATTTAGTTGTGAGGTAGAGTATCGAGTCATGCACGAGACATCTTCTTATATGCTCTTGCTACATAATCTTCTTGAGAAGTTGGGTTATCTCATACAAGGTACTATGCCCATGTATTGTGATAACAAAGCGACGATGTTTATTGTGAATCACAAGATGTTTCACTTGCATTGCACATTGAGATGGTATGTCATGTTATATGTTAGTGAATTCTTGAAGGCCAAATCTCTACTCTATATGTGGTACTTCAGACTAGTTGACATACATCTTTATGAAGGGTCTTAGTGTCTCATCCTATAGTGCTCATGTAAGTTGGGACTAATTAACATTTATGCTCCTACTTGAAAGGAATACGCTATGATTCTTAATATGGGTGAGTGTGAGAATATGGCTAGTGGACCCACATAAGAGATAAACAGTCGCCCCCTCTCTCTCTCTTTCTCCCACGTCCTCTCACCTTTAGTGACTTTCTCTCATCTTTTGACATCCCTTCTCCTCCTATTTGTAACCTCTCTAATTTCTCTCTTATGAAGTGTGATGGTTTGTCTCTCTTTCCTTGGCATCTCTTTCTCTTCTCCTTCAACACTAGAAGCTTCTTTCTATTTCTCCCCTCTCTCCTTGAGCTTCTAGAGAGTCTCGAAGAGGTACAGAAGACTGACAATTTTCTGTAGTGGTGCTAGAAGCGTTTGACTTCTTCTTCGAGGAGAGCAATGGTGGTGGGACCTTGACTGTTGATGTCTCGAGACTAAAGATGGTGTCTACACTCTCGCTCTAGCCTTAAGCACTTCTTATGTCATTAGGGCAGGGATGTGGTTCTTGATTTTTCGTTGATGTAGGCCCTATCACTATACATGGGGTGGGTGCAGAGGATGGACTCTCCAAATGTCGCCATTAAAAAATGTGTCCTCATAGTTACTAGATCAGGATCTAAATATAATAAAATATAATAGATGAGTTACTATGTTATACTATTTATTTGTTCCTACTTCATCTATTTTCAATTCCCACTCAAATTTACTGACCAGTATCATTTCCTTCCCCCGTCTCATCGTTCTCATGCAAAATCTCAGTGGGGAAAATTAGAGCTGGTGACGATGCATAGTATGCAGTTT